CTATTAGTATAGTTCCAAACCCAAACGCGACTTTATCTCTTTCTTATATACGTCAGAACAACTACAAGTTTTATATTCAAAAGGACGAGTAAGTTAATAATTAAAAGTTCTATTTAGAATATATGCGTTCATCTTCTTAGATCTTAGTGTTGTTCCAGGTGTCTTGAACACCGAAAATAGAGGTGATTGTACCAGCCAATCCAACAGCACCTTCATCATAGTTGAGGAATTTCAAGTTGTTCAAGACAATGAAGAAATCAAATGAATCCCAAACTAATCTCTTGGTAGCCTTGTAGTTTTCTAATTCGATAGCCTTAGATTTTTCTGAATCTTTTTCATCTAATGATTGAAGTTTTGAACTTGTAACAGAAATTTTACGTAAATCATTAACTAAACCTGCAACTAAACCAACGAACCAGAACCAGTTAGCATATTTTGGAGCTTTTGGGAAAGTTTTATTTGAAACTAATCCGGCTAATTTGAACCAAGCAATTGAATCTAATGATAAATAACCAACGTAAGCCAAGTTTTTCAAAACAACAGTTGATCTAATGATAGAATCTGAAAGTTTATTATCAAAAGCTTTAGCAGCATCTTGGACGTGATTTAAAGGCTTTAAGAATCTTAAACCTTTTCTGATGAAAGCAGCATGACCCTGTAGTGCTTTAAATAGTTTAGCTAATTCTGAAGAACCTCTTGTAGCTGCATGGAAGGCAAGAAACCTAACCAAATATTGAACTAAACGGAATGATTTTTCTCTACCAGCTGTTGTGTCAAGGTATTTGATCAACTTCTTCAAAGTTGGATGATAAACTATAGTATCCACCACCATTTTCTATTCAATGTGTATTAGTTCTCTTAATTAACTTCAAGAACGAACGTTGTTCTGATTATAAAAGTGAACTTTAGTGCAAAAACTGGGGTTACAAAAGTATTTATACAAGAAAAAAGTACCGTTCAGCCTAGCGCAACAAACGCTCCAATGGCGTCTTTCCGAGTCCGGAGCAAATCGGCTGCTCGGGGAAAATATGAAAATTCAAAATGCCATAATAAACTATTAAGGCACAAAACAAGTCAATTTAAACGACCTTTTCCAACCTTAAAGAATAAATTACAAATTAAGTCATTTCCCAGATATCGGAGAATGTAGCTTACATATATAATTACTTTTGCCAGAATTTAAACTTTTTTATTAATTTTTCTATATGATATCATCTTGATCTATTCTTTGTTGAAGAGTGTTTGAGTGTATTCTCTTGATTTTTGCATCAATAAGGTATCAGCAATGACAATTGAAGCCATGGCTTCAACAATTGGAATAGCTCTTGGGGTAACAGCTGGATCATGTCTACCTTTAGCAGCTAAAACACCTTTAGAACCATTGTATTGAGCAGTTGGTTGTTCTTGAGAAATTGTAGCTGCTGATTTGAACGCAACTGAAAAGTAAATATTTTCACCATTTGAGATACCACCTTGGATACCACCAGAGTTATTGGTTTTAGTTCTGAATCTACCAGTTTCTTCTTCCAAGTAGAAAGGATCATTATGTTTTGAACCTGGAATTTGAACACCTTCAAAACCGGAACCAATTTCGAAACCTTTTGAAGCTGGGATTGATAACATAGCATGAGCTAAAAGAGCTTCTAATTTATCAAAGACTGGTTCACCTAACCCTATTGGACAGTTACGAATAACACAAGTAACAACACCACCAATTGAATCTTTTGAATCTCTATATTTTTCAATTTCTTCAACCATTTTTGGTGCAGCTTCTGAATCTGGACAACGTACTGGACCAGCAGCATCAACTTCATCTCTTGTAATAGTGTTTAAAATTTCAATGAATTTTGGATCTTGAACATCTCTATTCATTTTAACTTGACCAATTTGTGAAGTAAATGCAACAATTTCGACACCGTTGGCTTTTTCTAAGAATTTATCAGCAATGGCACCAGCAGCAACTCTACCAATGGTTTCTCTTGCACTTGAACGACCACCACCTGAGGAAGCTTTAGTACCATATTTCTTCAAATAAGTGAAATCAGCATGAGAAGGTCTTGGGTATAAATCAGTTTCTGAATAATCTTTTGGTCTTTGATCTTCATTTGCAACCAACATACCAATAGAAGTACCTAAAGTTTTACCATATTCTGTACCGGATTGGATGAAAACACGATCTTTCTCATTTCTTGGGGTGGATAACTTAGATTGACCAGGTCTTCTTCTAGTTAATTGTGGTTGAATATCAGCTTCTGTTATATCTAAACCTGGTGGAACACCATCAACAATACAACCAACTGATTTACAATGGGATTCACCATAAGTAGTGACACGGAAGAATGAACCAAATGTTGACATTTTTGTACTATTTTGATTTTTTCTTCTATCTGTTAAAGGAAAACAATAAAAATATTAGTTATTTATCAAATGGATATCTGTACTTTATGTATAATTTCCACCAAAGACTCATCTCAATTTTTTTTTTCCAGATCGTCGCGAATTTATTTCCCAAAAAAAAATGTGCTTCTCAAGTGCTCCTACCGTAAATTGATAACCATTTGATATTTTAATTGACATAGACTTGACACAAAATATTATTGTTAAAGTGAATGGTGGGATTTAAATGAGTTGGTTTCTTGAGAGATTTACACTATGCTTATTGTGTCTGATTCATGGTCCTCATCTGGTTTGATGTGACTCCAGAAATGCATTTGTCTCATTCATTTTATCAGCATCTGATTTCACTTTCTCAATCCATCTTTGCACTAAATCACCATTTTCCTTTTCCAATTTCTCCAGTTTGTCCGTTAAGAGATTATTTTGTATAGATAATGAAACAATTTCATCGTTTATTAGCTCAATAGATTTGTTCTTGTGATAATATTCTTCTGTTTGGTTGTTCAATTTATCAGTAAGTCTCGTCACAGCTTTGTTTAGACTGGAATTTTCCTTCCTTAGCTTCAATACTTCTGTTTTATTTAATTTTGACTGTTCTTTCGTCAGTTTGTTTTCTTCTTTGTTGCTTTTCAATTGAACTTTCAATTCTTCGTTTTCTTGTAACAATCCTTGTAGTTCACTTTAACATGAGTTAGTCAAACGTAACAAAATATATCGATTTTCTAGTAATAAAGCACACTCACCTTTGAGATCCTGTAGCTCTAGCTTTGGATAACTGCTTTTCAGCCTCTGTTAACCTTTCATACAAACTCTCCACTGTTTCTTGTTAACAAATGCTTTACTGATCATACAGACTTTATAATACTCACAGCTTGCAAAGACGCCACTTCTGGGCTTCTCAATTTGGTCTCTTTTATCTAATGACTCTAATATTTGGTCTCTCCAAGACATTGCGGCTCTTACAATCTGGTGCTTTGTAACTTCTCAGTTAATGTCTCTTTCATCCTTGATGCTGTGAAGTCGTAAATAGTCAAGAAAGAGGATCGCGAATTTTTCTAAACGTAAATTAGTACTCAACTTCCTGCACTATCGATAACATCTCAAAACAACCACTTTAAAGCAAAAAAGAACCACTTTACCTCAAAAGAGACCCACATTATTCCTGGCGCTAGAAGTACAATGGCATCTGAGATACCCCCAGTGACTGGGGAGACCCATGGTGATGGTACAGTTAGAAGCGCTCAAGATTCCAGCAATGGGGACTTAAGTTCCTCAAATCTCTCAACAGCGTGGAAATATTGGAAAAAGAAGCAAGGGTCTGCTGAAAACACAACCAGGAAGATATCATCAATTGACCCTTTAGAAGCATACGATGCTTCTCACTCATCAGAAACTGACCAACAAACTACCAATAATGATTCTCAGATACGGCCTGCTGAAATTCAAAACAATGAAGATTCCAAAATAAACAATCCGCCACAAGATAACAACCAAATTATACATCCAAATGCTCCACAGGCCCAACATCAACAATGGCAGTCATGGCTGAATCCATTTTCATATTTACCTCAAGAATCTTTTAGCTTCCCAGGTAATCAACTCCCAAGTCTTCAAAGTCAACATCGTTCTAATGATAATCAATCTGAACATTCCTCTACTTTATCTTCTGCAACACCAACTGAAAATGGGTGGTTTGGTTGGATATGGCCTAAAAAACAGCAAAGTGAAGAAAATTTAAATCAAGAAATGCTCAGCTCAATTGAACTCAAGAGGAACTTAAAAGAAGCAAAGAAGGCTATTCAAAATCCAGATTCAATTTGGGCTTGGTATCAAAATCATTATAATGATAGACATGATGGTGAAATTTCGGTCTTGGAAACAAAAACAGAAACTTCTCCAGTAGAAATGAATAAATTCCCAATGCAATACAATAAAACAAATACAGAATTTGGTGATGTGGTACCCAAATTTGATGAATGTTATAGAGAAATCACAACAAAGACTACGATTAGAATTGCAACAGAATTATATTATAATTATCCTACAGAAAAACATTTGTACATAAAGAAAAACACACATAAACCATTAATCACAAATATATTGGTTGTTTCAGTCACGGGTAAGACCAATAAGACGTTATCTGCAAAGTCATTAAGCTCATTAGCTGTTGAATCTATTAAAGACTGGTATTCAGATAAAGAAACAAGTTTTGATTATCAAATCGAAAGCGTATCATTAGAAGCTGCAAAAATCAATGAAGATTCTTCAGAAGATTTGTTTAAACTTTTAATTAATTGGAGAGAACAGTTCAAAACAATCGATTTTGTATTTTTCGCAGGTTATGATAATTCGGTTCCATTGTCTGCTAAACTTTTAGAAATTATGATTGAGAGAAATTTATTCACAAATTCCAAAAAATTTGGATTATTAAGTGTTGATGGTATAATTCCGGGTCCATATCTTGATGAACCAAATAAATCTCAAATTTCGTACTGTCCAGATTTCAACCATATTATTGTTAACCTAATTGAATTATATAATGTCAAATTCACTATAATTGGGACACTGAATAGCATTCCAGGATCACTTGCACTTCATTTGAAACATCCAAATATATTTAGATCAATGCATATACTGGAATCAAGTTATGAAAATACATTTGAAGTTTACCTTTTCCAATTGTTATTGATTGCTCATAATCTAGGACATCCAACTACCAGGTTACTGATTCAATTGAATAAATTTTTCAACACTACAACAGCAAGTATAGCAGATCATTTAGATAAGAATGATTTTCATAACGCCATAAAAAATTCTTTAAATACAACAAGTTTATTCCAAAGTAAAAAAATCACACTGGATTTGGTTAATGATTCTATACTTGATAACGAATATAATTTGATATGGACATTACATGCGTTTGTGGATGATTTTAAAAAGATTAAAAACATCGAGTCTCATAAATGGGTATCAAATTTCATAACTTCATATAAAGATTGGGATCCTCAATCCAAAAGCCTTAAGGAACTCAAGTACATGTTGGAAGTTTTGAAAATTGAAGATTACTGCGGTGCACTTTTGAATTAATTTCACTCCTTACCTTTTATGAATAGATGAAAGTTACAATAATGAAGAACATAATTCGAATTGACATAACTGTAAAGATAAATTGTAGCCTATGACCTATGACTGAAGTTTACTTGAGGTGTAATTTTCGTTCAAATTGTGTTACACGCTTATATAATTTTTTTAACGCGTTACCATAGAGTTTCGCGTTTGTTTACAAAAAAACTGACATAGTCGATCTTCGAAGACCTCAGTTCACTTTTGGATCAAGATTTATGTCTGAGGCGATAAAAAGAGATAATCACACTCTTTTCATATCCTTTGACCTTCAATATACTTATATTGATACCATATTATGTCGTTGGATCCTTTGAATAACAAAAGGGTGGGTTATATGTCAAAGTCTGATTCATGAATATTTGTTACTAACAATTTTTTTCCAGACAAGAAATGATTCTACAGAAGAATCAAATAATCTAAAAAGATCACATACTACAGTGGCAAATAACAATATCGGGAAACTTTATAGTTTAAATGATTCTGATCATCTCTCGGTTCCAAGACAGAAAGCAATCAAGATTGGTAGAAGTAGAGGTAACGATATTAGAATTATAGGTGATGATATCTCAGGTGTTCATTGTGAATTATTATTGGTTTGGAATGAAGCTATTCAATCTTATTATTTGAATATAATTGATCATAGTACTAATGGTACATTTGTTAATGGATCTAGAATATCTGGGAAAAGTATATTGTTGAAGAATGGTGATAAGGTAAATTTTGCTAAAACTGGTGCCTACGTTTTCAGGTATAAAAAAGATGAAGAATCCAATGGAGAAAATAAAGAAAACAAGAATGTAACTAAAAATAACCAAAAAGTTTCATTCTTTGATGAATATGTCGCAGGGAGACAATTGGGTGCTGGACATTATGCTGTTGTGAAAGAAGCAATTAATAAACATACTGGTAAATCATATGCTGTCAAAATTTTTAAACCTCAAAGGGTTGATGATGTCAAAAGTACTAAACAATTCAATCAAGAACTTGAAGTTTTGATGAGTATTAAACATCCAAATATTGTGGAATTGGTTGGAACATATACTGAACCAATAAATAAATTTTCATTTACTACATATCTTGTTTTAGAAAAAGTTAATAGTGGTGAATTATTTACTAGAATTGTTAAAAAGCAAAGCTTAAGACAAAATGAAACCAGAGCTATATTCCAGCAGTTACTAAGTGGGCTGGAATATTTACATAATAGAGATATCATTCATAGAGATATAAAACCGGAAAACATTTTGTTGAATATTACACCAAGAACATCATCGAATCAAATATCTACAGGGCCTTGGGATGAAGATGAATTAAATGTTGAAGTCAAGATTGCAGATTTTGGCTTAGCAAAATTCATTGGTGAATTAAAATTTACAAATACTCTATGTGGTACACCGGCTTATGTTGCACCTGAAGTTTTAGGATCTACAAGGAAATATTCAAAGAATATTGATCTTTGGAGTGCAGGTGTTTTACTTTACGTATGTGTTGTTGGTTTCCCTCCATTTAGTGATGAACTTGGACCTCCAAATATGAGAGAACAAATCATAGCGGGTAAATATGCATTTTATAGTCCATATTTTGATGAAATTGATGATCTTGTTCTAGATCTTATATCCAAATTGTTGGTTGTTGATCCAAATCATAGATTGAATATCAGACAAACAATGGAACATCCATGGTTTGAAGCTTCTGCTGGTGAATCGTACCAACCAATAGTCGCTAGATCACCAATTAAAGGATCTGTTCCAAGGACATACACGGAACTATCAAAGATGCAAAGCGTTGAAGAAGCACAATGATAAGATTATTATGAGTTGAGTAATTCAAGAGTATAAAATTTAGAAAAATAGATGATTTATGATTTTATGAGGAATTCCAATTTAATTTTTCTTGTATTGTTTACTTTTTAGTTCGGCGGCTAATTATTTTGATTTATATATAAAGAGATCGAGTTGCCCCAGGAATTTTGAAAACTAAACCATTCCCATAACAAATAAAAGAATATATAGAGGACTCATATCAAAGAAGGTGCTGATTTGTTTTCAACATGGCTAAGTCTGCTGGTGTTCAAGATGTTGCTGGTGATGAGGTGTCTAATTTGTTGAAAGATTTTACAAATTTTGAAGGTGATACTGATAATGGGTCTGACGATGAGGAGGAGGAGGTGGATGTTAGTAAGAGCAGTGACCCTGTGGATGAAGATGTCATAAATAAAGAGTTAGTTACCTGGGCTGGAAGACTTGAGTTGGAATCAATAGATTTAAGACAAAAGGCAAAAGAATTGACTAGTCAAATGACAAAAAATTCATTATCAATCAAAAATACATCAGATGAATTGAAATCAGAATTTATAGAGTGGAAAGAGTCTTCTACGAAGCTATTGGATGGTTCAATAAAGTCATTCTCTAAGGCAACTTCTAATTTTTTATCTGCTACAAAATCAATGTCTAACACCAAATCAAATTCTGCTAACCAAACTGATAAAAGGGTTATATCGAGTATATTTGAAATTTTAGAGTCTACACAATCATCAATCAAAAGTTTTGAAAAAAAACTTATAGCTGTAAACAAAAATGAAAGATCAAAAACTAGAGTTGGTGGTACACAAATTGATAATGAAGTTCCATTAAGTACATTGAATAAGAAACTTCAAACTATAATAAATAGTGTTCAAAGGTTTCAAGATCAGAACATGAGAGAAGAAGAGTTAAGAAAAGAATCGAATTCAAATATTTTACAATTGAATGAAACGCTTGGGAAATGTTTAAGAAGAATAGAAGATATTCAGTATTTACAAGTTGATTTTGGTCATGAATTAAAAGTTTTGAATAGATCACAAAATAATCTCTTGGGTGAATTTAATAAGATCAAATCTGCATCAGTTATAAATAATGCAAAATCAACAAATAATCAAATTAACAAGGAACTAAATAATACCAACAACAATCAATATAGACCAACACCACCAAATAGTTCATTTAATGAATCTAGTAATATAATTCATCAACCAAGAGTTCAATTACCAGAATCACCAAAAAATATAGAACCTAGAAAAAGAGGTCGTAAGCCAGGTACAAAATTAGTTAGAGGGAAATTACAAGATCCAAATAGTTCTACAGACATACCTTTGAAAACTCATAGAACAAGAAGAAATCTTACATTAGCTGAACCAGGATTTATGAGCGATAAGTTACCTAAACCTTATCAATCAAAGAAAAGAAAAATATTGCAAGATAGAATCAATCAAACCAAATCACCACGTCCACAATTACAACGTGATCATCTTCCTCAACAACAACGAGAAGATTCTCATTATCATCAATTCAACCGTCAACAATCACAACCAATTTTCTCATCTTCATCATTTGATAAACATGATTCAAGTAATAATTGTATAAGTTTACTTTCAGATGATATGCAATCAAGTTTAAACTCAGAGCTATAACCAACTTTATTATTTAAAACTGCATACTCAAAAATATATATCAATTGCATAATATAATCAAAAAATTTCAACGTTTTCAATAACACGTTTAGAATCTAATTTAATTTTTAAATTATATCCTTTTGGTGTAGACGGTGTACCTTTTAATGTAAAATCTCTATAATATAATTTATAAACAGCCATATATCTACTTATGAAATCCCTAACTTGTTGATCAGTCATACCTGAACCTTTTTGTTCAATCAATTCATGTTCTTGTTGTATTCTCCATTCAAAAACATTATTAATATCTTCTGTATCAAAAAAAATATCAACATCAAAAAAATTCCAAATCTTAACGTATTCATCCAAGAATGAATTTATTTCAAAAATATCATCTTTAGGAAAATTTGATAATAATTTTGAACTGTTAATAATTTCTTCAACATCATCAGAATTTTCAAATGGTAAAAAACCATTAAACCAACCTTCCACTATTAAAATATCAATTGGAGTTTTAATATTTTGCCATTGATCTTCATCATTTCTATCACCTTCTCCATTAAAAGCAGCTTTATTATAAGTTGGTATCTTAAAACCAGATTCTTTATTAACAATCTTGGATATTAAATTATAACCTAATTCAACATCATGAGTACCAGGTAATCCTCTACCATTTAATAATTTTGTACCTGGATGATCTTTAGTTAATTGTCTTTGATCTTTATTTCTCAAGTATAAGTCATCAGTTGATATAGTTATTGAATTCAGGGTTGGATAAGATCTTGTAAGATGAATGGCTAATTTTGATGATAAGTATGATTTACCAGATCCTTGAGGTCCTGATATACTTATAACTAAAGGTTTTTCATTAAATTTCCATTTTGTGATTATTGGTTCTAGGAATTCAATTGATTTTGTGAGTGTGGACATTCTTGGTAGTCTTATTTGCTTTATACTTTATGCTTAGTATTTAAAAGATTTGTTGAAGAAACAATGTTGACATTTTGGAATGTCGGTTGTTTTTATAGTCTGGAGAAAATATGGGGATATCTTTAAACTTTCTCGAGATTGTGTGGAAGAAATATCCGAATTTTTCGTGGGATGAAAATAAATCAAAAGGTACATGAATACAGGAACAATCCGGTTGAAGGAACTCAGACTACAAATATTGAACAGATATTTAAGTATATGTTGTATTCTTTAATTTCAAATGAACTGGTTTAATTTGTTTTCAATTTAAATAGCTTTTAAATCTTTTAATTTAGAGACTAATTCATCAACATTACCAACTTTAATACCAGCATTACGAACAGGTGGTTCTTCAACTTTTAAAACTTCAATACGTTTTGTAACATCAACATCAAAATCAGATAATTTTAATTTTTCTAATGGTTTCTTTTTAGCTTTCATCATATTTGGTAAAGTTGCATAACGAGGTTCATTTAATCTTAAATCTGTAGTTATAATTAATGGTAATTTTGATTTAACAGTTTCTTCACCTCCATCAATTTCTCTTGTAACGAAAACTTCATCATTTTTGATCTCGACTTTAGCAGCATTAGTAGCTTGTGGCCAATTTAAAAGACCTGCAAGCATTTGACCAGTATGATTTGAATCATCATCAATAGCTTGTTTACCCAAGATAACTAAATTTGATTGATTTTTTTCAACAACTTGTTTTAAGATTTTGGCAACTGATAAAGGTTCAATTTCTTCTTCACCAACATCAACTAAAGTTGAAGAATCAGCACCTTTTGCTAAAGATTGACGTAAAATATCTTGAGATTTAGTTGGACCAATTGAAACAACATGAACTTTGTTTACAAGACTTTTATTAGCTTCTCTAATACGAACTGCTTCTTCAACCTATGACTTAAAGTTAGTTATTATCATCAAACATTATTAGACCATTTACTTACAGCAATATCACAAAATGGATTGATACTAAATTTCACACCTGTTTTTTCAATACCAGTATTAGTCTTATTGATTCTTGGTTTGATTGCGAAATCAATGACTCTTTTAACAGGCACTAGGATGTTTAATTTTGATGACATTTTGTCTATATGATTATTTAATTCAATTGCAAAGTCCACCAGGGATAGCTTAAAGAAACAAATCTATATAATATTCAAGATCTTTTGTTCAAATTTATATAATTTATGGGTTTTAAATGGACTTTTCTTCCCATCGAAATATTGGAAAAAAATCAAATTGGCTGATGTAATCCGTGGTACAAAGATTACGTAAGAACATCTGGTTATTTAAACCAAAATAAGTTTTAATTTACAAGAATTTTAAAAATGTTAATTGAGAACGAAAATTGTTAACTATGTGAAAATTTAAATGTATATTGAATAAATAAATAAATAATGGAATAAATAAATAAATAATATAAATAAGTTCAAACACCACTCCAATTGGCAGTTGATGATAATCTCTTCAATTCTTCATGTTCAGGTAATTTAAACCCCCATTCTTCTTCACCAGGTCTGACTTCATAATATTTCTTTAAATCAACATCATGATGAGGATGACTAACTAAATTAAACCATGGAATAATACCTAAAAATAATTGTGAATTTTTAGAATTTCTTGCTGCAACATCTTGTAAATTTGGTGTTAAAGTTGATGTACCATATGGGAATTCTCCTTTACTTAATTTTGATTTAATTTCATATCTATCTAATTTAACTTCTCTTGAATTTTCACTAACACCCCAAAATCTTTTGGTTGAATGATTATAAACAATTATAAAACCACCAATAAATCCCATAATTGTAGTTACTCTTAAAATACCACCATTTGGTCTAGTGAAATGTTTCCCATTATTAGGATCAAAATATTCTAATGCTGTAAATAATCCAGGAAATGCTGCTGTTGCAATTGCCCAAGTTCCATAATCTGAAGGACGTAGATATTTTACAACACGACTAAAATGTGGATCTGTATCAATAATCTAGTGAGGGTTGTTAATATAAATTTCGAGTGTATCTGATGGAAAGATTACTCACCTCGTATTTATCAGTGACTGGCATTGTTAATATTCCCTATGGTTTGAAACTATCTTGAGTACCTTCTCTATGATCTAATGGTGATAAAATCATATGAATAAAGCTCAATTTCTTGTGGAGATTTGAAAGGACTCCTGTTCTGGTACTTACTGTGAGGATCTAATTTTACTATGTATTTTCAGTGCTGATATTTACGCCATGGTAATTCTCTACCTATTCCTGCCTAAGTTTTAACCCACGCGCCCACTCACTCTGTCTAGATCCTCTCTAGGCCTCTTAAGCCGAACCGATAACCAAAACTATTATAAATCCACACTTTCCACTATAAATATCTTTACTAATACAAAGATTAATAATGTGTCAAAAGTTTCCAGAATATTCATAGAATACATTTAAAATGTGTCATAAAATATACTTATTAATCAATTTTTTGTCATGTTTAGATCAATTTGTAATGAATTTTAAGCGAAATTCAGTTCCAGAATGTTAAAGATTTATAAACGCGAACCACAATTTGTAAGCATATCACGAATATTTGAAAATGATATAAAAAGGTCGACAATCCTTGATATTTAATCACAATTTCAATTTTTATCAGATAATTATCAATTCAATTGATTAAAAACACTTATACATCACATACACATATACACACAATGGTTAACGTCATTACTTCAGTCGATCAATTCAAACAATCTATTGCTCAAGATAAATTAGTTGTTGTTGATTTCTTTGCCACATGGTGTGGTCCTTGTAAAATGATTGCTCCAATTTTAGAAAAATTTGATAAAGAATATACTAATGTTGATTTCTTTAAATTAGATGTTGATGAATTAGGTTCAGTTGCTCAAGAACAAGAAGTTAGTGCTATGCCAACTATTATTTTTTACAAGAATGGTTCAGTTGTTGATAAAATTATTGGTGCTAATCCAAATGCTATCAAACAAAAACTTGTTTCACTTTCTGCTTAAGTAAAGAAATAATCTTTTGACATCAAAAATAAAAAAAAAAGTTACATGATAGATACGATTATATGATACTCTGCTGATATATTTCCTGTACAATAAACGAGTCTTTTTAATTGACTAAATACTTTGTAGAATCCAACTCATCGCATTGCTCTTGTAGTACCTGTTCTAGATTCCCAGTGTAGAAAAGAACCAGAATCCAAATCCGACCACCCTCGAAAAGCAAAATAAAAAAAAATCTTCAACACTTTAAAAAATTAAAATTGTTTTTACAAACACCACTAAGAGGGCATCCTTACACCACTTGTTTTGTTTACCTTTTGTTTACCTTTTGAAATCACAGCGGTTAGCACAGGAAAACACAGCGGTAAAGGTCCAACAATGAGTCAAGAAGAGTTTGAAAGTGTTCCACAAGACGAGAATGATAACATTGATCAAGCATTGCTGAAGTGAGTATTTTGTAAAAGAAATATATAAGGGATGATACTAACAATCTCAATAGTCAATCTGATTCAAAACTATTTGTTAATAGTCAAAATGAACCTATTCAATTCTTTATCCCAATAAATGAAGACGATAGAGATAATTTGGAAAAATTAATCATTGATCATGGTGGTGAAGTTATTAACGATCCAGGTGCTGGTTATTATATATCAAAACATCATGATCCATTAAGAGATGCTGTTGATCCAAAATTTATTTATGAATCAACAGAACAGAAAAGTTTATTAAAAGTTGATAATTATAAATTATATAACCATGCAAACGCTGGTAATGACGATCATGTTCAACAATTGGTTACTTATTTACATAATGACCATAATGGTCAACAACAACAACAAGATCCTGAACAGCATCAACAACAAGATCAAGATCATCAAGTCACAGGTGAAGATCATCAACCTACAACAGTTGGTGATTTGATTCATGAAAAAGAACCAACCAGTAGCAATGCCTTAGTTGGGGCAAATAATGAATCAGTTCGTGTTCATAATACATCATCAAATAAAAATGGTTTCACCAAGGAAGAAGATGAAATAATTTTAGATGAAGTTAGAAGAAATCCAAATCGTCGTTCAACTCATGTGCTATTTAAAGAAATTGCAGAAAAAATCGGTAGACATACTGGTAATTCTGTTCGTTATCGTTACAGAACTTATCTTGTTAATCAATTAGATTATGTTTATCAAACTGATGAAAAGGGTAATTTAATCTTGGATGATCAAGGTCAACCAATAATTGCAGATAAATTACCAATTACTTTGAAAACAAAATTTACTGCAGATGATGATTATTTACTTTGTACTTTAGTTAGACAAAATTTACAAGATAAATTAGGTGATGAATATGAACCAAATCCAAAAAATGTTATATTACCTGGTAAATTTTTAGAAGCTTTAGCTGAAAATCATACAAATCATACAAAATCTGCTTGGAGAGATAGATATAGAAAATTTGCAATTCCTTATGGTATTGATAATTATATTGAATATTATGATAATGAAATTCAACAAGGTCGTGTACCTGATAATATTAGAAATTTTACAGGTAAACATTTATTTAAATCTTCTAAAAAATATAAAAATGGTGAGTTAGATGATAATGAAGTTGGTGAAAGATTATCAGAACATAATGATCAACAAAATAGAAGAAGACCAACTAAAAAGAGAAAAACAAATGAAATTCAAACTACTCAAGATTCAAATAATTTATTTGCAAATGGTGGTCAAGATGATTTAAATAATTATGATCCTGAAAATGGAGATTTTGCTAATTCTCATACTGCAGCTGCTGTTGCTGCAGCTAATAGATTAAATAATCCACCAAATCCTGAAGATTTCTTAACAAGTGATTTAGTTACTGCTAAATTTTTTGAATTTCAACCATTAATTAGTGCAGTTGAAAAAATTGAAGAAATTGTTAATCGTGCTTATGAAATTAATGATGCAGAACAATTAATTACTGCATTTTATGAAGAAGCTGGTATTCAAAAAAAATTTGGTGCTTATATCATTACATGTGTTTGTGGTGATTTAATTTTAATTCCAAAATATATTGAAATGTTATTAAAAACTGGTGAAAATCCACCAAGAGATATTCATGGTATTTGGACTTCAAGAGATGATGCTTATTTAAAATCAGAAATTCCTGAAAGGATCGAATATATTAGAAGATTACATGGTAATAGAAGAATTGAATTAAGAAAACAATTCATTAATGAAGATTATGTTTAAATATATTCATTTGAATTTGGTTGAATGGTTGATATTGGTGTTTTTTACGTCGTTCTTTTTTTGTCCTTTTCTATAATTTTTATTTGTGTTATTATTTGATTTTATTGGTACTTTGACTTTCTTCTATCTTATGTATACTATTTTATTTGTTATATTTGAATCATATTATTTGTATTTGTTTTTAAAAAAATTGTAGTATGTTGTTTTAATATACGCTTAATCCCAAAAATATGTGGTGTTTGGATGTGTCTGTTTATTAGTCTCGGAGCAGTTGTGCATAAAACATGAAACATATAGTATCTCGAGTAGTTTTAATTTTATTCCATTATTGTACAACTAATTATTATTTGATCAAGTCAATCCATATCTAAAGATGTCAAGTTCCAAAGATGATACAAAACTTGAAGGTTATAATAAAGTGGTCAAAGATATAGAAGATCAATATATTAATGATGAATTCAATCATGAAAATACTGATTTTGAAATATTAAGTACAATGAGATATGATCCATTATTAACAAGTTCAGTTGATCCAAATCTTTTCGAGACAACAACTGATAATTCGAAATTATTTTTCTTATTTGATGAACATTTACATCGTTTAAATTTTACATTAAAATTTTTTAAATTAGGTTATGAAATATCAAGAGATGAATTATTAATTAAATTAAATGAATCTATTCAACCTTTAGATAAATCAAATTCATATAGGATACGATTAACCATAAATAAAGAAGGACAAGTTAATATATCAACACATTTAACACCACAAAGATATAATTTATTTGATGGTTTTAATTCATGGGAAAATTATACTTCAAATATTTGGAATGTTTATATAGATTCTGAACCAATTCAAATATCACCATTCACTTCGTTTAAAACTACAAAAAGAGATCAATATAACATGGCAAGAAATCGTACATTAAATCTAGAATCTGAAGAACCTCAAGAAGTATTACTTTATAATAGTGCAAATCAAATAACTGAAGGTTCTATAACAAATGTTGCATTTAAGACTTTTGATACCAATACAGGTGAAGAAGAATGGATAACTCCACCATTAGCATCTGGATGTTTATGTGGTGTTGTTAGACATTTATTATTGACAAAGGGGATAATTAATGAAAGACAAATTAATTTGAAAAATGTTAGAGATGGTGAAGAAGTTTTATTATTTAATGGAATTCAAGGTGTTGTTAAAGGTCGTATAATCAAGAGATAAAATGTGGACTTTATCAGGGGCTACAATTAACTAATAAAATTTCACAAATGCATTATTTTTTCTCTATTTGATGTTAATGTAGTTCAATTAATCAATATTATTTCAATAATTCTTTAATTTCTTCATCAGTATGACCTAATATATATAAAATATCTGAAATTTTATCAGTATTTAATTTAGATGGAGCTAATCTTTGAACTCTTGGTTTAGCATTCCATGCAACACCAAAACCTGAAACTCCCATCATTGGTAAATCATTTGAACCATCACCAACAGCCATTGCAGCTCTTAATTCAATAGATTCCTTATCAGCAATAAATTGAACTAATTCAGCTTTTTTATTACCATCAACAATATCACCAATAGTTTCACCATTGAAAACTTTTTTACCTTCTGAATTAATTTCAGTATTTAAATTATTTGCATAAGCATAATCAAGTCCAAGAGTTTCTTTAACAAAATTAGCTAGTTCAATGAATCCACCACTTAAAACAGCTAATTTACAACCTTTTGCTTTAAGAGCTTTTGTTAATTCAAAATCACCTTTTGTAAATTGTAATTTTTTCTTTAAATCTTCCCAAATTGTACCATCAATACCTTTTAATAATTTAACTCTTCTTGCTAATGATTCTTTGAAATCTATTTCACCATTCATTGCAGCAGTTGTTATTTTTTCCACTTCATCTTCAACACCAGCATAAGCAGCGATTAGTTCAATAACTTCTTGATAAATTAAAGTTGAATCCATATCGAAAATAACTAATCTTTTATCTTGACGATATTCATCTTGTTTTTGGAAAATTAAATCAATTTTATCACCATTTTCCCATTCCAAGATGGCTTCTTTAATTTTAGCAAAGATATCATATTCATGTTCTTGAGTTGATTCATTATCACTAAATACTAAAGAACAACTTATATCGAAAACACGATCTTCACTTAATGTTTTAATATTGTTAATTTTAATTGGTAAAGATTCAATGAACCTTGTTAGTTCCATAAAAGCAGCTGGTTCGATCTTATCAGCATGGGCTATTGCCGTTATAACGTATTGACTCATGTTTAGTGATATGTGTAGTTGTAGGTTCTGGTGTTGTTCAGGTGCTTTGGTAATTTAAAATTAAGTATAAACATGTTTTCAAATTCTTTTCATGTGCTCAGCTCATCACCATATTGCAAATTTCGGAAAATTTCAATTTGTCTAATCAAAAACCATCGCATACAATAACGTAGGGAAAGTGCTCAAAAAGTAGTTATTTACAAGGGAATATTTGATAAATAACTTGAATTCTAATATAAAGTATTAAATTTGAACTATATCAAGCTTTTTCCCATAGTAAATTGTCAAATATTCACTAAAATTTGGAAACTCTTGCAAATTTGCGTAAATTATTTAAGTATCTTTATGCCATTTGGCGCAAAAACATTGTGCCAAATGGCATAATTTACTTCCTAATGTAGTAATTCAGGAACAAAAGATGGTATAAACCCATGAAAAATTGGTAAAAATATTAATAAAGATATATTGAAATAAACAGCAAATATCTTATAGTAATATCAATTAATTCATCATCTCCTTTCCTTCAAAGACTAATGTATTTCCACTATATTCTCTCATTTGATCATAATGTAATAAATTATTCGCGAATTCTTCTCATTTTCAATTGATTTCTATAAAAATTGAAATATTTCTCCTTAATTTTTTAATTTTACACTTTTGTTTCAACTCAATTAAAATTAACCGCTGTGATCAATTTTCAATATAATTACAATGCCAATTACAGAAGAAGAAGTTCCTAAGTTCAAGCCTTGGTTGGTCAAAAGAGCCGGTGAATTATCAGATGCTGATCCATCTGTTTTGGCGGATTATGTTGTGGCACTTTTAAATAATAAAGTTGAAGGTGATGAATTAGTTAAATTATTAGATGGTCAATTGGAAGATTTCCTTGATGATAGTAAATCATTTGCTTTTGAAATTGTCAATGTCTTGAATACAAAAGCCTATGAACAAGAAAGTGCTAAATTAACTGGTGCTGTTAAACCTTCATCAGCTTCATCAGGAACAACTTCAACTTCCACCACTATTGATACACAAGGTCCAATATATAAACCTGATAGAAGTAATTATAGATTGAATGATAAGAAAAAAAGAACTTTCGCTTTACCTGCTAATCATCAACACAAACCAGATGGTGCTAATGGAGCTAATGGTAACAATAGAAAGGAAAACCTGAAGAGTTTAATTTCTCAACGTGAAGTTCCAAATGCTAAACATTTAATTGTGGCAAATTTACCAGCTGATAAATTAGATGAACAATTATTAAGATCTTATTTCTCAAGATTTGGTGCTATTGATAATGTTTTAATTGATTTGACTGATCGTATTGCTGAAATTGAATTTGCAAATCCTAATTTCACTAAAAAAGCTTGGACTTCACCAGCTCCAATTTTTGATAATAGATTTATTAAAGTTTTCTATAGAAAGAAAGATGCTGAAACTGCTCAAGTTCCAGAACCACCTGCTGAAGAAGAATTTGATCTGGATGAATTTAAACAAAAACAATTGGAAAGACAAAAACAATTTGAAGAAAGATTAGCTAAGAAAAAGGAACATGACGCTAAAATTAAAGAATTAATTGCTATAAAAGAAAGAATGTTGGGTAAATATGAACAAGAATTAAAAGAATTAGAACTTGAATTACAAGCTTCACCTGAAAAAGAAGAATCAATTAGATCTAAAGTTGAAGAAATTCAAACTAATATTGTTAAATTTGATGTTTCAGCTGAAGGTATTGCCCTTTTGAAAAATAAATTGAATGGTATTATCCCACCAGTTTCCACAAGAGCAAGAGGTTCAAGAGGTAGAGGTGCTGCTAGAGGTGGTATTAGAGGTGGTAGAGGTGGATTTAATCCATATCAAAGACCAAGAGATTCTACTTATAATAGAAAATTAGATTTTAGAACAAGAACAGTTACCATTAAAAATATTTCTGATCCAAAAAATGAAGCTTTAAATAAATATTTAAAAACATTTGGTGAAGAAAACGTTTCAAATATTTCAACAAAAGATTCAGGTTTAAATATTACATTTAATGATAGATTTCATGCTGAAAGATTTTTAAGTGATAATTTTGATGTTGAAAATATTGGTAAATTAGAAAAAGAATGGGATGAAAGTGTTAGACCAACAATTACACCACCACCTTCAAATTCTGATGATGGTTCTGCTGCTGCTGCTGGCGCTGGTGCTGCTGGTGCAAACTCCTCTACAAATGACGTTGAAATGTCATGATTTTGTATGTTTGGAACTTGCTTTGGATTTGCTTTAAATTTGCTTTGATTTATTAGCTATTTTAATTTTTAAGAGATATAATTAACTTTATGTGATATGAAAAAAACAAAAACTAAAAAAAAAAGAGATGTCATTTGACACAAAAAAAAAATAATGTAGATAAAAAAAAGACTACAATTTAAAAAAAAAGTAAATCATATCATATTTAAACTAAACATCTTTTAAATTAATCTCTATATCATAGCTTTGAACTGATATCTATACTGTTTGAGTGCTCGAGGATTACATATAGCTGGTCAGTCTGCTGGTCTATCATAAGTCTACTCAAAGCTTTAAATCTTTACCGCTGTGGCTCACAGTTGATTATAATATCACAAACATATAAAGTACAAAATGGAATTTGCTTGGACTCTGATATTTTTAGGTGGTGTTGCCTTATCAGTTGATGCAGTTTATCAAGATGTTCAATATAGGAAAGAAAGGAAATTAGAATTAAATAAAAGATTTTATCCATTAGATTTTAATAAAGCAGATGCATATCATATAATGAAAGATACACAAGATTTAATTAAACTTCATACTTATAATGTTTTCAATTCAAATAATTTATTAAAATATAAAATTTCTAAAAAAATTAGTCCAAAAACAAGGAAATCGATGAAAGAAGAATGGATAATTACAGATGTTAGAGATCAATCTGAATTGGCAATTATTTGTATTGGTTCACCATTTCATAAACATTTTGTTCAATTCCCAATGATTAATAAATATAGAGATCATCAATCACTGGAACTATCAAGTTCAACTTCACATGAACAAGCTGAACTTCAAGCTGCAACTAGTCCAATAGTATCAAATATACAAAACTTCCAACATATTCCAACTGCAATTTCATCATCAGGTACTACAAGATTAGATACAATTAATGTTACACCATATATTGATTCAAGTCTTGTACAAAATAGATCAATTACACAAAATGAATTAGGTTCGTTAGAAATTATAACAAATAATGATGATTTACATAAATATGAAGTTCAAAAATTATCAAAAATTTTCTTAAGAATTACTAAAAGATTTAAATCATCAAATTTTAAAATTTCTAAAAATTCAATGATTTATTCATGGAAATCAAATGGATATTTAGAAAAACAAAGTAAAAATTTATTAGATTCATCATCAGAAAGGATTGGTATGATTAGATTTAATAATAAAAGAGGAGATGATTATTGGATTTATATTAATGATGAACGAATTGATCCATTAATTTCAATTACAACTGCATTTTTACATCAAAAATTATCATTATGGGATTATAAAAAATTAACAATTATTTAATTAATATACCTTGATTGATCATTAAGATTAAATCATCTAAATTATCAATAACATAATCTGTATATTGAATATTTCTAATTGATTGATTAGCATTAGATTTAATTAATATAGTAGTTGTACCTGCAAGTTTACCAGATTTCATATCATCAATTGAATCACCAATCATTATTAAATTTTTTGGATTTATTTTCCATTCTTTAGCAATAAATAAAATTGGATCAGGATTTGGTTTTGTTGGTAAGAATTCTCTTGTAATTATTGGATCAAATTTTTCATTTGGCAAAAAATTATTAACTAAATGATTAACAGGTTTCTATAATATGTTAATATATAAATGCATGATAAATTGTAATATATATGATTTCAACTTACTATTAAATTTCTTGTACATATAGCTTTTGGTAACTTTTGATCTGATATAAACTATAACAATGTTAATATATAGATCTCTAGATTTTGTATTGTATACTCACCTTCATCAATTCAACTAAACCAGGTTGTGGTTCCATTTCCTTCATAGCTTTCTCCTCCACATCAGCAATGTTTTTTTTAGCAATGGTTTGATTTTCAGGACTCATTGCATCTATAAAAGTTAAGATATCTATACTTTTATCCAATAATCCAATTGAATCTCTCATTGCAGCTATTAAACTTATTAGTTATAGATCCTTATATTGATCTGTAGTATAAGTAATTAATTAATACTCACCAAACATCCAAGTTTGTGGGAGACACAATGTCCCGTCCAAATCAAAGATTAGACCTTTCAATTGGATATCATTTGGTGATTGTGGGTTTAAGATCAATCTTTGTGTCATTATTATTACCTAAGATCTCTTCTAATTATGTATTGATTATTAAATATTGGTTAGTTGATGTCTTTGTATAGATAAGTTAAATTGAGTAGGGTAAAAACGGTGATATCGCGATCGCGCACTTAGTTAATTTGGAGATTTGAATGTCACAACTAGACAACAACAAGAACAACAACAAGAATCGATTGAATTGAAAAGAATTAAAGGTTAGTGGTGCTCAAGATGTCTTCTTCTATTCCATATGATCCAGATGAGTTTGATAACAATCCTTTCGCTGAACCTGCTCCTCAAAGTCAGGATGTTCTGGAACATAATCCCTATGCAGATGATGGTAATTCAAGATCTGATATAGGACAGGGAGAACAGGGAGAACAAGGTGAAGAACAAGGTGAAGAACAAGGTGAAGAGGAACAAAAGGAACAACAACAAGATCAAGGACAATCCCAAAATGAAGCCAAGAGAGAACTATTGGCCAAATTAATCCCTGAAAGATTTGATACAAAACATAATTATAAAATTAATGTTAAAGTTCATGGAATTGAAAGAATTGGTTCATTAAATAATAAAAAGGAAAATCCAACAATTATATTTGATTTATCAACAAATTTAATACATTTTAGGAAAAAATCATATAAACATGTCAAAAAGACATATCAAGAATTTGAATCATTTTTTAAATTTTTAAATGGTGCAAATCCTGAATGTTTTATACCTTCATTACCAAAAGCTTTTACAAATTATGGTATAGCAAATGAAGAAGATTATAAGAAAACTTTATCAAATTTCCAAAAATGGTTTAATAGAATTAATTCAAATCCAATATTAATCCGGAATGAAGAATTTCAATTCTTTATTGAAAGTGATTTAAATACTTATTCACCAATAAATAAATCAAAATTACCAGCTTCAGGTTTGAAAAGGAAAACTTTAAAACAATTACAACCTCCATATGATGAAGTCTTAGAATTAGCAGAATTTAGACCTTTAATTAAATCAATTTATCAAAAAACCAATTTAATTTTAGAAAAACTAGAAAAATTAAATAAATTGAAAAAAACTCAGTCAATAAATGAAAATGAATTAGGTAAAAAAATTATTGAATTAAATAATTTAGAAAATTCTCACCCAGGTATGTCAAATTTATGGAAAAAATTTGGTAAAACAATAATAAATTTAGGTGATTTAAATTCAATTATAAGTTCATTAGAATTAGCAACATTAGGTGATGGTTTAGAACAAATTATTAATGATAGTTATACAATAAAAGAAGCATTAACAAATAGACATTTATTAATGAGAGATTTAATTAATGCCCAATCAAATACTCAATTAAAACATGAAAATGCAAAAAAATTAAAAAATAAAAGAGATATAAATCCAATTAAAGTTGATGAAGCTATAAAATCTTTAAAAGATGCAACAAATTATGAAGAATTATTAACTTTAAAAATTAAAAGAATAACTGAAAATATGTTGATTGAAAAATCACAATTCTTGGAATATCTTGATTTATTAATTAAACAAATTTTTAAAGAATTTGTATTGAAAAAAATTGAATATGAACGTAAAAAATTATCTACATTGGAAAAAGTTAGAATTGATGTTAGATTAGTTGATGAAAATGGTGGATTATCAAGATTAGGTAGAGAATCTTATCCAATAAAAAAATCAATAAATAAATCAAGTCAAGGTCCTGAAGGTGATCATTGGAATGGAGATAGAAAATCAACACATTTCCATGATGGATTGTTAGGAAATGATGAAGAAGAAGATTTAGAAGATTCAATTGAACCTAATAATGAAGATAATTTAGAATCTGATGAAGATATTGAAATTGATGCAAAAAATGCTGCATCTATATTAGGTGGTTCAACTTTTTGAAATGGTGGTGTGTTCTGGTTAATATATCATGATTGTTATGCTTGTATGTAGGCCAATAACCTCATTGGTGTCATTAGGAACTCAATTGACTTCAATTGACTTCAATATAACCATTTAAATCTCTATATCTCCATATGCTCTAATCTCAAACGTGGGTACTGTGTTTACTCAGCACTGACATAATCAAATTCGCGATCTGATTTTTTGCTGATAAAGAAAAAAAAAAGATTTACCTTCTGAGTGATGATGCCTTCTGTGTAATTCTGAGAACAGAGATCATACTTTTCCCAGTAATTCCAGTACAGTCTTGAGCCTAATAAAAATCAGCTCCCAGCGTAACCCTCAGTCTACCCTTCAGATGAAAATTTTTTTTTTTTTCTTCCTGTGTGTTTTGTTTCTAAAATTTTCATTGAAAGAAATTTTTTTTTTACTTATAAATTTAATTTCTCCCTTCTTTTTTCAAATACTGTAACACTTGAAGTGTAGCTAATATTCAACTACACCTTTAAAACAACAAATAAGTCAAGATGGGTATGTACTTTAGTGACATTGGGATTGGGAGATAGGTTGTCTTGTTTTGGATTGGTTTTTTTAGACAAGTGTTTGGTGATTATTCACTTTTAAATTGATTGATATATATCATATCGTATTATAGATTTTTTAAAAAAGAAGATTATAAAATTTTTTGTTTAAAATTCCAATTGAAAACTTCACAACCTATACAATCAAATAACAGAGATCTCATTACTAACATGATATGAATAGTGAACTTCACAGTTGATGTAGGTCTTTTTACCCAATTGCAATTGATTTTTTTGGTTTGCTGTCATTCAAATCTATTGATTCTGAAAATTTTTTTTTTACCCAGAATTATGTAATCAGAAAAATTTTCATGATTAAGAGTTGATGATGAAGAACCATTAAGGATATATCAATAAGAATTCCAAAGGACAATATACTAACAATGTTTCTAGCAAATGCGTGCCTTAATGGACAAGGTTACCAATGTCCGTAACATGTCTGTTATTGCTCATGTCGATCATGGTAAATCAACTTTAACCGATTCTTTGGTTCAACGTGCTGGTATTATTTCAGCTGCTAAAGCTGGTGAAGCTCGTTTCACTGATACAAGAAAGGATGAACAAGAACGTGGTATCACCATTAAATCCACTGCTATTTCTTTATACTCTGAAATGGAAGATGAAGATGTTAAAGAAATTAAACAAAAAACTGAAGGTACTTCTTTCTTAATTAACTTGATTGATTCCCCAGGTCACGTTGATTTCTCTTCAGAAGTTACTGCTGCTTTACGTGTTACTGATGGTGCTTTAGTTGTTGTTGATTGTGTTGAAGGTGTCTGTGTCCAAACTGAAACCGTTTTACGTCAATCTTTAGCTGAGCGTATTAAACCAGTTTTAGTTATTAACAAGGTTGATCGTGCTTTATTAGAATTACAAGTTACCAAAGAAGATTTATATCAATCTTTCTCAAGAACTGTTGAATCTGCTAACGTTATCATTGCTACTTACTCTGATAAAGTTTTAGGTGATGTTCAAGTTTACCCAGAACGTGGTACTGTTGCTTTCGGTTCAGGTTTACATGGTTGGGCTTTCACTGTTCGTCAATTCGCCACCAGATATTCTAAAAAATTCGGTGTTGATAGAGTTAAAATGATGGAACGTTTATGGGGTGATTCTTACTTCAACCCAAAAACTAAAAAATGGACCAACAAAGATAGAGATGCTGATGGTAAACCATTAGAACGTGCTTTCAACATGTTTGTCTTGGATCCAATTTTCAGATTATTCTCTGCTATCATGAACTTCAAAAAAGAAGAAATTCCAACTTTATTAGAAAAATTAGAAATTAACTTAAAAGCTGATGAAAAAGAATTAGAAGGTAAACCATTATTAAAAATTGTTATGAAAAAATTCTTACCAGCTGCTGATGCTTTATTAGAAATGATTGTTATTCATTTACCATCTCCAGTTACTGCTCAATACTATAGAGCTGATACTTTATATGAAGGTCCATCAGATGATAAAGCTTGTTTATCAATCAGAGATTGTGATCCAAAAGCTGATTTAATGTTGTATGTTTCCAAGATGGTTCCAACTTCTGATAAAGGTCGTTTCTACGCTTTCGGTCGTGTTTTCGCTGGTACCGTTAAATCTGGTCAAAAAGTTAGAATTCAAGGTCCAAACTATGTTCCAGGTAAAAAAGATGATTTATTCATTAAAGCTGTTCAAAGAGTTGTTTTAATGATGGGTAGATTTGTTGAACCAATTGAAGATGTTCCAGCTGGTAACATTGTTGGTTTAGTTGGTATCGATCAATTTTTATTAAAATCTGGTACTTTAACTACTAATGATCAAGCTCATAACTTGAAAGTTATGAAATTCTCTGTTTCTCCAGTTGTTCAAGTTGCTGTTGAAGTTAAAAATGCTTCAGATTTACCAAAATTAGTTGAAGGTTTAAAACGTTTATCAAAATCTGATCCATGTGTTTTAACTTCTATTTCAGAATCTGGTGAACATTTAGTTGCTGGTACTGGTGAATTACATTTAGAAATTTGTTTACAAGATTTAGAAAATGATCATGCTGGTATTCCATTAAAAATTTCTCCACCAGTTGTTGCATACAGAGAAACTGTTGAAGCTGAATCAAGAATTACCGCTTTATCAAAATCTCCAAACAAACATAACCGTTTGTATATTAAAGCTGAACCATTAGGTGAAGAAACTGCTATTGCCATTGAAACTGGTAAAGTTTCACCAAAAGATGATTTCAAAGCTCGTGCTAGAATCTTAGCTGATGAATTCGGTTGGGATGTTACTGATGCTAGAAAAATTTGGTGTTTCGGTCCAGAAGGTACTGGTGCTAATGTTGTTGTTGATCAAACTAAAGCTGTTCAATACTTAACTGAAATTAAAGATTCTGTTGTTTCAGGTTTCGCTTGGGCTACTGGTGCTGGTCCAATCTTGGAAGAAAGTTTACGTTCTATTAGATTTAACTTATTAGATGTTACTTTACATGCTGATTCTATTCATAGAGGTGCTGGTCAAATCTTACCAACTATGAGAAGAGCTACTTATGCTGCTATGTTATTAGCTGAACCAAGAATTCAAGAACCAGTTTTCTTATGTGAAATTCAATGTCCAGAATCTGCTATTGGTGGTATTTACTCTGTTTTAAACAAAAAGAGAGGTCAAGTTGTTTCTGAAGAACAAAGACCAGGTACTCCATTATTCACTGTTAAAGCTTACTTACCAGTTAATGAATCTTTCGGTTTCACTGGTGAATTACGTCAAGCTACTGGTGGTCAAGCTTTCCCACAAATGGTTTTCGATCATTGGGCTACTTTGAACACTGATCCTCTTGATCCAACTTCAAAAGCTGGTGAAATTGTTACTGCTGCTCGTAAACGTCATGGTTTGAAAGAAGAAGTTCCAGGTTGGGAAGAATATTATGATAAATTATAAGGTGCTTAATTTATTAAGTACTTGTTATAATTTTTCAATCATTTTATTTAAAAAAAACCTTGAGTTTTCATTATTTTTTATTTTCCTCTTATAGTATTTTAAAATTTACGTGATATAATTAAAAAAAGATTGTAGTTATTCATCATTGAACATATAACTTGTTAATTTATACAGCTTCTTGTCAAAAGTCTAGGCTAAGCTTTATTTTTTGAGATACTTGATATTTTTCAATAGTTGTTCCGCGATCTACATGATATTATGAAAAACCATGGTATCATTATGATGTATCAAGATTCAATTCTACAATGTATAATTGAATTTTCTAAATGAGGCTATAGTAATTATATCAAACTATTGATACATGACAAGGATTAATTCTTCGTGATAAATTCATGATTGGAATGAATATTTCACGGATAGTATAATGAATGGTCTTCCCCGAAATATTGAGAGCTGTTCCCCAAGTTAATATATTAAAAGGTCCAAAAGACCAAATCAGTACTTTATAAGCGCATACTGTAACAATCATATATAAACGGTATCATATCGTAGTTATTTTTCAATTCGTTTGCCCTTCTTGAATCTTCTATATAATTGCTTTTTGAAAGCCACTGAAATACTGCAAATATACTGCAACCAAACTTTAAGTATATTCAAAATGATGATCAAATCTTTAATTAGAACAAGAGATCAAGTCATGGTTTATAATTTGTAGTTACTTTGATGATTTTTGATATCTTCATACATTATTGACGTTGAGATTTACTGATATAAAAATTATAGGAGTCCTGAAAGTTGACAACTTGACAGTATCGAAATTAACGATCTGAAATGTGTACCGTTCGTAAGCTGTCAATCCAAAAGTAGTAGTGATAGCCTACAATTAACAGTTGTATATCAACATACCCTTTTGATTGGTTATGATAATTATAAAAGGCATCAATTAACAGTTATATGTAGTTCAAAGTATAGATCTTTCAAGGATCAATTGCGCAAATGTATAACTTATCATATATAATTTTACGGATCAATATTTGAATTGTTTATGAAAGAAATCTATTAAAGCTGTACCGCGTATAGGTACCTATGTATTAAATTAAGATTTTACATCAATGTTAATCTTAAAGATCCGTGTGGTTATATGTTATATGTATCAGATATATACAGTAAAGTCAAGTGAGGTTTATACTTTGGAGTCGACTCGGTATATTTATAAAATGTTCAAGTTTGATTATATCATTGAACCGAGAAATGTGATAAATTTCCCATGAAAAGATATTCATAGAGTAATGGAAGTAAACGATACTAATATTCTGTGTTATCGCTTATATTCCTGATGAATTTAAGACAATTTCAGACCACTATCATAAAGTAAGTAATTCAACTTTATACCAGTTGTCAGTCTCATGTCACATGCCAATTTTAGAGTTGATACTTAAGGGTTTATTCGTTTTTTCCGTACGCGTGTATAAATTTGTATCATGTTTCAACTTTTTATTCGTTATTTTAATTTTTACGATGTAATAAAATGCAGACACTATTTAAAAAATTATGTAGTTTTGGTTAAATCTATTAGAAATCTAAAAAAATGAATAAGTCAATTTTAGTCGAGTGCATCAAAAGTTAAATTTTACATAACAATAGTAGATCATGCAAAAAACAAAAGGAAAAGGAAAAGCGCAAAAGTTTAAAATTTTGCAACTGTATACATGTATACATGTTTAAAGTAAAACTGGTCAAAGCTTATAAGCATTTTGCGCAGATTTTCACAGAAACACGATTATGGTAATTTGTAAACTAACAATAAAAACAACCTTAATTTTTATTATGCAACAATTTTGCGAAATTCTTATCGAATTCAATGACCATTTATAAGTCAATTTATATAATATAATTATAAGTTATTGATTGATTACTTGATTACCATGTTGTCTCATAATATCTGACTTTTACGAATTAGGTATAAAATTAAAACCACTTCTTTGAATAGCTTTAATTCGGGAATAAATGGACATGTTTTAACCTAGATTCAATCAACTTATAAGTATTCCAGTTGTTGATATCAATTTTAGAAATCCAACAGAATCGCCGTAGAATTATAAAAGATATCAAAAGATCGGATCCTTTTGGGCCCTAATTGAGCCCTTTGAGCCCTTTTGGCAGGGTTTCAGCTTTTCAACTGTTTACTTTAGACAGGGGCTAGTACCATTTCTGAGGCTCAGCCGTATGATATTCCGTTAACTGGATTAGTTTGGATCAGTTTGGTATACGAAGATATGTATTATGTACCTGGATCTGAATTCTGGATACAATTTGAAACTTGACAGTAATTAGATATGTTCATTAAAGTATATTGAGTTATTGACAAATTCATGAAGGAATATTATAGGAGTCATAAAAAAAATTAATAAGATTACTAATTAGAATGGAATGCAACCAATCATTTATTTCGACGAATTAAAAGAAGGAAATTAAATTGTTCATTTCATATACGTACTGGAATTCCGTTTATTATGATTATATAAGGAATTAGTAATATTATATATATAAATAATTGTAATGTAATTATATGAAGCTTTTGAATGTATTATAGTTGATTTAAAGAAAGTAAATAATGTTTAACTATCTGAATTCACTATAAATCTACTTTTCAGCTTGAAATTCAAAGATTTTTTTCTTGAATTTTTAATTTTCAAATAAATTGCTAACCTCATAAATTTTAATTTTGATCTAGAAATGAAAAACTACAAAACTCTTTAAAATTAAAAATGCTCCAAATGCCTTAAAATTAATATCATTACAAATTAAACAGCGCAAGTAATCTACTACCACTTTAAAAACCGTATCTTTCAATACTAAAAATTTGAGATAATTTAATTTTAAAATATTTGAAATATTAAGTCAAAGATTACATAACGAAGAACCATTGAATTCAACACGGATTTAAATCCTGTTTTTACTTATTATGTCCGTCTCCATAATATATACATAAATACGAATTGAGGTTCAACCGTTGTAATCTGTTTAATGAAAGATATTAGATATTAGATCAGTATAATATTAAATCATATACGTCAAAATAATATACCAGTAGTACGGAAAAACTTTTGTTTACTGTGGTTTTAAACTTGTATTTAATTGTAATTTTAAACAGTTTTAGATCTAATGCAATTTAAATACTGTACATTATATATTATATAAACAGATCTGAATGTTGTGTCAAAATAGACTATATTTTTACAAGACGTAATAAAAGTTATCTTTACAATTAAATTAAGCTTAAATTAAGTTATATTATTTTAAAATTACTATATATATAATGATATTTAATCTAAATATCATTTTGGAACTGAAAAAACACACATTTTAATATAACAAAAACCAAATTATATTATAATACAAAAGAATTCATTATTAAAACGTACAACCTCTTTAACTAACTATTTCTTTAGATGCATATATCATGAATACCATTTCTCATAAAATCATGATTTATATTTTATTATAAAGTTCATTCAAATTATCTAAAACTAATTTTAATGTATAAATATTAAATTGATTATTATATTCAATACCTTGTAAACTATTCATAATATTAATTTCATTTAAATTTTCTAATTTTAAATCATGAATAAATTTTTTTAAAATTTTATTAATTAAAAAAACAACAATAAATAAAGAATTTGAATAATTAATTTGATAAAATGATGCATTTATAATATATGGAACATTTATTGACATTGATGTATTAATGAAAACATCTGTTGATATTGTTTCTCCCATTATTGGATATTTATATTTGTTAAATAATTGTTTTTGTAAAGGTTGAATTAAAATTTTTTGTAAAAAATTTGTTTGATACCATTCAAATTTTGAATCAATAAATGTATAATCATGATTTAAGAAAAATTTTTTAGTTTGATAAATTAATTGATTATTCATTAATTCATTATTTATAAAATCTGAATATAATATAATTTTACCAACATATTTATGAGTTTGATCTTCTTGTGGTGATGTTGGTTGACCTTCTTGAAATGTAACAATTAATACAAAAATTTTTAAATTATTTAAATTTGTAAAATTCTCACTATTTATAAAATTTGAAATTCTTAAATTTATTGAATCTTGTAAATTTAAATCTTGTAAATATAACGATTCATCAAATGTAGTATGAAATTTTGTATTTGATAGCACGGGTAATGGTATTATTAAAGTATCTTTTGTTTGAAAATTTGGATATTTTTGATTTAATGATAATGATAAAAGTAAATCTAATGAAGATGGGAAATTTATATCCCCCTTTTGAATAGAAATTAATGATGAATTTGTTATATTTGCAAATGAATTAATTGAATTGATTGGTAATTTAAAATTTAAAGGATTTGAACTTAGATCTATAAGATCTATATCTTGGAAAAATTCTTCAAATTTTGGTATACTGATAGGATTTGATAATTTTAATTTCTTTTGTACTTCATTTTCATCATTATTTAATGAAAGAACATTGTTTATATGATTCAATTTATTTGTACTTGTAGGTACTGATAATGAAGGATTTGTCAATGTATTGGTAATCACTGGAGCTGGTGGATTTATGGTATTGACATTAGCATTGACATTGGCATTATTGGCATTAACATTTGATTTAGCTCTCTTCTTTGAACATGGATTAGCACCTATAATTGTATATATTTCATTCAGGATATCAATATTAACTTTTTCTTGAATATATGATATTTTCAAAACACGACCTCTATGACATGAAGCACAAGCTATAAAACAAGTTGGATTTTTATTAAAATAATTTGAGTCTCTAATAACAAGATGAGAATGATGTTTTCTTAAGAATTGGAATTCATTTGATTTTGATGGTTTTAATATTTTTTCTTTAATTAAATTTTTATATTCTAAACCTTTTGTACTATCTTGATTTGTTTTTTTACCAGACATAATGTAATTTCATTATCTGGATATAATTGAGATCTGGATATTTGTGGGATGTAAAATGATATGATTTTTATGACTTTTATGACTTTCAATTAACTTCTTTGTCAACAATTTAAAACTGGATCCATGACTATATTATAATATAATAACACAATTTAAATCATCGTTCAATTATAATCTAAAAGTTTTTTTTTCCTTGATTTTATTATAACAGTGAAATTCAGATAATCAATTGTTTTAATTTTTGCGAAATGTCGATTTTTTTTTTACATTATTTTTAACAAATTAGGAAATTTTGGCAATTTTTTAAACTGTGTATTAACAAACCTTCTTTTTTAAAGTACTAATCTTATTCTGCTACTGTAGCATAATATTGCATTTACACTCTTTTATTTACTATGCAGTTATATGTATCCTATATGCACAAGGGAACCTACTTTATAATTCAACGAGCCGACATTTGGAGAAGCCGGCATATTAAAGTTTAAACACAGATTTTAATTGTAAACAGAATTCTATGGAAAATTATTTTACTATGGACCAAAATATTCAGTAATAAACAAGATCTATAACTAAATACTTTTTAGTGGATTTAAAGGAGTTACTAGTTACCTATCTATAGAACGCCGAACAGCTTTGAACTTTGAAGGCATCAAGATAACCAAAGGAGAAGGAGTTAATGTTTCAAATTCATTTAGCTTTAGTCAATCAGTATATGTATCTCCATGTTAATCTATTGTAAAACTGTGTGACTATCATTCGAGTAGTACAACCTATATGCTGCTTTCCAAATTTCAATTATACAATTCAGATATCTATTAAGGGTCTACTAAAAGAAGGAAAGAGTGGGTCATCTAATTGGCAACTTGCAAGGCACAAAAGTAAAAGATTAGCTTAACATTCTCAATGCTCATCAGTTAGCTGATTGAATATAGTCCTCATAATAATCATGATATCTCGACTTAAATCTAGGCAATTATATGGTGTTACTATAATTGTGGCCTCGGTAAATTAAAACCATGGGGTTGATTAAATATTTAAGGCTGTTAATTGGAGTACTTTGTAGTACCTTTATTATATCTATCATATATCTAGAATTGTTCATTATGTACCTTGAAATTAAGCTGTAGTTTTAACCTATTTAAGCGTGGTGTATACCATATATTTGTTCAATATGAGGCCAACCGTTATATATCTACATCGTATATTCTAAACTGTTGATGGTGCACTAGATCCATCAAGTACAGTATCAATTATACCACCGTAGTACCGTTCAATTGATACTTGACACTTAGAGTACGTATCACCATAAAGTGTTAAAGAGTTCAAGTTTGATCGGTGAACCCTTTAAAAATTGAGTGAATAAGACGGAGATAAATCGCGGATGTCGGCTATAAGGACTAAACAATACTTGTAAGATTTTCGGTAGAATTAACCTGAATATGTGGGTTTCAATTTTCAGACGACTATTTAAAACGGGATTTATGGCTTTGGTTCCAAAAAGAGTAATCAAGCAGTTTTGAGTATCCGCTAATAAAGGATATAAATAAAGATAAAACCGATAAATTATAAATTCAAGGTTATTTAAACTCTTGATAATCAATGTATATTAAAGTACTTGGTTTATTCAAATTGGTTTAAATTCTTGATTCACGACAACGTTCTGCTTTTTTACGGGATAACCAATACTATAGTACAAAAGGTACAATCAGCTTTAAATTTCAAGTGCACTATAGATAAATGTGTCTAGATTAGTCTAATCTTGTTATATACAGAAACTCATCATACATATAGGTAGCTCCAATGCTCCAATTTTAAGTGTAGAGATCATGATTCAAGTTAATCTATAGTGTTACAAACAATGACCCCGTACCAATTTCAAGCTGATCTTTTAAACGTTAATGCTGTTAATGCTGTTATATCGAGCATTATATACTGCCACTTTGTTGACTCAAGAGTCATCAAAAAGGCTTATAATTAACACGTCTACATCTATACAGATTGGTTAACCCAGATCACAAGTATAGCACATAGCACATCTTTATCGTGTTTATGTACATGACTTTTAGAAACAACAGCTGTCAAACTTATAGTCAAGTGGGAGAACCTGGGATATAGAACATAATCAACTAAAACAATTCTACCAACTGACTAATTGAATTCTATAATTAATATTCTTCGTTTATTTAATGAATGATACATGATTTGTGATCTTAACTTTAAGATCCTTTGCACTCTAACAATCTTTTCGCATTTTTACGTAAACAAAGAAATCAACTTCCTTTTTTTATTCCAAGAAATTGCGCAAAAACTGCACAAAACTTTAAAGTACTGGCCCCTGGGTGCTTACAAATCTAGTTTCTCGGCAGATCTTTATTATTTTGGCGCTGCTGACATAATCTTAAAAGCGTGGTTTCGCGAATGGTATAGAGATTGATTATACCAAATGTAAACAAACGTTTTGTATAGATCTTATCAAAGGATAAGACTGTTATTTAACGTTGTACTATAGTGTATTTTTAGTTTGTTACCATGTCCAAAGATTATCAATCACTAAATAGATTCATAAAAGATGGTGTTAAACAGATTAGAACACCTTTTAAATTAGATGATGATTTATTAGATATATGTCAAGATACTTATGATAATGATTCAAAACATTTAAATCCACGTGAATTATCAAGAATACTGAAAGAGGGTATGTATTGGAAAACTTTTGATATCATCTAGGAGCATTGGGACTAACTGTACTTCCACCCTCTAGTCAATTTAATACTTGATAAAGCGTATCATAGATATTATTCAACTGAATCAATAACTCAAATTACTGAACAAATTATAAATATAAGGAATGAAGAAATACTTGATAATGAAGAATTTCTTCAATTTTTTAAAGATTTAGAATTACCAATAAATTTACAATCTGATTATAAATTATATTCATTAGGTGATTTAATTGAACAAATTTTAACATTACCAGAAATTGATACATCATCATCAAAGAAGATATCAAATTTAAATAAATTAAAATATGATGAATATAATAACAAGAGAATTCAACTTATTACTAAAATACAAAAACTTCAACAATTGAAAGAAGAAACTCAATTATTGAAAAATTATAATGAATTATTGAATATAAAATTAAATGGTGGTGATGGAATTAATAGTAATATAAGGCAAAATACATTACACAAGAATAATACTGAATTATCAAATGAAATAACAAAATTAAAAATTAATTTACAAAGATTTCAAACATTTGATAAAAACAAGAAAGAAAAATTTCAAAAAATATTAAAAAATGAATATCCTTAATGATCAACTACGATATAATTTGATATAATTTAGAAAAAAAGATTATAATACAATCCAATTTTGTTTGAAATAGATTTTTATATTAATATTTAATGCCCAAATAATTTATAAACACAATTTTTAATTAATAAATACCTTAATCAAACAAACCGAAACCCATATCATCATCGGATTCTTCTTTAGCTTCTTCAGCTTTTTCTTCTTCAGCAGCTTCTTCAGCACCACCAGCAGCAGCGGAAGCAGCTGGAGCAGCACCAGCACCACCAGTTGGAACTGAAGCTAATTTGCTTGAACCTTCAGCAATAACTTCATCAATGGTTTTACCTTCTAATGAAGTTAATAAAGTTGAAATTCTTGATTCTTCAACTTCTGAACCAACAGTTTCTAAAACTTCTTTAATATCAGCAGCTGATGGAGTAGTGTTACCACCTTGGATTAATAATAAGTAAGCAGCTAAGTATTTCATTTTGACGTATGATGAATTAGAATAATCACTTTTAAGCTATAATATGCAGACTATTCTTTGATTTATTTCAAAAACAGCTTATTTTAGTTTACTATACTATGTTTGATTAATTGAAATTTACCAGAATACATTCGATGCTCTGCTGGAGAGAATTCGTGAAAAAAAAAACTTGAGTTCCGGGGTATGCTGATCATGTGATCCTTACATAGTTAAGAGATTGTTTGCGTACCCTCGAATTTGATTATTTGTGACAGTCACAGTTGAAAAGAATTCAACATCTGAACACCAACAAATAATTTTAAAATCACGTGAATGAAAAAATAAAGAAATTCGCGAATTCGCGAATTTGCGAATGAAAAAATCGCGAAAATAATTTGTGATTTGTAATCAGTGACATAAGCGATGAGGGTTCCGCGAATTTTGACAAAAAATTTAAGCATGTAGTATATAGATTATCTATTATCTAGTAGAGAAATACACTCCGAAGGTTATTGATCCAACGTGATATAAATAACTAGATTAATTCCAATATGCGTCAAAAAAGAGCTAAAGCCTACCGTAAACAAATGCTTGTTTACAACCATACATTTAAATTCAGGGAACCATATCAAATCATTGTTGATGAACAATTAGTATTAACTGCAGAGAAACAATCATTTGATTTAGCAAAAGGTTTAACTAGAACTGTTCAAGCTGAAGTTAAACCAAGTAAGTAAAATGATGTTAATAGGTTTTGAGGGGGAAAAACAAATTATTAACAAAACACATAGTGATTACTCAATGTTGTGTTCAAGCATTATATAAAGAAAATAATCAACCAGCTATTGAATTAGCAAGAACATTCGAACGTCGTCGTTGTAATCATGATCCTAAAGATCCATTACCACCACATGAATGTATCAAATCAATTGTGATAATAAATAATCAAAATAAACATAGATATATAGTTGCATCAGAAAATGAACAATTACGTTGGAGTTTAAGAAAAATCCCAGGTATTCCATTAATTTATATGAATAGATCAGTTATGGTTATGGAACCTTTAAGTAAAGCAAGTGCTCAAGTTAGTAATAATATGGAATCAGCTAAATTAACAAAAGGATTAAATTCTGTTGGTGGTGATGAAAATAAAAATGAATTAAATGATTCAAATAAATTATTGAAAAAGAAAAGAGGTCCACAAGAACCAAATCCATTAAGTATTAAAAAGAAGAAACCAGAAAATAATAATAACAATAATAAGAATAATAATGATAATGAAGGACAAAAAAAGAAGAGAAGAAGAAAACATAAGAAACATGGAGAAGGTGAAGTAGAAGGTGAAACAGAATCTAAAGAATCAGAACCAAAAACCAATGATTCAGTATCGGAAAAAGCTGAAGAAAAGAATGATGAAACATCAGATTAAAGTGGAAAACATATCACATACTTAGAGAAAGATAAGGATCAGAACAAGATCTTTTTTTGTATAATAAAATGTTAAATTAATTATATTTAATTCATGGACCCCGTAAATCGAAGGAAATGACCGGAATTCGCAATATCTCGAAACTTTAATTACCTGGTATAGATTTCAATTTGAGTATTAAACTTAGGTGAAATCAAAGTGTTTCTTATCAAGATTCATTAAGATGCTTAGATTAAGAAATTTAACTCTTCAGGGGACAAGGTTATACTCCACTATACCCAAACCAGAAATTCCAAAGACTCAACAAGAAGCAAATCCAACATCAACACCAACATCAACAAAACCATTAAGTCAAAGAGAACAAATTACAAATAGACAAAGAATAGAATTAGCTCAAAATGGGATTAAAGATATATTCGAAGGGTTCTTAACAAGTGAAGAATCATATGATCCGATTGATACTAAACCAATCATGGCAAATCCTCCATTATATATTAATTTAAGTGAATTTCAAAGACAACAAGTTCGTGAAGAATTAGATAAAAGATCAAGACAAAATTGGAATAAATTAACTTCAGATATGAAAAAAATGTCATATTTTCATTCATATGGTAATTATGGACCAAGAGAAGATTTAAGTAATAATTGGAATAAATTAATAGCACCAGAAGATTTACCATTTAAAATTCCATCAATTTCTAAAATTGCTAAATTACCAAGTGAAAAAATTCATAAATTAGATGAAGTTGATTTAGAACAAGTTTCACCTAAAAGAATTGAAAATTGGAATAAAATGACAAGAAGATTAGATCCATTTACTAAAAGTATTGTTTATATTGCTGCATTAGTTAGTCTTTATGCATTATATAATGATAAAATGATGGAAAAAGAAGGTAAAATTCCAGATTATGAAGAATTAGAAAATATACCTGAAAGTTCATTAGTTTTAATTGATTTGAAAAGGGAACAAGAATTAGCAGATTTAAAAACAAAACAAGAACAAAGTGAAGTTAAAAATCAAAATAAAAAATGGTATTATTTATGGTTGAAATGATAAAATTAATAAAAAATATACATTGTAAATAAAACTACGATTTAATGAATATATATAATATTATGCATGATTTCCTTTAAAGCTTTTTGTATTTAGTACATAATTAAGTTTCAAAAATGACGTTAAAATTTCTTCTCTATAAAATGACATGATATGGGGGTCGTTTGTTCGTGATATTATATTTTCTTGTACCTCTTCCTTCGTAGCTAAACTCTTCTCTCCCTTCTCTCTCTCTCTCTTTTATTCTTCCATTTCATCATCATCTTCATTATCCATTAAATCATCAGCCCAACTTTTTTCCACAGTTTCTCTAACTCTTTTAGCATATTGAGAAGTATGATCTTTATATAAATTAGCAGCTTCAACATTAGCAGGAGATGAAATGTTTGGATCATTTAATAAAGATTGTACACTTGTTAAAATAGATGCAACATCAAAAGTTGGAGACCATCTATTTTGTAAAATATCAAGACATAATTCACCACTTGCATAAACATTTGGATGAAACATTGTACTCAAGAATTTAACTTGTGGAGGTTTATTTGGATATTGTTCATCAAAGTTTATACTTAATCTAAAAGTTCCATCTTCAAAAGGTGTATCGGCTGGTCCTATAATGATTGCATTCCATATCATAACGTTATCGGTTAATGGTGATGCAGAAACCCCATCAGGAGGATCTTGTTGGATACGCTAGCACTGTGTTAGTCCATGGAAAACTAAATTTCACGATAAAAATAGTATACCTACTTTAAGATCTCTCATGAGTCTTCTTCTAGCTGGTGTGGACATTTCGATGGGTTTTGTACTTTTTGTGTGTGCTTTCTAATCAGATAATATTGGTCAAATGGTGGCCAGATACGCTATGAACTCCGTTGTTTTTTTGTTGTAGTGTGTAGTCTTTCCTTTGGTGAAATTACCCGATAGTTATTGATCCTTTGAGCAGCGTAATACTGTGTAATACCTTATAATACCTTGTAAAACCTTTTGTAAACCCACTAAAATCGATTTGAATTTTGATTTTTTGTTGATGTTTATTTGAAAAAATCCACTTGCCACTGAAAAACCCGAAATTCGCGATCCTTTTGAGATTCGGTGATTTGAATTTTGATTTAAATGAGTCAAAAGTTTGGAGATTTTGGTTTGCTTTGGAAGTTGAATTCAGGTGCTTTTGAAGGTGATACTGCTGTTGGTGATACTACTGGTGCTTATAGCTGTTCTGCTCATATTCTGCTCATATACTGCCTTTTTTCCGCAGGTTGAAAAGGTTGGAAATCACTATACTCCATTACTCCATAAATATTCATAAATATTCATAAATATTCATAAATATTCATAAATATTCACAAAGAAGATTAAATATTCATATATATCATGATAAGGGCAAGGATACCCATAAAATTGAACAATTTACAATCAACAAAACAATGTTTTAGTACAAAAAATCCAATTTCTTCTGCTCAAGATTTGAAAACTGAAGAAATTAATATTACAACACCACCAAATTTTAATCAATATCATGAAAATATTCATTCAATAGCTAGTCATTTATCTGACTTGGGTCCATACCCTCAACATTCTCAATATTTGAACCCACAACATTATTATCAAAATACTGTCTTGATGAATTGGGCCCAAAGAACTCCACATCCAGTTACTTTAAGACAATTAGCAGCTTTTGGTAAGGCATTAAACGAGGAAAAAATTATATCAAGTGCAAATTTTGTTAGATTAGAATTACCAATTAGAATCGCATTGATTTTAAGAGATTTACAAGATTTACCATTTAATGTTGTTAATAATTTCCATTTAGCAAAAGTTTATGAATCTTATTATGACATTTTTGATCGTTTTAGGAAAATCCCCCAGATTAAAACTATCCAGGATAATAATGAATTTTGTAAAACATTGGAAAATGTCTTGACAGATATAAATTTATTAAATTTACCAAATTTAATGATGGGTGCATTAGAATGTAGAATTTTAGATGCAATGCCACCAAATCAATTAGATGAATTAGTTTCTTCATTATTAAGAGCAAGAATTTCAAGAAGATTAATTTTGGAAGAACATTTATCATTAACTAAAAATTTCAATTCAAATCCAAATTCTCCAAGATCTCATATTGGTGATATTTTTTTCAAATGTTCAGCAAAAGAACATTTACAAATTAGTGCAACAAATGCAGCACAATTTATTTCATCAATTTATCCAAATGTTAAATCACCAAAATTAATAATTGAAGGTGAAAAACAATTAAGTTTCCAATTTTTAACATCTCATTTACATTATCTTTTTGGAGAAATTTTAAGAAATTCATATGAAGCAACAGTTAAACAATTTTTAAAAACAAGTTCTCATCCAGAATTAGAAACACCACCACCTATCAAGGTTACAATCATTGAAAATAAAGATCATGTTGCCTTCAGATTTAGTGATCAAGGTGGTGGGATTGATATTAAACCAATCAATAAAATTTGGTCATTTGGTAAATCTTCAAATGCAGCAAGAGAATCATTAGCAAATTTCCATAAATTACCAAACTTGGAATTAGAAACACATTATAGTAAACCATTAAATGTTAACAAACGACGTCAATCATTAATGCAAACTTCGATTGGAGGGATTGATAATAACATTATCAAAGAAACTACATTGATTGATTTGATTCAAAGACCAGCGTCATATAAATTAGGCCTAGGACTGGCAATGTGTAAGACTTATGCAGATTATTGGAATGGGGATTTAGTTATGCATTCTTTAAATGGGTTTGGAACAGATACTTATTTGAAACTGGGTAAATTATCTCATGCCAGTGATAAATCACAATTACATAGAGCATGATCCTAAATTAAATACTATATAAAAAAACATTTTAACTTATGACAATTTTATGACATTTTATATTCAAACAAAGATCAAGAATTCAAGAATTTTTGTAGTTTATATAATTTTCAATTTCCAGTATAAAATAAATCAAATTTATTGGTTCAAATATTCGCGATTTAAATTGTAGTTTTAAATTGAAGTTCAAATTACCAACAAATCAACAAAAATTAAACAATAAAAACACAGTCAAAATACGAATAAACCCAGCACAATGCCAAAGAAAGGTGAGTATATTATCAGATATCCCATACCAAGATCATCTTCATAGTGGATCGTTTACTAACAGTCTTTTTTGATCCAGGAATATCCATTTCTTCGCTTCTGGGGAAACAATCGGATGACATTATACCAATAACAAGTGAAGAAATGAGCCCGCCAGAAAGAAGAACAAGAAGTAAAATCAATGAAGAAATTCATGAAGTCATTGAAGTTGATGATGATACTGAAGATGAAGAGGAAGCTCCGTTGCAGTTGACAAAGGATAGTTTTGAACAAGGTTCACCAGCTGGTAAGATTGATATAAAGTCTATTCTATCTAGTAATGATGTTAAAGAGAAGGAAAAGGAAAAAGAAAAGGATGATAAGAAGAAAGAGGAAGTCAAAGAAGAGAAAAAAGAAGAGAAGAAAGATGAAAAGAAGGATGGAAAGAAAGATGACAAAAAAGATGAAGTTCAAGATGGTAAAAGACTTGATAGTCTGTATACCGCACCAGCTAAAAGAGGTAGAAAACCTAGACAAGTTCAAAAGAAAGATGAAGAATCCGATAAGGATAAAGAAAAAGAGGTTAAACCTAAAAGAACTAGAGTGGCAAGAAAGAAAGTGGAACCAAAGAAAGAGGAGGATAAAAAGATCGAACAAAATGCTGATCAAAATAAGGATAAAGGTGATAATCAAAAGAATAATGATCCAAAACAACAAGTATCTCAAAATACCAATAAAGATGATAAACCTGATAAAAAAGAAGATCCTTTACCAGCTTCAACACCTATTAAACAAGATAAACCTATTGAACAACCTACTACAACTCCGAATGGGACTAAAATTTCAACAAGCAGTATAATATCATCAACAACAAATCCTCAGAATCCTCAAATCAGTAATCCATCAACACCAAGCTTAAATATCCCTGTACTTCAATCACAATCTTCATTCACACCAAGTTCAAATCCAAATCCAAATTCAAGTTCTAAACCAATAAAACCAAATGATATTAAAAATTTAATGAATAATGATGATACAAATCCATCAAATACACCTTTGCAATTTCATCATCAAACTTTCCCACCACCACCACCAATTCTAGAACCAAAACCACAATTATTACCATCAATGTTAAATCAAAATGAAGGACAAATAACGTTTGATATTAAAACAGGACAACAACAACAACCAAAAGAAACAAAATCTAAACCTAAACAAACTAAGAAATCTGATACTACAAAAACTAAACCAGTTAAAAATGGAACAAATAATAACACAAATACTACTACTACTAATAATAATAAAAAGAAGAATGATTCTAAAAAAACTGAAGTTACACCAATACCATTAACTCAAGATCAAATATTAAATCAAAATTTAATTAAACCAAATCCAAAATTAAATGAATCATTAGCATCACCAAAAATCATTGAAATTTCTAAAAATTCAACAAAATCAAATCCATCAAGTCCATCAACAAATAAAGATAAAGATGAAAAATTATCATCAAGATCTCCAATCCAACCAGATTCCTCCAAAAATGAACCACCAATAATTGCACTTCATGTTCCTTTAAAACCAACAAAACCATCAGAAACTCAAGAAACAGGTGCAACTCAAGTTGTTTTCAATATTTTAAAAATGGCTGAAGATAAATATGGATATAGAAATTTACATCCAGAATTAACAAAATTTCAATTAGATTTATTACAAGATGATGATATAGATGATGATATGGATGATGATGAAGATGAAGAAGAATTAGTACCCCAACAACAGGCACCTCAAGCCCCACAAGCTCCACAAGTCCCTGTAGATGGACGTAAATTACAAAAAGGTAAACCTAAGATTGGACAATATGATAAAGAAGATCCTTTTATTGATGATAGTGAAATGATTTGGGAAGAACAAAGAGCTTCAACAAAAGATGGATTTTTTGTTTTTTATGGTCCATTAATTGAAGATGGTAAAAATGCAAAAATTGAAAAAGCTGATGGTACAATTAAAAGAAGTAGGAAAAGAGTTGCTGGTACTACAAATTTACAAAATCAAAATCAAGGTCAAGTTAAGAAAAGAAATGTTGGTGGGAATAGTAATAATAATAATAATAATACAAGTGGGAGTGGAAGTGGTAATACTCAAGGAAATGGGAAAAGTACTACACCAAAATTAGTTCCCATTGCACCTGCAGCTCAAGGTAATATTGATATAGCACCAAAAGTTTAAGTTAAAAGAGACAGTAATAAATTCATTAATCATTTGTATTTAATTAGGGGATTATATTTAAGTAAATTTTCTATTTAATTTTGTGAGCCATTGTAAGCTATCTATTAGTTTTATTCTTGTTGTTGTTGATTATTGACTATTTCTTTAATGAATCAATAGCTAATTTTAAAAAATCAATATTAACACTTGGATCTTGAATTTTTAAATCATCATCTAATAAACTTAATTTCTTTTCGACAATCTCAATAATTTCTTTAATCTTATCTTTTGGGAATTTTGAATTAATACCAATTAATAAATTTAAATAACTTAATAAAATTTTAAAATTTGATTCATTTAATTCAATAGTTTTAGAAGATTCTGATGAAATAAAATTTTCATCAATTGATTCTCTAATTAATGTATAAATATCATCAATTCTTGATTGGTTCAATTCAATATAATGTAATTGTCTTTTTGGCAATGGAGGAGGTTGTTTCCCTTCATTTAAATTTGTTTTACTTAGATCTGATGATAATGAATCCAATTCATCTTTTTGAACCTTGTTTTCCAAGTCTAAAGGTTTAACCCTCAAAATCAAATCTTTTAAAATTGGAATCATTGCAATCTTAGAATTTGGATAAGGTGACATTGTTAAAGTATCAATTAAAAAATCATATCTTATACATTCATCAATCATAGTTAATACTCTTGTTAATAATGTGAAAATAACAATTCTTAATGTAGGTTTTGAATCTAAAGTTGAAGCAAAATAAATTAAAATTTGTAAAAATAAAATTAATTGATAATTTGGAATTTTTATGAAATCTTCAGGTGTTGATTTTACAATTGAAACCCAATTCCAAAAAATTATTGAATCTAAATTACCTAATCTTTGAAAATTTGATGATATTAAACCTGGAGAAATTAATCTAATTGTAATTGGTATTGATTCATAAATTTTAATTGGTAATAATTTTGAAATTTCCTTAGTATATTGAGTTATGAAGAGTAATAACCCACCTTGATTCATTGGAATTTTTTCCATTTTGGGGTTAAACAAGTATGAAATTTTATCATTAAGTGAAATTTTTAATAATTCTTGAATTTTATCATCATTTGATAATTTTGAATCAATTTTGGAAAACATTTCAATTGATGATTTTTTCAACTGGTCAAATTCTAATTCTAAATCAATATCAAAACTTAATGCTAATTGTGTAACTCTTGAAAATAAACCTCTTGAACTTGTAAATAATTCTTCATCAGTTTCATTTGTTGGTGGTAATATACCAGAATTTTTCAATTGTAAAGATTTAAATAATTCACATGATAAATCTAAAGCAACATTTTTAAAAGATAATTCAGAAATTTGAGTTAAATAACTTTTTAATAATTGTCTTTGTAAATAATTTTCATCAGATTCAATTTTAAAAGCTTCTTGCTCATTAATTTTATGTAATTCCATGAAATTTGTTGGTTTTAATGGTGGAATATAATCTCTTGCAAATGAATATAATCTTCTAATAACAAATCTATAGTTCAGAAATTTATCAAAATAAGTTATTGCCATATTTAATAATGAAGTTATAGCCATTGAAAGGAATCTTGAAGGATAAATAGTATTAATTCTTTTGAGAGAAGTTGACATTAATTCAACTAAAGTATGTAGTTTAACATCAAGAATTCTTGAAGTTTTCTCATCAGCTGTTGGATCATCATTTAAGGCAAAGCTGGAAATCAATTCAGTAGTTTTAAGGAAAATTTCCTTTGGATTACCAAATTTTGCCAATAATTCAAAATTTTTCATTATAATTTTAATTAATTCAGTATCATCTAATAGTGAACCCTGGTAATCAAATTCATTTGAATTATAAAAATTTAGGAATAATTCAGGTAAATCCCAACCAATTTCTTGTAATAAGATGATATCATTTGAAAAAATATCATATAATTTCTTCAAGATTAAAATTTTATCATCATCATTATAAATTGAAGGATCAGACAAGTAAAAATCTAATAAAGTAGCATATGAAATATAATCTTTTGTTGATTCCAATTCAATTAAAGCAGATTCGAAATACTCAATGATTGTGGTGACTGATGGCGGTTGATCTAAATGTTCTACCTCTGTGGTGGAGCTATTAGTCTCTGTGTCAGACATGGTTGATTGATTGATTGATGGTTGAGTAAATTGATCAATTGTTGATAGCACCTAACAATATAATTTTGATGATGTTTATATTGGGTACAAAATAATATGATAATAATATTGATTATGTAAGTGATGATGTAATCAAAAATTTGAAATCCGGGTAAAATTTAAAAATCATTGATGACATAATCGATTATATAATCTTGATTTTTTTTAAATTCGCGAAAAAGCGCGAAAATATTTTTTTTTTCCGTTCAATTGAAAAAGTCATACACAGAAATTGATGAAACACTAATAAAATTGAATGGCAAATAATTGATATTTATATTTATTCCATAGTATAACTATTAGCTTTCAATATGTCTGAAGAATTGGAAGAACATCAACCAACAATCATCATCAACGGGAACCTTGATGATATAGATGATAATCAATACGATCATGAAGAATCTGAAAATGAAGAATTAGTTCAAGATGAAGCACAAGATCAATCAGGTAAAAAAACTGTTAGTTTTGATGTCTTGGATGATAAAGAAGAAGCTGAATTAAGACAAAAAGAATTCGAAGAAGGTGGTGGTTTACCTGAACAACCTGAAAATCCAGATTTTACTAAATTAACACCATTATCTCCAGAAATTATAAATAGACAAGCAACTATTAATATTGGTACTATTGGTCATGTCGCTCATGGTAAATCAACTGTGGTTAAAGCTATTTCTGGAATTCAAACTGTTCGTTTCAAAGATGAATTAGAACGTAATATTACTATTAAATTAGGTTATGCAAATGCAAAAATTTATAAATTAGATGATCCAAATGTTGATGAAACAACATCATATAAATCATTTAGTTCAGATCGTGAAATTCATCCAAAATGTGACTTACCAGGTGTTGAATCTCGTTATAATTTAGTACGTCACGTTTCATTCGTTGATTGTCCAGGTCATGATATTTTAATGAGTACCATGTTGTCAGGTGCAGCAGTTATGGATGCTGCTTTATTATTAATTGCAGGTAATGAATCATGTCCACAACCTCAAACTTCAGAACATTTAGCAGCTATTGAAATTATGAAATTAAAACATGTTATTATTTTACAAAATAAAGTTGATTTAATGAGAGAAGAATCTGCTTTAGATCATCAAAAATCAATTTTAAAATTTATTAGAGGTACTATTGCTGATGGTGCTCCAATTGTTCCAATTTCTGCTCAATTAAAATATAATATTGATGCAGTTAATGAATTTATTGTTAAAACTATTCCAATCCCTCCAAGAGATTTCACTGCTTCACCAAGATTAATTGTTATTCGTTCATTTGATGTTAATAAACCAGGTGCAGAAATTGATGATTTAAAAGGTGGTGTTGCAGGTGGTTCTATCTTAAATGGTGTTTTCAAATTAGGTGATGAAATTGAAATTAGACCAGGTATCGTCACCAAGGATGATAATGGTAAAATTCAATGTAAACCAATTTTTTCAAATATTGTTTCATTATTTGCTGAACATAATGATTTAAAATTTGCTGTACCAGGTGGGTTAATTGGTGTTGGTACAAAAGTTGATCCAACTTTATGTAGAGCTGATCGTCTTGTTGGTCAAGTTGTTGGTGCTAAAGGTCATTTACCAAGTATTTATACAGATATTGAAATTAATTATTTCTTATTACGTCGTTTATTAGGTGTTAAAACTGAAGGTCAAAAACAAGCAAAAGTTCGTAAATTAGAAGCTAATGAAGTTTTAATGGTTAATATTGGTTCTACTGCTACTGGTGCTCGTGTTATTGCAGTTAAAGCTGATATGGCAAGATTACAATTAACTTCCCCTGCTTGTACTGAAGTTAATGAAAAAATTGCTCTTTCAAGACGTATTGAAAAACATTGGCGTTTAATTGGTTGGGCTACTATTAAAAAAGGTACAACTTTAGAACCTGTTAATTAGATAAACCCCAAACAAAGAAAAAAGAGAAAAAAAAATGCATAATGACCAAATATAAATAAACAACATTTTTGAAGAGATTTTTCTTTTGTAAATTTTGAGCTTATAGATATTTATTGTATACTACAGAAATTAATAAAAACATTTTAATTGACAATCTTATATTTCATAAATTTCATACATTATACATAACTATGTTATATAGTCACTATTAAATTAAATATTTGCTTGAGCAAAAGTTTCAGAAGCTAAAAATTTTGGGAATGAATCAAATTCTAATAATTTTAAAATATGTACACCAACAGCTTCAAACAATGGAAATAGTTTATGTAATAATACCAAAGATCTTGATAATTCTGATTGTGTTGGAGTTTTTGGGCCTTTATTAACACTTGAAGTAGTTGTATTTTTAACATCAATTGATAAATTTTTATTATTTAATAATCTGGTCTTCTTCATTGGGTTTAAACTTGAATTTAACATTGCAGCTGATGAATTTGTCAAGATGTTTGATGTTTGTTCAATTATTGGTGATTTTCCTGGGATATAAACTGGTTGTGGTTGTGATGGTAAATTCATTGAATCATCTATTGGTGAATCAATTGATTGGTTGAATGATGAAGCTAATGGAGAATTTGGATGAATCATCATACTTGCAATTTTTTCTCTTATATCATGATTTAAATTTAATTGATATGGTGCTCCAATAGAAATATATGATGAATAAATATCATAAGCTGTTGATAAACATTCATTAATTAATTTAACAACTGCACTCTTAGCAGCATGTTTAAATTTTATTGAATCATCATGAGTAGAATTTTCAATTTTTTGTTTTGATTGTTCTTGTTTTTGCATTTCAATAACATTTTTTAAAATTGTCATTTTTTTATTAAAATGTTTAATTGATAAATAAACTTCTAAATTTTCTGAACAAAATTCCTTTTCAAGATGATTTCTAAATAAATATCTGATACCAGGATCTGCTAATACTTTTTTCAATGTTAATGGTTCTGTAGTTGGTTTAATCATTGGTTTCTTAGGTTCTTCTTCTAATGATTCATCACTACTATTATTACCTCCATCAATATTTAATGCTTGATTACTTAAAATTAAACTTGATGAAGCAGGTTTCATAATTTCTTCATCATTTGAAACAATTAATGATCTTTTAGTTTTATTCCAATTTGAAATTTCCCAACCTAATTTACTTAATGTAAAAAATGAAGTTTTCAAAGGTAAGAATTTCTTTTTGGGATTTTTGGAAATTGAAATTGAAGTTGATGGTGATAAACTAATTGGTTCAATTAATCCATATTTATAGAAAAGATTGAGGATATTTGTTGCTTCATGTGGATACATAATATCTGTACAGTCCATAAGCCATTGCCATGCAGCTTTTGCATTAAAACAATATTCAATATTTATATTTTGTTTTTCACCAAATTTATAATCTTTATATAATCTAACACCTTTATTTGAAACATAATATTGAATATGAGAATCTGATTCAGGATTTGTGAAAAAATTATGTGCTAATGGAGATTCTCTAATTTTTGGTTTCTTGTTGTTGACAGAATTTAATAAATTTGGAACTTTTGATGATGATGATGATTGTTTTGATGGTTGTTCAATAGTGGAATTACTATCTTTTAAATTAAAATTTAAAACATCATTAACGTTAAAATTTGAAAAATCAAAATCATCATCATTATCTAATTTTTCATCTGATGATGGAATAGTATCATGAGGATTTGTTGATTTCCAAACATTTGGATAATTCCCTAAAAATTTTAAAAATAATAAATGAATAAAATATTCTGAGAAAACTATAGTATCTGTAATAGCACTTCTTTCGAAAATGAAAAGATCCATTGAATTAAGAGTTGATTTAATAACATTTGGATAATTTGAATTTTTAAAACCTAGGTATTTACAATACGATTGAATAATTGCAACACCTTTTGGAGTTGGTTGAAGTAAAACTTTTGCCTTTGGTTCAGATCTTGTTCTATCAGCTGGAGTATGTATAAGTTTAGCATTCATGAATTTTTTAACCAATGATAGGGCTAAATCACCTTTAATACTATGACTAAGTACTTTGCTAGTTGTTGAAGATTCCACACTTAGAGATAAATCAGCCATTTTGTCAATAATTTCTTGTAATGTAAAAGTGAAAGGAGCTGATTTACTTAGGAAATTAACTTTTGATTTAGAATTTGGTTTTTCTTGTAAATTTAAACAAATCATTGTTAGGGCAAATATATTTTTCAAATCTTTTGTAAATATTGAACCATTTGGAGTTCTATCAATTTTCTTAGAAACAGCTTCATGAAGAGTTAATTTGGTATGATCTTGCACCTGTGGTGTTTGAAAGCTAACATGATAATGAGTTGACATAACGGTGGTCATAATGGTAGTCTTGTGATGATGAGTATTAAGTATCAAATATATTAAAAATATGAATATGTTAAAATATCAAGAAATAACCTTTAATTTATGAAATATATTTATTGATTTCAACTTGGTTTCATAACTTGACACACAGCTTATAACAACTTCTTTGTTGAGTAAAGAAACAACATAACAAACCTCAAGAACGTAACAACATAGTTTAAATATAATGCACAATAATTAATCTCATCGTAAAACCAAAATATGCCATTAATTTTAGTGACAATTTCAAATGTTTTCTCAATGTTTCAAGTTAAAACTGTCATTGTTTTGTCTTAATTGGGACATCAATCAAGTTTTTTCCAAACCAACTTGCGTGGAATTCGCGGAAAAGTCGCGAATAAAATTTCAATATTTCGTAGCCCCATTTCAACTAAATCAGACGAAGGCTGAAGAACAGGATGTGTTATGTAGTGTCAAGGGTTTGATTGCGGTCTGTATATGGTATTTATTGAGACGTGGGAAAGCAGCGTATGTTGTAGTGAAAATTCCGAGTTGAAAGGGTTAAAAATGGCTATGATTATAGTCGATAAAGCATAGTATCTGAGACATTCAAAGATAGGAATTCATACAGATTTGAAGTTGTCATCTATTGATGATATGATTACTGTTTCTTGTGTATACTTGTGTTATTTGTGTTTATTCTCTTTGTTGATGTCCACATCTAAATATTTAATACCATCATGCATTTTCCATCGTCTGTCACGCGTAAATACTATAGATAAAGTTCAAGATCCCAAGATATATTAATCCAAGACTTTGTGGATCACTATAGATCTTGCATGAGAAAAATGGTACGATAATTATTATTATACCATTATACCAAATATCATAACAAAATAGACATTACTCTATGTGTATATTAATTCTATATGACTATAATCTTGTCCAAGATTTAACATTCTTATCAGAATCAACAATTAATCTTAATTCATCTAATGTTATTTCTAATTGCCACATCTTAGTTTCAACAGTATTATTTGAAAAATCAATACTTTTATTTGTCTTATTATTATTTGATGTTGATGATGATATTGATGATGTTAATAAATTTATTTTTTGTAAAAAAATCCAAGGTTCTTCACATTTTTCTTTTGACCAAATTTTAAAACCTGTATTTATTGAATTTATATTAAATATGGTACTTGATCTATTTTGATTTGTTGATTTGGATAATTGTAAGTATTCTTCATATGTTGTATTTAAATTTATCCAATTTATATCATTTTTAACAACTAATCTAGCTGCACATATAAGTAAAGAAATTTCAATTTCTGATAATGAATTTATAATTTTAATTATTGAATTCTTGGAATGATTATCTAAATATTTATTAAAATCTAAATCATTTAAAAATGGTTGTTGAGATGAAATTTTGGAAATTGGATATGTACAATGATTATAAAAATCTTTAAAATTATTAACAGTTAAATGATTATAAATGACAATTTTCCTTAATGATGAATCATTATTTATTAAATTTGTAACATATTCATTCCATTTAATTTCATAATCATTTGTTGGTTCATCAATACTTAAAATTTTTTCTGCAACAGAAACAAATTGACCCATGGGAAATTTAGGAAATTGAATCATTCTTTGTGAAAATCTACTTCGAACTCTTTTTTCAAACATATCTTTAACAGTAAATTTTGATGAAAAACATAAAGTTGTAATTGGTGTTGAACTATTTTCCACTAAATCAAATAGATTATATAATAATGTTTGTCTATTTGGACTTGCATAAACATCAACTTCATCAATTATGAAAATTATTGGTAATTTAATAAATTTTTGATCTGATTTTTCAGTTAATATATGTTTATCCAATATACTTAGTATATTGGCAAATGCTTCAGTAACTGATTTTTGTGCTAATAATTCATTATCATCTAAAGTTCTAATATTTATATGATATGCTCTAGAAATTTCTAAATCTAATTGTCTTGCAATTGATTTAACTGCAGATTTATCATCTTCTTGAGTAATACCAGATATTTTAATTAATAAAAAATCTTCATTTGTTTGTGAGATATTTGATCTTAATTGATCTAAAACTGAATTTAAAACTGCAGTTTTACCTGAATTCTTAGGACCAACCACTAAAGCTGATTGACTTTCATGATCTTTAATTGTAGATTCTAATAATTTATAAATATCTTGAAATTTTGATTCTAATCCATAAGGTATTCTATTTGATTTCCCAGTTAATTTTGAATATAATTTAACTTTTAAATTTACAATTTGCATTTCATTAATTTGATCAGTGGACCTATCAGGGAGATTCACTTCAAGTGTTTGATCTTGAGCATCGAAAAATTCATCATCATTATCATCATCATCATTATCATTATTATCATTATTTTCTTGTACATTATTCTTTTGAGTGGTTTCTGGTGTATCAATTATATGAGTTTCTTTTTCAATAGTTTCAGGTTCATCATCATTTGGATCAAGATGATAAATAGGTGTATCATTACTTATATTTGATTTCCCAAGAGCTTTCAAAGCATTAATATTTATGAAACGAGGTTGACTATCTTCATCATCTAAATCTTCATCATCATCTCGTATTTTGGTTAATTTTAGTTTATTAGTGACTATTGGATCATTATTTTCAGTTTCATCATCATCCAAATTTAAATGATATTCAGTAGTCTTTATAGATTGGTTAACATTTGATTCTAATTTTTGTTTCTTAGCTTGAGGTTCTTCTTTGACAGATTTTCTCTTTTCCACTTCACCAACACCATTACCCTTACCATTACCAACACCACCACCACTCTTCCTCTCACCAAGACTTCTAAACAATTTGATTCCCTTTAGCTTATTCTTTGGCTTGGACCCAGATATCAACTTATCAGCATCCACTGTTAAATTTGTCTTTCTAACTTCACCAAACTCCCCAGCAAAATCAGATTCTCTTTGCAAACGTTCCCTGTGTTCCTCCTCTGTCTCTGTCTGTCTCTTGCTCATCCTCAGTCTATCTTCTGCCTAACTTCTGCCTAACTTTTCCTTTGATTTCAATTCTGTTTAAATTTGTTTTCTTTTCAAACGTAAACAAACCGGAAAAACAAAAATTAAGCGCGGTGGATGTTTTTGGTGTGTCTGGATGTTTTGAAATTAAAATATAATGATTATTAAATCCTTGCGGAGCGCAATAAAACTAAACTAAAACTAAATCAAAAACACAATCAATTGATAAGACTTATAGGATTGATAATACCAATCATACAATCCATAATGAGCTCAAGAACTTATAAACATGATGAATTGCCTTCAAGTGTCATCTCTCTACTAGAAAGTGGCAAATTCGTACATTTAGGTACAGCTGATTTAAAAGGTTTACCAGATGTTGCATTAATGAATTATTATTATTTACCTTCTCATGAATTATATAACAAAAAACCAATTGATGGTGAAGAAACTGGACCATTAGATCCAACAAATTCCAAAGAACATACTTATATCATTTTATCAACAAAGAAATGTTCAGTTAAATATATAAACATTGAACAAAATCCAAATGTTTCTTTATTATTACATGATTGGACTACAGCAAAAAATTTATTCAAGAGAAATGATTTAGTTGATGATCAATCAAATCTTTTTAAAATTTTACATGATTTAAATCAATCTGAATTAAGTCAAGTTAGTGCTACATTATCAGGTCAAGCAACAATTTTAAAAAATAAAGATGAATTAAATTTTTATAAATCAAAATTATTACAAGAAAATCCTGATGCAAAAATATATATTGATGGTGATGAAAATTCAATCATTTTAGTTCAAATCCTAAGTGCTAAAGTTTCAGATTCTGAAGCTCATTTATCAACATATAAATGAGTATGAAATGTTTATAGTACATCTACAAATATGCCAATATCTAATGAATATCTTTGTTTTTTATTATCTAATTACCTTCTTGACCAAAATCATTTGTAAAATCAATTTGTTTTTGTAAATCAGTTTCATTAACTGTAGGTCTTGTAGTTTTGATTGCTTTTATAAAATCTTTTATAGTTAATTCAGGTTCTTGTAATTCATCAGCTTCAATTTGCATCCAATTCATTTCAATTGCATCTGAATCACCAGGTGAACAAGGTTTTAATTTATTTTCTTCAGTTCTTTTAAAATGTGTTGCACTTTGAATTTTTCTTATAGGTTGCATTAATGCATCTTTAACAACAACTGCAACATCTGCACCTGAATAACCCTCAGTCATTTCACCTAATAATCTATAATCTTTGGAATTTAATTCACATGGTGTATCACCAACATTTAATTCAAACATTTTGGCTCTTGCTTCAACTTCTGGTAAAGCGATATATATTCTTTTTTCAAAACGACGTCTTATAGCTGCATCTAATTGCCATGGAATATTTGTTGCACCCAATACTAAAACACCACTTGCATCATTACCAACACCATTCATTTGAACTAATAATTCAGTCTTGATACGTCTTGAAGCTTCACTTTCTCCCTCACCTCTTGGTCCACATAATGCATCAACTTCATCAATGAAAATAATTGAAGGTTTATTTTCTCTAGCCATATTAAATAATTGTTTAACTAATCTTTCACTTTCTCCCATCCATTTACTAACAAGATCTGATGAACTAACACTGAAAAATGTTGAATTTGCTTCTGTTGCCACTGCTTTTGCTAAATATGATTTACCTGTACCTGGTGGTCCATAAAGTAATATTCCTGATAAAGGTTTTCTATTCCCCGTGAATAAATGTGGGAATCTAACTGGTAATATCACAGCTTCTTTTAATGCTTCTTTAGCTAATTCTAATCCTGCAATATCTTCCCATTTAACATTTGGTTTTTCTGATAAAATTGCACTTGATAATGCACCTCTTAATTTTTTTGTATCAGAATCATCATCATCATCTCCACTTCCTCCTCCCGTACCATTCTTCTTACTCTTTGTACTACCATTTGTATTTGATTCAGCAGCTTTTTCCTTCTTATCAAGATGTTCTTTTAAATTTTCAGCTCTTGATAAATATTCTGTAAATTTAGTTCTTATAAGTTCTTTTGATCTTGGATTTTTTTCATATTTAATTGCAAGCATTAAATAATCTAATCCATTATAATATAATTGATATGCTTCTTCGTATCGCGTTGCATTATCTGCTTCAATGGCTTTTTGAACAAGTTCAATACCTTTGTTTAAAAAATCTCCAGTGGACATATTTATCTTATATTTTGATATACTAGGAAATTAAGGAGTAAATATTTGATGGACAAAAAGTGGCAAGGATTTGTTGTTGAGACTGAAGTTTTGTTTATTCTTGGTGATATAATTTGTATTCTAATATTCTGTATGAACTTAACAAATATGAAATAATACAATCAAAATTCAGCTAATATTCAATCAATTTTAAATTTAATGCCCTAGGATTTTCCCTTAAAGTTTGCAAATTTGTTGTTAAAGAAAAAAAAAACTTAGAATCTGTCAAAACATTCTGACTAAGCAAGTGCGGACTGATTATGTAAACAGATAACCAATAAATTATTTCTACAAAGATCTATATATAAATAATGGTCATAAATAAGATTGGAGTCTCTTTGTATTAGCATTGTAAAGAATGTTTCATTTCATTTGATTATCTTGAACTTGTCCAAATCAAGTTTCACTGGGGATAACGGTCTTGAAATATTATTATCAAATATTAATTCCTTAGGGCCAATATTGGGTTTAACTGGTGATATTGTATCATCAAATGAACTATCATTGGAAGGTTGGGTGTGATCTATTGGTTCAACTGGTTCTTTTGATTCTTTTGATTCCTTTGGTTCTGTAGATTGTGATTTTACAGCTTTCAATTCTTCACTCAACCCTTGTACTGTGGTTTCTAGTTGTTGTACTTTAGCATAAAGTTCATCTATTCTTGAGCTATCAATTAATATTTTATCTGTGGAGCCCTTGTTTATTATTGTATTATCAATTTTGGATTCATTATTTAATGGATGTGTAGGTTTAGGTGTTGATTCTTTAAATGGAACAAATGGTGAAGATGGTAATTCTCGAGCTGTAATTTTAGTCATTATAATTTTATTTGATGAAGAAGGTGTAGCTTGAGCTGGGACTTGGGAAATTGATTTCCATGATGGATCAACAAAGTTTGTTGTTGGATGACGATTTTGATATTGATTTTTTGTATCTGAGCCAATATCAAGATCTCTATTAAAATTTGTAGGTAATTCAAATGACCGTATTGATGAGTTTCTTTGTGTACTATCCATACCACTAGTATCCATTGATCTCTCTAATCTTCTTCTTTTGCGATTTAGAGAAGAGCTTGTCAACTCTTCTATTCTATCAGCGATAACATCTGTTCTTCTTGGTCTTCTAGAACCATTGGAACTTATAGAATCATCAATGTTATCAACAACATTATTTGATCTTCTTCTTCTTGATAAACTAGTCTCTATATCACCATGAGCATCCACCTCTTTCCCACTAGAGGACACTGATGTTGTAACTCTTGGTTTACCAATCATATCATTCATATAGTTTTGCATTGATTGTATTTCATCTTCTTTTTTAAACACTTTTGAAATATTCTTCATAGCACTACCCCATAACGAGTTTTGTTTATTATCATTAGCAGATTCTTTAAGTATTCTTGGTGAGCCTGTTGGGACTCTTTCATGCCTTTTGACTCTTTGTAACAGACTTGAAGGTTTATCATGATGAATATAATGTGTGGTATTTCTTTTTGAAGGTTTGTGATCGTTGAGCTTGACGTTGTTTGACTCGTCAGAGACTTCGTTCCACGCTTTGGAAATGGATGGGAACATGATAAATGGAAATAAATTAATGATTCAAGTATAGTAATTGTCTTTGAAATGATTTGATTTTTTGATTTTTTGTTTACTGTTTGTTTACTTTTCTTAAAAGAGAGAGAATTCCGACCAGGTTCAAATAAGTTCCGAGGCTTAATTTACGCGTCGCGTCTTTCATATATATACAAAAGTTTCAAAAGACATAAATATATTGAGTACATATTGGATCTGGTATAAAGCACCAATAGCACCAATAAACAATGGACAACCAACCAGTGATACTACCCATAAGACTACAACCATCAAATCTTAGACCCATAGCATATAGAATCTTATCTAAAAAACATGGGTTAAATATCAAATCAGAAGCATTAAAAATATTATCAGATTATATTGGACCCAAATTTGGTAATGAATGGAAGTCTGCCAAATCACAATATTTCATTGAAGAAATTGCTAAAATATGGAAAGAACAAGATAGAGGTTTATTTATTGATGGTGATGGTTTAAATGATGTTATTAAAGAAATTGATTCATTAAATTCTTCATTACCTAAAACTAGAAATACATTAGAATCAGTACAGAATAACAACAACCAAGGAGGTCAAGGACAAGGACAAGGGCAAGGACAAGTTTCAGTAGACTCCATGATTGCTGGTAGAAGAGATACCGTTGTTGATGAAGTCATGGTTAGTGAAGATGAAGAAGCAATAAATAATAGAACTTCACCACCAACAAGTATATCACCCCAACCAATTAGAAATACAATTGATTGGAGAGAATATTTTAGAATCATTGATGCCTTTCAACAACCATTATTTGATTATAATCATCATAGGAAACAATATGAACCTTCTAAAACTAAAGATTCAAGTTTCCAATCAACTTCAATAGATGCAAATATTGGATTATTTCAAAAAAGGTTCCATATTGTTAAAGATCGATTATTAAGAAATGAAAATTTCCAATCAAATTCATTTAATGCATTTTCATCAGTGGCAAACGATCAAGATGGTACAAACTCCATAACACAAGTTAAAAATCTTTTAGGTAGAAATAATCAAAGATTTATGCTTTTCGGTATGTTAACTTTAATGAATGGTGAATGGTATTTACAAGATAATTCTGATAAGATTCAATTAGATATAAATCAAGCTGATCCAAATTTAGGCTCTTATTATGTCCCAGGTAATATGGTTTTATGTGATGGTATTCATTCAAATGGTAAATTTTATTGTTCATCAATTGGTCATCCACCTGGTGAAAGAAGAACTGATACTTTAGAAGCTATTGGTAATTTAGATTTCTTGGGGATTCATGCAAATATGAGAATTGATAGAGAATTACATACAAGATTAAAATTACTCGAAAGAGAATTAGATCATAAAATTATTATCTTGGGAGCAAATTGTTATCTTGATGATTTGAAAACTCTTGATGCATTAACAAAATTATTTACCAGATTATCTGAAGATGAGAATGATTTACCAATTTCAATAATTTTCAATGGTTCTTTCACTTCATCACCAAAACATACATCAGAATATAAAAATTTATTTGATTCATTAGCTTCTATATTGGAAAAATTCCCCGTCATATCAGGTAGAATAAATTTAGTATTTATACCTGGAGAAAATGATTTATGGCAAGCTCCATTATGGCCAAAACATCCAATTCCTAAACTATTTGGTAATAGAATAACAAGAGTTGCAAGAAGTGTTAATTGGTCATCAAATCCAACACGTATGGTTTATTTATCACAAGAAATTGTCATTGCAAGAGATGATATAGGTGGTAGATTTAGAAGAAATACAGTATTATTCCCACAATTATCTAAAGATAGTGATGAAGAAGATGAAGATGAATATGATGAAAGAAGAACAGAAATTGAAAAATTAGAATCATTACCACCAAAAGTTTCAGAAGCTAGAAAAGTTGTTAAAACTGTACTTGATCAAGGTCATTTATCACCTTTTACTAAGAATTTAAAACCTGTTATATGGCATTTAGATCATACATTACATTTATCACCATTACCCACAGTATTAATACTTACAGATCCAACTTCACCTGCATTTGATGTTACATATAATGGTTGTAAATGTTTAAATCCAGGGATATTAATACAGAAAAGAAAATTAAATTATATTGAGTATAATTTAAACTCTAAAAGATCAGAAATTAAAGAATTGCATTTTTAAGCATAGTAATATATATTATATTATATTTATATTATTCATTATCATTGTAAGGCCATTTTTTAATTTTTTTACTAACTTCAACTGGTAAACAATACATTGGATCAACAGGTACAAGATCTTCAAATCCCATTAAACTTAAACCTGCAATACCAAAAATTGTATGGAAAACATCAACTTGATTACCAGGTCTATCACTAATCCCACCACTAACATCATCTTGACAATCTAATATAAATTTTTTCAATTTTTCATAATCTATCCAATCTAATTTATTTATTAATGCTAATGAAGAAAGAACCCACCAACTATAACAAACATCAGGAATTTTACCAGGTCTACCATTTAATCCACCATTTTCAACTTGTCTTTCACTTAACCACCATCCAGTTAATTCTTGATCTACAAGATCTAATTTATTGGCAATAGCCAATGTCCCCAAGCATGTAAATACTTGAGCAGAATGACTTTCAGCACCTGGAACTAAACCGAAACCACCATCAAAATTAACACATTTCATAATGAAATCCACTGCACCATCAACAATTTGAGAATTTAATTTACCCAAAATGGCAAGGGATTGAATAGCAGTATATACGAATCTTGTATCAACTTCACCAAATCTATCACCTTGGAAAGCACCGTTTTCTAATTGTAAACTTGTTATAAATTTCACCAATTTATCAACATCCTCAGTAGATAATACATCTAACGAGTCATATATGAGTAATATTTGAAGAGCTGATAACGTAGAGAGCAAATGACTATCATGATCCTTGAAAGCACCAAATCCACCATCTTCATTATGACAACTTAGTACAAAATCCACGATATCTTGTTTTTGGAATGAATCTTTCGAGTCTAATAAACATAGAGCAGTGAGCCCCCAATACGTCCCGTTGAGTCGCAAGTGTTCTGTAGCCCAGTAGTGGTAATCCTTCTGCTGTTTGTCCAATGAGACGATGTACTCGATGTGTTTCTGCTTGTGCAATGGCATTTTGTTCTCTTTGTTCTCTTTGGTTTTGTTGGTGATTTTGGTGGAATACTGGTTTAGTTTTATGCCATATAAAGAACAAAATTTTGTTGCAAGTTTGAAAAAAATCAAGTGCGATGAGAAACCAAAACAACAAAAAGCATCAAAACAAAGGTATCAAAGAGACTAGAAAATGGCACAGGAGACAGTTGGTTACGATGAACTAAGAGAAGACAGGGACTATGAGTCTGGTGGTGTCCAAGTTGGTGAGTTCCTGCAACAACTAGAGAATAAGAGAACTGCAAATCTACGATTGATTCCAACAGATGATGATGAAGTTAAAGCCATGTTGAGATCATTGGGAGAACCAATCATATATTTTGGTGAGGATAAAGCTGATAGAAGAGAAAGACTCACTGAGCTTGTGGTAAGTCGAAATATTGATTTGACCAACCAAGATGTTGAAATGGGTGAAGATGATGAAGATGGTGATGATGATTTAGCTGAAGATGAAGAATTTTATACACCAGGTTCAGAGGAGTTAATGAATGCTAGAAAATTCATTACAGAATATTCAAGTATCCAAGCCAAAGAAAGAATTCACAAACAACAACAAGATTCCACTATATCCATGGCTAAACAATTGACAATAAGGCGAGCATTAAATGAACAAATTAAAAAATTTGAACTTGGTGGGTCACAATTAGTTTCAACAAGACCTGTATCACAAGTGGCTATAAACAAGAGAAACCATGATCAGATATTATCAGGCTCATGGTCTGGTAATGTTAAACTTTTGAATAAAAATTTAGAAGTCTTAAAAGAATTTGAATATGATGAAGGTAAAATTAGTGGATTAGATTGGTCACCAACAACAGATAATTTATTCCTAAGTTCTGGAGATCAACTTTCATTATGGGATATAGAATCCTTAGAATCAACACCAATTTCAGCATTTAAAGGTCATGAAGGTAGAATTGTAAGATCAAAGTTCCATCCATCAGGAAAATTTATTGCAAGTGCATCATTTGATCAAACATGGAGATTATGGGATATAGAAACTCAACAACAATTATTATTACAAGAGGGCCATTCCAAAGAAGTATATACTCTTGGGTTCCAAAAAGATGGTTCTTTATTAGCAAGTGCAGGATTAGATGCTATAGGACATGTTTGGGATTTAAGATTAGGAAAATCAATAATGATTCTTGATGGACATATTAAACCAATTTATGGATTAGATTGGAGAGATAATGGATATCAAATTGCCACTGGTGGGGCAGAAGGCTCAATAAAGATATGGGATTTAAGAATGTCTAAAGATATTTTCACAATTCCTGCACATAATAAAATTATATCTGATTTAAAATTTAATGGTAATATATTATCATCAAGTTCTTATGATGGGACTGTTAAGTTATATAATTGTGATAATTGGATTGAATTACATAGATTAGAAGGTCATTCTGATAAAGTTATGAGTGTTGATTTGGCTGATGATTTTATTATATCAAGTGGTTGGGATAGATCTGTTAAAATTTGGTTACAAGAGTAGTTTGAATTACTGTTTTAGGGATACTTGTGTAAATAAACCACAATATATACGGATAGATATTAAAAAATATTATATACTAGTATAAACAGAATTGAACAAAATTGAAATTGTAGTGTGATGTTTTATTTAACACTCGGGCTATTTCTTCTATGATCAGAATTTCTACCTCTTCCTGTATTTAATTTTTTTAAATTTTCTTCAATTTTTAATTTTATGTTTTTTGTTTGTTCTTGTAATTTTGTTAGATCTTCAGATTCAATTGGTGTATTTTGAACATCTTTAAATAATTCATCTAATTTAGTTTCATTTGATAAGATTGATTTCTTAAAATCTTCAATATTTTTATTTGATTCTATTATGGAATTTTTAGCTGTGTTTATTTCTTTTAACATATAATCATTTTCCACTATTGTGCTTTTCTTTTTTTGTTCCTCTCTAAGTATTTCATTTTTTAAATTTTCAATTCTGGTTAATTTTTCATGTTTAGTTTGTAAATTTTCAACTTTATTTTCTAAATCCAAAACATTGTTTTTAGATTCTTCAATCTTGTTTATTAATTTTGAAGATTTATTATTTGCTGTATTTATTCTTGTTTTAACATGATCCAATTCAGTTATTAATTTACTTTCATCATTAAGTAAATAATTTTTTTCATTTGATTGAAATTGTTCAAAATGTTCAAATTCTTTACATTGAATTGCTAATTTATTATGTAAAACATTAAATTCTTGAATTAATTTATGTGTTAAAGTTTCAGTATAGTTAGAATTAACACTAAGGATACCAAATGTAACATCTTTCAAGGGATTTGAAGTATAATCACGATTTAATCTTTTGGTTTCATAATAAGATTTAAATTTGGGGGTTAATTGATCAAATTGTTTTTCATGATAAACTTCTGATAATAAAGATTTTTCCACATCTTCTGAATCATATTTTTTAATTGGTGATAATTCAGGTAATGGCCATGGATTATTTTTAAAATCTTTAAACCAATCTTTCAAATAAGTTAATTTTTTGGTATAAATTGGTCTTAAATCTGGTGGTAAAATCCCTACACGATCTCTTAATACCACAATGGCAGCTGTAACATCAACTAAATAATCATACCTTTCTTTAGGGAATTGACGGAAATATAGGGCAACGTGATCAATTGAATTTGCACTAACAAATCTTAAGATTGGTGATTTAGGATCTGCTTTCAATGAATTTAGGAAATCATTTTGTGAGGTGATATCAAGAGAAAAAACTAAATCAAATTTATCTTTAATATCTATGTCAACATCTGATGGTATTATATGACATGTTAAATCTCTTTGTTTGGCTTTAGCAGGATCTTTAATATAATTACCATAATGTCTTTTGATATTTGTTTTACAACCTAATAATAAAGCTTCAATTAAATCCAATAATTTTCCAGATCTTGCCACAATGGCAATATTTAGCTTTGTTTCCTCCACAAGGGTTATAACATCTCTTAATACTTGGAATTTCCCACTAGTTTCACAAAGATTGAAAGGTATATCCTTTGAAGTTAAATTTTTGGGTAAATAATGATTGATTAATAGATATGGATGTGTAGCCACCAATTGGGAATTCAAATATAGTAGTTCTAATGAGTCCAACAGTACTCTATCTTTATCATCAGTTTCAAAATATTTCAAAATATCAGAATAATGTAATGAAACAACTTGGTCAGTCAGTTCTTTTTGGTATTCATTCATAGGCACAGCTAGCCAGTAGTCCCCCGAAGTGTCCAGCGAGGTATTCAAATTGACGATTGGTGGTTCTGGCGTGGTGTCCAAGATCTTGAAGAGGTCCATGATTGATTTCTTATCCTTTCTTTTGGTTCTGATTCTTCCTGTTCTTCAAATGTTTTGTTTTGGTTTTCGATTTCCATTAAAGTGCCAAAATTGAAAAATATCAAAAGGGTTCGCGAATTTTTTAATTGATGATATTTGAAATAATTGGAAATTGATACAAAATCCATACAAAATCCATAAACTCATACTTGAATTCTTTGGTTGTTTTTGAAAGATAATTAGATTACAGGTACATAATGAGTGAACTCAGTGCTGATGAATTAGCTTTGTACGATAGACAACTTCGTGTCTGGGGTGCTGATGGTCAAAACAAGATTAAAAACGCGTCAATATTAGTTATAAATTTAAACGGTGTTGGTACAGAAATTATCAAGAATTTAACATTGAGTGGTATTGGTTCAATTGAAATCTTGGATCCTTCTGTTGTTACTGAAGATGATTTAACTACACAGTTTTTCCTTGAAGAATCAGATTTGGGGAAATCTAAAGTTGAAGCTGTTTTACCAAAGATTCAAGATATGAATCCAAGAGTTCAATTAACAATAAATTCTAAAGAATTACCAATTGATGATTTAGAATATTTCAAGAAATTTAAATTAATCATTGCAAATAATCTTGATGCTAAACTTTTACAAAAATTGAATAATATAACTAGAGATTTAAACATCTCTTTATATACAACAACAACTCATGGTCTTTATGGTTATTTTTTCAGTGATTTAATTTTGGATATATCACAATTCACAAAGAAAAAAATGCCAATTTCTAGGAAATTAGAAAAAATTTCATCAAATCAAGAAATTATTCAAATTGAAACAACTCATAATAAAGAAACAAATGAATTTTTTGAAAAATTTACATTAAAATCAAAATTTATAAAATTTGAAGATTGTTTCCATTCTAAAAATTTAACAAAATTAACCAAGAGAGCAAAGAAAAATGTATCTCCATTATTATCAATTTTTCTTGCATTATATGAATTAGAATTAAATTCTATAGAGATTAATTTAGACTCACTTAAAACCAAATCAAATGAAATTCAATTAAACTTGGGATTAAATGAAATAACAAATCTAGAAATTTTTGAAAAAATTTTGAAACAATTAAATTTTGAAATTTCTCCAGTTGCTGCTATACTTGGTGGTACACTTTCACAAGATGTTATTAATTATATAAGTAAAAAGGAAATTCCAATTAACAATTTATTAATATTGGATGGTGATAATTTTACAATGCCAATTTATGAGTTGTGATAAGAAGCTATGGTGTATGTGGTTAATATATGTTTTTGCAATTTGAGATCAATGTAGACTACAAACTTTTAAATCATTATATATATATTTAAACAAGTTTTTTATATTTTGAAAAAAACCATAAATCTTTTAAAAATCCAAGTAAATGGAAGTAACTATTATACATTAGGACCAATTTGGGTGCCTAGTTATTATTTGCAACTGCTAATTTTTGTAAATGATCCATAAAAGTTTGTAAATTAACATCATCAGTTAAAACAACACCACCTCCAGCACTTGCACCATCATTATAACTTGAAGATGGATTTAATCTTGAATATAAGAATCTTGCTTGAGATCCACCTTCTTCAGTATCAATAAATCTTGGTAATGGGAATCTATCAACTAATAATTCTGCAGCTTCTTTTTTAGGTTCATCTAATAATTCTTTAAATGAAGCATATTCTGGATCATCTTGATATCCAGCATTTCTCCATGCTGCAATTGTTTCACCATGATAAATTAATAAATGGAAAAAAGTATCTAATAATAAGACACGATCTGGTCTAATTGAAATAGAATCTAATAAGACAGGTTCTGGTTCACCTTCCATAGAGAATGAAGTTAAAGTTGGTTGAATCATAATTAAAGAATTCATTGTATCTTCTCTAGTCAAGACATGTCTATAAAATGCAGTTTCATCAGGTGAATTATTGAACACTTGTAAAAATTGTGATCTTCTTAAATAAAACATAAATTGTGGATATAATGAAAAAACTGGTGATAATCTAAATGAATTTGGATCATCTTTTAAATAATCACCAAATTTAGAACAAACTTTAATCAACATTCTATCAATCCATCTTAAAACATCTGCACTATCATCTTGTTCAGCTTTGAAAACTGCAATTCTTGACATTAATACTGCTGCTGCTTCTTGATCAAATGTTGTTGAAATATCAGATACACCAGGTGTTGCTAATGGATTTAATAAAGTAGTAACTCTGGTTCTATAAGTACCTGAAGCATGTTGATAATGTGTAACAAATTGTATATAAGCTTGTTTTGAATTAATTTGATTTGCTAATTCGAAAAAAACTGCATATGAATGATTTGGTGTTAATGAACTCATTGACCAACTATTTGTACCACCAATACCAATTTCTGTATCTGCAACATTTGGACCTGAAGCTTTTAAAGATGATGCATGACCAATTAATCCAGAAACTTTTAATTCTAATGAAGTTTTAACATCTAATTGACCTCTAAATCCCATTAATAAATAACCTTCTTCATCTTTAGCAAATAATCTTAAGAATGATTGTTTGAAAATAGAAGTTGTGAAAGCATCTGATAATAATAAGACACCACCAGTCTTATTTGATAATGATTGCATTTCACTAATACCAATTTGATCATAACAACCTGCAAAAATATCAATAGCATGACCATTAATTGAAGCTTTTTCAGCAAGGGAATCATAAAATTTAATAGCTTTTTTATAATGTTTTGCAGCATCTTTATCAACATCATTATGAGATCTAATTGGTTCTTTTAATTCATTACCAACAATTAAACCTGGGTTTAAAGTAGTTGGACCTGCAGAGAATAATAATAATCTTGAACCAAAACCTTTAAAAGTAGATTCTAATAAATTAATACCAATTGATAATGCAGCACCAGTTGATCTTAAAGCTCTTTTACCAGATCCAACTGGCCATGGATCTTTTTTCAAATTTTCCAAGATTGAAGTTAATTGAAATTCAACATTTTGTAAAACTGCAAAAAATCTTTTAAAATCTTTATTTAATAAATCAGAAACTTGTTCAAATGTATAATCTCTATTACCTCTAAACACAGTAGTTTTTGGGAATGGAGAATTTAAATCATGTAAATTAACTGTAGTACCAAATGTTATTAAAGTAACAAGAGCATTTGGAGGTAATAAACTTAAAGAAATTATTAAAGTTTCCTTTAAGGCTTCTAAATTATCTTCATCTTGACATAAATCAATAACAAACACGAAAACAGGAGGATGTTGTACTGGTCTTGATAAGATATATTCAATTGTAGTTGCATCAGGACTTAATTCTAATGGTAAATTTTCTGGTGTAATTGTTTGATAATGATTTGGTAGAGCATTTCTACCAGTACAAATAGGACAAATCCATAATCTTGATCTTGTATCCAATGAACAATAAGGATTCAAGATGGCTTTACATTGATTATTAGCACAAACAATTGGATCATAATTAGCAAGACTTAAATTTGTAGTTTGTTTTAATGGAGTATATAAAGCACCGATTGGGACGACTGTTCTGTTTGCTTCAGTTCTTGATCCTGGGAGTACGTTCCATGACAAACGTACCCCGTTGACGTCTTCATTTGCCTCGAAGTCCATTGTGATCTGTTTGAGCTGTGATTGATCTCTGATTGATCTGTTCGTACCTTTGTTTACTGATGTCAAATTGAAGTGTTGGCCTTTTTTGAATTTTGAAACTGTGATCGCGAATGGGATTTATTTACCCTGAGACAACAAAGACAGGAGACAAAGCTGATACTAAAGAGACAAAGAAGATACTAAAAGATAAAGGATATGAAGAGTATTGTAGTTGTAGTGATATTGTGTATATGTTACTGGTCTACATTATTATTCTTTTTTCAAAAATGTAAATCCATTGAAATCCACGAGAAAGAATACTAACAATACTTGTAATATCGTCCATATATCTAATCAAGTGCTTCAAATGGTAAATTGTATTGTGGTTATCTCATATATATATACTGTCTTCAGCAGAGTATTCTATAATTTGTTAATTAGTTTTAGTCAACAATGCTAGCTGGTGAAACACCATCCATACTAGTATAACATTATGAGTCCACTGACGAAAAGTATGTACAATTGAATGCTTGATGATCATTTGTGTTATAAGAGTTGTGCAATAAGATTGTTAATTTCAAAAGAGAAAGACCGTGTATCCACTTAGTTAAATTCAATCACTGGAGCTGTGTAGTTATATATTAATAAATATTGAACGACATGTTCTAATAAATTATATAATAATTTGCAGTTTAATAAAATTGAAATTGCAGCATCGACGAGAATTTAACGTATTAATTGTTACTTCAATATTATAATCACATCATAACTAGACGTATTAAATAAATATTAGTACTTCAGATTAACTATATATCCATATAATATATAACTACATCTATCCATCAATAATGAATCAATTGAAAAAGAATAAACTCATTAAATTCACACTATATAGAATAGTAACTTGGGATAGTCCATATATCTAGTATAATGATATAATGATGACCGTTGATTTATAATCATATTGTATAGATAAGTTATATATCCAATCATTAGATATGGATTTAACATATAAACATCTTATAAATGATTATATTGATTTAACACCAATGAAAAAGCCATTTATAAAATAATGGAATACTAAACTTCCTTGTCCACATTTCCTCTAATTACGTCCAGTCTATCAACTTATAACAATCCTGGCCAATCCATACTGTAAATTATGTGGAATCGGACATCGCAAAAGCGAACACTAGATCAACAACCAATTTCAATTACACTTCATTAATAATAAGAATTTGATGGACAAATATTAATTTGATTTTTTTTAAAAAAGCTTTTAGAATCGTCGCGAATTCTTTGATTATATAATCTACATAACCACTATACGTGCCTAATAGCGTGCAATATACAAATTATTTATCAATATACCTACAAATAACAATATCTCATGATCTTCGTAAAAGAAATAACCAATTGATACCCATTAACAATTTTATGTCCATATAATATCTGATTTTAATGTATATTCATGTACGTGTGTATAATATAACTTGAACAATATGATAATATATACTCGAGAGATTGATCTTATTATTAATGTGTGAAGCATATTGTGCAGCCGTAAATTTGAAAAAGGTTCCAAAGGATTCACGTTTTACAAGTACGCTATACCTTTAACAATATATATGATTCCACCACGATGATATATATATAGGTCATTTTGATTAACGATCGACCAATATAAAAAATATAAGGACAAACTATTAAAAACATACTGCAAGTCAAAGTAATATATGATCAATATTAACGTTGACATCCAAGCACTTGATATTCCACAGCTAGTCATGAAGTTTAATATAATTTGCCAGTTGCAGTCGATATTAAAACTTTAAATAATTAGTGTTTCAGATCACATATTATATCTATACATAATCAATATATAAATTCAATTATATCATTATATCAACATATTGACCAGCTAGACAAGCACATTGTAAATTATATAGTTAATAATTATTTACACTGATATCACACTACAGTTTGAACAATATCATATAAGCAAATATCAAAAAGGAAAAACTCAGTAAATTCACACTATAAAGAATACTAACTTGAAATAGTCCATATATCTAATATAATGATTTAATGATCAACTTGTATAGTCAATATATTGTATAGATATATCAATATATATATCCAATCATTAGATGGATTCAAATATAAACATCTTGCACGACAAATTTTGTAAGTAGTTACAATATTAAAATATTTTTGAATGAAAATATTGACTTTTTAAAGCACTCAAATTTGGAAGTTAGCCTTGGGTTAACATTACCAAATATTATTCAATTATATTATGAGCAAGATATCAATTTATTTTCTTTTTTCAACGGTCGTGTCGAACGACGTCAGTCGCAAACCACCAAATGCTCATGTGTATGCCGTAGGGAAGGAATTTTGATTGATCATCACAATTTATCACTATAAAAGGTGTAAAGTGTTGTTCAATTTACGCAATCCAGCCTTATTTTGAATTAAGATTTTGAAATTGTCGCGAAATAAATCTTTGAATTACATAATCTTAAAAATAAATATCCATATATTACATCACATAACTTATAATTTGTTTCCTTTAATGAAACACAATATCACTTCAATCCAACATACCTTGTTGTTCTAAACCAACATTCATTTTAACTTTTCTTCTATGATCAATAGCTTGATCTAATTTTTTATGAGTTAATTTATTTGTTCTTGAATCATTCCAATATTCTCCATCATCATCACCTCCAGATAATTCATCATTAAATTTATTTGCATAATCATTATTTGGTTTATCTCTAATAATTGAACCAATTCTTGAATTATTTGCCAATTGATTATGTAAACCTGAACCAAATACCCATTTTAATTGAATTAATCTAAAAAATGCAAACCATGATTTAATTGCTAATGATCTTGATTTACTTAATTTTAAATGACTTAAAACTAATTCATCTTGAATTTGATAATCATCTTGATCTGACTTTTTAGATGATAATTTTAATAATCTTGATTCTTTATTTGAATAAAAATTTATTGTTGTTTGAACATCTCTAAATACTGAACGACCTTCTTTTTTATCCTTTTTAGATAATTTTTTGGTATTAGATTTAATTAATTCTTCTAATCTTGTCTTAATTTCATATGTATTATCATATGGTGAATTATATTGTTCACTTTCATCATCATCATCATCATCAATTTTATCACCAATTGAATCATTATAATCAAAAATCTCATAACAAAGACCAAATAACATAGACATTGGTTTATTAATTTCTAAAATATCATAATCAGTTAATAAATTTGAACTTGATTGTAATAAATTTTCAATAATTTCATTTAAATTTGCATTTTCTGATAATAAAGTTAATAATGAACCTAATCCATAAATAATACTTGAAATAATTGGAATATTTGATTGTAAATCATTTGATGCAGTATTATTTGTAATACCTAATAAAGTTTCTAATAGAAAATCTAATGAACTTTCCACTCCATAACCACCAGAACCATCAAATATAACTAAAGTTAATGCAGTATAAGAATAAATTAAATATTGTCTTGTTGAAATTGATAAATTTAAATCAATAATTTTTTTTTCTAAATAATCCAAAATACTAAGAGATTTATCTTCACTATATAAGATTCCTGCATTATCAATATTTGTTATAATAAAAGCAGTTATAGCTCTTATAGCAAGGATTAATTCGTTTGATTTTGAAGATTGTAAAATTTTATAAAGATTAATTAAATCAGTTTCATAATCAACATCATCATATTCTTGATCTAAATTTGGTTTTTTAATAATTAAATAATACAATTGATTTAATAATAATTCACGATCTTGTGAAGAAACTTCATTTCTTGATTTTTGTAAAGTTTTAATAATTTCAGGTATCGAATTTAATTTAAATTTAATTGTAGAACCTTTAGCTTGGTCTGAGGTATTATTAGTAGTACCACCACTTGATGATTTTGCATCATCATCATCATTCAGCAATGTACTTAATCTTAAACTAATCAATTCATCCAAATTACCAAAATTAACATCACTTAATAACCCATCTAAATCATCATCAGCATTTGGACCTCTTGAAGCAGATCTTGAAGGTTGTTTTGACGTGATTTTATAATGACTTTGATTTTGTTTAAACATTGTAATTGCTAGCTTTGAGTGTACTTTTTGTTTTGTAATGCAATAGTATAAATGTTAAACAATAGGAATATGATTTCTTTATATACTAGCCTTACTTTGTGGATGACCAATAATTGCTATGAAAAACAAGTATGACTAAACCGAATAATTTTAATCAATTGATAGTACTCTTATTAGTTCAATTGAATTAACAAAATGAAGTAAATCCTAATTAATCAATATTTAAATGATACTAATATTTCTTAATTATTCTCTTAAATTTTACTCTTAAATAAATCTTTTCTAAAGAACTCAATTTTGATGGCAATTTAAAATAACAAAATTATAAATTTAATGGGGAGATTGTGCTGAAAAGGGTAATTTCCTATTTGGGTAATAAACAGATGATTAAATCAATATTGCGCGAATTGGTATTTTGACTTATTTTGCACGGTAATAAACTATCAAGAATTTAATGGAATATTGAATTATTGATTGATATATTTGATTATTGATTTGGTATATATATTAGGTCATAAGGTTACTGGGTTACAGAGTTATAGAATTACACAATGTCCAAAAATTTACTCTTCATATCGTTAATTTCAAGAGATGTATGTATAAATTAAATGTTTATGTAGATTTGAAGACTAATATTGATTGAATAGAATCGTCCATTACATATACAACCAATTGGTTCATTCAAGACACCAGAAACAATACTGAGTGAAAGAGTTGATGAACAAACACAAGAAGAACCAAACGAAGAATCAAACGAAGAACAAACCAATACAACAACAACACCCAATGAACCAATAAATAATGATGAATTATTAAAATATCATTTCCTTTCAAATATGGCTTTAGATATTTTCCTTTCACCATTTTATGAAAATGAACAAGGTATACCTTCATTATTATTCATTCAAGATGGTATAAATATTTATGGATATGAAACAAATACTGGTTTAAAAATTCTTGTTGGTACATCAATTAAAATAAATCAATCATTTGAATATTTATTCAAAAATTTACATAAATTATATTTACAAATAATTATAAATCCATTTCAAAATAATGATTTATCCAAAATTAAAATAAATTCAAATTCAATTACAATTACAATTAATCAAATTATAAAAAATTGGGATAAACTTTATCAATAATATAATATACATGTGTAGAATTTTCCTTTTTCGTAACATTCGTAGCAATAACAGTAGCATGACTTCTATTTCAAAACAACATTTGCATTTCTTAACTCTAAATATTGTTGATCAACACCAGATGCCATATTTTTAACAATTGAATAAATTTCACCATTATAATATCTAATCCCACTTGAAGGACTTTTATAATTCCCTTTCAAACCTGTAATATCACAATATTTCTTGGATGGTTTCAGAGAAGGTGGACTTTCAATTGTGAAATAATTTATTGAATTTGATTTTAATTTATCTTCATTTAATTTTAAATATTTTTGTTCATCAATAATTAATTGTTTTGTTGCTTTAACTCTTCTTGTTGGATGTTTATGATTTGGATTTTTAAAAGAGAAAGGTCCACTATTTGATTGTGCAACTTCATAAATATCAACTTCTGTCATTTTTATATAAGTTTTGTATTTAAACGTGTTGAAATTAGTCTTTAGTTGTCTTTAGTTAAAGAAACGATCAAATTAATATCTTTGAAGGCGCGCTTATATTAAAAAATTAAAATATTCGCGACTCATACGTGAAATCAAACATTCAATCAGTTTTGCAATTAACATCATGGGAAATTAGGAATTAGTAACTGTTATATAATGTGAAAGTACTACACAGGTGTGCATGCAAATCAATAAGAATCATATCATAGCTAGCTGTCTAAAATAAGCTCATTGAAAATAATTGTAAATAAGGCTGATTCAATGGCAATTAATATAGGCCATTTGATTAAGATATCAGAAATGAAAATAGTGTCATGTACAAACGCCATCCAGCTGTATATTCAAATGAATTTGATCTTCTTCCTGTCCTGCAGGTGTTGATGATATTGGCCTTAATTCTAATTCCTCTAAAATCTTACTCAGAAGTATCTCTAAACCCAATCCTAAACTTACCTCCATTAACTTTTGAAATCTGGGTTTTATCTTCAGATGTAATAGTTTTCAAATATATATTGATCTTGGGCATTCGAGCTTGTGGATATTTTAAGACTCAATAAAACGACGACTCGTTTTTATGTCAGTTGAAGCCTTTAGTATAGTTCAACTATCTATTTTCCTGCTGAATCTGAACTGGCAACAACTTGATGTTGGAGGTCCCAAAAAGTCTCTGAAGTGATTAATAAAATCTTCATATCTGAGTATAAATATATCATATCTTCAACCATTCTGATATAACAATGATCAGATCATCACATTTAATACAATAAGAACAACAAGAACAAAGAAATACAAGATCAATTAGATTATGTGGGGCGCTACTTACAATATCATTGATTCAAGATTCAAGATATTTTAATAAAGCTGCTGTAAGTAAACATTGTTTGATAATGGAAGAATTCATGGCTGATAATATCTTATTATTAATAATCACATACTTTTACCAATTGTACCCCATATCATCAAAGCCCATAACCCTTAATATTCCATACCATATTTGACTCATAAAAAACAACACACTTGATCCAATCGGAAAGTTAAAAGGCAGTGGAAAAACTAAAGAATTAACTACTAGTCTCTCGGAAGAACTTTCTAGACCCGACAGTCCCAAGTGTAATTCCAATGTCCGAGTGATGAGCGCTAAGTCTTTCCATAAGCAGTGATTAGTCCTGAAATCCTGGCAACGTTATATAATTAGTCCATAGCAGATTATCATCAGTCCCAAGTTTTTCGCAAACAATAGACCGTTGAATAAAGTATACGTTTAAGCTTTTCGAGTACAATAATGAAACCTTTTCCCCTTTTAAAACAAACATACAGAACAAATCCAAAGCTTTTAAACTAAAACAAACTAGTCTATCAATCTCCATTCTAGTCCCCTTCACTCCCTTCATTTCCGCCATTTCAAAGCCCTCCCAGAGCCGTGCTTTTTTGCGGCACAATAAAAAAGAAACAAATTTTTCATTGGAAAAAAAAAGTCTCAGTTTTTCCAAATCACAAACAACAGCGAATTAAAGCGAAAAAAAAAACTTATTAAACGTTGAAATTTATTGTGTCATTTGTAAACTAAACAATTTTAAACTTCTTTTATACTTTATATATAGATTTGTCAAGTTTTAACAACAACTGCTATTTATTTGTCTCTACTTTTCAACAAGATGACTGCTTCAGATCCTCAAATTCAACCTTATCAATCTGCTAGAAATGATTTTAGATCAGATACTTTCACTACTCCAACTCAATCAATGATTCAAGCTGCTTTAACTGCTTCAATTGGTGATTCTGTTTATAATGAAGATGTTGATACAATTGCCTTGGAAAATAAAGTTGCTAAATTAGCTGGTAAACCTGCTGGTCTTTATTGTGTTTCTGGTACTTTATCAAATCAAATTGCTATTAGAACTCATCTTTTCCAACCACCTTATTCAATCTTGTGTGATTATAGAGCTCATGTTTATACTCATGAAGCTGCTGGTTTAGCAATGTTATCAAATGCTATGGTCACCCCTGTTAGACCTGCAAATGGTGATTATTTAACTTTGGAAGATATTAAACAAAATATTGTTCCAGAAGATGGTGATATTCATGGTGCTCCAACAAAATTAATTTCTTTAGAAAATACTTTACATGGTATTATTACTCCATATCAAGAATTATTAAGAATTAAACAATTTTGTATTGAAAATAATTATAAATTACATTGTGATGGTGCAAGAATTTGGAATGCAAGTGTTGAAGCTCAAGTTCCTTTAGATCAATACGGTGAAATTTTTGATTCAATTTCAATTTGTTTATCAAAATCAATTGGTGCTCCAATGGGTTCAGTCTTGGTTGGTGAAAAACCTTTCATTAAAAAGGCAAACCATTTCAAGAAACAATGTGGTGGTGGTGTTAGACAAAGTGGTATGATGGCTAAAATGGCTTCTGTTGCTATTGATGAAACTTTACCATTATTAAAATCAAGTCATGATAAAGCTAAAAAATTAGGTGATTTCTGTATTGAACAAGGTATAATTTTGGAAAGTCCTGTTGATACTAATTTTGTTTTCATTGATTTAAAAGAAAATCATATTAAAGATGATGATTTAATTAAATATGGTAAAATTCATAATGTTCAATTAATGGGTGGTAGAATTGCATTCCATTATCAAATTGATGATGAAGCTTTAGAAAATGTCAAAAAAGCTGTTCATGATGCTCATCAAAATGCTAAAAAGAATCCTCATTTCCATGATGGTCCTTATAAGATGTATCGTTCACCAACTCCAGTCAAATATTAGATTTGGTATGGGAATATAATAATAATATTAAAATGGCATTAGAGGTACTATAATGAGTTATTTTTTATGAAAAAAGCAGTTTTTTTTCATCATTTTTTGGGAATTTTTATAGAATTATTTCATTACAACTGGGTTATAATTATTTATTAAAGATTATGGGGTGTTCAATAATATTGTTCTTGTTTATTTGTTTTTGATTTTTGCATACATATATTAAAAGAGATTGTGTTATGATATTTATTACAAATTGCATATATTAATTATTTTTTGGTGTTTAATTGCATTGCATCGTGATTTTGATATTGGTGATCATATATTATAGATTGTGATTATATGGAAAGTTAATTATATCAAATAAAACTTGATATAATACATATAGAGCTTATCATATTGAAATCAATATGATTATCCACCATAGATTTATGACTTTAATGATTATGAACATATATTGTTCACTCCCCGGTGGTATTTTTTTTCCCTTTTTTGACTTTTTTTGGGCTATGAATCAATATACGTAAAGATTCTTTTCAAATTTATTGTAGAATTAATGAGTTTATACTTTTTTACCAAATAGGCAATTTCCCAATTTGGTACTTTTCCCATTCTTTTTTTCGCGAATTCTCGAAATCAAAAATTAAAAATAATTCACATTGAATCAAAACAAAAACATTGGAAAAAACGCTGTTCAATTCTCATTTGAATTTGAATTTGAAGTGGTGATTTAAATTGCTTTAATATTTAATTTTAAACCCAGGTTTTAAACTGCTGCTTTATTGGGAATCAGTGATCACCTGCTCAAAATAGCTTACGTACCCAGATCACATTGTGCTGGTTTTTTTATTACCCCTGCGTGTTCAAATTAAGTTTTTTGCTCATTCCAGATCAATCATTTTTTTTTTAATATTAACTTGAAAAGAATTGAAGGTTTGAAGAAAGTTGCTGGATCAATTTTATTAATCATTTTAGAGTAAGCTCCTATTATCCTCATTACTGTTGCTGTTTATTTATTTCAATTTCATTTCGTTGATATTAGCTAGGGCTTGGTATTTTTTTTTTTGTCCATATATTCAAAGGCATTTGAAAAAAAAAAAAAAGAAGACGTTTAGTTCTTAGAATAAAACGTTTAGAAACAAATAGAAAAAAGAAGCTAATCAAGTTAATTGCATATTTAATCAAGTTTTTTTCTTGCTGAATCATAATATATAATATTATTGAAAATGGGTCCTTATTATAAACCATCACCTCAAAATGAATTTTTGAATAAACTAAGGTCTATAGCTCAAAACAAATATTCCATTTCAATAATTGGTATTGTCATAACTATAGTTCTTTTAACAAACTTTATAATACAAATTGTACTTGGTCAACTTTATATTCCAAATTTTTCAAGTGTTCCAAATACTGATTTTTTCGACTTGAGAAGTTTTGAAGGTTTACCAGATGGTTGGCAACATGAAGAACGCGTCTTATTTTGTGTTCCTTTAAGAGATGCTGCTGCTCATTTACCAATGTTTTTCGGCCATATGAAAAATTTATCTTATCCTCATAATTTAATTGATTTATCATTTTTAGTTAGTGATAGTACTGATGATACTATGGGTGTATTGAAAACTCATTTAAAAGAAATTCAAAATGATCCAATTAAATCAAATAGATTTGGTGAAATTGAAATTTTTGAAAAGGATTTTGGCCAAGCTATTGGTCAAGGTTTTAGTGATCGTCATGGATTTGAAGCTCAAGGTCCAAGAAGAAAATTAATGGCAAGAGCAAGAAATTGGTTATGGACAGTTAGTATAAAACCTTATCATTCTTGGGTTTATTGGAGAGATGCTGATGTTGAAACCGTTCCTAAAACTATTATTGAAGATTTAATGCATCATGGTAAAGATGTTATTGTTCCAAATGTTTGGAGACCTTTACCTGATTGGTTAGGTAATCAACAACCATATGATTTAAATTCATGGCAAGAAAGTGAAGGAGGTTTACAATTAGCTAAAACTCTTGGTGAAGATGCAGTTATTGTAGAAGGTTATGTTGAATATGCAACTTGGAGACCTCATTTAGCTTATTTAAGAGACCCATATGGTGATGAAGAAGTTGAAATGGATTTAGATGGTATTGGTGGTGTTTCAATTTTATCAAGAGCAAAAGTTTTCAGAAGTGGTGCAAATTTTCCAGCTTTTTCATTTGAAAAACATGCAGAAACTGAAGCTTTTGGTAAATTATGTAAAAGAATGGGTTATTCAGTTGTTGGTTTACCTCATTATGTTATATGGCATATTTATGAACCATCTTCTGATGATTTAAAACATATGGAATGGATGGCTAAAGAAGAAGCTAGACAGATAGAAGAAAGTAAATTAAAACAATTTTATGATAAAGTTTGGTCTGAAGGTTTTGAAGATGTTAGAGATGATTGGGAAAATGATCGTATTAATATCTTCAAAAATACAGATACTAATAAATTGAAAAATGTTAAAGTTGATTGGTCAGATTCTGATAATTTCCAATATAAACCACCTTTAGGTAAAGATAAAGATAAAGTATTAGCTGCTTTTGATCCTCAAGAAGGTAAATAAATTGAATCATAATCAATCTTTTAATTTTATATTGCAATTATCATTATCATCATTATTATTATTATTTCCGTACTGATAAAAGACAATACACTAGAACGTTAAGACCATGATTTCACAATTGATGTGAATTTCAATCCTTTATAGAAAATCCATTGTATTTTTATCCCCATGTATCTGCATTTAGTTACTAGTTTGATTTTATAAGTTATAATTCTTAGACTCTTGTTTTAGTTTTTAATATCTATATTGTAGTAAATTTATTTATTGATATATTTAAACTACTACCTAAGTTTATGTGTAATGCTACAACGCATTAGAATAACGATTTTATTATATTATCGTAGTATTAATGAATATTGTATGCAATTCTCTATATATATATAATGATGATGCCTCAAAAGTATGTACACAACTTTAACAAGACGTTTTAAATCATTTCTCAAATTCTTCAGCTTCAACTTGTTCATCGATGTCATCAATTTCTTTATTTAAACTTTCTTTATTTGAGTTTTTATTACCACCGAAAAACTTCTTAACCAGAAATTTACCACCTCCATTTGAATTAGAATTATTAGAATGTGATGAATTATCAGTCAAATTTGAAACATCAGATTCATGAATACTATTTGATCCTGAATTTGATTGTTTACGCATATTTGATGATGAACTTTTTCTATTTCTTGAAAACAGTTTCTTTGGTGTAGTATTATTTGAATTACTTGGAACATAGTCTTCAACATCTGAATCTTCAATAACTGGATTATCACTCTTAGTTGGTGATATGGTCTTAAATAATGTTGAGCTTTTTTGTGATGGTGTTTTTGATGAACTATTCTCATGTGATTGATTTTTATCACCACCAAAATTCAGAAATTTACTCTTTCTGAAAAATGATGGAGATGAACTAATATTTGATGAATTATCTGCAGTTGATTTGATTGATTTAATGGATGCAGTATTTGACGTTTTGTTTGTATTGGTTAATTGCATAGCTTCATCGCCATTAAAATGTGTACCATCAGAAATTGCACCAGATGAAATTGATGCATTATATTCATGATTGAAATCATTTGGAGCTGGTGCAGCTAAGAAATCAGTAGAAACATTTTGGGTATCATTATTGTTTGTATTAGCAACTCCTGATGGGAAAAATTTAGAAATTCCATGTTCTCTTTCAAAACTTGTATTATTTGAATGAGTTGAATTAACTGAAATATTTCTATTATGAGCATTACCACCTAATCCAGGACTTTTCCAAACAGAGTCTAATGTTCCTGGAATCTCATTTGAAAATGAAAATAATGGTGTTGTAGTATCATTTGAATGATCTTCACTTTTATTATTAGCCTTACCAAAAAATTTACTATGTTGTGATGATGATTTAGATCCTAAGAATCCAGAAGTCATTTCATGTTCATCATTATTTTTCTTACCAAAACCCAGAGCATTTGACAGTCTTCTTGGTGAAAACGGACTCAGTATATTATGATCTTTTGGTGTTTGTGGATCTTGATTCAAAGGTTGAATAGGTTGGAAAGTATTTGGTAAGAACTCATTAGTATTCCCTGATAAAACGGAACGAATATCATTATTGTTTGATGGTGATGTTTGAGTTGATAATAACTCAGCATTGAAGGAATGAGGTGGTGATGAAGGATTTTCTAATGAAAATCTAGGTTGTGTTTGAAGTCCGCCAAAATCACCTTGAAATATACCTCTTGTACTCACATTTGCTGACGAGTCATTCAGTGGAGCATTGAATGCATTTCCTAGCCCAAATGAATTAGATGGTGGTGGTATATGATTAGCACTATTGGCAGTTGAGTTGTTTTCAAATGGTGTTTGATTTTGAACATTGTTCACAAACTTCATAAAATCAGCATCTTCATCAATTAGGTATTTTGGCAGTAGATGATTGGCATTGGATTTGGCAACTGGGCTTTCAAGATCGTCATCTTCTTCTTCTTCACCTTTTGGATTGAGTGATGCATTTGGCATTGTTGTGTTGAAAGCAAATCCATCAGATGCATTATAGTTCCAGAATGATGATGAAGGAAAATTAGGATTTTGTTGTTGTTGTTGCTGTTGTTGTTGATTATGTTGATTGATGAATGAGTTAAGAGATGGTGAACTACCTGTTTGAATACCATTGTAGTTATAGTTTCCTGAGTTATTGATATTAGAGCCTGGAATAGTAAATGGAAACGTATGTTGTGCGGAAGAAATATTATGCTGTTGTTGTTGTAGCTGTTGTTGTTGCTGTTGTTGTTGTAATTGAATTTGTTGAATTTGTTGTTGAACAATACTTGATGGTTGAGAGTGAACACTTGGTGGTGTTGAGCTATGAGAACTTGTTGGATTAAGTGGATTTTTCAAAGCAGCATTTTCAGATTTAACTTGTTCATAAGCTTTTGAGACTTTAACACAATTATTAACTTCACGTTGTTGTTGAGCTCTCCATTCAGCTTCAAGTTTTGCATCAAGTTCAATTTCCTTTTGAAGTTTACTATGGACTTCAGGATCCAAGTTACTCAAAATCTCCAAACTCTTAACACCTTCAGCATCCATACAACCAACAGAATCTGTATGATCAGCCAAAGATTTGAAAATTTTGATAAATTGTGGTTTGAGTTGATCTTTTTGCTTCTTTCTTGAGTTGAAAATTTTGATATCTTCATCAATTTTAGCAATTTGTTCTTGTAAAGATTTGATTTTTTCTTTCTTCTTTAAGATATCACTGTCTAATTCACTATGTATAGATTCTTCAGATTCAAGTAGTTCACTTTTTTGTTTTTCAAACCCTTCGATTTTGATATTCCAATTTATGAGATCTTGATCCATTTTTTCAATTGATTTTTCTTTAGCAGCAAATGCATTTTCTTGTTTAGATTTCTTCAACTCTGTTAAACGTCTTGAATCATCCAACATTTTGATTTCACTCTTCATGGATTGTCTATTCCCATCTTCTAATTTTTTACGTTCTCTCAATTTATCTCGTTCTTCAATTAATATTGCCTCTTGTTCATGGAAATCATCAAGCGCTTGAGCTTGTTGATTCAAAATTGTATGTAGTTCTTCCTGTCCTGATTCCAAGTAATATCTAAGTTCTTCAATATCATCCAAAGATCTTGGATCTGGTAACAGACTAGTAGTTGATGCAGCATATGAGTTGTTGACAGTACCATTTGTGCCGCCGTTGTTATTATTGTTAGTTCCATTAACAGAAGACACCGTAGCAGAACGTGATCTTCCTGGAACTTTTGCCTCTCCATTTGGGTATAAAGCTGATGAAGTGGCAAGTTTTTGAACAGTGGTGACATCGGTACTATCAGTCAAGAGTCTAAACAAATTCTCTGGATTTTCCAACAGGATATTTGTACCATAATTTTGTAGTTTATCTGATTTTGTTTTAACATATATGGATTCACTCTTAGCCTTATAGCCTTTACTGTTGATGGATATCAAATCAATTTTGTAACGTGTATCAGATAATAAGTTTGACAGACAACAATATGATTCATTTCCATTAATTATTGAAACCTGTTTCCCATTTATATAAATCACAAAACTTGTCACTTTTGGTTCAGATACGGGTTGATCCCAATGTATATGAACTTTCTCATTGGTAATATTATCAACTGATATCTTGGATGATTTTGGAATCTCTATCTTTAATGTTTTAACCAAATCTTCAACTGGTACCTTTGCTAAGACGTATAGTCTATAGGCAAGCCAAAGGACTGCCAGAGAAAGTATCGTCAGAGTCCAGTACATATGCACCAATAGTAAGCAGCCGGGCAGATGAGACAGTAGAAGGAGGCAGAATCCAAAGTTGATGTAAACAGTTGTAATCTTTTGCAAACGAGTTGTTTTGATGGATTTCAATTGTTTTGTTTTGAATGGCACTTTCAAGCTTTTTTTCAACTTCATCGAAATCCACAAATTTTATGGCCAAAATACATTACATTTGAGGTCTCAAATTCGCATTTCCTGGGACTTTTGTAGATTTAGGTCCTTAATTTTTGGCAGATTCGGGCCTTAAAAAAATCCAAGACCCTTAAAAAAATATGCCCTGGCATTAAGTCAGGAACGAAACAAATTACAATTTACGAGTTGACGGGTACTGATGAGATGAGTCTGATAGGATTTTACCAGTAACGAATGTGAAGTGACTGATCTTAGAGATATGTATGGTTATACCGCAACACAAAATAGTTTTCAAAGACTAGAGAGATTCACTACTTTAGTCCGTGTCAAATCTCAAAACATGGCGAGTCAAGTCGGGACTCGGGACGTCTTCAAATCATAAAATCACTAGGGAAAAATATGGAGAAATAGTAAATGTTCACGATATATAATGATCAGCTACTTGAACTTGTATCAAAATATCAACTAATTTCGAGAATAAAACCATTTGAAAACCAAATATAATGCCATTAGCTAAGAAATATCAATCAGCTAGAAACGATTTCAGAAGTGATACATTCACAACACCATCTCCACAATTGTTAGAAAAAGCATTATCAGCTTCAATAGGGGATTCTGTTTTCGGTGAAGATAGTGATACGGTTGATTTGGAAGAACGAATTGCATCTTTGACTGGTAAAGAAGCTGGTTTGTACTGTGTTAGTGGGACTTTGTCTAATCAAATTGCTGTTAGAACCCATTTACATCAACCTCCTTACTCGATCTTATGTGATTATAGATCACATATCTATGTTCATGAAGCTGCTGGATTAGCTACATTATCAAATGCTATGGTTACACCTGTTAGACCTTCAAATGGTGATTACATGACTTTAGAAGATATTAAAAAACATATTATCCCTGAAGATGGTGATATTCATGGTGCTCCGACTCAATTGATCTCTTTAGAAAATACATTACATGGTATTGTTTATCCAATTGAAGAATTAAAAAGAATTTCTAAATTTTGCAAAGAAAATGATTATCCTTTACATTGTGATGGTGCTAGAATTTGGAATGCATCAGTTGCAAGTGGTGTTAGTCTAAAAGAATATGGTGAAATCTTTGATACTATTAGTTTATGCCTTTCAAAATCACTTGGTGCACCAATAGGATCTGTACTTGTTGGGCCAAAGAAATTCATCAAAAAAGCTAACCACTTCAAGAAGCAAAATGGAGGTGGTATTAGACAAAGTGGGTTATTAACAAGGATTGCTAGTGCTGCTATAGATGAAAACTTACCAAAATTACAAGAGTCACATAATAAAGCTAGAGATTTAGCTGATTTCTTGATTGAAAATGGTATCGAATTAGAATCTCCGGTTGATACAAACTTCGTTTTTATTGATTTGGAGACGTCACCAATAGACGACGAAATTCTTGAACAAATGGCTGAAAAATATGGATTGAAATTATGGAATGGTAGAATTACATTCCATTATCAAATTGATGATGAAAGTTTAAAAAATGTCAAGAAGGCAATTCTCGAAGCTTTTCAATTGAGTAAAAAAGTTTCATCAGGTGAAGCCAATCACAAATTTTATAAATACAATCCTGATGATAACTAATTGAAGGATATAAAAAGCAGAGTTTCCATGATAATATATAGAGCATAGAACTATATAATTGTTATGAAAAATGAAGAATCTTGTATAAAACACGCTGTTAATATCAAATTTTGACTCCTGACATCTCTTGATTATGTATTAAAGTACCAGATCCCAGATCATACCCTTGCCGAAGTCAAAACTTTCAAGTGCTAATTTGTTATCACCAGTAAATAATATTGTTTATCGGTATATTACCAGATTGGGGTGTGCTTCCGAATGATACCCCGTTTATCTAATATACTAGTTTCTGATATAAATACTCGACAATAGAATTGAATCTTTTGTGATATACGTGTACTCAATTAAATCTTCCAAAAGTATCAAGAGCTAGCTATACCCATTTTAGCCATGTCTTTAAGAAACAATTACCAAACAGCTCGTAATGATTTCCGAAGTGACACATTGACAACCCCTACAAAATCCATGATTGAAGCAGTGGCAACGGCTTCAATTGGAGATGCAGTTTACAATGAAGACGATGATACAATTGATTTAGAAGAAAAAGTCGCAAATATTGCTGGTAAAGAAGCAGGCTTGTTTTGTGTTTCAGGTACTTTATCAAACCAAATTGCCTTGAGAACGCATTTATACCAACCACCATATTCAATAATATGTGATTATAGAGCACATATTTATTGTAGTGAAGCAGCTGGGATTGCAATGTTGTCAAATGCAATGGTCTCCCCAGTCATCCCTTCAAATGGTGATTATTTAACTTTGGAAGATATCAAAAAGAGATTTATACCTGATGATGGAAGTGTTCTTGGTGCTCCTACAAAGCTTATCTCTTTAGAAAACACTTTACATGGTGTTGTTTATCCTCTGGAAGAGTTGAAAAGAATTTCCAAGTTTTGTAAAGAAGTGAATATTCCATTACATTGTGATGGGGCAAGATTATGGAACGCTAGTATTTCAACTGGTGTTAGTATTAAGGAATACGGTGAACTTTTTGATACAATTAGTTTATGCTTATCAAAATCACTTGGAGCTCCAATTGGTTCTGTACTTGTTGGCCCTAAAGAATTCATTCGAAAAGCTAATCATTTCAGAAAACAAAATGGTGGTGGTATTAGACAAAGTGGTATGTTATCCAGAATGGCTATTGTGGCAATTGATGAAAATTGGAGCAAGGTAAAAGAAGCTCATGGGTATGCCAAAGAATTTGGTGATTTTGTGTCATCTCATGGAATTGTGCTCGAATCACCTGTTGATACGAATTTTGTATTTGTTGATGTTGAAAAATCCGAGATTGATGAACAGGTACTATTAGAGACTTCTTTGAAATATAATTTGACTATTCGTCCTAGTGGTAGAATTGCATTTCATTATCAAAATGATCGGGAAAGTGTTGATGCTTTAAAAAAGGTTTTTGTGGAGGCTTTAGAGATCTCTAAAGCTCGTCCTGAATCTTCACAGGGTGACGAATACAAATATAGATCTGGATATTGAAAACTATAAACATTTACGGTACTTTAACTCTTTAATTTATCAATCAGTAAGTAGCGAAATGCCTGAATCTGGATCTAATTTAGGTACATTATATGCAGGATGTAAACTCGGTTCGAGGCACAAAATGTAAACACCAAAAATAAAAATCTCGAAGTTCCAAAATCACCAATTCCATCCAACGTGTCATCGACAGAACCAGTGAAAAAAGGATCTTTTACCCCCTCAATTAACTTCTAAAGTATCACTACCATAAGTTCAAATACATTTAATTATGTCCGCCCTAGAAACCAAAAAAGTTCTTGAAGAAAAATTATCCCCAGTTGTCAAACAAGCCATTGAATTTTCAAAGACATCCACAAAGGGAAGAAAATTCAGTCCATTATCACCACATTCAGCCTTCTCTTTGATTGATTCAACTGCTGAAACCAAACAAAAATGGTCTGATATTGGTCTTGAAGCCATCTCTAAAGGTGAAGTTGGTGTCATCTTAATGGCTGGTGGTCAAGGTACCAGATTAGGTTCTTCTAAACCAAAAGGTTGTTACAACATTGGTTTACCATCAAATAAATCATTATTCCAAATCCAAGCTGAAAAAATCATTAAAGTTCAAACATTAGCCAATGAAAAACACAACACAAATGCTAAAATTTATTGGTATATTATGACTTCTAAACCAACTAGAGCTGATACTGAACAATTCTTTGTTGATAATAAATACTTTGGTTTAGAATCATCACAAGTTACATTCTTCAATCAAGGTACATTACCATGTTTTGATAAAAATGGTGAACAAATTCTTTTAGAATCTACAGATGCAATTGCTCAATCACCAGATGGTAACGGTGGTCTTTATAAAGCTATTCACACTAATGGTTTATTAGAAGATTTCACAAATAAAGGTATCAAACATATTCATATGTACTGTGTTGATAATGTCTTGGTTCGTGTTGCTGATCCTGTCTTTATTGGGTTCTCCATCGATAAAAAATTCTTATTAAGTACTAAAGTTGTTAGAAAGAGAGATGCTTCAGAATCCGTTGGTTTGATTGTATTGGATGCTTCTAATAATAGACCATCTGTCATTGAATATAGTGAAATTGATCCAAAATTAGCTGAACAAAAAGATGAAGATGGTCTTTTACATTTCAGAGCTGCTAATATAGTTAACCATTATTATTCTGTTGAATTATTAAAAGAAAGAATTCCTAAATGGGTTGATAATCAAGAATTTTTACCATTCCATATTGCATACAAAAAAATTCCATCATTAAACAGTGAAGGAGTTTTTGAAAAACCAACTGAACCAAATGGTATCAAATTAGAACAATTTATCTTTGATGTCTTTAAAGATATCGAAAATGAAAGATTTGGTTCCTTAGAAGTTGAAAGATCTGAAGAATTCTCACCATTAAAGAATGGTTCAGGTGCTGCTAATGATACTCCAGAAACAAGTGTTGCTAACTACTTAGATTTAAGTACTAAATGGGTGAAGGCTCAAGGTGCTGAAGTTGATGGTAAAGTTGAAGTTAGTAGTTTGACTTCATATGCTGGTGAAGGTTTAGAATCCGTTAAGGGTAAAAAATTAGAAAACTTACAAATTGTTTAAACTCATAATTCTAGATTTATTAAAGATAGCTATATTTTTTGATTATATTAATATCCATATGTTATTAAAATGTCTTGTTTCTATGTAAATATATAAATATTGCGCTCATGACCTGCATGTACCTTCTAATTACCATAATTTGTTTTTTGTTATTAATTTCATTATTTCTTATTGAATGACATTTTCAACTCATCCATTAAATTAACACCTTGTTGTGTATCAATTTTTTCATTATTCAAGTTTACTTCATCATTGTCATCATCGTTCTTGTCATCATCATTTGTATCATCTGAACCTTGATTAGAATTACCATTAATCATTTTTGCAAAGTTCAATTCTAATTTTCTTTTGAATTCTTCACTGTCAACTTCTTCATCATCTTTATCATCTTCTTCATTGTTACCATTTGATGTAAAAATAACACTATCATCGTTTGATAACAAATTGTTGTCTTGAATGTAATGTTGATTAATTTGAGAAATTTGAGGTTGGATCTGGTTTGAGTCTTCATCTGAATTGAACGTATTATAGGTAGGCATTATATTTAAATAATTATCATCATATGAAACAGCCCTTTTAGAACCTTCATCTTCTTCTGTAACTGTAAGTAAAGGTAATGCAAATCCTGTGCTTAATCTCTTATAATGTTTATGTGGAGTAGTCTTTGGACGTTGTGATCTTTGTGGAGATTGTTGAATTTGTAAATTTGAATAATTTGAAGCATTTGGTAATGAAAATCGTTTTCTTTTTTCTATTGATAAAGATGAAGGTGTTGAAACAGATCTTTGTTTTGGAGCTTGAAATTGTCTAATCTCTCTTTGATATAACTGTTGTAATGAACTCAATGTCTGACCAGCTTCTTCTAACTGTTGTGGGGAATGATCTCTGCGTAGAACAATTAATTGTAGTTCAAATTCTTTAATCTTATTCATCAATTGATCAACGGATGGTGAGCTAGGTTCAATGAATTCAACTTTATTGTCTGAAATTGTACGAAATTGAGATAGTGATTCTACCAAACCAGATATTAGTTCTTGTAATGACTCCAAGCTTTGGGAGACTAAAACAGAGCTCTTCAAAATTGAACAAGTGAGTCTTGATTTTATTTGAAAAATTCCAAATACTTTCATTAAAAACGGTGAATGAGTAGAGAATTGATGATTCATTGCAAGAAACAAAACGATCAAAAATCTTCTAAGGTACTGAAATCTTCTAAATTTATTGACAAGTTGATCAATTGATGACTCACTCTCTGAAATATTGAAAGGCTTGAGATTCTCTGTCTCAAATCCAAGTTGTGTTAACTCGATGTTGTATAGCTCACAATAATTCTCTAATTCATACCCATTAACATATGGTAAAATCTTGTGAATTGAATTTATTACTGAAGTTGATGCCACTATTATAGTACTTGACACCAGGTCAAATAATTGGGAAGGGTCTTCACTTGAATGTTGTTGTTGAATTGGTAAAATATTATTATAAAGCTTTAATTCTTTATACTTTGTTATTAACTTTTGTTCTTGTAAGTCGAATTTTTGCTGTATTTTAATGAATCTCTTTAGTTGATTCAAAGTCTTGTGTTGTATAAGGTCTAATGACTGTGTATGTGATATTGTATGTGCATTTAAAATAATCAATGATATGATAATAACAAGCCGTATCTGTGAATTCTGGTAATTACCTTTATGTTTTTGAAGATGAGACAATACACCAAGAATATTAACGATATTGAAAGGACATAAAAATGATTGTATGTGGAAATTTTGATTCAACGATATGAGTAGTCCATTCTTGTAGAAAGTTTTATTATGTTTCAATAGTTTAGATGAACTTTGTTTCTTCATCTGTTGAAACTTTGATACTAGTATAGTCTGGTCCAATAACTGTGATGTAATTACAGTATATCTAAACTCATCCAAAAATTCAAGATTTTTCAAATGTTGTTCGTGATTTAGCTTCATCAGCTCATCAAATATATTTCTTAATGTTGATTTCCCTAAATTGTTATTTGCATTCTTCTTGGGACTAATACCCCAGTCATAGAACTTATCATCTATATGAGGTGTCATTCCATCAAAATCATTATCACGACTCATCTGATCATCTCCATGATTTGAATAGTTGGGGAACTCATTAATTAAAGTTGGTGAACTTATATCATGATCATTATGAGATATTTCTGTATTTGAACCATCAATTTCATCCAAATTCTCGATCCCCCAGTCCATTGCATCTCCATAAGTATCTGAATTTCTCCTTATTTTGGAATTTGCATCAGCATCATTTGAATCCCAAAAGGTTGATATTGAATTATACTGTTTTGATGTGTTTATTGTATGAGTTGAAGTGGAGCCTGTGGATAAGTACCGTTTCAAGGGCGCTATACCATCCCGTATGTATCCATCCATGTCTTCACTGGTTCATCAAAACCAACAGTTTTATGAGACTTTCACAAAATACGCTTTAAATTTCAGTACAACTCGGTTGTTTTTCTATTGTTTTGATTTTTGATTTTGATTTTGGCTTAACGGCTCTTTTTTTTTTTAATTTTACGGATCTTTGTTTACGTTTCGGTAAGGCGACGACACGCGCGAATTCTTAATATTCGATATAATTAATACTGATATTAATTTAAATTTTATACAAGATTTGAAATTTGAAAAGCAGATATAAAAACACAAGTACATGGAAATTTCAAAAGCAACATTAATTAGATGATCTCGTGGATATCACTATGGGGGAAATGAAAAACTATATTAAATGATACAGAGCTGGGAATCTCCGTTATGAAATGATTAAAAGTCAATGAATGCAGGGTCTAAATCGAATTATTGTCTCCATTATAGTAATCCAAAAGTCGAAAGCTTTTCACAAGCCGGTAGTCTTAAAGCTTCTGCTTGTGCCAATTTCTCTTCATCATGGAAAAACCAACCATAAGCATCATTAATTCTATCTTCTTTAAATGATTGTTCTCTATTACATTTTGTCTTTAATATTCCAACATAATAGGATTCAGCTTCTTTATCTAACTTCTTTGAAACTTTTTCGTTATCTTTCAACATCTTGGATTGTTTAGGGGTGACATAATATGGAACATTAAATCTATCAGATATTCTCTGTTGGGAGAATAAACCGGATTTCTCTAATTGAAATTGAATATTTGTGGAACTATCTGAAAAAAAATTTGAAATCAACGGTATTATAAGAACAGCAAATAATGGAAGTAATTGTTTTAAAGTACCAAATAAATCTTCAGGTGCTTGAGGACCAGCTTGTGTATTAGCTGTTTGTTGTTGATTAAAGCCTGGACCACCTGCTCTACGACGTTGTCTTGGGAATCCACCACCATTCATGAATGGAGAACCATTTGATGAAAATGTAAAAGTTTGAGCTGGACCACCACCAAATGAAAAAGTTGTTCCTTGAGCATTACCAAAAAGTATATCGAATAAATCATTATCAAATTGAAATCCTTGAGCGCCGGCTCCACCGAATGGACTTCCTCCATTGAAAACACCTCCTCCAAATGGACCACCAGGACCGAATGGAGATCCACCAGCTGAACTAAATCCACTAGTTGAAGCACCTGAAGGAAACCCTCCTCTTTGATCAGGGTCCGATCCCGTCTGGTCGTATATAGTTCTCTTCTGTGAATCACCTAGTACTTCAAAAGCTTTATTTACAATTTTGAAGCAATCAGCAGCCTTAGGATGTGAGTTTTTGTCTGGGTGCACTTTTAATGATATTTTTCTATAAGCTTTCTTGATTTCATTATCAGTGGCTGTTTTTTCAATTTCTAAAATTTTATAATATTCATGACCTTTATGTTTAAGAATTTTTTCCACAATGATCTCTTGATCCTTTGTATATTCACGAGACATGATACTTGTGACTTATGAACTTATTGATTTCTCAATTAAATGTTGATAAATAGTTGTCCAAAAAAAAAAACCTTGGTGATGCGTTGGTCTAATGTGGAGGCTTTTTTTCGGTTGCAACTTGTTGGGAATGTAATTATGTGGGTGCCAGAGGTTTATATGAGTTGAAGCTAGCCAGTAGTGTCTGTATTTGTATGTGTTTGTTGAAAGGGTAATATAGTAGCTGTTGTTTAGCCAAAGGTTTGTTGAAGATTTCCAGTAATAATATGGCTAATCTGATCCAACTGAGCTGTTCTCATATGATCGTCTTCTAAAGCCATTTTCACAAAAATGAAAGTGGAAAAAGGAAGGCGAAATTCGCGGGTATCCTCTTCGAACTCCTTCAGTCGCATTTCCAGCTTTTTTTAAATCTTTATTTAAATTTTTGAAAATTTGTTTGAAAAAAACCGAAAAAGTCAAAAAATCATCAGAATCGAAATTGAATTTGAACAATCCCCTTGTATAAAAATACCATAACATTTATCAACGAAATTCCGGATCGAAGCGCAAAACTTATTAAAATTCTTGAAAACCAAGCAACAGATCAATTTCAAGTTTCATACAACACATCAAAAACTGGTTTCAACTCCAAAACTAGTACAGTTTCCTCCACAACATTCACAAATTACGTACGAGGCTTGTCACCCGTCAAGTTTTTGCACTACAGTGGAATACATATAGATTCCAACGTTTATTTCCAAAGATTTCTCATCCAAAGTAGAAAAATAACAAAAACTTAAAGAAATTGGTGAAAAATTAATTAAATTCGTCATATCGTTACCGTTTGCTCATCTTCAATTTTCGATCTTTTATTCAGAATCCAATATAATGAGCACAAACAATTCATCAAGGTCGGATGATGATCCATCTCAAGGAAAGCAAAAAGTCGTCTCAGATGCTTTGGCAAAAAATTCAAGACAATTACTATATGCTCATTTATATAATTATTTGGTTGAAAACAACTTACACGATACCGCTAAAATATTGTTGAAAGAAGCTGATGTTCCATTATCAAATCCTGTCGATAAAGATGGGAATTCAAGAAACGAAGAATCAAGCTCGATGAATATAGGTGATGACGAAGCTTTACCAGGTGTTAAGATGCTGATGACTTCTCCAGATACGTTTTTGTTAGAGTGGTGGCAGTCACTCTGGGCTTTACATAGTTATGTCAAAGAAACACCGGCAATTCAACAACAACATCAACATCAACAAAAATTATCAACACCTAATCTAACTGGAGCTGCTGTTGGTGCTGCTGGTGCTGCTAGTGTCGCTTCTGGAATTTTGAATCCTTATTCGCAAGCTCAATTAGGTGGTGGTTTAAATCAATTTGTTCCAACAATACCTCCACCACATATAGCAAATCAACAAGCTTTAAACAAAGTAGGAAGTAATGGAGATGGAATTCCTTCAGGAATTGCACCAAACACAAATGTTGCAGGTCCAAATAATGCTAATATTAATCCACAAAATAGTGCTAACAATAATACTAATAATAATAATAATGTTTCTTCACCTGCAACAAATCCAAGACAGCAGTATGTTCCAACTCCTCAGCCAGTATTACAATCACCACTACCACAGTCAGCTCATGGAACTCCACATCCAAATCAAACCACTGTACCTTCTCCAGCTCCAAATTCTGGTATGATACCGATGCAACATCAAATGCATGCTCAGCAGCAGCAACAACAACAACAACAAACTAATCAACCTCCAAATTCAGTCAGTGGTCCTCAACAAGCACCTGGTAGTGCGGGTCCTCAAAATGATCACTTGACACCTCAATCACATCAACGTACACCAATTATACCGCCTCAACAAGGTCAACCTCAAAATCCACAACAATTTGTTCCACCAACAGCACAACCAAGACAACATTGGCAATTCCATAAAATGCAATCACAACTACAAGCTCAAGAATTGCAACAAAGAGTACAAATGCAAAAAATGCAGCTGTCTAATCAATTTAATTATCAAAATGCTAATCCTCATCAACAGCAACTAATGCAACAACAATTTAGAATGCAAGCAATGCAAGAAGCTCAGGCTCAGGCTCAAGCTCAAGTCCAATCTCAAGTACAAGCTCAACAACAAGCTCAAGTTCATGCTCAACAACAAGCTCAAGCTCAGGCTCAAGCTCAAGCGCAGGCACAGGCGCAAGCTCAGGCTCAAGCTCAAGCCCAAGCTCAGGCACAGGCACAGGCACATGCTCAAGCCCAAGCCCAAGCTCATGCCCAAGCTCATGCAAGAAATGTTGGTGGTCCAATGCCTAATTTTCCTCAACAAGGACAATTTCCATCTCAATTTCCACAACCGAGTCCTATACCATCTCAACAACAACAGCAGCAACCTGGTTCAAAAGTTGGTACTCCAACTTCTCAGCATCCACCTCAATTAGGTATGCAAAGACCGAATCAAGCAGGAAATCCAAATATAAAACAAACCCCAGTTACTAATATCAATGGTAGAATGCCAGGAAATGTTCCAGCTGGTCCAAACCCTGTTGGTGTACCAGGTGTAACACCTCAAGAAAATGCATTAAGGGGTGATAACTCTACTGCTTTACATGATTATCAAATGCAACTGATGATGCTTGAGAATCAAACAAAAACTGCACCTAATGGAGCTCCAGCAAATGCACCAGGAGCTCCAACCAATGGACAACAACCACAACCACAACCACCTGTATCTAATTCATCTGGTCCAAGATCAAGAGGTGAAAGTATAGGTATAGATCCTTTACAACCGGATCCTTTCACTAATCAACAATTTATGGATCTTTTTAATCCAAATTCTTTAGGACAAAATTTCAATGGAGCACAAGGTGGAGGTAGTGGAAGTCAAGGTAGAACTGATTCACAGGCAAATTTGGGTATTGATGATTTAAATGTTGATTTGGGTGTAGGATTCCCAAATGCTGGATTTATGAATGGATTTTAGACTATATAATATTTGAATTTTTTAATGTATGTATTATTTGTGTATTATTAAAATTATATCAATGTAGTTCTTACTAGTAAAGAAAGATCGATTTAAATCATTTATTTGAATTGAAAATTATATAAAAGTTAACTTCATCAAGAGAGTTAAACCACGACTTTTTGCATGTGTAAACTTAAACGTGAATATAGAATATTATAATTTATTTGCTAAATTAACATGAACAGCTTTTGCTTGAGTGAAAGTACTCATACCATATTCACCTAATTCACGACCATAACCACTCAATTTAACACCGCCGAATGGGATTTTAACATCAGAATCATTATTTGAATTGATCCAAACCATACCAGCTTCTAATTCTTGTGCAATAGTGTGAGCTTTTGTAATATCTTGAGTAAATAATGAAGCACCAAGACCATAGACTGAATCATTTGCTAATTCAATAGCTTCTTCAGTTGTAGAAAATTTACCAACTGAAACAACAGGACCAAAAATTTCTTCTTTAACAATTTTGTAATCTTGTTTAACATCTGCAAAAATTGTTGGTTGAACATAATAACCTTTTTCAAGACCTTTAATATTTGATTTATCACCACCCAAAATAACACGAGCACCTGATTCTTTACCAGATTTTAAATAACCCAAGATTTTTTCATATTGTGCTTTGGAAACTTGAGGACCAACAACAGCTTTTGAATCAAATGGATCACCTTGTGGATACTCTTCTTCAACATGTTTTTTCAAAGCTTCCAAGAATTTTTCATAAATTGGTTCTTGAACATAAACTCTTGAAGAACCTGTACAAATTTGACCCATATTATTGAAAATACCCCATGCAGTCCATTTAACAGCTTGATCAAAATCAGCATCTTCAAAAACTAATAACGGAGTTTTACCACCACATTCTAAAGTTAAAGCTTTTAAATTAATAGCTGCAGTTTTTTGAATTAATTGACCAGTTGCAGTTGAACCAGTGAATGCAATTTTGGAGACATCTAAATGTTCAACTAATGCATTACCAGCAACTTTACCAGTACCTGAAACAACATTGGCAACACCTGGTGGGAATCCAGCTTCAACGAATAAGTTGGCAAAATATAAAATTGATAATGGAGTTTGTTCAGCAGATTTGAAAATAGCAGTATTACCAGCTGCAATTGCAGTTAATTTCCAAGCAAACATACCTAATGGATAATTGAAAGGAATAATACAACCAACAACACCAATTGGTTCATGTACTGTATAAGCAAATTTTCCAGGACCAGCTGGAATAGTTTTACCAGTCATTTTATCAGCCCAACCTGCAACATATCTTAATAAATCAATAACTTCATCAATATCATAAATAGCATTAGTATCTCTTGGTTTACCAGAATCATGAGCTTCTAAAGATGCTAATATTTCACGTCTTTCATCAACTAAATCAGCTAATTTCCATAATAAATCTCTTTTTTCAGTACCATCTAATTTTTTCCATGATTTGAAAGCAGCTTTAGCAGCAGCGACTGCATCATCGATATCTTCTTTACCAGCAGCATGAACTTTAGCAATGACTTCATCGGTATGAGGATTTATTGATTCAATGAATTCACCAGATTTAGCTGGAACAAATTTGTTATTGATGAAAAGACCAGTTGGTTGGTCATAAGATTTCCCATCTGGTAAATTAATTTTAATTGATAAGTCAGACATTATGTGTGTTTGATAAATAGTTGATGTGTTGTATGAATTGTTAGAAAGTTGAATTGAGTTGATAACTAAGTATTTCAAGATCAATTGAGTTCCATTTAACTCTTTTATATAGCAATGATTGAAGTGGAATCAAGACTTTATCTTGAGATGACCGGCTGATAACTCCATATTAAAATGTTTGAATTCGTTTCGATCCCGCGCCCACCAAATCCCGTTATCAGAATATCAGAACTAAAAAAGATCTGATTGTAAGCATTTTGTAAATTTATGCTCAGTGTGTTAAAGTGGGACTGAATGGACTGGGTAGACTGTGAGTACTACTGAGATCATTCAGTATGACTGTTGTTAAATTACTCAGAAGTTGGAACTCATAAATCAAATTAATTAAGCTTTTGTAGACTCCTCTCTTGAAAAATCAATAAGCCAGGCACAGAACGTAGGCAGACAGTAGGAAGTACTCTAGGCAGAATTACCTTTTAATAGACCGTCCGATGTCCAGTGTCTAGAAGGAGCCCAGAGCGACCGGTGCACTGTGGTTATTTTGATAGTTGATTTTAGAGCGCATGTTGTACAAATTCGGTAATCGGTGCGCTTAACTATGTCTTATAGTGTTACATGCGAGCAGCTGTCACCCTTATCAAGTCCAAATACCACTAAAATGATGGATATTGAATACGTGAAAATTCTAGGTATAGTATGATACATCTTACAAGAAGCTAAATCAGTCATGAGTATGTATCAAATTATCATTATAATTCATTCCACAAAAAATTGATCAACTAGTGATAATAATGAACAAATTTATAAAAATTGACTTAAATATCAACCAAAATAAAATTAGTCTAATTTGTTAAAAAAAAAATAAACCACTAAAATCTGTAGTCTAATAATTGATTTCCTTGATGAACTTTCGTTTAAAGGTAGTTAAATTCAAAACCTGCAATGATAAAGATTAATAAAGTCAGCACCCAAATATCAAGGACCTAAACTTGGTTCAATTATTTGTATGACATTCAATTATCATTAATTTATATATGAAAAGTGCTTAGATAATGATTTGGAAAATTCTGTAATGTTTGATAACATTTTAATATATATGATTTTGAATGATTAATTAGCTTTTTGAAAATGAAATATATGGATATATGGAAATAGATTATAATTGGAATTCTGTAAACCTTGGTACAGCATTGAAAATATGAGCATTGAATTGATCGCTCTTTGAAATAATTGTGCTTTAATGAGCAGCATTGTATTGGCGGTGAAATGATCGCATGGTTTCCTTTGTGATTGACCAGCATTATTAGTTATATGGATGCATGGTTTCCATTGTGATTGACCAGCATTATTAGTTATATGGATGCATGGTTTCCTTGTGATTGACCAGCATTATTAGTTAAAATTGAAGATATTGCACATATGTGTGGAGTGCATATTGTCTTTTTTGTTCTTGTAAAGCTCAATTAAGAGTTCTTGGTTCGGTTAAATAAAAATCTTTTGGTGGAATCCGATATATATAGTTGTAAAGCATAAGCATAAATTAAATTCAAAAATCATTATAATAAAATTGATTATTTCTTTGGGATAAATCACTAGGTTCAAAAGTTGCCACGAAAAAACACACTAGTATAGTACAAAAGGTGATAACTTGATTATCAACAGACAAATCACTTAAGCAATTGGATATAATAATTAATAAGTTCAATGTAATTGAAATGATTGATAAAGGTAAAATTTGGAGAACTTCTGGGGACTTTGTAATTTATAATGCGTGATTTTGGTGAATGAAACAAGTTAAATCAAGAAAAGTATTGAATAAAAAAAAATAACCCATTTCAACCTTTAGAATAAAAGTTTTAAAAAAAATTGAAAATAAAGAGAAATGATTGGATTTGGAAACAAAGGAAACAATATTTTTTGTTGAATACAACGACAGTAGACACCAAAACCTGACGTACTCTTTATAATGGACCACCCTAAAAAAATCCAAGAGTAAAAACAACAAATGCATAATGAAGAAAGGAACCAAAAACCTTCATATGACATTCAAATATGTTTAAGTATAGCTCAAATCCTTCATTGACTTTATTTCAATCTTGAAATAATTCTTCACAAAAAAAAATTGATCTGGAAATGAATTTTTAATATACTATCTGATAAAGTAATTAATGAATAATTCAGAAACCATCAATAAACCATAAAAAATAATGATATAAATTTTAAAAGACAAACCGACGAAAACATAATGATGATATTTAAGCAAATTGAAAAAAAAATGAAGCACAGGAAAATACCAGCAAAACAATGATTTGAGAAACAAAAAATGTGATAATAATAATACCACATGATGACTGATATTAAATTAAAAAAAAAAGTAAACCATTCTTCAGCATTAAAAAAATAAAATTCTAATATTGGGAAAAAACTCAAATGATAAAAGAACCCTAAAATAAAAAAATCACTAAAGATGATAAATATTCTAGTATTGATAGCTCTATAACAATAAAAATACCATGATTCTAATGTATAATGGTATCATTTCAGGTAAATAATTGAAAAAAATCACATCTTTAATTCAACAATGTTTGGATCTGATAAACACTAAAACCCACATTAAAAATTTCAGTGTAATATCATAAAATCCAAAACTTGATGAGACTTTAAACAATTATTTTAAAAAACAAAATGATCATGATTAAATGTGAGATTAAAGAGTCACAGAACATGGGGGAAAGTATCAAAAACCCTCTCCTCTTTAATTACTTCACACTAATAAATAATCATTTGAAACTTTAGCATTAAACCTGAAAAACAAAACCATCGAATGTCTAGGGCCCAACGAAATACCCCAAGCATTCAGCATCAGATAATTAACATAAATAACATATCAAAACATTTGAATAAAAAGCATTGTTAAAATTGAAATTTATCCTCTAATATTCAACAAATGAAGCCCAACGAAAAACTTCACACCCTTCCAATTCAAAACCCCAAGATTAACAACTAACCAGATAAGGAACTTAAAACCCACAGCATAACAAGGAACTACCAACCAATCAGAACATATTCCATGTTATGACGAGTTGAAAGACCAAACCTGGCTACCTTTTTAACATAAATTTAAAGTTGTTGAAAAAAATTGTTCATTAAAAAAATTTAAATATCACACATGCCATAGATCTGGTGGCCTTAACATGAAATATCGTTATGTAATTTGTTATGTAATTACATTTATTAAAATGTTTAAACTCAAATAAAACAAGTAATTGAAAGGTGAGTAATTAGTTTTATTATATATTAAAGGGTATTTTGGCTATATTTATTGAATCATGTAGATAGTTTTAGCTAATTCGACAAAAAAGAAATTTGTAATTTTTGTAATTATACACCTGTGAAGTTAAATTAAAATTTATGAGATTGAGAAAAACATCAAATTTTTTTTCCATGATCTAAGCTTTAAATAATAATAAAATAATTATTTATAATGGAAAGAGTATTTCATCTATATTTGAGAAGAAAACTAGTATAAATGATGTAAATATTCAGCTTTTTGATACTTCGAAATCGAATCTCGGCGACAGGCGGCGCTATTCAAATTTATCGGGGATAACGATCTCATAATTATATATTGTGAAACCTACTTTTAGATAAGTTCATGTATACTACAGCTAATTAACTTTGATCGAAGCATTGTGAGTATACACTAGGATTACTAAACAGCCTTTAAAGATATAATAAAAGACGATGATGCCTAGATGTTACGTCGTTAAATTTGGTAGAATACATTTCATGTTAAATTATCATAAATTAGATAGCTAGCTAGCCAAGGATATATACTCATTATAAATAACTTATATCTCTCTATAATGCATTCAATAGTCATTAATTTAAGCTTCGAGGATATTGTCTTTTTTCGATTTTCTGGTGTGATATATCAATCATGAGCTTAGCATCAATCTGGCCTCAAGTTATACTAAATTTTAAAATTAAAGTAAAAAGACGTCAAAGATAATCAATGACGTCGTTATGTATTTGATATTTCTAGTCCAAGTATATGATTTTGGGAATGTTATGCTATTCGTGATCACATTCACTTATTACCTGAATATTGGAACTCAGGCCTGTTAAACTGAAGAAAGTTTACGTTAAAGTATTTTTATAAAGTATCAGAATCTGTTACCATACACTTGCTGCCTGTGTATGGTTATGAGAATCTAATTGATACTAGTGAATTAACTGAAATTTGGTAGATAATTTATTCAACTAGTGTAATTTCATTTTACGTATACCAGAGGTTGTGGTTTTCTGCCTTAGCGTATATCGAGTACGTACTTGGATCGTACCAAAAAGGAGGCCATGAAATTTCAAATCCTCAGGAGTCAGGACTCAAGATTTTCAAGTTTATAAGGTTTTGATTTGAAGGTTTTTGAAGTATCTTTATGCTTTATGTGAAAAACCCAATGCTGCTTAAAGACTCGAGTGATTTGTCATTTTAAAAGAGTAAATTCTACGTTAAGAAAGAGTAAATTCTACGTTAAGAACCCGATTTAACCTAGAATGTATATGCTGCTGAATTAAGCATGTTGAAATACCGAGACGGTGAACAAAATGCTAAAAGACAGGCTAGTAGTAGTATCTTCTAAGCTCTAATTGAATCGTGAATCGATATAATAGTAGACATGAATATCATGACCTAATTAATGCTTTTACCAAAATTTTCATCAATTAATTTCATATTAACCATACCATAACCATAGGTAATCATAGATAAGGGTCAAATTCTTGGCTGGGGCTCATTTTGAAAATACCATATCATGTATCATGTATTAAGGAAGTTCTTGAAATTCTATATACGTGATTTAACAACATAAAATTACTCGTTAAAAATGATTTAAAGGCTACATTCCACACCAAATTAAAATACTTGGTGGATGTGAAAGTCGAGTCCTCTAAATCTCATATTTGAATTAAAGAATTGTTCAAAAATCGAGTAGTGATCACTACGTTAATTTTACGAGTTGTGGGTTTACGAATGCTCACATATGCTATAACGCTATAACATTGGCTACTTCACAGATCACAAAATAAGACATCTTACTCTAACAAGCAATTACCCAAGTCACAAGTTTCAACTGGAGACCTGGATAATATGCGCTTCTGCCAATAATTATCACTGAATTATACAAGTTTTATCCATCTGAAATTATGATTTGCAACACTTCAACAATAAGGTACTACATGCACTAGCTGTGGGCTTCAATATGATCGATGTAGGGATGTAGGTACACACCTATGTATATTCTCGTAATGTTATAACCAGTTACTTATAATCGTTACATAAACCCTATTAATTTGCGAAAGTTCCACCTGGAGGTTCGAATTATGAGTACCACCAACCTTTATATATTTCTTCTTCTTGTATATCAAGTAGAATCTAGATATATATACTATATGTAAAATGAAACTTGCCACATCATATATTTACAACTACGCACAGGATCCAGATTTCAGATATCAACTAACATGAAACTTCAACAACTTTGATATTTTGGCGCCACGCAATAAGAAGCTATACTAGTTTCAAATTTCAATCCTCCATACTCTAGAGATTTGTACACTGATTTAAATTTAATTAGCGTAGTGACAATATCTTTGACTCTTGAGCTTTAATAACTTATAAGTTATAAGTTATGAGTTATATACGTCACATACTCTAGCCTCTACGATGTCTTGTTTTTAGTGGCCGTTAAACGCCAGTTTACCTGTCGATCCATGTTTCTGATTTGCAATATACGATGATAACTACTTTAGGTTAACTCTGTGGAAATTAGTTTAATTTAAGCTTAACATTATTATAAACTATCTCGAGCCTAGCTGTGCTGCTTCCACATTAATTAGGATTGTAGTCCCAAGACCGACAACCAGACGAGCCTAATACTAAACTCTGAAGAATCTCCGAAAACCGTCAAGAATATTCCATATGAAAGTATCTAGTATTTGAATATATATATAAGATAATATGGCACTTTGATACAATCTACAAAGGTTTAATTCATCGACGTACCAGTACCTTGAGATTAAATTTTGTATATTGGGCAAGAAAGACAGGCTAAATTGAACCAAAATTAATAAAGTTCATAATCATGAAAATTTATAACTCAGAATTCTCAAAGTTCAAGAGCTAATATGTAATACTATGAGACAAAAAATATACTTTAAAATAAATAAATTTGATATATGTGATTTATTAAATAATTTATATTGGATATGTGCTTTGTTAAATAATTTATGTACAGTTCAAAATCAAATTTCCTTATCCTTATTTTTAAAACGATATGTAGTTACTAGTTACCAATTTTTCATTCGTAAAACTAATCAGTTCTCTTATCGTTATCTTCTGGATTTTGTAATAAATTCTCTAACTCTATCACTTCATTAGCAATTCTTTGGTAAAATTTGTTTTGTTTCATACTGTCTTTAATTTTGAATTTCTTAATGTACCAGACCATAAATCTATATGAAACCCAAATTAATGCCAATGACATTAAAATGACAGCAGTATGTCTAACAGCATCTTTAGTGGAACCTGGTTCAATGGTTCTAATATAAATTAAAATGTTTGTAGCTAATAAGAAATCAAGAGCAGCAACGACAACGACAATTAGTGCTGCAACCACAAGCTTTGATGAAACACTTGATTTTTCTGGTTTATAATAGGCATATGGACGACCGAATAACTGTTCTTCTGGAGAGATGTTACTACTGGAGTTTTGTAAGTCAGCAGATCTAGATGCCATTATGATATTTTGTACTTTGTAACCGTTTGATATGGTTGATGTTCGAATATGTCAAAGATTGGAAATCATTTTGATGCTTTAAGCTTTTTTTATTTATCAATTCGATCAATTTTTTTAACACCCGATGGTGTCCGGATGATGCAGCACAATAGGCATCAATTTTAAAGCTACATTGTTGTAATTTGTAACTTGTTTATACTAGATCAGGGTTCAGGATTCAGAATTCATGGCAGAGATATTAGAACACGACGCTGGTGTTGAAGTAACGACTCACCATGAGAGTTCCAGTACAAACTATATTCCGTTTTTTATTTATTAGCAAAGTGGTCGAACTGGGTAAAATATCACACATGAGGAGCCTTGAGTTAATGATTTAATTATATAGATATAGTATAGAGATATAGTAAGTTGATCATGCACTTATGGGATGAATGTGTAACCATGGGTATTGTGAGCTCAACTATATATTGAATGATTATTATATCATGTCCATATCTTGTCCAAATATTAATAATGTATAATATATTTTAGAACTAATTTTTCGAGCACATGATGTGACATTATTATGGTTTAATGAATAACGTGTAGTAATGAATATTGATACTGGTTATTATACATATCCACAGTACTGGATATAATATTGAATCACAACTAATTACTCTGACATATCTTGTGAAGCTTGAAATTTAAAGCCCAAATGATGCCATGTACTGTTCAACTTTTAACGTCGACATCATGAAACAATGAAGGTGTGCTTTACACATATGCTTTAGCAATTCTATAAATGTGCAATAGTAAATTAAAAGGCTAATCGATGGCTCTTTAATAGCGTCAGGTAATTTAATTATACTACTCCATAAGATTGGTAAAATTAGTACTCAATTTTAAGTTAGGCAGAACTTTTGAATGGGTAGTTCTCTCTAGAAGGGAGCAGCCTGTTTAGGGGGCCGGCCCCTACATTAAATGCACTCATGAGCTGGGCTCTGGCCTCTGTCCCCTGGGCTCACCAAGTATCACCAAGGGGGCCGGGGCCAGCTTGTTCACCGCCAAAATACAAAGGGGAGGATAATTACGCCGAAAGTTTGAGTCTCTATCCGAAGTTCGAACTTGAGTCCAGGACCAAAAATTTTCGCAAAAAGATATGCAAAATTTTCACCGTCTGTTTTCCGTGGACTATTGGAAGCTCTGCTATGTACCAGAATGCGGAACACACATATTGCGCCCAAAAATTGGAAATTACGGGATCGAGATTCGAAACTTGGTGAACAAAAATACCTGCTTTTTTACGGGTTGGCGCTTTGAGTTGGATCAGATTATAAGAGTTCGGAAACAAGATGATTTAATTGATAATACTGAAAGACTTATGTGTTATATGAGGTGTTTTATCTCCGCCTTCTGTGATTTGGCACATATATTGTAATAACACTTGTGGCTTTGATATATTTTCAGCTGTCAAAGTTTCACGCGCTAAGTGGGTAAAGATTTAAGAAATTATAAGCTGATCAAAAGGAACAGAAATAAAGATCTGCGTAGTGCGCAATAGAATTCACTCATCTGTTTTGCTCGGGGGACTTCATGCGATTTGAGGTCTATCTAGATTTTACGTCCCTAAAACGAAGATCTTAGATTTAAAAGATTATATAAACATCGACACGAATTATCATATTACAATCATTATATTACCCTAAGAAATTGAAATTATCAGTGTTTAAGCATAGGTGACTCGATAGGAAAGCTTAATACTTCATCATTTGCCCTTGTACCATTGAAAAGTTCTATTAAAGCTTGGCTGGAACATCTCGAGCCCAAAGGATCTCCAACAATATAATTATACTTATCTGCTTAATTTAGATCATTAACATATTTTATATTGATATAGAGTTAAAGCTTAATTACCCTTAAAGCAACTCAAAATTATATAAAACAGACATATTAACTAGTTCCGCGAGAATAAATACGTCCAAGCTGAGGTTTGCAATTTAATTAGCATGTATTATAATTTGATTTTACAACCTCGACTTCTCTCAATTGAATATAGTACTCATGGATTTCAAGTATACCAGTGTAATTTAACGCGTATGAATATTTAATCACCACCCAATTTGTTGATGAACCAAGTAATCGGCTCATATATGATAGAAAGGATCGACTAAATATTAACAATTTCAAGCAAGTTATAGATCAAATTTCAAGATGAAAACTATGCTCCTACATGCGTATTCCTAATGCTAGACGTTGTGCAATTAATGAATCTAGCACTGGTCAATTTGTTGAGCTATAGTATATAGTACAATTCATCAACATATTTTGCAAGAGGAAAGTTTGAAATCATAATTAATTATAATTTTAAAGTGTCTAATCCCCAAACTCTCAATTATATATCAACTTCCAATATAATTTCATGACTTCAAGTGTCAAGACTAAACTAGATCAGTCAAGTAGCAAGCTGGAGCTTAGAAGTAGAACAGGAGAATCACCAGCCAGGATTCAGGACTCAGCGTTAAGCAGAATGGACCATCGAAGTAATAAAGTAGAAATTCATCCAATAGAGTTAATACAATATGTTACATAGTACATACTACACGGCGTTTATAATAGACGTTTACAGTTAAAGGCTAGAGCTGCCTGTACCTTAAATTTGTCATATCGTTTATTACTATATATTATAATTTAAACTGGTATCATAAAGCTGAGTACCAACTACAGAATCAAGATCTAATTTGAATCATAAATAGCATATAATTATGAGCAATTATTAATATATTGATTATATATTACTAGGATTTTTTTGAAATGGACTAATAAGTCATGAGCAATCTAGATTCTAGTTCTACTTCTCAAGACTTACATTATACATATGACAACTTACAAGGTTGATTCCAGAAGTTTGATACACCGTTGATCAAGTTTTCGGCTCGGGATTTTTGGTAGCTGAGGGTTATAATTATAGCCTATATAGGCTTTTCGAACCTTTAGGAACCATATCATATAATATGTATTCCTCTATGAATCTAAGTTAGTTTCAAGAATGTACCGGCTGGCCTCACTATTTATTAGCATACTCTTTATTCAAAATATACAGAAGCTGGTTTTAACTTACAAGTTAACGCTGGGTTCCAATAAATATCAAACAGCTAGTACGACGTACCGATGTTGAAGTGTAGCCTGTAGGTCCGTAGCACGTACTACGTCGTAGATCTTCGTTAAAATAGTAAATATTTTTTGCAGATCATTATTTTAGAACCTGCAGGTCTCGGATTTAATGAACCAGAAAACCTCGCTGAACATCGACAGCAACGCTGTAACTGTAATATACGTTGATCCAATTTGTAAAGCAGACTGTATAAGTTTGGACAGCTCTGTAGATTGAACGTATGAGAAATTGGAGAATTACTATACAATATAATAATATTGATGAAGACTTTAGATCGATTGGTTTCATCTCAAGCTATAATCGTACCTTGGCAGTAATTACTAGACGTAGAGGGCCGAATGTATATAATTATTGATCATGATTATTTTAAAAATATTATAAGGCGCTGTTTCAATTTTCGAACCAACAGCTAGAGCTGGAAATTATATATATATATAAGGAGTCGCTCAAATTATTCGTCGTACGCCTACATGTATATTTCTATTAACTAGAGCATTTACATAACGTACAAAAATCGAGATCTGAACTCTTAAAATTACTTGATATCGTTACACTAAAGTTCGAATGAAAATAATCTAAATTGTAACAGCTCTATATAATTAACAGCATGCAATATGACTAGCCCAGCACATAGACCGGAGATTTTGATTACTGAAGCTGCTGTAATATATATCAGGGACGTCATGAATTATAAATTAATCTTAATTATATATTATTAAGCTAATATAGATCAATATAATGAGCCACGAGCCATCGCCAATTTGTATAGGGTCGCACCCGCAGTCGATTTTTTCTTTCACTTTTTTGACAGTAATTGTATTAATGATGGTAAAATTCAGATCTTTAGGCTCGACCCTTTCTATGATATAAGCTTTGAACTTTTTATAAAGAACAGAGATTGAATGGAATTAGCATTGAATATCATTATATGAAGCTCGAAATTAATTTGGTAACTGGTTATACGGTAATTACTAATTGGAAATTGGCTATAAGAGTGGCCATAATAGTTTCGTATCTCACCTGTCTGCGTAAAATTCTTTTTTTGAATTAGCTTGTATAGGCTGATTTAGGCAGTAGCCGGCGCTGGGTGCTGGCCCCTGGGTAAATTTTAGGAGTGCTTTGGACTAATTTGGACTCTAGGAGTCTAGACAGTGAAGTACACTGAAGACTGGGTACAACAATACATTTGTGCTGCTAATAAAAAGATGTCTATATTTTATATATGGCACATCCTCTATTGAGCTACGTGAGTATTGATATACAGCTTGTATGTTATACTTATCAATCTATGTATACCGTAGACTCAGCTGGAGGGTACTTCAACAGAAATTGAAATCAAGATTCATGAAGTCAGAACTTAGAAGCAGTAAGCTGTGAACAGCGCGTACCAAAAAATCGTAAATTAAAAGGGGTAAGTACTAAGCAGTGCACGTAAAGCTTATTATTAATTATATGTGAGTCGCGACCAGTATTTGCGTAAAAGACGCAAGTGGCTTTACACTTCTTGCACTATTTATACCTACGTTATATTCCAATTTTCGAGAACCGTATGTGAATTTAAGATCAGCATTAATGTTGAATCATGATTCATGACGAATCCTGTTGCAGTCACTATTTGTATAGATTTTTGAGTCTTGAATTTTCATTAATTATATTTATAATCAGCTGTGTTGAGTGTTGAAAGTTCACTGTTGAGAGTTCACTGTTCAGTACTTTAGGTGTTAGGTTTTGAAGTTTACATGGTAGCCTGTAGGCCTCAAGAGTCAAGAGTCAAGACTCTTAGTTAATCATATCCACGAGTGCTCAGTGAACTTGTGAATAATGGGGCGGAATTATTACCACCAGTACCTTTATATATATATATATATATATATCTATGAGAGATAATACTGCACCAGCTAAATATATATTTAATCAAGATTCGAATCTCTTAAAAGCTCTCAATTCGCTTCCTACTTAACTTTCAAATGCTTTAGCTAGCTTTCCTATGTTCAAATTATTGATTTCCCACATGTAATATATTGGCCAGTTTAAAACCAATGTTAGCTATTTAAAGCGCACATGATATATATATAAGGAGGAGACGAACTATCAAATAATATAATAATGTGATTAATTCGGATTAAAGTGGACCCTGGCACCCTGGCACCTGGCTCACATACTCATTCAGCTACTCTTTTAAATAAGGTCCATTAATTAAACTTTAAAGTCATATGTAGAGATGTATATACTGTTCATTTAAGGGAATAAGCCTATTGCAACCACTAGTACCCAAATTCTAATATAGTAATATTATAGTCAAATCACAGTACTTTGTGTGATGAATCATGATTTATAGTACTGGAAAGTTGAAACTGGAAAGTGTATATCAAGTAACTGAAAATGGTGGAGTTAGCTACTTTAAGGAATATTGGAATATTGGTTGTAAAAGTGAAATTTTAAGTACCTGATTATTCCAGTTGAATTTATAAGGTGAGGCTGAAACAAACCTATTTATTGTTTTAGCCGAAAGTTAGTAGTACTTGTGAAAAATATATATGGTCAGCTTGGTCTGGGATTAAAGCCTGGGAGTATTAATGATCATTGATTACCCATTGCAATTTTTTTTCGAAAGCTGAAAACATATAAATAACTATTTTTTACATTACGGTATTTTGAGGGCCCTTCGGTGGCATTTCAACTTGTTCATTATAGCTTGAGTGTACTTCTTTAAGAGATCCTGCTTAGCTAGTGCTCACCAGCTGAGAGCTAGCGTATACTGAAATCTTCTAGTCAACACTAGAGTCTCAAACTCTGCAAATTTGCGAAAAAAGCACATGCGTTAAACGTTAGACTCTTCCTAGGACCTGATTTTAGAGCGATTCTGCATATATCTGCGGAATTACTTTACGATTTTCAGGAACCTCTACACAAAAGCAAAAAATGGCCGTAAAGAAGAAAAGAAGAGCTTTACATGAACAAATTGACAACTATGAATATGTACAATCAACGTAAAAAGAAAGAAATATTTTGGTAAACTGACCTCTAAAGCATTTACCAACAATTACTATTAATAATATACTTTTAGAGTTTATTGCATCATGCCAAAGAATGTTTGGAATTGCATAACAGCTAGCTCTCAAAAGAAGGTCTCAGACCCATATAATTGCAACCTATTTATCATCGTAAAATTTTCGAGTACTAAACCTTTTAAGGAATCAATTATCCACAAAATAATTGAAATTTTGATGGTCGATACAAAAATTAATTTGAGAATCAAACTTTTCAAGCCCGTTCCTATACGTTATATTCATTGATACTACCCCTATTACTGAAAGATCAAGTCTTAAAGGAAGTCTCGTGCTAATTTGATCCATAGTAGTTCAAGGTTTGCAATACAATTGAAAAAAGAACCTCAAATCTGATTGTTCAAAACGTCGAAAGCTCTTCAAAAGCAGATCTAACTATACATCAATACAAAATCTTGTTTATTCCATCTTTAGGTAAATAATATCTTTTGATAAAAGAATACATCTTTGTGGTTATTAGTATTTTTTTTAAAGCAATCATCCGGAAGGAAAGAAGTTGTGAATCACAGAAAGCTCATTGAGGTCCTTTAGTGAAGTAAACTATCAATCAAATAAAAGATCAGATTTAATTCAGATAAGTTTCACAACATTTCAACACTCATTATCACTTTATCATAAATATATACTATTCAAATGGATAATTGGTCCAGAAATTCAAGTGGGCTTCCTACCCCGAACCAACAACAACAACAACAACAACAACAACAACAACAGAATCAACAAGGACAACATAATCAACCCCAAGTACCATCACAATTGCAAAGAGATCATTGGAGCCAACCACCACCAATCCAACAACTTCCTCAAATACCCACACAAAACATTCCTCAAACGCAACTCGTCTCAGTACCGGTAGTGAATCCACAGAACCCACAATTGCCTCCACAATATCAAACAGTCCCTGCTCAAATATGGAATGGTCAAATAACAATTTTGCCACAAGGATCACCAACAGCAAATGTTCTACCAGGTCAATATCCTGCGTATGGCCAGGTTCAGTATGTCTATCCACCAGGTTATGATCCAAATAACCACTCTCCTCAATATTATCAACAGCATGTATCGCCTCCACTTCCACAACAACAGCAACCAATTCCACCACCATCAACTCATCTTGACCCAAATGGATTAGCAACTCCCTCTACAAGATCTTATGCAACCGCTTTCCAAGGCGAAACTGGCTCAAATCAAATTACTGGCACAAAATACACTGATGCTTTGAATTCAGCACTAAAGAACCCAATCCCCCCATACGCTATTGCAACTACAAATAGTACAAATGGTAAGAGATCTAAAACACCAACAACAATCACAGAAACCAATCAAAGTTTGTCACCTCAAAATGAAGCCAACCCAAATGCTGCCAAAAAAGGGTTTAGAAATTCAAGAAGAAGACATAGAAATTCACATTTAGGTTGTGCAACTTGTAAGAGTCGTCGTATTAAGTGTGACGAACAGTTACCACAGTGCAGAAATTGTACGAGAGCTAGATTATCCTGTGCTTACTTGGCCTTAGATGATGCAGCTAGAGATGCTTTGAAGACTGCCCAAAATGCTCATCAGGCAAGATTGCAAAGTTTGAATGTTCAAAATGCAAACGAAGGCCAAAATGCTAATAGAACTCCACAAGATACTCAATTCCAAGACAATACACATTATCCATATCCAAATCAACCTTATGCTGCTCCTGGGTTGCCTTCAAGGATTTTCGTCAATCAACCACAATGGAATACAAGACCAGCTGGTGCAGAAATTCCTATCCAAGTCAACTTACAACATCCAGTACTTCCTCCATTAGAAGTACCTATTCAATCAACACCACCTACAACTAGCGTCGAGTCAGCCCGCGTTACACAGAATAATAGTCCAAATGAAGGTATAAAAAGACCAAAATCTGAAAGCTCAGATGTTTCAAGTAATGCAAGTTCAACAGATTCACTAAAATCTCCAAGTTTGACAATTCCAGCCTCAAGATTTTCTATACAATCCGACAGTTTTAACAGTTTGGTCACTTTAATCAAAAACCATGAAGATATTGATCCTAAAGTATCAGATAAAAATGTTCAATTTCCAGATCAATTCACAGAAATTATATTGGATCCAGAATGCACCAAATTCTTGAATATGTCATGGGAAAAGATAGATTGGTCATTGATAAAGAGTTTTAGATCAGGATTTGAGCCTGAATGGTTATATAAAGAGTATGACCGTTATCATAAAAAAGTTATGGAAGAAAGTTGTAACAACGTTGTTTTATTCAAATCTCTATTATCAACAGGCTCTGTTTTATTAGCTGAGTATACTAAAAGTGAAGAAGTCAGAAATTTGGCTACAAAACAACTGAACAAAGATTTTGAGATAGTTTTGAGATTTTTAGACAAATTTAAAATTCATATGAGTAAAGAAATTACAAATACTAGTGTATTTTATGACAACGTTAACATTGCATTTTCCAAATTTCAAATTTTTCAAACTGCTATTCCAACAACCTACTTCGGCTCACACAATATGAATGATAATGTTGAATCTACCAGTCGTTTTTTTAATTTTATCATCCAATATATCAAAAATGAATTTTTAGCAACAAAAGATGAAGAAAACATAGCCAAATTTAAGGATGATGAACTCTTTCAGAAAGCCACTATATTGAATGATTACATGGGTGTTTTTATTATTTATTATGTCCAATGTATCAAAGCATATCACACTGCTGAATATAACACAGATTTCTTCAAAGAGTTATCAGACAAAATCAAGTTGATTAAATCAGAGATTTATGAAAACTTGGATGATGAACACAAAAGTCATTATGATAATTTGGTTGGATTTACTACAAAATTGAATGAATATTTTGATGACGTTAAAGCTAAGAAACCAACCAACCATTTGCACGTTTTATTTTACACTATGAAGAAGTGGTACTCAATTTTACCTGAACAACTATATGTGAATCGCACTTATACTCATGAAGTTTACATCCTTTATTCTTATTTCCATGCTGCAATTTCAGCTTTACTGGCGATTTTTCCAGAAACAAGATTTTATTATATGTATTCATTCAATGGGAGAGATGGTACTAGAACTGCTAATCCAGTTATTGATTATTACAATGATACTGATGTTTCAGAAGACAAAAAAGTTTCAATGAAATATCCTATTAAAATGATTGAGTATTTTAAGAAGAGAACATTATCTCTTTCACAGTACTTGAGTGATATATCCAATTTACCTGCAAAAATCTTATTGGATGAATCAAATAAACAAATACTGAGAAAATTGATTAGTGAGAAACAATTGACCTCATTCGAAGGAGAGATTTCTGAAGATGCATTCCCAAAAATTGATACTACTTCAACATTTTACAATAAAGAATCAAATTCCATTATGATCCCTTCAGTTTCTAGTGGTCATGGTTTTGACAATTTTGAAAAAGCCCAAGCCAAGAGAGAACAATTATTGAAACACGCTATTGATGAAGGGTTGACTGAAATCGACAAGAAATTGATAGATAGATTTTTTGAATCAAAAGAGTCGTCAGAAGAAGCAAAATAAATTATTTTTGGACATAATTTCAATTGGGCATAGCTCAAAAGTAATTTAAATAGATTATATAGATACGACAATTAACGGGGTATGACAAAAAAATGTATTATTAATAAAAGAATCATAGACTATAATCTATTATATTGTATCGATTATTAACAACGCTCGAAAACTCTGTAAAGACCTGGAAGATTAGCTATTTCAACAACATCCTTAGTTAATTTCTTGGTAGCTAAAAGCTTCTTTTTAATCACAGGCATCAAAACATTTTCTAAAGCATCATTGAGCTCTTGGTGTTTTTGTATGAGTTCAGGTTTTTCAGGATCATCATCTGATAAAGTTTCATTAGTTTCAAAGGCCTCAGGTATATAAAATAAAGCCAATTGTCTTAAAATACCATCAAGACATGCCTTTTCATCTTCCCAATCAACTTTGGCACCCAATTTATATAGAAATAAAGGTAACTTATCTATTGAAGGCGTATAGTTTTTCAGTAAATATGGGATTGATTTAATTTTTGGATCTGATGTGTCACAATCTGTTATTTCTATTGAAAAGTATTCTAAAAGCATATCAGACATATTAATTAAAAGGTCTATAATTTCATCAATATTTCTCGATCCTTCTTTAAAATTTTCATGAAATGTTATCATGGAAAGTAAATCTCTAATTGATAATTCTTGTTCAAAAACAATTGTACCAAAATTGCTGAAATCAGAAAGACCAATCTGATAAAATAATTCGTTTAAAACTGAAGCATAATCTAAAAGCATCAATTTCACATCAAATTGAATAGCACATAAACGACGTTTTGAATCAACAATACCGATATACAATAGATTTGCAAAAACTTCAGTCAAGACCTTATTAACTGATTTTTCAACTGATTCTCGTAGCTCTAAAATACTTTGAAGATTGACATCAACTCGATCCTTGGGTATAAACTTTAAATTTGAAGCAGGTTTGAGAGTTTGTTGAGAAGTCCTTATCTGAGTTGAGGTAACTTGTGGTTGGAAAGTTGTTAGGTCAGTTGACTCATTGACAGTGCTATCATCCTTTTCATCTAATTCTGTATTGTGGGAGTCATTTAAAGATAACTGTGATTGAGATTGTTGTTGTGATTGAGAAAGATAATTTGTGATTTTTGATTGATTAGCATCAGTTCTAACTAATTTATAATCTAATCTTTTGACTTTTTGTTGAGGGGTGGCATTTTTTGGTGGTGTGAATTCTTCATCATCTTCAACTTCTGTTCTTTGTCTTTTTGTCGGTAAGAATGATTGTGCAGGGAAACTTCTTGAAGAATCAATTTTGGAAAATTGTTCTTGAACTGAAATACAAATTCTATCAATAATTTCATCTTCATACAAAAATCTAACCTCTCTTTTAGTTGGATGGACATTCACATCGACATTTTCTGGTGATATTATAAGACTTAAATAAATGAAAGATTTGTGCCCTTTTGGTAAGAAATGATTGACTGTAGAGGTCAAAGCTCTTTTTAAGGGATCATTGGACACAAGACGATTGTTAATAAAGAAAACTGGTTGTATTGATTTTTTATTATTGAAATTAGGGTTTGTAAATTGACCTGCAACTTTCAAGACCCCATATTCTTCGATCGGATCCATCTCAATAGGAATCAATTCATTTGCGATTGGAGATCCAAAAACAGTTCTTATTCTTTCCTTAATTGACACGTTTGGTCTTGTGGTTAATGAATAATGTGCATCCCCAAATCTTTTACATGCAAACCCAACACCATCTGTATGAACTGCGTATCTACCAATAACATCTAGGATCTTACCAAATTCATCACTTGAAGATTTGAGAGCTCTTAATCTTGAAGGAACATTATAAAAAAGGTCTTCGACTGTAATCTGTGTCCCCTTTCTACCAGCAACTGGCTTTGGATCTTTAGTGTCATTTGGTTTTGATGGTGTTAATTCACCATTTGAATATACAGCTTTCCAAGCACACGCACTTGATTCTGTTTTTGTGGTAACTGATAAATGTGCAATATGAGATATACTAGCCAAAGCTTCACCCCTGAACCCATATGTCGCAATGGAGCTTAAATCTTCAAAAGTTGACAATTTAGATGTTGTAAACCGTTCACAAAGTATGGGAAGATCTTCTTTATCTATACCAGAACCATTATCAGTAATCTGTAGAAGCTTCATACCCCCTTCTTTCACAAGAACTTCAATGGAACTTGACTTTGCATCGATAGAGTTTTCCATCATTTCTTTGAGAGCATTGGCGGGAGCTATGATGATTTCACCAGCGGCGATTTTGTTAACGACTGACACATCGAGTGGCTAATAACATGTTAGTAGCTGGCCAGTATAATTGTCCAGAGATAAACAGAGCAGAACATACCTTGATTCTTGCTGGAGTTGACATATTGGAATTAGAGGCAAAACGAAAGCAAAATCTTCACACAAGCAAGATTTATTGTTGTATAATGTATTCCTACATTCAAAACTTTTCTTCATACACAGTGTAAACAGATCAGAAATATCAACACTTTTCGTGTATAACGCGGTGATGAAAGAAAAATTGAGACGCGAAATAATAACGGTCCATTTGACTTTCAGTGATAGGAAAGACAGCCATAGAGTCAACGAAAGTATTGAATCAGTCAAGAGAAATGAGTGCTAATATCAAGCGTAATGGCGTGTCTGATTATTACAGTGAGAGAAGTGCCAAAAAGGTGAGATACGAGGAATCATCAGAGGAAAGCGATGACTTCGATGAGGTTGAAGGTGAAGATAAAGGTGAAGAAGAAGAAGAAGAAGAAGAAGAAGAAGATGATGATGAAGAAGAAGAAGAAGAAGATGATGATGAAGAAGAAAATGAAAATGAAAATGATGGTCCAGCTCCAACAAACGCTACATTGGAACAAGATATATTAGCCAATGCAAGAAGAATAAACTCTAGAATGAAAAATGATCGTGCTAAAGCTGCCCGTGAAGGTGGTTTAGAAAACGCCAGAGAACATTTATTAGAAATTAATGATTTATTCAAAAAAAGTAAAGGTAAAACATCAAATAAAACTATTGAAGTTTATGATACTAGAAATTTAGTTAGTGGTGGTGATCTATTAGATATTGCTATTAGAAATATTAAATTAGGTGCAAGTGGTGGTGTTCTAGCTCCTGAAGATTTCACAAAGAGGCTAAAGACTTTCTTATTAAGACAAAGTTTACAAACAGATGCAGATGCTGAAGACGATCCAGAAGAATATTTCTCAAAACAGCATGAATTTAAAAAATTCAATTGGTTTCAATTAGGTACTTTCTTATACTCAAGAGGTAATAAAGCTGTTACAACAAATCATTTATTAGGTCCATTAGAGATTGAAAAGAAAATAAGGAAGGTGAAGTCAAGAACTGTTGATAAACCAGTTGGTGATCAAGTAACAGCTGAAAAGGTTACAGGTGAAGATATAAATGGTCAATCTCAAAATCAAACACCAAACCAAGTTCAATCATGTTATGAAGTCTTTTATGAAAAATATCAAGGTTCACCAATTAATATTTTCAAATTTTTCATTAATCCAAACTCTTTTTCACAATCTATAGAGAATATGTTCTTTACAAGTTTCCTTTTAAAAGATGGGAGATTAATGTTAGGTGAAGATGAAGAAGGTTATCCAACAATAGATTTATTACCTCCAATGCCTGAAAATGCTAGAGAAGCCGAAAACGAAACTTTAAGAAGACGTGAAATGCCTTCAAATCATATAATTTTCCAATTGGAATATGACAGCTGGAAAAATCTTATTGAGAAACTAGATATTAGAGAATCTTATATACCCGAAAGGGATTGAAAAGGTCTTGTTTGCTTTTCTGAAACTATCACGAGATCTTTAATGTACAATATTATACTTTTTTTTGCATGGTCGATTATGATGTAGAAATGTTCCACATTCATCTTTAAATTTTATATATACAAGATTAATACTTCTGCTTCTAGACTCGAAAGTTTTTATATAGATAGTTTGTATGGTTACTTTATTCTTTCTTTATCCAATATGGGACATTTAGTAAATCTGATAATGGCCATTTAGGAGTTGGAAAGATAGATAATTCAGTAGTGAGTCCACTTTCATATAACTCAATACCAGCCCATCCAATCATAACAGCATTATCTGTGCATAAGCTTGGATTTGGATATGTTGTTCTTTCAATACTTGTTGATTCCAAACCTTTATCTAGCATGTTCCGTAGTGTAATATTTGATGCAACACCACCTGAAGCAACAAAATCTCTAACATCTTTCAATTTTTCCTTATTGTTTTCTAAGACAAGAGTTAATTTATCAATCATATGACCAAATATTGCCTTTTGAATATGATGACCAACACATCTTTTAATTACTTCATCTTCAAGGTTTAAGTTTTCTTTCTCCACAAGTCTTTGTACTGCACCATGGAATGGTGCAAATGAATAAGCTGGCATAAACATTCTTCCTCTCTTGTTGTATAATGGTTTTGGCATATCAAAATTTCTATAGTTCCAATCTTCAGGTTTGGCATTAACAAAAATTTCTAATTCTTTACCCAAATTATTTCCTTTGATACCTATTTCTCTTGCACATTTATCTAAAGCATCACCAGCTGCAATGTCCACAGTATTACACAGAATTTCATGATTTAACAAATCTTTGGATAAAACTAACATTGTATGACCTCCGCTAACTAATAGATTTAAGAATGGGAATTGGGGAAGTTTACCAGAGCTTTCAAATCTTGGTACTAATAAATGACCAAGCATATGATGAACACCAACAAATGGTTTCCCATATACAACTGATAAACCTTTTGCAAATTCTATACCGACTCCTAAAGATCCAGCCATTCCTGGACCTCTTGTGACACATATAACATCTGGTGGATTTGATATTGTTAGGTTGTTGTTCTCCAGTAGTTCTTTTGTGATTCTTGCCAAATTTGTTTGATGATGATTGAAAGCTTTAGTAGGAACTATCCCACCAAACTCAGTAGAATCTAAAGTTGATTTAATATGTTGAATCAACTCTACTTTATCACTAGATCTTTCCATGAGTGCGATACATGTATCATCACAACTGGTCTCTATTGATAAGACCTTATATCCTCTATGGAATACTCTGGGTATCGTTCTTCGCACAATACAATTCTTCATAAGCATCATGACCAACTCCTCAACCAACAACAGCTCAATACCAGAACATAAAACCAGCCAATCTTCTCGTTGTGATTATTCAGATCAAATCGTATATAAACTTTTCAAAATTTACTCTCACGTGACCAAAAATAAACATTTTTGTGCTGCGCGCAACGAAAAAAAACCAGTTTCAAAAATTTTCTAAAAGAATTGAGCGTTTATTATTGATCAGATTCAGAAATGGCTTTTGAAGATTCACTGTTTACTCGCCAAAACACCACACAAATCGTGCTTTTTGAAGAGAAGGAGATGATAAAGTGCTGAAAAACACATACAAGAAGAGAAACACACACAAAGAATTGACTCACGCTCCGCACGATTTTGGCTGCCATTCATTAGTATACCTATAATAAATTTTTAATATATTTCAATTGTTCCCGGGTTTTAAGTCAAATAGAGGAAAATATTAATAACTATTGGAATCTCATAATACAGACTGGAAATTACATACAACATACTTCATATTCATCTTTCATCAATTAATTATTCATCAGAGCTTCAAAAAAGAAGTTAATTAACCAATTTGCATTTATTCATCATAATTTTTTTTTTCAAAATATATAACAAATGATTGGGTCACAAGTGCCGTTTGAGCATCATCATGATCAAGAATCACAGATTACCACTCCATTACTAGAGTCTCAAGATAATAAAGAGAAAGAAAGTCCAATACTTAACTGTATGCTTGCAGGTGGGTTTGGTGGTGCTGTTGGTGATTCCGTAATGCATTCATTAGATACCGTTAAAACTCGTCAACAAGGTTCACCAACTACAACAAAATACAAAAGTATGTTTAATGCATATAGAAGTATATTTGTGGAAGAAGGTATAAGACGAGGACTTTATGGAGGTTATGGAGCTGCTATGTTGGGATCTTTACCAAGTACAGCTATTTTTTTTGCAACTTATGAAACTACAAAAAGATTAATGATTCACGATTGGCAACTTAATGATACATTAGCTCATCTTACTGGTGGGTTTTTAGGTGATTTTGCTTCAAGTTTTGTTTATGTTCCAAGTGAGGTTCTCAAGACAAGAATGCAATTACAAGGTCGTTTTAATAATCCATTTTTCCAATCAGGTTATAATTATAGAGGTTTATTTGATGGTTTCAAAACTGTGATTAAAACGGAAGGACCTGGAACTTTATTTTATGGTTATAAAGCTACATTATGTAGGGATTTACCATTTTCAGCATTACAATTTGCATTTTATGAAAAATTTAGAGAATATGCCTTCTTTACAAAAGGTTTAAATTCAAAAGTTGATGATTTAACTATAGATTTAGAATTATTAACAGGTGCTGCTGCAGGTGGTCTTGCAGGTACTTTAACCACACCATTAGATGTTATTAAAACAAGAATACAAACACAAAACCCATCCACTATACCATCACCTCATTCAACTTCTTCATCAATTCATATACAACAACCACAACAACAAAATAATCAATCACAACATTCAAGTAATAATAAAATCAAATCACCAACAAAGATCCCATCCAAGAATTATACAATTCCATCAACTGCTCAACCTGCTATTTTAAACACATCTTCAATTATTAGAGGGTTATCAATAGTTTATAAAACTGAAGGTATAGTAGGATTATTTAGTGGTGTTGGTCCAAGATTGGTATGGACAAGTGTTCAAAGTAGTATTATGTTATTACTTTATCAAGTTGCATTAAGAACATTAGATAATAATATACCGAAAGATGGTACATTTAAATAGATGTTAAAATCATTAAACAAATTTTCATAAATTAATAGTGCAATCTCAAAACTTCATGTAAATACAAATCAAATATTTTGGGACTGCAATACAATATGTTCAAAACTTTTTTAGATTTTTTTTGTTCATTTTTTTTTTGTGTTATATCCAAAACAAATTTAATTAAATATACATAGATGGATATGTCAGTTATGGTAAAACGTGTATTGGAATACTAAATCTTATTGATCCTCATAAGTTGTTGGATCCCATCCAGTGACATAATATAACTCTGGATGATCTAAGATCTCTGCATCTGCTTCATTAATTTCCCAATCAAAAACATCAAAGTTTGAAAGAAGTCTCTCCTGATTTGAAGTTTTGGGTAATGGAATAAAACCTTGTTGAATTGACCATCTTATCAAAATTTGTCCTTGAGTCTTATCATATTTTTTAGCAAGTTTTGTTAATTTTTCATCCATATTAAATTTCTTACCTTTTGCTAATGGTGAATACGCAACCAATTGAATCTCTTTGTTATTACAATAATCTACCAATTCTTTCCTCATTAACCATGGATGAAGTTCAACTTGATTAACATCAGGTTCGATTTCTAACCCATCCCAATCATAAAGTTCTTGAATATGAGGGATTCCATAATTTGCAACACCTATAGAATGTACCACGCCATCTTTAACAAGATCTTGTAATGCTCTATACGTTTCAAGACGTTTCTCTTTATTGGTTTGAGGTGATAAGATCAATGCTTGATCTATATATGAACCAACTTGCTTTGCTTTATCTAAAGTACGTGAAATTGATTTTTTAGCCATATCATAACCTTGAACACCATCAAATAACTTAGTAGTGAAAAATAAATCATCTCTTTTGTTCTTTTGAGGATCTTCTTCTATCCATTGTGATATTGCTTCAAATGTTCGTTTTTCATTCTTGTAGAATTGTGCAGAATCAAAACCTCTATACCCGATTTTCAAAGCATCTTTAACTATGGATGTACATTGTTGCGGTTCAATGTGATACATCCCAAGTGCCAATGAGGGCATTTTGTAGCCAGATTTCAGTGTTCGATAAGTTGACATCTTCAACACTTAGATTATAGAGAGTTATTTAAGAAGAAGTTAGTATCAAATTTCAAAAAATGAAGAATATACTTTGTCTTTATATGCTGCTTGTTTGGTTTTGGAGATTGCTTTTCGTCACTATTATTACTTCGTTTTTTGACACATTATATACTTGATTATTATTCAACTACGACAAAATAATTCAGAATCAGATACTCTGATTAACAGAATATATTAAATTATATGGCAATAAACTTAACCTTCAAATTCTGTTGGGTCGTCTTTGGAGAGTAAACTAGAAATGTAGTGACTTTCAGGATCACTCAAATAATCAACATCTTCTTGACTCAATTCAAAATTGAAAACATCCAAATTTGAAGCTAATCTATCCAAATTAGCAGTTTTTGGTAAAGTAACAAAACCTTTTTGTAAAGACCATCTGATTAAGATTTGAGCTGGTGTTTTACCATATTTTTTACTTAATTCATTAAGTTTTGGATCATCAAATTTTTGACCTCTAACTAATGGTGCATAAGCTTCTAAAACAATACCCTTTTCATTGGAATATTTGACTAAGTTTTCTCTTAATAACCATGGATGTAACTCAACTTGATTGATTGAAGGTGGGATTTCAAAACCTTCCCAAGCGTACAATTCATCTAAATGTCTAGCACCAAAGTTTGAAACACCAATTGTATGGATTTTACCAGCTTTAGCATATTCTTGTAATGCTTTCCAAGTTCCTAATCTTCTATCTTTATCAGTTCTTGGTGAATGGATTAAAACTAAATCAATGTATGAAGAAATATCTTTAATATTTTCTAAACTTCTTTCAATAGCAGCTTTTGCAAGTTCATAACCTTGATCATCATTGAAAATTTTGGTTGTAAAGAAAACATCTTCTCTTTTATTGTTTTCTGGATTTTCTTTGATCCATTTAGCAATACCATCAATACTTTGTTTTTCATTTTTATAAATTTGAGCAGAATCAATATGTCTATAACCAACTTGAAGAGCCTTGTGAACAATTGCTGTAGCTTCATCAACTGGTGTTTTAAAGACACCAATTGCAATTGATGGAATCTTATAACCTGATTTCAGAGTGTAAGTGGATGGAACTGACATTGTGCGTGAAGTAATATAAAGTGATTGAACTTGTTAAATTTTGATTGAAGGTATAGAAGTATAATTCAATAATTGTGGCCGGATCTTGCTTCGTTTTTATATGCCAGAGTTAATCGCTTAGATCAACTAAATGGGAACCACACAGAGACCATAATCAACAATTCATTAATCATAAAGCCACAAGACACAAGACTGAATATCCATGACAAAATAAGGACTAAGAATGATGCCATGAACTTGTACCTGAATATCAAATAAGTAACATAATCTGTAAACAATTATACCCAAAATGTCAAACTCATTACATAAGCACATTGTAGTTAATTTTTATTTTTTTTGTTTACGTTTTGGAAAAGCCGAATAACGTCTTTGAGTAAAAAAAATTTAGTACGTGAACGGTGAGATCTAAAAGAATTAATTAGCTTGCAAAGGATCTGGTACACAGCGGGACTAGAACTAATCATGTGTGGTAGTGAGATAAAATTGTTCGAGAGATTGGAGTTCCCGTATACCAAGGAGGTCAAGGACTTGAAAAGTAAGGCTAGACCTAATCTCCAACTAGGAAATGTTAACAAAAGTTTTTATGGTGTTTTGAAAGACATAAGAAATGACCTGATATACAAGAAGCTGAAGGATAAAGCCAAACTATGGCTAGATAGATATATTTCTGACATAGCTGGTGTAACGGACATCAATATTGATCAATATTATCCACCTGAAGATATTGAAAAATTGACGCTTTTTTTGAATAAATTGAAAGAAGCAGGTATATCAGATATACATTACAATTCTGTTGTCTACTATATTTTAAAAGATTTTTCATTTGATGCTGCAGAAAACTTCATAAAAATTGGATCGGACAAACCGTTATCAGATATGGGTAATTTGTCTTTAACTTGCAAGATTGGGGCTACTCAGTATGATTTCATCAATTCATTATATTTTTTTGATAGATTCAATTCAATTGAAGCTTTTAGACATTTAGAAAACGGTAGCAGGGCTATTCAAAATCCACAGTTTATTGAACATTTAATTAGATTCTCCAATATTCTACCTTATGAACCATATATTGATATAAAAAAAATTACAAGCTTGAATGATATTAGAACTTATATCAATATCAAATCAACTCATGGGACTTCATACTCAGTGATGTCTGTGATATCCAACTTCAGCACATCAATTTTACTACTTGATTTGGATATATTGTTCATTTATTTAAACGCCTTGACTGATGTCTCACCTTTAAATTCAATATTATTATTAAATGAACTTATAGCAAATTATCAACCAGATTCATTGCCAATTTCTATTGAATTAATAACCAAAATTATCGTCAAGAAACTGTTTATCAAAACATCAAGAGAAAGAGATATAATGAGACAATTATACCTTGAGGGTATCCTATCAGAACCTCAATTTAATCAAATATTCAACACTGTAACAATGTTTGAAATATACAACATACAACATTCTCCAAAGATTGAATTAATACTTTATAATATATTATTAGGTGTTAAATCAAACGAAGAAAAATTATTCATTACAAAATACCCACATTATTTTAATAAATTAGATGAAAATGATGATCAAGTGAAATCACTTATTAGAGATTTTTTAATTTTGAAAACTGTCTCTGGATTCATTGTTAATCCAGATGATTTATTAAGTTTAACTAGATTTAACAATACAATTACATCACCAGATCAAATAAGATTATCTGAAATCGCACAACTGTTTGAAAACAAAAGAGTATAGAATTAATAAAAATGTATTATAATTGTTTGTATTCGTGAGTAAACAATTAAGCGCCATTACTAGTACCTACAACAATGTATATACCTAATTTGACAATATAAAAAAAGGATCTATCAAGAATTATATTACCGTCATGCCATTTAATCGTATACACATTTGATTCAACAAGTTAACATAAGAAACACAAATAACAACTTTAGAAAACCATTAATCAATATGAAGCGCCTTCAGGAGGTTGTTGTAACTTTTTATTTGAAGGACTGGCCATTTCTTTTCTTAATTCAACTAAGACATGTTCGATAGTAAAACTTCTCTTCCAATTACCCAAGACTTGGAATTGTGATGGATCAACATCACCTGTGGTTTGATTAACAGATGGTAAATTAATTTTAGAAATGAATTTGACTTTTGGTGCTACTTCTGGATAGTTTTCACCACATTTAATGCTTAAAGTATAGATTCTATTTTCATGACTACTATGTGGAGGACCTAAAATGGTACCATTCCAGTCTGTTAAAGTGCTATCACCTGAATCAACCAACCCATATGAACAGTAATCTGGACCTGAACCCTTTTCACCTTTCTCTAATTCTTCTAGTAATCTAAAACTTCTTGGACTATTTTATCAAGAAAATGTCAGTATTTTTGGCCATTCTCTTCTCAAAACTCCTTCTAGACCCGCTACTTACACCTTGGACATCTTCTTTGTCTATCAAATTATACCTTTGGCCACTTTGAGCTTGTCGTCTGTGTGTCTGTTGAAGCTTTTGCCATACAAATTGAAATCGAATTTGATACAGCAAAAACCGGGAGACACGAATTCTCATGACAGCCAAAAAAAACCGCGAATTATCAGCCGCGAATATCTCTGAAAAACATAAACAATACCAAAATTTATTAGAATCAAAACAAATCTTAAAATAACAGCTGGAATAATAGTTAGATAGTGACACTAGTGGAAAGAGGTATCGAAATCATGGACTCGTCTCCTTTCATAGATAACCCAGCCAATAAGAGTGGTGGGGGCTCAAGATATGGGTCACCTTTCAGAAGAATCAGTTTCAATTCTGTTAATGGTCTTGGTTCTGACGCTGGTACTGCTGTCGTTGGTGGTTCAGGAAATGATCAAAATAAGGTCGATGAGCTCAAATCAGAAGTAAATTCACTAAATTTTGTTGTTAGTGATCTAAGGAATCAGATTGAGTTGAATAAGATAGAGTCTGAGCAAAAAGTTAATGATTTAATGAAAGAGCTTTCCCAACAACATTTGAAAAATGATAATTTATCTTCTGATCAAGTCTTTATATACAATCAAAACAAAGAATTGAATTCTAAATTGGCTCATATACAAGAAAATTTCACAGGTGAAAGATCTAAATATGAAAATGAAATCAAAGATTTGAAAAATGAATTATTTCAATTTAAGAAACAATACGATGAAGTACAAACAGAATCCAAATACAAATTTTCTCAGATGGAACAAGAGCAACACAACAATGAGCTTCAAATTCAAAATCTTAATACATTGAATTCTAATATTTCTGATGAACTCACAGCAAAAGATGAAATGATCAGAAAACTAAAGCTCAAGATGAATGAGCAGATGTCTACAATTGAGAAATTGAACTCAGATTTGATGTCAATACCGTCAAAAGATGAGATTGCCTCAGTGCAGACGATTAACAAGCAACTTTCAGAACAAGTCACATATATACAAGAACTAGAACTGAAGAATTTAACCCAAGCTGAACAAATTAAAAAACTTACATTAAACAAGCAAAATACAGAAATTTTAAAAGAAGAAAAAGCTGCATTGACTAAAAAATTGACAAAGATTGACGAGTTGAATGATACTATAAATGACCTTAATCTGCAGTTATTGAATTTACAACAAGAAAATGCAAAATGGAAAGTATATTTAAATGAAGAAGATGACGTTAAAATTGAAGAATTCGTGAAAAATTACGCCTTACTTAAAGAAGAGAACATTTTATTACAAAATAATTTCAATCAAACTGAGAATGAACTGAAAAATAGCAAGAATTTATACAATGAACTATTTATAACTCATGAATCATTATCTAAAAACTTCAATACTTTATCTAAAAACTATGAAAATATTGGAAAACTAAATAATGAACTTGAACAACAAAAATCATTAGCTTTTGAAGAATCAAACTTTTTAAGAGAACAATTGAAAAACCTAGATCAAGAACTTTCATTAAATGAAGATGACAAAAATAAATATATCCAAAATTTGGAAGGTTTAGTTGATGAATATAAAACAAAAATTGATGATTTGACGAAAAAGATTCCAAAAGAAGTTTCAAATAAAAGACAAAGAACTGAAGAGGATGAAGCTAAAGATGAAGATACTACAAGAAATTTCCAAAAATCTGTTAGTAGATTAGAAGATGAAAACTTTAATCTAAATAATAAAATATCTAAACTGTTGAATGAAAACTCTGTCTTGATAAAAAAGTTACAATCATTAGAAGAAATCAAAGAGAAAAAGGTTAGAATATTACAGCTTAGAAATAATCCTTTCTTGAATGATCAATTTGTTAAAAAGGAGTTACTTGAAGCTTTAACAAAAGAAAATAACGACCTTTTACAAAAAACACCATTAGGTGAAACAATACCCAAATCACTTTATGAACGTTCACAGCTAGAAAATCAAGGTCTTGATCGTAAAATTAATGAATTAAACAAACGTATACAAAGATTACGTGAAATTTTCAGTGCAAAATCGTTAGAGTTCATTGATGCTGTTTATTCATTGCTAGGATTTAAATTAGAATTTTTACCTTCCAACAAGATCAAACTGATATCCAAATACACCAAGAATGATAAAAACTGTCTTTTGATAGATCCAGTAAAGCAAACTTTCAAAACAAGTAAACATAATGATGAAGATGATGTGTTTTTCCAAATTTGTGATAACTTGATTGATTTTTGGATCAAAGAAAAGAATGATATTCCATGCTTTTTGGCCGCTTTGACACTTGAATTGTTTGAAAAAAACCAATCAACTGATCAATAGATATATATAGTACATTTTTGAAACCTAATATAACGAATTAATGGCGCTATGGGTTAATAACTGTTGTAATATTAATTGAAACTTGCTTCACAACTATTCCGAAATGCTTACTTACAAATCCCTACAAATCCCCGAGCTGTATTATTTTTTTTTTTTGCGAAAAGTAAACAAACCGATTTCATAAATGTTTAGTAGCTGAACTTCATGATCCAACTGACTATAAGAGAGCTATTGATTAGCATTCAGATTCTATAGGTTTTTTTGAGTATCAGAAACATACATAATTGCTATCAGTAGTGTATCATGTCCAAAAATGAGGCTTCATTCATAGATAGTCGTGTGATAATACTATCCACAATGTTAACATCGTCGGTATTCGGTGGTTATAAATTTTATAGAAGATTCTTGAAACCTATAAAGACTGTACAAAATATACCAAGCTCATATTTCCACAAGAAGAAGATGCTGGGAAAAGTCACAAGTGTTGGAGATGGGGATAATTTCCATTTTTATCATACACCAGGTGGGATACTTGGTGGATGGCATTGGTTAAGGAAAACACCACAAACAAATCAAAAAGGACTACGATCTGAAACTTTACACGTTAGACTTTGTGGAGTTGATGCCCCAGAGAGATCACATTTTGGTAAACCTGCACAACCATATTCAGATGAAGCATTAGGCTGGTTAAGAAGCTTCATATTAGGTAAAAGAGTTAGAGTAAAACCATTAGCATTAGATCAATATGGACGTGTGGTGGGGAAGGCTACTGTTTGGACATTATTTGGTCGTAAAAATGTCAGTCTTGAAATGATCAAGAATGGTGTTGGTATTGTTTATGAAGGTAAATCAAGCGCAGAATTTGATGGTGATGAAATGATCTTTAGAGAAAACGAAAGAAGAGCTAAAAAAGCTAGAAAGGGTCTATGGGCATCTAAACGGAAATTACAAACTCCTGGTGAGTTCAAAAAGCAGCATAGGGACTCCTAATTTATGGAGCACCACTCATATAATCATGATATTGCATGCCATACCTTTTAATTTATCATTATAATACGGATTAATTCCCAATAATATTTATTGCATAATTCTAATATACATTCAACATTTGACATCAATACCTCTTCTCTTTTCTGCCTCACGTAATTCAAACATAACTTGGACAGCGATGAATAAACTAGCATTAGCCACCATGAAGAATCTTATACCTGAAAAAGTACCAAACATTTCATTTAACAAAGCTTGTGTACCCTTTTGACCTAAACAGAATCCATAAAGGTTAGCAATCATCATTAGCCAAATGTTTATGACACCACCAACAGCACATAAATGTCTATACCACCATTGGTCGCTGAATTTTCTGAAATAAGTAGAGGCAAAATATTCAGGTAATAAGAATAAGACAATTGTCCAACCCCATAATAACAATTTCAATTCAATATCATGCCATATAGCAACAAATGAAAAAACGGCCAATGAGGCTAAAATTCTATTTGAAGCACCACCTAATGGGATATAAATATATTTAACAACCCATTTGTTATAACTTCTATGCCATGCTTTCCAAAATGATAATGCACTATAATTATTATCCATACAACGGATCATATTTTCAGGTGGGTCAATACCGTCAATCAAACTCCATAATCTAAATAATCTCCATGGAATCAATAATTTCAACCAAATGATGTTCAAATTAAACAATCCAATCATTGAAATTTGAAATGGTGTATCACCTTCCCATGCACCTCTTTTAGAAACAGCAACAACATACATGTAATGTAATAAAAATTCCATAACTAGAACGCAGAATAAAAATCTTAAACCATAAATAAAAGTTCTTTTAGCATTAATTGAAGGTAATGGACTATGAACTTGGCATCTAAAATCGTTATAAGTAACGATTGGACCTGCAATAAATAATGGTGCATATGTGATATATGCAAAATAATTAAAGAAACTATATTCAGAAATTTCTAATGGTGCATTCATTCTATCTTTTTCTTCCAAAATGAAGTTTTGAATGACATCTGGTGTTGTTGGAACAGAATCTGGTTTTCTTTCTTCATCTCTTGCTTTAATTTTATCTAATCTTAACTTAATATCATTTGAACGTTTAACATATTCAAAATTAAAACTTAAAGCTTTCAAAAGTGTAAAATTATAGAAAACGTCCCATCTTGAAACGATACCTTTGAATCCAGTATCAACGAAACTTAAGAATGGTAAGATGTTACCAAATGGATATGTTCTATATTTGTCATTGATGAACAAAGAACCAACACCATAAGCCCATAATAGTCCTGTGGCAATTTTACCATTACCTTTTGCTAATCTTGCGATAATGAAGATGATTGACACGTGTAACAACACTTTAACTGCATTGACACCATGGATTGCAACTAAAAAGATGATACCAAACACAAAATCAAATTGAGTTCTTTGAATTGAAGGAAGGATAAAGTTTAAACCTTTTCTTAATGATGTATGGGCAGCGACTAAAGCACTCAATAAAAAGAAGTTATCTCTAAAAAATCTATATTGAGCATCTGAATTATCAACTTTTCTACCAAACATCCAACCTTGACTTAACAATCTTTCAAATTTTGGATAATTTGGATTTGTTTCATTTGATGCATCCATAGCAGTCTTATATAACAATGGAACCACAATGGCAAAACAAACCAAATAAAATTTGAATTCTAAAGTGTGCCATCTTGAAGTTGTAGCTTTGTTGATGACACTTTGCTTCTTTTTTGGATCGGCTGGTGCATTAAGTCTTGTATCCAATACCGGTAACGAAAAGAAGGAAAGAAGTGACAGAAGTCCCATGATATTAGCTCCTTTTCCTAACTATCTTCAATTGATCACCCCCAATTATTTTTTGATGGAAGTTGACTGTAGTTGGCTTTTGGTAAAGATACATCGCCAAAGAGGCCAAAAGATAATTTGTTATATTCGCGGTGATATGTTGATGATACCCGCGAATTTGTTCTGTGGAGTTTCGCTTATTGTTCAAAGTTTTACTGGGGAAGTTTGACGATAATTCAAGTATTGAAGAAGATCAGATCAAAATCTGCTTGATATATTGGTGATCGATAACAATATCAACCAAGATGTCAGACAGCGAACCGCTTGACAGGAAACCCAATGCTCCAGGATGGGTCCCACCACGTGAAGGATCCAATTACAATCCCTATGACCCTCTAGAACAAAGACCTCCACAGGGATATCCTAGTGAGTTTAAAACACCAGGTAAGAAACCAACGTTTGGCTCTATACCAAAAGATGCTACTCAGTACCAGCATATGAAGGAAACAATACAAAGGTTACAGTATACACCTAGGCCCAAAAGTCAGCTATACCCTGGTCAGTATAAAGTGTTGAGACGAGTAAACAATTATTCAAGATTTCAAAAAGGTGCTTTAAGTACTGGTAAATTTTTGACTATTGGTATCGGATTATACTCAGTTTTCTTTTACAGGTGGAATGATGGTTATGATAATGTTTTCAGTGATTTTTATAGGATGAGATTACGTATAAAATACATAGTCAACGGTGGTTTAAGTGAACAAGAATTAGAAGACTTGAAACCTAAACAGAGAGGATTCGTCGATAGACCAAAAGCTGTTGTCGCTGAAGGTGAAGACCCAATCAAACCTAAGGAACTACCAAAGGAAAGTGAATATTTGAAAGAAAGACCAAGTGATAGACATTTAATGGAGGCACAAATGATTGTTCAAGACCGGGAAGAACGTTTGATGAGAGCACTTGATATAGCACATGAACAGATATCTAAAGGAAATATTGAGTCAACTGCACCTAAGAAGAAATTGTTTGGAATCTTTTGACAGCTGGTTTCAACCATAATTATTGACTATATTGATTGACATCATTTATTCACACAATGCGATCAACGTGATCTTATTTATTTATTATTTATTCCAGCTTTGACCTATTTATTGGAAGATTTCTTCAAACTCATAAAATAATATAAACTATACATATATATTGTTGAATCATTTATACTCAACCTCATCGATTATAGCTGTAGAAGAGAAATTCACTCTAGCTATAATTCAAGCAATATATATAATTTTGATCGATAAGCGATCTATATGAAACCGACAGCATATCTTAATTTCTCATGACGTGTTGCCATAAATATTTTAATAGTTCACACACTTTCAATATAAAGTTTAGAAAAAGTGAAACATTGCCTGAAATTTCAACAATATAAATGCTTTTTTTGCTATCTTGCTTATATCTGAATTTTGACTGCCCTGCCACTATAAGCATGAAAATCCCGCGAATTTGCATGTTATCGAAAGTCATAAAAGACACACACAAAGACCATATTTAATCAAATTGAAATTTGAAATTTGGTATCAACTACCATATCAACTGGGTCAGAAGGAGTAATTAGAGGCTTCATTGGGACTCTAAACCTTTACACAGACCCCATATCAGAGGAAACCCACTTGATCCGCCCATATTCACATTAAGCGCCTAAAAAAATGGCTCAATTATACCAATCGATACTGCGTATCGTATTCTTATTGATATTAAAGTCATTATATTTTCCATTTCAATTGTATCATTTTTTAGTTGATTCTTATGTGTTATTGTTTTCAAGTTCAGACAGAAAGGAACCAGATAATGTTGGTGACGAATCTTCAGATGATGAATCAGTAAATAGATTAGGCCAAGAAGAACCTGTGACAGATGGTATACTAAATGCTGTTGATATCGTGGATATTTGTCATGCCCATGGCTATAAAGTCCATGAACATGTCGTACAGACAAAAGATGGCTACTTGCTTGCAATTCATAGAATATTGGGTAAAAACAGTGATATTCATAAGACTGGTAGACCTGTTGTTTATTTCCATCATGGGTTATTAACAAATAGTGAACTATTCGTTCTTGGTGAAACACCTGCAAAATGTTTGCCTTATATCCTATTAGAAAAAGGTTATGATGTATTTTTAGGTAATAATAGAGGTAATAAATATTCAAGAAAACATTTGAATCTTTCATCATCATCAAACAAATTTTGGGATTATTCATTAGATGAATTTGCATTACATGATATTCCAGATACAATAGATTACATTTTAGCATTAACTGGTAATATTCAATTAACATATGTCGGTTTCAGTCAAGGTTCTGCTCAGGCGTTTGGTGCTCTATCTTTAAACCCAAAGTTGAACAAAAAGATCAAAGTATTCATTGGTTTGAGTCCAGCTATGATTCCAAAAGGTTTAAACCATCCTATTGCAAGATTATTTGTTGATGCTGCACCTTCATTGGTGTTTTCTATATTTGGTAGAAGAGCTATATTACCGTCAGTGGTATTTTGGCAAAAGATGTTAGGAAGTTGGTATTATAGACAAGCAGTTGATAAATCATTAAAACTTCTTTTCGGATGGACAACTTCAAATATTCCATTTAATCAAAAAGTCATTGGTTATCCCCATATGTTTTCACCTTCAAGTGTCAAGTCTGTCGTTCATTGGTTTCAAATTATTAACAGCAAGAGGTTTCAAATGTATGACGAAGGCCTTGTATCCCCATTAACAACTATATCATCAACCAATTTAAAAGTTCATAGAGTTGCACCTTTCCCAGTTCAAACAATCTCTACCCCAATTTACTTGATATATGGTAAGAGTGATATGTTGATTGATATTGAACCAACTAGGAAGGCATTGACAAGCTGTAAAGAAATAGAAGCTATCGGAATTGATACTTATGAACATATGGATGTATTATGGGCTAAGGATGTTGTGGAAAAAGTCTTCACCCCAGTTGTCAATACCATCGATAGATATAACCAACGGAATCAAACAGTGGAGATTATTGACTGTGTTGAACATAGAAAAGTCAATGGAGAGATAGAACTGCATACTAGCAAAGCCCGTGATAGAAGTAATGGATCGATTGTTGTATAGATATACGTTAGAGAAATAATAGGCACTGCGCTGTCGATTAATATTGATTACGAGAACTACGATATATATGTGATATTCATGATATCTATGAACTGTAGTTTTCATATATTTATTCAGCTTCTCTTACTGCTCTAATTTCATCGATAGTTTTTCTCTTCAAATCACTGTCGGCAAATAATTTATCAATCAAAGCAATCAGTTCAAGAGTTGATAAATCAAAGAATTCTGCATCGTAGAAAGAATCCAAAATATCTTTCAAATGTGAATTGACAATGAATCCAACATGGCCTAACTTGGAATGATTTGGAATCTTGGAATAATCAACATTAAACTTCAACGTCAAAAACTTTTGAATAATCACATTCAAATATTCACTTTCATCTTCGCCAATATCACCTTTATCATAAACAGATGAAATAACTTTCTGGTATAAATCATTGGCTAATTTAATTATAATTTCTGTTGACTTGATTATTGGTAATATGTCTAATGATCTTAGGCCCATAGTGATTACAAGTTGAATATCATCAATGATTTTATATGTCTTGGATGCTGAAATTCCAGGATCTAATCCGTTTAGATGTGCAAAATGTTCATCAATATCATTTTTCAATGTTTTGATGAAGTTGTATAAATATTGTTCTTTCAATTCAAATAATCTTGGGATTTTATTCAATTGTGATAAATATTCTAAATCATTGTATAATAATAATTTCAATGATGAATTATTTTGAAATTCTTGAGGAACTAAAATGTAATATGCAGTTATTAAATAATTTAATTTTGAGAAATGCAAGTCATGATATTGTGATGGTAGTTTGGATTTAGTTGATAAATAAGATTCAATGATAGCGTGTAATTTATCTGGTAACGTAGTGGTCTTATAGGTTGAAACAGGACCGGGGGTTGAAGGACCAGGTGTTGATTGTCTGGATGATTCATTACTATGTATTTGATTCTTTTTGGATAATTTTGAGACCAATTTACTTTTTGGTTTTGGTTTTGGTTTAAGTTTTTCTTGAACTTCTTCAGTTTCTTCATCATCATTCCAATCCCAATCATCATTGAAATCATCATCTTTGGTTTCAGTTTCAGTTTCAGCTTTAAGGTCAGTTGATTCTTTTAATGGTTCATCAAATTCAATTTCTTCATCATCCCAGCCCCATCCATCTTCTTCATCATCATTTATATCTTCGGTTATTTTTGGTTCAGGTGCTGATTTCTTGACAGGATCTTGATGCGTAATATTTGGTTTCTGTTCAAGTTCATGCGGTGACGCTGTCAACTCTCTAACAACAAGATTTTGCAAAACGGATTTATCTAGATTTCGTACCAGCTCTCTAATTTTCTCAATATGTTGATCAACATATTTTTCAACTGCAATTTCATTTAATTCATTGTTTATCCAATTTTGTAAATCATTTCTTTTAAATGATCTTTCTGATAAAAATTGACCCAATTTTAAAAATTCTTGTTGAAGTTGCTTATTAGAATATATCAAGTCAATGTTATTTGTGATGACTTCTTTCAACCATTCAAATAATCTAGGTGATATATAATTTGTTATTTGTTGGTCTTCCGGAATGAAACTTATGAAATTTGCAAGATTGCTAATAGACTTGATTTGATCTTCTATATTTTCAGCGATGGGATTAATAATGATTTTATTATCAGTGAGCTCCAATGAAGAGCCTTTGGTTAAGGGTGTCAGCAGCTTTTGATCAACTAGATGTATTATATTTGAGTTTGGAACTTTTAATTGTAAATCATTAGATTTGATAACATCAGATACGCTCTCATAAAGCACAGTATTACCATTGATATCCACTTCAGCATTAAAAGTCACAGAGCTTTCTTGAACTTCGATCAGTTTAGACCATGAAGTCCCAATATTTTCTATTGTTAAGTTATATAACCTATCATGTTCAGCTTGAAGTTTTTCCAAAATGATCAATTTTGTATCAAATGAATCTGATTTGATCTTTTTTTCGAAATTTTTTAAAGAGTATAATACATTTTCAAATTCGAATAAATCCAAATTAACTTCAGTTTCTTTCAATAATGTAGATACAATCCAAAATTCTCTTAGCTGCTGTAGTTCTTGAGTAATTTCATAATCCCTTTGTTGTAACTTTGATATAGTATTGAAATCTAATGTTTTCGATCCATTGAGTTGTGAATTCAAAACTTCAGGATCCACAAGTTGATGAATTTTTTCATTGAGTGACTCTAATTGAGCATCAATATCACTATCCCCATTCATCTCCAGTGACTATCCAACAAGCTTTCACAATTGAACTTGACTAAACTTTTGCTTCTATTTTGTTGTTTTTTGTCATATAAAAGCCAAATGTCAAAATACCTAAAAACTAATGAACCGTGTCATAAGTGACAGAGTCACCCGGCTTGATCTCGAAGTTGTTCGCGATGTTTTTTTCTGTCACCTATAAAAATTTTCCCAACAAAAGTTTTCTTTACTTCTTTACACTTTATTCCTTTCTTTAACGCAAATTTCACAGCCATTCGTAACTACTACAGCATCTCCTTGAGGTCGAGCTCAATTCTTTTGAATCGACGCTGACCCATGACGAGTTAGGTATTTGTTGCATTTTATTTTTTGCTTGGACTGGAGACGAAAATTTGTTGATCTTGGGTGCAGTATTCCATTCGAATTAACTTTGTTTAATTCTAAGGGACCTCCTTCGTGAACCCGAATGGGGAGTAGTGCAATGATCGGCAAGACATCCTTTTGTTTTTTGTATATAGTTTTGTGTGTTTTAGTTGATACATGTTTTCATTACATTGAAATATTTTCCCATCGTAAATTGTTTATATTAAAATATATTAAATATTAGACATCAGCTTTTGTTGAATTTTTGATCTTTGCTTGGTTCTTAAAACTTGAATTGAATCCTAATAGTTCATTAATACCTCTGACCCAGTCATTCTCACTCTTAGCAACACAGTAAACACCGGTTTCAACTTGTTTTTTCTTCAAAATAGATCTTTGTTCTCCAGAGGCAGTTGGAATCTTAACATTATCAACAAAAATAGTACCAATTTCATTAACAACATGAATTTCATCTTCAACTTTCAAAAAATCTTGAGGAACACCGTCTATAGAGAATCTAACATCATTTTCACCATTTTGTCTTTCTGCAATCTTAATTTTTATATGTGAGGATAATGGAACAATTAAAGGTCTAAATGATAATGATCTTGGACAAATTGGTGTAATCATGATAGCTGGAACCAGAGGGCTAACAATACTACCACCAGAACTCAATGAATAAGCAGTTGATCCTGTTGGTGTACTCAGACAAACACCATCAGCGGTTGTTCTTGTTAAAAATTCACCATCAATATAAATATCTAAAGTTGTTAAATTTGGAGTATCACCACGATGTAAGACAATATCATTCATAGCATGAATCATATCTTTATTTTCTGGTTTTGATGTTTTTCTTATAACATGACATTCTAATCTTGTTCTATGTATAACTTTTGCTGTTGATGTGTAGACTTCTTTGAATGCTTGTTTGAAATTATTGAAATCAAAAGGTAATAAAAACCCTAATGTACCAAGGGAAAATGATAAAACAGGTGGCACTCGTCCATTTGAAAACAGCGAGACACCTCTTAAAATAGTACCATCACCTCCTAATGTAACTAATAAATCTGTCTTTGGAACAATTTCACTCATTTCACCAGTATATAAAACATGTGGAGATCTACTAGTTTGCTTTGGCATTTCTTTAAATTCTTGTGATATTTCTTCAGCGACATCATTTGCAACCATAACATTTATTTCTGGATAATGATCATGAAGGAATGTAATAAACTCAACCATACTAGCTCTAACATGTTGAGACCAAGGCTTCTTTGTGATAAGGATATTTTGTAACGGATTCCGCCATACAAGATTCTCAAGCTTTGAATTATGAGCTTTGATATATTCTGGATGAGTTCTTGGTCGAAGCGTGGAGACTGGCCTAATTTCAACATTCTTATTTGGATGTATTATAGGTTCTGTTATTCTGGAGATCTTTGTTGTTGAAAAGAACCTTATATTTGTGTTTCTTGAAGTTGTGAAATATTTGGGAAATAATGAACGACATTGTCCAGTGATGGATCTATGTACTAAAGAGGTCATTGTGGATCTCATTGCATCTGCTCAGCACCTTCTATAGTTGTAGAAATTATACTTGAGGATCTTTCGAGCTTTTAAAGGAATTTTGATAATTGGTGGTGGGAAATGGACAGTTGGATGATTTGTGTTTTTATGGTACAATGGATTATGAAGAGTCAAGTGTTCCGGAAAAATACTAGATGATTCACAAAATTGTGTGGGAGTACCAGAGGACTGCGCAAGTTTATCACAACAGCCTTTGAAGAGATCCAGCCGTACTGTTTATGATTTAATCAGGTGTGATTGTCTTCAAACTATGCTCAGAATGTCGTTGTTCTGTGCTAGACACCCCAGCTCCCAAGGTGCCATATGCTGATGGTCAATGCTTCTTTGCACCTTCTTTTGGTTGACTCCATTTCGATTCCCCGGTAGTTGCACTCGCTTGACAACAGAAATCTACATCAATACTCTAGGAAGAATAGTACAATAGTACATAATGTTTATAAACGTTTTCAGATCTATAGAAATTTATATAGTTCTGTATAATTGAAGAAACGAAGAATGAAATATTTATAGTATCTGGCACTTTTTAAGTCTTTATGGTGATGGAATATTGGTGGTATCTTTACCAACTGTAACACCATAATAGTTCACATCATGGAATGCTAATGGTTCAATTTCAATATCACATTGTGGATTAACATCAACTCCGTTGAAATCCCATTCTGAAGTTTCATACTCATAGTACATTTGTTGTAAAGTGTCTCTAGATTGTTCACTATCAAAATAGTTAAATGGCGTAAAGACAATACCAGATTCTGCAGTACTGAAAATTGTGTTTGGAATATCATTAGTGTTTGGTAAATGATGTAAAGCTAAATTAAACCAGCAAACCAAATCTTCACCATCAAGATTTTCACCATCAACATATTTACTAATATCAACAATTGGATCTTCAAGATCATTAGCATTCAAAACATGGGAAGATTGAAGTTCAGAATCTTTTTGTTTAGTAAAGATTAGATCATGACTAGCCCATTCAGCATTTTTACCAATAGTCACTGAATTTTGTGCAATTCTTCTAGCATCACCACCTCCGTAGATAGCTCTATAAGCTTTTGGATTACCCCAAGTGTTATTTTGATCTGCTGATTCAATTAATAAAACACCACCAGCGTCAGCCCAATTCAAATATGTTTCATTTTGTACAACTGATCTTTCTTTAATTTTGGTTGAATAGACTCTTTCTGGATCCCATGGGTAAGTGAAATTTGCTGGTTTCAAAGCGGTAGTAGAAACCTTATTTGAAGTACCTGCAATGTCAAAATCGGCTTTGAAGTTCAAGACATGATCATGGAAGGAACCTGATAAAACTTCATTAACTCTATAACCAAATGGTGAGCCAGTATCTGGGTTATAATACGCACCTTGGATAAAACCAGCAGCTCTAACTGAAACTTCAAAAGTACCATCCAAATAAAACTTGTATAAGAAGTTATAATCATAATTACCAATAGTAGTAATACTTCTTAAATTGAATGTTGGATTTTTGGTAACACCAGTATATTCTGAAGCAGCATGTCTCGCAAGACCATAATCTTCAACAAATTCAAAAGCACAATATGAATTATTTTGATAATTATTTGAACCTTGAGAATGCCATGTAGTATTAAACATTTCAGCGTTGTAAGGACAATCAAAACCTGGAATCAAACCAAAAGCTTCATTACCAAAACCATATGATCTATCAAAATAAGCGGTGTGAGCTTGAAATGGATCATCACCTGCATATTCTGCAATAGCTTCTTGTAACCCGATTTCAAAAGCAATTCTTTCACCTTTGAATTTCAAATCATATAAAGTAAGACCAACATCTCTTGACCAAGCAACATAGAATTCCCAGTCCATCCAAGTGAAATATCTTTGTTCTTCATTTACTTTCCATCTTCTACCTTGTGGTTCAACAACAATTGGTGCTAATTTCTCATCTAATTCTCTTGTTTCTCCTTTTTGACCAATATAGACAAATCCATCTGTAGAGTTCAATTTTGAAGTATCAATAGTTGGTAATTTGACAAAATCTGGTGATTCGTAAGCTTTGATAAAATCTTCAGTCGAGTTATAAGCAATATTATTATAAACCCATTTAGCAATGAAAAATTCTGATGAATTTCTACCTGTAATATCTGTATTTAAAAATAATCCTGTTGGTGTAATGTCTTCTGCGTCTTGATAATTGATGAAGATAGTGGCCCAATTGGTTACTCTCCCAGTAGTTTTATTAAATTGTAATGGGTCAGTTCCCCAGCAGTCAACCGTTGAGTTATCTTGACCAAACCATTTAATTTCTTCACCAACCAAGTCAATTAAAACTGGTAACAAATCTTCTGATAAAAATTCCCTTTCATAAAAGTCTGTTACAGCATCAAATCTAATTGGATCTTTATAACCCACTTCATATGCGACTTTAGATTTGGTGTATAGCCAATCTAATTCAGAGACCTCAGGATTGGTACCATTTTTACCTAATGGACCAATTTGTAATTCTTGCCAATAACCATTTGGGTATTCTTCACTTGTATATTCTTCAGATCCGAAGAAGATTGAGGCACGAGCATATCTATCTGGAACAGCACCATTATTGTCTAGATAATCAGTAGCAGAGGTCTTATTTGGACGTAAAAGTTCAATCCACATTAAATAATTATCAAAAAGGGTTGCATTTTCAAATGGAGTCAATGGATATGTATTTTTCAATAAATCAAAGACATCTTTGGTTTCAACTGTATCAAGATCAGCCCATATGTTAGCTTTTGGAGGAACAGCTTCTTTTGGAAATGATGGTGAACATAATGTGTCACGTTTAATATATGATTCACTTCTTTTAGTGTAGAGCTGATCTTGTGATTTAGCCTTGGCTTGTCTTGGAGAAATAGCATCCGTCAAAGTAATTGCAGAAAGCGTCAAAGTTAAAACACCAAGAAACTTCATCTTGAACAATGTAACGTTCTTTTTATCGAGACGATGATCAATAAAGGATTCATAATAATTTTACCGATGATTTCAATGAAGAGCAACAGCCCATTTTATATGATCTGGAATCATACTAGTTCAAAAAACAACTGGTTGATAGTGCAGAGCTTGTTGATTACTGGTCATTTTGGCGCTATCTAAACAAAAGAAGCTCTAAGCGCTTCTTTAAAATTTGGCCAGGGTTTGATCTTTTTGGGCAATCCCGATATAGACTTTGAATGCACTGATTGATGTAGATTGTAGATGGAAATTGTAGGTTCGGTATAGTATCTCAAAATTAATTGGTGATTGATTGGTTGGTAGTATGTTAATCTAAATTATAGATGATCTCCCCTGCATGATATGAATTTCTAACGATAACGGTTAACCCCTTTTTGGTTAAAGCTATCAACTAATAGGAAAATATTGATAGATCAATATATCATAGATCACTAGTTTCAGTAATCCCCTTAAAAATCGTTGATGACCAATACCATACTATCCCAGCAGTATCAATGTAACGGCTTTCAATCAGCTGATCAATTGATTTTTTCTGACACCGATCAATGTGCTGAATGATATTGAGGCCGCTCACGGTCAGACTTCAGTGCAGTATAACTGATAAGCTGCATCGCAGCGTCCCAAAGTAGCCCATTTTTTTTTTGAAGATAAAGAGTGGAACGAATTCGATCAGTAAACATGTGACTCGACGCTGGGTGTATGGTGTAAACAGTGATTGATCAATAATATATGACCAATAGTCAGCATCCTTCAGTTCATCTATTCGACACCCAGGTGCCAGGTAAGCAAGAATACATAAAATTTAGAACCATGTATATGATGATTGATAAGTTTTAACCATAATAGCTACTTATGGTCGACCAAGCAAAAAAAAATTACGTAATAAATTACTAAGATTTCGCTCTAGACACAGCAATTCAGAGGTGTTCATAAAATGTTGCTTCGCCCCCTTAGCTTAGTGGTAGAGCGTTGCACTTGTAATGCAAAGGTCGCTAGTTCAATTCTGGCAGGAGGCATATAGGCCCTATTTCGGGCATAAATTTTTTTATATACATCATATATAAATTAGTGCAATCATTAATAACTGATTGATTAATTGTTTTTTTGGGTACTCTTAATCACGTCTAGTGAGATCTATAATTTAATTCAATAACCAGATCCATGTGACTCCGTAATTCGCACATACACGCAGGTTAAAAACAGTATATCATCTACATGAAAAGTGATATTTGATTTATGGAAATGAAGAAGCACGTATCATCATTATTAATTAAATTATGGATTATGTGAGCATAGAAAATAAGACACCAGAGGCTAGAGCTAATATAATTATAAAAAGGTTTTGATCAACATATTTTCATAAGATGGTGGATGCTCTGAATCTGAATATTCTTTAGCTTTGTGAAATCTTAAATCAATGTTGAAAGTTCTAGAGAAATCAGGAACTTTTCTCAAGTCTATCAGGTACATATAGTTTTCTCTATTAAACCACGAGTCTCCAAAATTGTCACGGTATCTAGTTCTTTCAGTTTCCCTTTTAGAACTACTGAACATGATGACCTCTAGGGATATTAGCTCTTGTGTGTTTACAATCTCCACAAACGAATCAAGCAAAACCAAGACCTTCAAAGACGGCATTTTTAGCTTGGGTAGCTCTGTAATTTCTGGTTTGTTCAACGATAGGTCTAGAAATTCCAAACTGGGAAATGTCTTTTTTGATAGGTAGTCCAGATTATCAGAAAGTGTATCAATGATTTTCATTTTTTTGAGTTTTTTCACGTTGTAAAAGTCATTGAATAAATCAGTAATTACATCCTGTGTCATATTGGATGCATCAAGGACAAATGATTCACATCTAGAAACCAAATCGGGTATATCACCAAATGTACCTTCATCAGAAAGCATAGAATCAATGTTTAGCAACCTCATGCTTTCCTTATAAGTATTTCCAAAGATTTGACCAATTCTTAACGATCTAATTTCTAGCGTTTCCAAACTTGAAAAGTCATTATTGAGAATAATCAGTCGAAACGGATGATTTATCTTTTCCTTTCCCCTTTGAAAGTCCAAGTCTTCGTTTATAATGAGCGCTTTTAATTCAGGAAATGAGCTATCTGTGATTTTCCCCAAGTCACATTGTTTCAATATAAGACGCTTCAACTTAGGGAAAGAAACTTTATTCAAATTGAAGTTTCCTCTTCTGCTATAACACGCATATAGATTCAAAATTTCTAGATTTTTGAAAATACAGCCATCGCATCTCCTGAAAAAGTCATAACCCTCAACCACTTTGAGTGTTTTCAAATTCTGAACACTTTTTTTATAAACAACATTTTTTTGATTCATTAAAAGTTCGGATAATGATCCAATTGAAGCATCATCAATTTCAAGCCCAGCTGGATACTCTAAAAACTTGTACCTTTTGGTTAATGGATAACTTTCAAATACCCAATTACCTATGATTTTAGCTAATCCTGGATCCAAAATAAGTTGTGATTGTCCATATAGTAGCACTTCCATTTTTAGCTCTTCTGCAAATCTCCAAGGAAAGAAGTTTCTGGAATATGAAAGCTCTGGCAGTCCAGTAGATTTAATAAATAATGAACATTCAATATGTTCAGATTTCAAATAATCAAGTATTCTGTGAAGTGTTTCTGCAGTATTATAGTCATTTACCTCCATTTCAATGAACACATGTCTATAATCACAATATTTGAAGGCCTTTCCGTGCTTTTTGATATTCCTGACAAAATCATTGAATTTTTTAAATGTGTGGTTTTCCTCTTCTTGATCTAACGGTATCCTAAACAATTGGCAACTTGAAGGTACATTTGTCTGGACAAAGTAAACAGGGTCTAAGCATATTCTAAATCTCTCAAATTCTCTGAGAACTCTGTAAGCCCAGTAGTCAAGTGGTCCAGCATATTTGAATATTAGACTCACGATTTCAAAAGGTAAATTGAATACTCTTGCCCATGTTTGTCTTTTGGATTGAACTTCTTTATTGGGTACTGGCTTTTTGACGACAGGATATTTTCTAGGGCGCCCCACTGGTAGTTTTCTCTTTCGAGGCATATTTTGAGGGTGGTATGACGACTGGTGCTGAACAAATCACCTATGAGGTTTATCAACTATATGGTTGGATAGTTTGGTTGAATTATGACAATGATATCTTATTTAAAAGAGAGTGGTTAATTCTCAAAGGTTAATTATATTATAATTAACGCGCATTAGATTACCAAATGTTGCGCTAAACGAAACCGTCTGATCAAGAAATTTAGATTTATACCGAATCAATTATACAAACTACAACTATTAAACAGAGAAAAGAGCTATATAGCTTCAAAACAAAGTTTATATAAAAATTAAGATTAGCAATATTGGGATAGCAATGAGCAGGAATTGGGATATCATCTAAATTAGCTGTTATACCATAAGAATTGAACAAAAAAAGTAAATTGAGCTCGAGCATTGAACAACAAATAATCAAGAAAAAAAGAAAATCAGAGAATTGAATAAAAGAACTGAAAAATAATTGCAATTTAAGGAAGGGATGTTTAATCTTCACATAATCAACAACGAAAAAAGATCTTATTCACCAAACCAACGTCTAAAAAATTGAGTTATGACGTGTAATATAGTTGCAAAAAACCCAATACTATATTCCGGAAATTCTTTACCTTGAGAAGGTGGTTGAGAATCCGTATGTTGAGTAAGCTGAGTTGATGGTCTAGTGTTTTCATTTGAATGAAAAGTTGTGGATGGATTGGAAGTATAGTTGCTTTCCCCACCATTTGGGTCACCATTTATGTTTCTTGTATTTTGAGATGATGATTGTGGTTGAGAATTTGGAACAGTTTCAGTCACTTTTGAATGTTGTGATTTTGCACCTCTACTAATCTCTTTGGCTGATGAAACTTTTGGATCTTTCAATGGTGATTGTGATTCTTCAAATGATTTTGGATTTAAAGGAATTTGTGAAGCTTTTGCAGATGGTGCTTCTTTGGAACTTTCAGACAATTGATCTGGAACCTTTAAAGCTGCAGTGGGAGTAGGGATCTCAGGTCTGGAAACAGGTTGAGGTAATGAAGGCTCATATTTATTAGAAAAATTACCACTTTTAGAAGAAGTTTTAAGTGGTTCTTGAGTTTTACTTGGAACTTCAGGTGCTTGGGCAGGTTCTGGACCAGGGATTGATGACCTTTTGGAGGAAATTGGTTTTTCAGCTTTAGTTGGCTCAGTTAATGTGATAAAATCTTTGGAATCATTGGATGGCTTACCAGAATCTTTGGATTCAGTCTTATTTTCTATAGTTTCTTTAGCTGCAACTGTCTTAATTTCCTTATTGAATGGGGTAGCACCTGAAGGTTTTTCAATATTTTTGTCTCCAGTGATTGAAGTTGCATTATTTGATTTAGAATCTAAATTTGCGGCAGCACTAATACCTGCAACAGCAGAAGCAGCAGCAGCAACAGTGGCATCAGTGATAGTGGCACTGGAATCAGTTTCATTCTTCTTATCATTTAAAGCTGCGTTTGAAACTTGTTGTGCGTTAGTGCTTTGTTTTGAAAGGTTATAAGGGGTTGGATCAGGGGTTTCAGGTTCCAATTCGTTCTCGTGCGAAACTTGGTCCTTGATTTTAGTGATTTGATCAGATGATACTGATTTATTTGAAGTATAATCATAAAGAATGACATTATTCTCATTACCTGATGGATCAAATTCTATTTTGAAAACGTTAGTGTATGAATTTCACAAATGTTTTCTTTTCTTTTAAGGATCAAAACAATATATACTTACCTGAAGGGTAATCCTGATCAACTTGCCAGTTACCATCAACAATGAATTTGAAGCTGTATTTCCCATTGGTAGAGCCATCAATTAATTCATCAACTTTGTATTCAAATCTATGATTTATCTGATTGAATTTCAAACTTTCTTGTTGCCAGTTGGTGAAGTTTCCCGCTATTTTGACATCTTGATTGCTAGAAGCAGAAGGGAAAGTAATAACTGTGAAGGTCGCCATTGTGTGATATAATCAGGATATTCTTACTCTATGAATGACCTTGTAGTGCACTTGTAGAAATCCGTGATACTTAACTGGTCTCAGTGAAGGACAATTTGAAGCTTTGCAAAACAATCACAATGGATTCGACGTGAAAAGTCGTCCTTGAAATATTCGTTCCTTAAAATAAATTGGCTTCTTTGTTATAAGCTGCAGGCGAATCAAGCGCGGATTACATAATTTCCGCGTCAGCGAAGATAATAAATTGTTTGTTTACAAAAGTTTCAATAACTGGGATACCGTTAATTTTTGAATAACAACCGCCAAAGGTTCCACTACATCAAGTGTTTGCACTATTGCCAGAGCTGGCTAGAGATTCATATTCTCGTTGATAATTCACCGTTGTTTTATATTGGTTTGCGAAGACTAGCTCGCTGTTGCTGTTTGTTTGGTATATCAACTTTTATATGCCATCAGAAAAGATTTCTCATAATTCAATATAATGTCCCTTTACAATAACAAAATAAGGTATGACGTGGATGAATCAGGCAAGAGAAAGCCAAAATATATTCAACAGCTGGAGATTTTGGATGAACTACCAGACTATACCAGAAATCCACAAGTTCGTTTCAATGATCTGAAAATTATGATCAAGAGAATGAAAAACATGTCCTCAAGGTCTGCTACACCCTCTTTACCACCACATCTAAGTATCCCACAGTATACATCTAGCTCAATACAGTCACATACAGTACCCAACATAGGATCAGAGCTACAGCCGTCTGTTTCGGTTCCTGGTATCCAAAATTCATTTTTAATCAAACCTAATTTGGTCAATGGAGAAATACGACAAGATCAAAGAGAACCTGCCAGAAAAAGTTCAAGACTATTTGTTAACTCTGATGATTCAGATTACTCTTCAGATGAGTATAAAGAAAATGCTCCAATCAAAAAGGAAACAAACATTTCAAATAATGGAGTTCCAGCAATAATATCACTGGATTCTGAAGATGAACAAGAGATAGAACCAATCAATAGAAAGAGGTTTTCTCAAGTTGATATAACTTCACCACTCAAGACATCAGGATCACAAAAGAGTGATATAAGCTCTAGTCAAAGATCTGGGTCTTTGAAAAGCTCATTCGATTGGTCACCAATAGAGACTAATATTTCTACTTCACCAAAATCAAACAAGAGTTTAGGAAGAGAAAGCTCACAAAATGCAGAAATTTTGAAGAAGAAATACAGAATCATAACACCATCTCAGCCAAAAGTTTCAAAATCTAAGCCATCACCACAAAAACCATCCAACTCTAAAGATGAATATTTGAACAAAGATGAGACCATAAAGCCTGAAGTTAATTCAAAAAATGAGGAAGATGATGTTAGGAACTCAGACGATGAAAATTCTGAGGAAGATGATGAGGATCGAGAAGAAGAAGAAGAAGAAGAAGAACAAGATATAGAGTCCGATGTGAGCTATTCTGGAGGTAATATTGAAGGTGAAGAACCAGTGAGGTCGCGTAGATTACGCAAAAATGGGTATTTGTCTCAAGATGACAGTGATGACAATGATCTGGGCTGGAATATGCGAGACAATAACCAAAGAAAAATTAAAAAGAAAAGCAAGAAGGAGATGATAAGAGAAAGATTAAGGAGGGAAAGATTAAGTCGATCGCCAACCAAGGGATCTGATAGTTTTAACTCTTCTGACTTTTCTTCTGATGATCTTGAATCCAGTGACTCAGATTATTCTGATAAAAACTCTAATAGAGGCCGGGCCAAGTTCAAAAGAAAAGAACAATCGTCCCAAAGATGGAAATACATTTATACGGAAGTCAGTGAAGATGACTTTGTCGTTGATGACGAAGATGAGGTAATATATAGTTCAGGTAATGAAGATACAGAAAAAATATTGGATGCTGATGAACGGAATGCTAAATTAGTTCGCTCAAGAAAAAGAAAAATGTCAAGGTCTGAAGATACTTCACATAAGAAAAGTAGTACTACTAAAAAGAGGAGAAACAGAAGAATTGAAGATGATGAAGGAGACGACAAAGAAGATGATACCGATGATATTGAGAAACCCAATCAAAATACAAAGAGAAAATCAACACCCAAGCAGAAAGTGTCTAACAAAGCTGGTATAAAAGTCATAAAAAATGTACCTCAAAGAATTGTCGTTGGCCAATCATCAGAACCTGGACCTAATTTTAATGAAAAAGGGACAGCACCTGCTTCATCATCAAATGGTCCTTCTAGAAGTCTTAAATATCAAAACAGGCCAGAGACCAAGCAAACTGAAGAAGTGGATTTATCTGATGAAGACGAGGATGATGATCAGAAGCCATCAGAGGAGTTTAAAAAGCTAATGGCCCAGAAGCAAAATCACTTGAACGAAATACCTACCCCGGATACTGAACCTATGTTTTTTTCACCATCAAAAAGGTCCAAACATGTCATATCCGATAGTGACAGTGAGTCTAATCATAGTCTTAATGAAGGCACTACACCTAAAGAGAAAACAACGTTTGATACAAACTCTGAATCTACCAATGAAAACCAACAATTTACAAAAGATTCTAGTGAAGTCCAACCAGAGAATGAAATGAATGATGGCACCGATATATCTGCTCAAAATCCGAAAAATGGTGGTCCTTCTGAGGTTCAAAAGCCAGAGGAAAATTATACCTCAGCCAACGAGCAATTTGATGATTTGTACTCTTCTGATATCAATGATCTGTTTGATGAACCTAAAACCAAAAAGAAACCAAGTTCTGCTGCTAAGAATGTTTCCAATGGATCTAATTCAAAGGGCAAAGGCAGTGGTCAATCATCAAATTCCAATGATCCCAATAAACTGTCTCATCATACCATACCAAATGTTTTCATAAAACCACAAAGACCAAAGCTCAAACATAGACCAAGCTCATCATCTTCATCAAGTAATAATAATGATAATGTTGCTCAAAAGAAGAATTCTCCATCTGACGCCAAAGCAATTGATTCACTTCCACCAGGAGCCTCAAGCACAAATATTCATTCTTCTATAACTGGCCATAAAGATCATATCACTACAGGAATGGGAGTTGCAACAAACAATCAAACGTCAGGTAAACCTAGAAACTTACCAACAACTGGTCTATCTAAAGGAGTCTTTAACAACTCATCACTGCCAATCAGAAACTCTAATGGCTCAAATCCAACTTCATCTTCAACTTCAAATCCTTTATTTACCAGAAAAAATACATCTTCGGCTCCTAGAACTTTATCATCAAACCATTCTGGGACGTTACCGAAGACATCAACTTTTTCAAACAGGACATTTTTGTTTTCAAAACCTCAAACTATTCCACAACTTGGGTCAGCTGTACCAAATGATATACCCAAAGAGAGATATACAACCAGTGCCGATAAAACCAATTCCAAAAGGAAAATTGTGTCTTTCCTAGATCAAGATCCAAAGTTAGAAATGTCCAAAGCAGTAACTATTCATAAACCTTTACCAAGCTCCTCAGAGAAAGGGGCTTTATCCTCCATTCTTAAAAATGCCAAAAAGCCATTTTCAATTACTCATAGATCATCAACAACATCACCGCCACCAACTACAAAAAGTATATCAGATACAAATAAGCCAAATCAATCGTTGTCACCTAAAAATAATGCTACATCAAGTCAAGGAACAACAGACCCAGCTAAACAAACCACACCTGAAGCTGCACCTAAACTTCATGAAAATCGTTTCTCTCATGTTAAAGCAATTGACCTGCCAATAGCAAAGGACAAATCAGTTTCTTTGTCAAGTTCAGATATTTCGAAAAAGGAGAATCCATCTAATTCTTCAATACTTTCCACCACCCCTCAAACGTCCTCGCCATCTTCCAAAAACCCAAAAGAGAAATCCACTTCTTCATCAAATCCTAAAGCCAAACCAGATTCAAAAGTTTCGTCCTTTGATAAAACGGACTCTAAAGCTACTCAAGCTTCTTCCATGATTTATAAAAATAAGGATTCAGTACTGTCTCAGAGCAAAACCAAACCAAACACATCAAGCACTTCTAATGATCAATCGATGATTAAATCTGCTCAAGGACATTTGAAAAGACCACTAGTTCAACAACGTCCTAAATCAGATCCAAAACAAGCCATTCAAAAAGATATCAAAAAATCTTCCATTGAAAAATCTCCTGCTCCAGCCACTTCAAAGTCAAACACTACATCTTCAGCTCCTATAATATCTACTAAAGAAGCTGCTAAGAAACATCCAGCTACAAAGAAAACACAAGATTCTACCCAATCATGTTCAACTCCAAAGATTTCAAAACCTAAAGACAATAAAAGCCTGAAGAAAAATAATGTTCCAATATCAAAACCTAAACCAAGCAATGGAAGTACGCCAAAAAATTCAACGATTTCCAATAAGAATCAAAAGACATCGATGAATCAAGAATCCAATATTAAAGTTAAAAATGAACAACAAAGGCAAGATAAATCTTCACCAGTTTATGCGGAAGTAGAGAGTAATTCAGATGATGATTCTGATAGTGATTCTGATGGTATTGAATTAATTGATGAAGATGCCTTTTTTAAGAGTCTGAAGAGTTGATTAAATCAAGGTTTTACATTTAAGGGTATGAGTATATTGAATTTTAATTTATGAAATGATGATCGATTATGGCCTATTAGAGATTACTGATTCTATAAGTTGCTAATCGATAATATATGATGTATTAATACAGTTTGTCAACTGTTTTGTATTTATAAAGTTAAATCAAGAATTCATACGTAGTCATTGTTAGCCTAATTGAATAAACTTATATTTTCAAGGATACTACTAATAAACCAATCATGATTACAATATTGATATGATATAGATATAAACGTCGTATATATTCATTCAGACCCATGATAATGAATGTTGACAAGTATGACACATCAATATAAACTGGGATATATAAACAAAACTAATTATTTAAATGAAATGGAAACTCAAAATAAAAAACTTGAACAATTAACTCATGATAATATGATCATCTTCTTCTTCTTTTTTCATTGGTAAAAAAAAAAACGTTTCAGATGATTCAGAAGAAACAAATGATTGTATAAAAGTAAAGAAAAGAATGTGTGTTTTTTGTTAATAAATTATATGGATTTAAAAAACTATTATCTTAGAATGAAAACCAAAGAAAAAAAATTATAAACAAATGTAAATGTATGGTGATATTTAATGATTCTAATGTACAAGTTTGAAAACAATTTGAAATTAATATATGGTGGTATCTGATTCTAATGTACAAATTTTTTTTGAAAAAGTTTGATGCTAAATTGGGGGATATTGTAATATGTGGATTGATATTATTTGATTTATTTATTTTATTTTTGATTAACAAATTGACGTGGGATATTACCACATCTATCTTTACCAAAATTAATTTTTAAATTTTTAAAATCTTCATCAATTTTAATTTTATCAATTGCTAAAATTGCATGAGAAATATTTGTAAAATTAACAAAGACACAATTTTTTTCTAGAAGATAATTAATTTGTTCAATTTCACCAAATTCTAAAAATCTTTCTCTTAATTGTTCTTTTGAAAATTTTGGATTATTAACATCAATATTACCAATATAAATATTTCTTGAAGCACCAGAACTAACTGCAAGGGTTAAAGCATTTGATAATGGACCAGAATGTTTACCCCAGCCAATTTTAATTCTTTTATTATGTATAGTTAAACCATGTAATTGTGACATTGCAAAAAATTGAGCAGCAGCAATTGGATCAATAAATGTAATAAAACAAACATGACGATCTTGTAAATATTTAACATTTTGTAAAAGACCACCTCTAACAACATTACAAATTTCTTCAATTTTAATATCTTTTGGTAAATTACCTAAATAAACGGTTCTATTACCTAAATTATTTGCACCACCTGCAGTAGTTGCAATGGCAGCTGCAGCGGCAGATTGTTGTAATAAAGTTGATGAAATGAATTCTCTATCAGCATTTGTGACTAAATGTTCCATACCTGGTGCTAAGCCTAAATATTGAGCAGCATTATGTTGTTGAGTTTTAGTAATAAATGCACATCTATCTTTACCATAAAAGATTTTTTTATCAGCATAAAATTCATTTTTTAAACTTAAGTTTGTAACAACTTTAATAGCACTTAAAATTGAACAAAAATGAATGAATGCAACACCTTTATCAGCAAGAATTTTAATTGTATCAATTTGACCATATTCATTTAAATCATTGATTAATTGTTCTTCAGTTATAGTTTTTGGTAAATTACCAATATAAACATTTCTTGTTGCACCATCTCTTTGAATTGAATTTAAAACAACAGAACTTAAAGGAACATTTTTACCCCAACCAATTTTAATATCATTATCTTTAATTGTAAGTCTTTTCAAAATAGCATCTGAATGGAATAATAAAGCACTCGATTTATCTAAAAATGAAATGAATGCACACATTTTATCTGAAAGTAAACGAACATTTTCAATAATACCACTTCTAACATGATCTAATAATTCTTTTGGTGTAATATCACTTGGAACATTACCTAAATAAACAGTTCTACTTGGTGCTACATCAACATTTTGAGCTAAAGGATGACCTTGTAAAGCAGCAGTTGCAGGGTTTGAACCTAAAGGATTTTGATAATCACCATTTGCACCAGCACCATTATTTGACTCACCACTAAATTGTGATTGTAAATTACCATTTGAATCATTAAATTGACCATCCATATAAAATTCACCTTGATCTATATTTCCACTACTTGAAAGACCCATACCATTGACACCAATTGGTGCACCATTAGGACCACTAGATTGTGCTGAGCCACCGTTAATATTATTTGGATATCCATTGTAACCATTGATTCCATTTGGACCTAATTGACCTGAAGAAATTCCACCGGTATTATCATTAAATGCAATATGATTTGGAATTTGATTATATGAATCATAATCTTGGTAAGATTGACCACCTGGAACACCAACTGGAGCACCATTGATACCATTAGAAATGATTTGATAACCTGGAGCACCACCATTAGCATTTAAATATTCTAAATTTTCAGAATCTGCATATTGATGATAATCTTGAGGTTGAAATCTTGCAAATTGATTATTAACATGAGGTGAATTGACAACTAAATGTTGAGCGACTAGAGGGGTATATGGTAAGTCATAAGGAGTATATTGAACAGATTGCATGATTGAATATGACTGAAAATAATTGATAATCTATATTTTTTCTTTTTGATGTAATAATTTAATATTATAGCTGTATCGCGCGGGACGTAAAGATTTTTTTAGATCTAAAAAATTTAAGTTGGAGAATGAAAGAAAATGAAAATTAATTGTAAGCTTTTTGAAATGAACTGAAAAGTGATTGGAAATTGAAATGAACTGAATGAGAAATTGAATGTGATTTCTTTGAATTCTGTGAATATTCTCTGTGTTTTTTTTGAGTTGTTTTCCCTTTGCTTTTAAGATTCAACTGTTATTTTTTCTTTAATTGAAAGAGGCTGTTAACAAAAGACAAAAAAAAATGAAGCGAATTAACGAAGCGAAGTGTGTGATTTGTGAGAATGTGGATTGTTGTTGAGGAGGATGGGCTGCAGAGCGCTTTGGTGTGAAAGAGTGCCTGTGTGTGTGTTTGTAGGGAGTTTTGATTAAAGCGAAAGAAAGTGTTTAGCTGTTGAAGTTGTTTTTAAGTAAAAGATTGAATCAAACAATCAGCGCTAAATCTCAAATTTATTTTGAATTTTAAAACGTTGTAATTTTTTTTTTGAACTGAACAAATTTTCGCTTTTCAGAAGGTGGTTGGTGCACGCAGATCTCACTAAATTTAAAACAGTCCTTTGAGAGAATGAATAGACCTAGGCAGACAGGCAGAAGGAGAAGGAATACTAGGGCTATGTCAATTGAGAAGGGTTGTGTACTAGCTTACCACGGTGTGTTATGATAGATCCAGTTATGTGTTCCTAAAGGTCTGTTCCAAGTTCCATCGGGAATCCACAAATTGTGTCTTCGAGAATGTGTCGATCTAATTTTCACACTGCCCTTGATTTTTTTAACTTCTGGTGGCCTCTGCAAGGGGGAGTTTGATCTAGACAGAACAGAATTAGCTGGAGCCTGGAGCATGGAGGGTGGGCTGGAGGATTAGCTGGACAAGGGATAGGGAACAGGGAACAAGGTGTTCACTATCTCTGCCTACAGGACAGCCTACTTAGGCAGAACGGTCTAAATTAGCCAGGGGTAAATGGTAAATCGGTTCCCAAATTCGATTATTGACTACATATGACAAATTGGGGTTATAAACTTATCGTTAATTGAGCACATTAAAAAGGCATTATCTAGACTTGGAAATATTAGTCACAGGCACACTACCATCTAAAAGTTAGCTATAACTTGTCATCTTGTATGATATATCATGTCTAAAGTCTGAATGTGCTTTAAATCTTGAATCATTGGATCTTGTTCTTGATTCATAAAATCTGTTTCATTGTCAGACATATTGACAATAACATCTTCTGTCGCATCAATCTAGTTGTACTTTGTAGTAAGCCAGTATGATACATCATAATCACTCATCATCATCTGATTCTGTATCAGTTACTGTTCCATTATCTTCTTCTGTATCATTATTCATTTCAACATCTTTATCATCATCATTGACTTCATCATCTTCTGTTGCATCTTCTTCAGTCTCCGTATCATCATTATCTTCTTTTGGTTTTTCATTATCTTGATCATCATCATCATCATCATCATCTTTATTATCATCCTCTTCTTTATCATTCTTAAACTTGAAATGAATAGATTTTTCAGATTTTGCTTTACTAGCTTTGGGTATTTCCGCTACTTCTGAAGATTCTTCCTTTTTAATCTTTGTATAATCATCTGATTGATCTTCAGCTTTAACGTCTGGTCCACTACCTTTAATATTATTCTCTTCTTTAACTTGATGCTCCTCCTTTTGATCCTCATCATTTGAATCTGGTATAAATTCATCACCATCTTCATCTTTTTCTTCTTCCTTTTTAGTATTCCTATTTCTTAAATTTAATTTTTTGACAGGTTTTGAAGTTTGTGGATTCTTTTTATATCTTTTCGTCTTTGGTTTATTAATTATTTCTTCTTCTTTAGCTAAATCATCTTTAATTGTTTTTATAGCAATTACATTAAAATCATCAGCTTCATCTTGAATTTTACCTTCTAAAAGTTTTTGATAATGATCTTTCTTTTCATTCAACAATCTTGTCATAACTTTCAAAGTATATGTATCTTTCCTTTTGGAATCATCAACTAATTGCTTTTTGAATTTGATTATTTGTTCATTTTGTTTTATTAAATCTTGATTTTTTTCTTGTTCTTTCAATCTAGCCTGTTGTCTACTTTTACTAGTATCACTCATAATTTTACACCATTGGAAAAGACAATCAGCATATGAAAAATCATCACCAGGATTAAAATGATCAATTTTAACAGTACCTAATGTCTTATTTATTGATCCCGAAATCTTTGTTTTCAATTCAAGTTCAATCGCACTATTCCCATCATCATTTTGAATTTTTTTACCAATAAATTCAATTGAATCATTTAATTTAATGGGGATTGATTCAAATAAAGCTTGTAAGAATAAATTATACCATTCAGAATCATTTTGATTCTTACCATCACCATTACCTTCATTAATCTTCTTTTTGTTCAATGTAGCCCTGAAACTTTCAATACCATCTGTTATTTTGACATCTAATTCAACACCATTTTCTTTGTTCAAAATTTCATCAATTGAATCTTCTTTAGCTTCAATATGTATAAATATATTTTCAGGATCATCTTCTTCTCTTGATTCTTCAACATTGTTAATATCCAAAAATAAGTACTAATAATGACCATCCATACTCACTTGAATCAAGATCAATCATCTGTACAAGCACAACCATCTCACTAAACTTCACCAAATACTCCACCAAACTTGTTGATTATTCAATTGAAATTCAAATTTGGTGTCATATTCAATTATCCATATACGTCTTAAATTAACCGCGCTCATACTTAATATTTCAACGACCGGGTCACCTCATCGCATCTGATTACATAACCACCCGCGAATTATATTTTGATAAGTGAAAAAAAATTATTGTGTATAAACAAAACTCTCTTTGTATTTATAATGGCAAATAATTTGAATTCTTTTAGTTAATTAATTAAAGATATATTACTATTAAGATGGGTTTCCATGAAGCACCAAAGAAATTCAAGGTCCCAAAAGGGCCAAAACCAATCCCTCATAAGAATAAAAACACTATTGGGTTAGGTAGATCAATTGCTAATGTTAGAGCTAAAGAAAATAGAGTGGAATATTTACCTGATGGTGAAATGAGATTTACTACTGATAAACATGAAGATAGTTGGGTTAAATTAAGATCTGTTACACAAGAAAATGCATTAGATGAATTTTTAAATACTGCTGAATTAGCTGATACTGATTTCACTGCTGATAAAAATAATCAAGTTACAATTATTAAAGTTGATCCTTCAAAAAATCCATATTTATTAACAAATGATGAAGAAAAGAAAAAAAGTGCATTACATGATGCTAATGAAAATAGTTTAAAAGTTCCAAGAAGACCAAAATGGGATGAATCTATGACAAGATTTCAATTAGATAGACAAGAAAAAGAAGCATTTTTAGAATGGAGAAGAGATCTTGCTAGATTACAAGAAAATAACGATTTACTTTTAACTCCTTTTGAAAGAAATTTAGAAGTTTGGAGACAATTATGGAGAGTTGTAGAAAGATCAGATTTAGTTGTACAAATTGTTGATGCAAGAAATCCATTAATTTTTAGATCACCAGATTTAGCAAATTATGTTACAGAAGTTGATTCAAGAAAGAAAAATTTATTATTAGTTAATAAAGCTGATTTATTAACTCCAAAGCAAAGACGTGCATGGGCTTCTCATTTTAAAAGAAATAATATCAATTTTACATTTTTCAGTGCTTATGAAGCTAATCAATTATTAGAACAACAAGAACAACCTGATTATAAACCTGAAATAACACAAAGTGTACCAGATTTAGATGATGCTACAAGAATCATTGGTATAGAAGAATTAGAAGAATTATTCATGAGAGAAGCTCCAGAACCTTTAACCATCCCACCAAATGGTAAAGAACCAATATTACAAATTGGTTTAGTTGGTTATCCAAATGTTGGTAAATCTTCTACAATTAATGCACTTATTGGATCTAAAAAAGTTTCAGTTTCATCAACTCCAGGTAAAACTAAACATTTTCAAACTATTCATTTATCTGATCAAGTTTTACTTTGTGATTGTCCTGGTTTAGTTTTCCCAAATTTTGCATATACAAATGGTGAATTAGTTTGTTGTGGTGTTTTACCAATTGATCAATTAAGAGAATATACTGGTCCATCTCAATTAGTTGCTCAAAGAATTCCAAAATATTTCTTAGAAGCTGTTTATGGTATTGCTATACCTACAAAATCTGAAAATGATGGTGGTGATGGTACTCCAACTTCTCAAGAATTATTAACTGCTTATGCTAGAGCTAGAGGTTATATGACTCAAGGTTTTGGTAGTGCAGATGAACCAAGAGCTGCTAGATATATTTTAAAAGATTATGTTAATGGTAAATTACCTTATGTTCATCCACCTCCAAATTCTGATAATACACCATTAACTCATGAAGAAAAATTGGAATTTAATAAAGAATTATATACATTAGATTCTTTAACAGAAAATAGAAGAGAACAAATTTTAAATGCTGTTAATTCAAAAGGTTTAAAAAATTTCAATTTAGCTGAAGATTTATCAAAATTATCATTTTCTTCTCATATTGGAGGTGATGATAATAAAGAATCAAGAACTGCAAATTATGGTGGTAAACAAGCTGCAATTTTCAATGCAACTGATGATTTAGATCGTGAATTTTTCAATATGAATAGTGTTAAAGGTAATATGTCAACACCTTTCCATAAACTTGCAAATGGTGGTTCAAATAAAAAACATAATAAAGGTAATAAAAAAGATAAAAAAAAACAACAGAAGAAAGCTGTTAATGGTTATTAATTGACCACATCTTTATATTCTGTTTTTTTTTTAAATAAATCATCATTCTGCATGCTTTTCTCTCTTCATGATCATATATACTGTTATATAATACATTTGTTTGGTTTTCTTTCTCATTATATTTTACATTGGCCATGGTTTTTTTGTTTGGTTTTACACTTAAAGGGGTTTCATAAATTTAATGTATGTTATATATAAGTCATTTATTACATCGTAGATTAAGTTTTATTCTAGAAATCAAAAATTGTATTAAATATATATAGCTAATTATTTATATGAGATTTTATTGTTGAACTAAATCTAATCACTTTCTTCATCACTTGATTCTTCATCAGCTTGATTTAACCATTCAATGAAAGGTTTAGCAGCTTTTTTAACTTTTTTAGAAATTTCTTTTGAAACATATTTTTTTGAAACTTTTGAACCCCAATCTTTAATAGTTTCTTCATCAACAATATCATTTTCATAAACTTGTAATAAAATTTTAGAAATTTGTGATAATAATTCTGGTTTATCTTTACCTAAAAATCTTTCTAATCCACCTAAGAAAGCTTTTTCATGTTTTGGTGTAGTGATGATTTTGGTTAATAAACCTTTATGTTGAGCAATTTGTTGAACAATTTCTTCATCAAATAAAGTTTGAGCTAAAACTTGAACAGTATTAACATCTTCATGAATTTCTAATTCAAGAGCTTTTTTATAAATTTCAACATCATTTGGTAATTCATCTTTATCTTCACCAAATTCTAATAACCATTCACCAAATTGATCAAAAGCGGAATCACCACCATTTTCCAAATTTAAAGCTTCTAATTCTAAAGCTCTTTTACGAACAGCTTCTTCTGAAACATCAACTGCCCAATCATCATCATCAATTGGTTGAGCAGTTGGTAAAGCTGAAGCTTCAGCATTAATTTTTCTAGTTAAAGCATCATCATCTGAATTTTCACCTTCATCTTCTTTTGGTTCAGTGGTTTTTTTATTACCAGAAGCAATATCAGAAATTGACATACCACCACCAACAACATTAGCAGAAGCAGTAGCAGATTTTTTCTTTTTACCAGAACCTTTAGCAGATTCAGGTGGATTTTTTTCAATATATGTTGCTAATTTAGAACGTGGATCAATTGAAGTTCTTTGACCACAAGCTTTACAATCTCTAATTAAATTACCATCTTTTGTAATAATAATAACAGTTTCTGGATTTTTACAAGAACCACACAAGACAAATTTATTAATGAATCCATCTAAAGAATCTTGCAATTTTGGTTGATCATGAACACCATTAACTAAATAACGATCAGTTGATTCATTAATAGAAGTTTGAGCACCTAATTCAAAACCAAAATATTTAATTAAATATGATGGTGGTCTACCTAAAGCACGAGCAACTTCACTTAAATTAGGAATTGCAGTTTTAATACCATTACCACGACCTTCAACTTTAGCTTGGATAGGAGGCATTTTATAACGATAAAATGGATCGGTATTTTCACGACAAATATTGATGAATGACATATTGATTTATTTTTTTCTTTATTTCTTTCTTTCTTAATTTAATTAGGATCGATTCCTTATATTATGACACAATAATGATATTAAATTATTGGGTAATGCTTGAAATGAGTTTGTTTCAAAAATTTTGACAAAAAAATAATTCATAAAGATGCTTTCTCAAATGGTAAAGCTTATTGAACTAATTCTTTTGATTTTTAAATATTATATTAAATGAGGCAATGGAAATGACAACTTGTACTCCGAATTTAATAGAATTGAAATACAAATGATATTATTTATAGCCTAAATCAAAGATTTTGAATAAAGTTGATATATCTGACTTTGATAAATATAGATTAAGATTCAATTGTAACCAATTTCCTAATTAAAATCTCCAAATATTGATGATTCAAAAAGTATCGTAATCTTTTTTTAGTTATAAGCATCATCTTTTGAAAAGTTTTCGATCTTTTTTTGTGAAAAACGAGTTCCGACTTTGAAATTTCATGAAGCGTGATTTTCACGTAAATTTTGAATTCCGACTTAGATTTCAAGATTTAATTTATACTTACTTATACGGGAAATCAAAATATCAAATATCAACTTGATCTATTTAGAATCACTTTAATTGAACTTCAACTGTTTATTCAATCATATCCAGATTAATATTGAAATTACCACAATCACAAGATGTCAGCTGAGGAAAAATTATTATCAATTCATAAATATGGATTATATACAACATTTACACCAGAACAAATATCATCAACATATTTATTATTAATAAATTATCTTAGATCAAATATAAATTCAATAGATTCTATAAAATATTATGATTTATTAGAATTACAATTCTATTTATCATTATTATCAAATAAAGATCATGAAGCTAAAACTTGTCTAGATAGAATTATGGATAAATTTGGTGATGGTGATAGTCAAAGAACTGCTATATTAAAAGCTACATATCTTGAAGCTACTGCGGGTGAAAAAGTTGCAATTGAATATTTAAGTAAAAGAAAATCAGATGAATTAGTTTGTCTTAAGAAGAGAATCGCATTGGGGAAATCTAAAGCTACAAAGCAAGATTATATTAAATCTTTAATTGGATATTTAAATGTATCACCACTTGATACCGAAGTATGGTTTGAACTAAGTGAAACTTATGTTGATATTGGACATTATGAAAAAGCTGTTTTTGCATTACAAGAAATTTTATTAGTTTTCCCATTTGCTTATAATATATTTGCACGTATCGGAGAATTAGAAAATATTATATATAAAAAAAATGGAGATTTAGAAAAATTAGAATCAAGTTTAAAACATTTTTTAAGAAGTATTGAATTATCATCAAATTTTATTAGAGGTTGGTCAGGAATTTTAATCACCACTGGGGAATTTAAGAAATTGAATAATCAAAAACCATTAAAAAATGTTAAAATTGATTATGAATCTTTATTCAAGTTGAGTAATTCAAGATTACAAAAAATTATATCAACGAAGGGAACAAATAAAGAAGATTTATTTGCAGGTGAAAGAATTATTTCAACATTTACATGAAATTTAATTAATCCAGGTGTACATTACTTAATATATATTTATATATACTATAATTCATCACAATTTAGCACTATCAACAACAACTTTAACAACTGGTAATTTTGAAGCAATCCAATTTTGATCTCTAAGGAAAGACCTTGGATCACCAGCTAATGGACTAACTTTCCTTATTATATCTTGATATGAAGCTTCTTGTTCTTTATATTCTCTTATAATTAAATTTTCATTAAAATCAATATAAATTCTTGTATCTCTAATTCTAAATATAACATTATCAACTCTTAAGAAAAATCTTGTTAATAATAATAATCTTTCTGGCATAACTCTAATTTTACAACTTAGGATACTTATACCATTATCACCTAATTCATCTTCATATAAAACCATATCATCGAAAAATAAAATTGGATCAGGTTTTTTCAATTTATCTAATGGAATTTGAAATTCAGAATTTTCAATTAATTTAATTGAATCATTTGTAAAAGAACCTTTATAATTTGTTGTATAAGTCCAATCAAATGGTTTAACAATTCCTTTGATATCATTAGTCCCAGTTTCTCTTGTACTAAACCATTCTTTTGAATAAGAAACTTGAATTAAATTTTCACCCGTAGTATCAACTAATGATAAAGCATCTGGAGTATTAAAACTTATATTAAAATTTTTCAATTGATTCTTAATTTCAATTTTATTATGACCAAAAATCATTTCCGGGACAGGTATACCTAATCTTGATTCTTCCATATCAATTTCTTCAGCATTTAAAATTGGTTTTTTAGTTGTATAAATTTCCCAATCATTAATTGAAATTGATGGAGTTTCTACAAGTGGGAATGAAGCAACTGGTGAAGGTATAATAACTCTACCGCAATGAGCACATTGTGGATTGGTACATTGTGATTTATCATGATTTTTAGCAGGAACTTGAATCTCAGGTTTTGTAAATGTTGATGATGTTGATGGTAATTGAGTACCTGTAGTTTCCACAGGAGGTTCAATTGCATTAAAATCAAATGGTTGTCTTTTGATAATATTTGAAGCATTGGGTATATAATTTGGATTTGTTGCCACTGAGGAAGGAGGTTGTCTAGCTCTTGCAGTACTGGCAAACATTTCTCTTGCAGCATTTATATGAACAGTATTGATTCCACCTGGAGTTCTTGAACTGATTGTACCATTTGATGCCAATGCTACTGTTGGTGATTGTGTTGGAGCCCTGTCTGTTGGTTTCTTTGAGGATGGTTTATTCTGAGGAACAGTGAACTTGTCCTGGCTCATTGTGCTTTTGTTGATGTGATTGTTGATGTTGTTGATGGTTGATTTGATGAGTTTTCGTATTGATTTATTTTTCGTTTTTTGCACCTTTTAATTTTATCAAACGATATTTTTGACAGATGGAAACAAATTCATCAACATCAACGAAACCAAATAAACGATCAAGAACTAAAAAACCATGAAGATTGTCAGAAATCCAGTGGTCAGTGTCATCATAAGTGTGATAATACTCTTCACTTTATACTATTCTTTATCTTCAACTTCTTCCTTATCAGAACCAAAACCAATAGCACCATCAACAAAATCAAATGAATTAATTAAAGATGATAAAGAAATAGTAAATACACCATTCATGCCCAAAATGGCAAATGAAACAATCAAAGCAGAATTAGGAAGATCATCATGGAAATTATTTCATACAATATTAGCACGTTACCCCGTAACACCAACAGAAAATGAACGAGAAACTCTTGATCAATTTATTCAATTATTTGCCAAAATTTATCCATGTGGTGATTGTGCACAACATTTTAATAAATTATTAGATGAATTCCCTCCACAAACTTCTTCAAGATCTATTGCATCTGTTTGGGGTTGTGATATTCATAATAAAGTTAATAAAAGGTTAAATAAACCTTTATATGATTGTGCACATATTATTGAAGATTATGATTGTGGATGTGGTGAAGATGAAGAAAATGCTAAAAAAGAAGCATTTGAAATAGAAAAAGAAGGTAAACAATCAGGAGGGTGAGCTCGACTACAATTATGTATTTTCATTATTTTTATTCTATTATTCATTAATATACAAGGGCCTTTATTTTAATTGTCATTAAATTCTTTTGATATGTCATTACATTATAGTACAACAACCATCTTGATTACCACCATTACTATTTGGATTTTTTAATTGTTGAAATTTATTATTTCTAAAAGGATTTTCACCTGGTTGTAAATTACCCCAAATTTCTGGTAATGTAAAATCTTTTGTTGATTGAGTATAATCAATAATTGAATAAGAAGCATTTGAAGCATAAATACGATCTTTTGTTAAAGTATCTTTTAATCTATTATTTAATTCATTTATTCTTTTTAATTTTAAATTTAATAATTTATTTTGAATCTTGGATTTATTTGGAGAATTTTGAAAATTTTGTTGTTGTTGATTAAATGAATCATTATTTATTAAGGGTGTTGTTGGTTCAAACATTATATTATCATATTATTATGTTGTGTTTTATTGTATTGTATAGTGTTATTATTATTAGTATATGAGATATGAAGGATCTAGTTATGAGTAAGAGTCTATTGATGTACTACGAACTTCTCCTTAATAAATTGTACTTGTAATGCATTCTATTTATCTGATACAATTTTCATACTTTTACTTGTAGCCTCAAAATCTAGAATGCAAGAGAATTGGAACAAAATTAAAAAAGAAGAGTATCAGGATTCGAATGGGTGTCAATCTTCACATCCAAACACCATCAACTTTACCACAGTTTTTCATAGATCGTTAAAGAAATTGTATGATTTTATCACCGTTCCGTTAATATTGAGGTAGTTTATATAAGTTACTTTATTCATCAATTAATATATATAATGGTTAGTATATAGTAATCATTATATACCAATGACATTCATACTAACAATATCATAGGAACATCCAAGTTTTACATTAGCAGGTTTAGTCTTTATCGGTGGAGCAGCTGGTTTTGCGTAAGTATAAAACACTAAACACTAAACACCAAGATCCAAAATACTAATTAAATGTTTAGTAAAAAAAGATCAATTCCTTCATTAGTTGCAGGTTTAACATTTGCCACTGCATTCGGTACAGCAGGATATTTATTGAAAAATAATGCTGATTATGGTTTAGAATTAGCTTTAGGTTCTTCATCATTATTATTAGCTGCTGGTATTGCAAGAGGTATTCCAGTTAAATTTAGTAAACCTGTTCCAATTGTTTTAACAGTTTTAGGTTTATTAGGTACAAGTTATTATACAAAAAAATATAATGAATTTTATCCATTTTTTTAATCCCGATGGATCTAATGGATGATTAAATACATGTATATACAAAGATAATTCTACAATAATATTAAAAACCTGTAAACTTCAATATATTTCTAAAGACTTAAACCCCTTTAAACCTAATATCCACTTGATCTATAACCAGCTAGAGTAATATATAAGCTTTAATGACCATCATAACTCTAGTATAAACCAAGATTTGTAACTTCTGTGTAACTTCTGTGTACATTTAGTACCTATAACTAATAAAGAAAATCAAAAATGCAATAACCTAATGAAATGAAATAATGTTGTATGTATGTTATATGTTTATATGATTATAACAATACTGATGGACGTTTACTATCAACACTAACAACACTTGAAGCTCTTGAAGAGTTTGGAGTTGTAGTAGCACTAGTTGGTGAAACATTTGGAATAACAAATGGTTTTGAGATATCTGATGATAAGACTAAGAATTGTTGAGCAGCCATTGTAGTATATGTGTTGTTGTTGTAGTAGTTGTTGTAGTTTTCGTTCTTGTTATAAGATGATTTAGTAAAGATAGACTACAATTACTTTAAACAGGGATATTAAGACTCTTTATATAGTTGAGTATCTGATGTATATGATTTCAAATCAAAGAATTGGTCATTTTTGTAATTCGGGTTTAAAATTAAAAATTTTTAATAGTCATTAATTTTTGTGATCAAAATGGTCATTTTCATAGTCATTTTGACGCACCCCAGATTGAGTGACCATGATGTCAGCAGAGAGCCAGGCAGACTAGTCAGGGAGCTAGGCAGGATAGGCAGAGACACTTAGGCAGAGACTTAGGCAAAGATAAGACCATGTGTTTAATAGGGGCTTTGTATGAGATTTAACGGTTATCGGTTGAAGACTTTGGTGGGACATACGTGGGGGATATAGACAGTAGACAGTACCGGCTATTGACTATTCCATCAAGCCATCCCGGGTTACACTAATACTAAACAACAATGGCGTAATTAGGATACCATCGTTAAGTAACGGGTTCACTAGTTCACCAATGCCATTCCCTTTCAACCTATTGTTCTTAATCCCATTAGCAAAGACCTCAATTCGTTTATACTTTCACAATTGAAACACTGGTAGTTGTACGTTGTACGTATTGTACATCGTGATTAACAATTATTGAATATAGCCAATAACTAACCATTAACTATGCTTAATTCAAGTACTAAGTAGTTAACTAAATCATCATCACTTGTAAGTTGTGACTTGACTGATGGACTATACATCATGGTCCCTTTGACGTGTTGATCATTTGGATTAATTGCATCAAATGTTTGACACCTGCTCATCGTTAAGCACCTGTTCATCAATTTACTTTTGTACTATAGGCTATAACACTATTATATGATTTATGTTAGATCATTCTAGAAGAGTCATGAGTCAACTAATTCATATCTAGATATCGTCTAATTCGTTTAGTTTATAGATCAATTCTATATAGATTGACAAATTACACCGTTTGACGCTTGACTTCCCAATTAGGAAACTATAAATTATAACACATGCAATTTTCTATATAAGCTATATATATATTCTTTTCTTTCATTACTTCTTATTCTCCTTGATCTCCAGATAGTCACCTTCTTCTATTCCATATCATCATGTAATTTAACTTGTTTTGGGAATGGATCTTTTTTACTCAATACTAAAACTCCATTTGTATGAGATAAATAACCTTTTATATAACCTTGATAAATTAAATTTGCAATTATACATTCAGTTTCATCTTGATTTAATATTCCAATCATATTTGAAGATCTTTCTAATTCTGAATTATTTGTATGATATTTTGAAAATTCTAAACCTCTTGTTATTGTAATTATAGATAAATGTGATGATAAATTATTTGATTTATAAATTGTTTTAAATAATTTTAATAATATAAAATTTGTTAAATTTTCAATAACCAAATATAAATTTTTCTTTAAGAAGAAATTTTCATATAATTCAAAATATTTTTCAAAAGTTTTCAAATCTCCATTAATTAAACTTGTAAAAATTTTATTATAAATTTCATAATTTTTAGGAAACATTTTCAATTTTGTTAAATTTGGATATTTCTTGGTAATTAAAAATTTTAATGGTATTAAATAAACTAATATATTTTCTTTATGTTTCATATCCTTCTTGGAACATAATTGATAAGCATATTTAAATTTAAAATATGCATTTTTAAAATTCCCATCTCCACATGATAATGCACCACTATAATATAAATAAGTTATTGCATGAGATTTTGGAATTGATGATAAACTTGGTAATTCATCTTCTTTTGATTTGAAAACTTTTTCCATATTTTTTGCCATATCTTTATTATTTAATTTATGATAAATTTTTAATTCTTGTCCAACAAAATAATAAATACATTGTCTTCTTGATTGTAATAAATCTTCATTACGATCATTTAAACATAATTTATAAGAATTATGAATAGTTCTTGCTGCAATGATTAAACATGATTCATCTTGTTGATTTCCTGAAAAATGATTACTTTCTAAAACTATAGTTGGATTTTTTTCAATATAATCATCAGCTTCAATTGCATAATTTATAAGATTTTTAGTTATAACCATTAATGATTTAACAATCCAAACAGTTTTTTGTTCAGCAAATCTATTTAAATTTTTTAATAAATCATTTGATGTATAGAACTTTTCTGTTTTATCAGGTGAATTTAATGCTTTATTTAATCTAATATAATCTTTCAGGATATTTCCAATTTCAATTGTTAAACTTGAATCTTTTTCAATTATATCTAAACTTAAATTTCCAACATTTATAGAATTTGGATAGTCTTTTAATCCCTCTGCTAATCCTTCACCATCTTCTCTGTTGAGCTTATCAATTAAGAATTGAATTGATTCCATATTAAACTTGATTTATATATATTGAGATCTTGATATCTGACATCAATTCATGTTAATCTTTTTGTTTATACGTCCTTTAATTAAAACAACTAAAAATGAACTAATTCGCGACAGTCGCGAAGACGGTGATTACTTAATCACCATATGCTTATCTAATCTCATTGTATTTACCTTTTCCCTGTTTAGGAATAGTAATTGAATTTATACCGGTTAAATTTATTTTTATAGGAGAAAACTTTGAGAAGTCTAGGTCTTTTCGATTGTTTGAAGCAGTAATGAAGAAAGTGCTTTTAAAATTAGAAAATTAAACTGTGAATCTACTAATACACTTTCAAATATCTTCACTCAAACAAACAGTACAATATAATTATACAATGGTCTTGGATAATATAGAGAATCAAAAACCAATTAGATCACCAATCAATGGTAAAATTGATGCTTCACCAAGAAGACAAAGAATCATTAGTGAATCAACTGGTCTTGTTAAGTTTAATTTATCTCAAAAGGCTCAACAAAGAGAAGAATCTATTAAAAATTTCCAATCATTAGAACAAAAAGCTGTTAATAATGAAAATTTATCTTCACCAACAACAAATAATCATAAAAATGGGTTGAAATTAACTGGCTCTATGATATCACCAAAAAGATCTTCTTTAGATCCACCTTTTTCACCAACAAAACCAGCAAGATCTAATATTAGTCCTTCAAAAACTAATAATTTAGGTATGATTAATGAAAATATAATGCTTGAATTAGCAACAAAACAAAGAGAAGTTTTAGAATTAAAATCAAATATGGAATTATTGAAAAAACAATTATCACAATCTGAAAAAGAACTTTGGGAAATTGAAAAAAAATGTAATAGAACAAATGTTTCAACTTTACCACCTGCTTTAACTCCATCAAGAAGATCATCACCAACAAGATCTTTAATTAATACCCATGAACCATTATCACATCAACCACAACAACAACAACAACAGTTTAGACAACCATCACCTGGTTTAAGATCAAAACAATCATTAAGTGCAATCAAGGCAAGTATTGAATCAAGTTTTGAAGCTACAGCAAATCAACAAAGTCAAAATTTTGCATCATTAAAGAAAAAAATTTCAATTCAACAATTAACAAATAATAAATCAAATTTAAATTTTAAAACAATTCAAAAAGATTTCCAAGAAAATTGGTCAAAATCAATTAATGCTTTTTCAAATTTAACAAATGATTTTATAAAAGATATTAATCAAGTTAGTAATTCAAATAGTAGTTCAAATCATAGTTCAACTTCATCAAATTCAAATAAAAATAATCATAATGAAAGTGATGAAGAAGATTATGAAAGTGATGTAAGTGATTATGGTTGTGCAGATGCAAGTGATTATCAAATTGCAGTTAAATAAAACTATCTTGATAGTATGTAAAATAGACAATATGGTATCACCTAGAGCTGGTTGAAAGGTGATTTTGTATTTATAGTATAATAAAAGAGGTATATACATAATTAAATTTAATATGACATTCTATATTAAAAAGTTTTAGTATACATATATGTAATCCTGTTCAATTAAAGGATCAAACAACAAAAAAATTTTATTCAAATAGACTTATCAATTATTTGAAAGTTTGTGAAACAATCAACTGAGTTGCTTTCAAAGCAGCATAACGAACTTCAGAATTTTTATGATTTAATAATTCCATAATTTTAGTTTTTTTATTTTGAGAATTTAAAATGGTTATAGCATTTGAATCTAATTCTAAAATTTTAGAAATATCATTCAAGATAAATGTAAAATTTGATGAATCATTTTCTTCATAATTTAATAATTCAATTAATTGTTTAAAAATTTTATAATTTGAATCTTGAAATTTTGATAAATTATCAATAAAAAATTCTTTATTTGAATGAGTTGGTGAATTTTTAAAATTTTTTGTTGTTAATTCTTGTAAATATTCATCAAAACTTGTTAAAGTTGAAAAAACTTCTTCAATTTTTGAAGATAATGAATCTAAATCTTGAACTAATTCTTCATCTGCCCATTTACGATTTTTTAAATTTGGAATAATTGATTGAATATTACCAATTAATATTAAAAATTTTAAATTTTCAATTGAATTTTTATCATCATTTGGAATATTTGTTAAATTATTTAAAATTGAAATAATTAATCTAATAATTTTTTCCTTGATGGAAATTTTTAATAATTTTAATAATGATAATAAATCATTTTGATAAATTTTACTAAAATTTTTCAAAATTTCCTTGTTAAAAGTTAATAACCAAATTGATAATAATATTTTATATTGAAATTGAATTGAATTTGTTGAATTATTATTTAAAACTGTATTTAAATTTAAAAATAATTTTGGTACAAATTCATTATTTTTTGTCCAAAAAATATCTCTATATTGCTTTTTAGATAATAATTCACTAATTAATTCAATAGAAAATTGTTTTAATTTAAAATTTTCAGATTCAATTAATGTATCTAATACTTGAAAAGTTTGTAAAACAATTGAATCATCACTTAGTGTGATATCATTTTGAATTAGCAGATATGAAATGTTGAACAATGTAAATAATTTAATAACTTCATCTTGATGATTTAAATATTTAACAAAAGGTTTTAAAATTGAATCATTTGAATTTAATTCAACTAATTTTGTTAAAACTTGATCATATCTCAAAAACCCTGAAAATAAGACATTAACATATTTAATAGCATCTTTTCTATCACTTAAATCTTTCCCAAGGATATTTAATAAAGTTTCCACATAATTATCAACATTATTTGAACGAATAAAATTAGTTAAACTTTCTTCAGTATTAATCTTTTCCAATTCAGTCAATTCTTTAGCTTCTTGTTCCGAGATCAATGAACCACGAGCATATCCATCCCAAGGAATAGTTTTAGATAAGATAGCCTGTCTATAGTCTTCGAAATAAGGACTATCCAATTGTAATTGTTTATACTGATAAGAGATCTTGTTAGTTATGGCCCCTTTGAATAGTCATTTTGATAAATATTGACACAATCCACGAGAAACTTTCGTAGTTTGATAACAAAAGATACTCACTGAAGTACCAGAAGACATTATTACCACTCCAATTTAATTTAAGAGTATAGCTGATTACAACAACACTTTATCAACCCACGCATTTCAATCCCATTTTTCTATTTCGTATTCAAATTACCAAATTTCTGAAATGCAGCACTTAGAATTTGAGAATTCGCGAATAAAAAACAATCAGGTGATCAAAAACGTGATCTAAAAAATCTGTCATTTTAATGAGTGTCAGTGTATTTTTATATGGTCTTAAATCAAATCAATAAAGAATACCAGTTTCCATTCCATCTGAGACAACGTTTGTCTGAGAAGTTGGTGGCTTTTTGATAGGCATTGAGAACACAAGTGGACTGCTGAATATAGAATAGTACTGGTGCTGGACACTGTGCTGAAGTTGGTTGAGATTACAAGAATTAATTTGGAGTTTAGTGCTACATAGCCAATATGAGAATACTTAGACTACGAAAGAATCAAAAATTAGCCATATCTTTGGTTTTATTATTCACAATTATTGGATTATTGATATTCACAGTTACCAATTATGATATAGATACTTCCACTATTCAAAGAACTTTTAAATTGGAGAACTTTGTTAATTTAAGTAATAATGAAACTCATGATCCTACACCATTATTAGCTGGTCAATCCATTGTGACTGATAATGAAAAAGAAACTTTCAAATTAAATACAAACCCAGTGGAATTTATACAGACAAAATATGAAAGTGAACCAGGAAAGGCAGATATATCAATTGAACAAATATATAAATTTAAAAAATTCTTAAATGATGAAATCTTAACACCAATCTTGGATGAAGATTCTTCAATTAAAAAAGTTTCATCTTTATTTGAACAATCTCATTATAGTGAAGGTAAAAAGAAACCACATACAGCGGGACCTGTTAAAGAAAATTATCGTGAAGATCCTGTTTATACAAAAGATTTTTTATTACAATATTTAACTTTAACAAATCAAGAAGTATCAATATTGAAAAAATCACATTCAAATATTGTTAAATCATTACCAAATTCATTCCCTAATGAAGTTGTTGAATCTACATTTACAGATTCACAAAATAATCCAACAAATGGATATGTCTATGTTGGAGGAGCACAATTGAATTTCTTAACTTTATTATCAATTAAAACTCTTAGAGCTTCAGGAAGTGTTTTACCTGTTGAAATTATCATTCCAAAACATTTAGAATTTGATATTGAATTATGTAATTACATTTTCCCCAAATTAAATGCAAAATGTTTAATAATGGAAGATTTTATTGGTAAATCAACAAAGAAAAAAATTGATAAATATCAATTAAAATCAATAGCAATGTTAATTAGTTCATTCCAAAATATCTTATTCTTAGATGGAGATAATATGATTGTGGAAAATCCAGATTATTTATTTTTCAATGAACCTTTTAAAAGTTATGGATTAATTACTTGGCCTGATTTATGGAGAAGATCAACATCACCTTTTTGGTATTCAATTGCAAATATTGATGTTAATGAAAATAAAAAAATTAGAAATTCATATTGGCATAACTTCCATAAACAAGATTTAATTTCACAAGATGGTGAACAAGGGTTTGGAAATGATTGGTTATATTCATATCATGATTTCCAAGGAACAATACCCGAAACAAGCTCTGAAAGTGGTCAATTAATGATTAATAAAAAAACTCATGCAAAGACATTATTTTTATCAATTTATTATAATATTTATGGTCCAAATTATTATTATCCATTATTAACACAAAATTCTCATGGTGAAGGTGATAAAGAAACTTATATATCTGCTGCACACTCTTTGGGTCAACCTTATTATCAAGTTGAAGAATTTCCTCGTGATTTCCAATCAAATAATGGTAAGAATAGACAAGGTAAAACTAGAACAATTCATGCAGTTGGTCAATATGATCCTTCGAATGAATTTGAATTAAAATTAAATCAAGATGGGAAAACATCAAGACAATCAATCAATGATTATAAATATATTAATGATAAATCTCATTGGGAATATAAAATTTGGAAAGATTCTAAAATTATGTTTTTACATTGTAATTCACCTAAATTATATACATGGGAATTATTAAAAGGTTCATTAACATCAATGGGACAAAAAATAAGATTATATGGAGATTTAATATCTCAATTAACTCCATTTTCAAATGATCAAAAAGATTCTAAAATTGAACCAAGAGATTTTGAATTAGAATTATTTGAACATATGAAATGGTATTTTTGTGATCATAAAGATATTAAAATTAAAGGTTTACCAAGTTTAGATTTTGATAAGATTTGTTTAGAAATTAAGGTTCATATTGATTTTTTGAAAAAATCAAAAAAATGATACCCATGATACCCCTTATTCAACAACAAAGGGGTATAAAGATAGAGAAATACAGTATATAACCCATACATTATCAGATAGGCTAATAAAAGATGATCCTTGATGGATTAGTGTTTAAACAATTAATTCCCATGTAATTGTACTATCTCTTCTGTCACTCCGATATGCTAGTTAATAATATGGGTATCCATATATAGCTATTCATCTATCCCCATAGCTCTTTATTCAAAAGTCTATAGAACTCTATATACGATGATTTACTGAATGGTCTCAAATAATCATACGATATCATATGTTGTTTGTTTAGATATGTATTCTAATTGTTTATACAAGTTAATTCTACCGTGTTTATCTTATCTCATCCCTTGAAGATCTTTAATCTTAAAGTCAAAAGTCAAAAGACAAAACTTTAATAAAAATCCATAATATACATGCAGCAGCCAACTGATATCACGATATATAATATGGAAAGATAAGATAACAGAAAAGGGACATTTAGACATTTACGAGTTCAAGACAATTCATAAAAAAGATAATTGTACTACATTTGTTATTTCTAAATCAATAGACTTTAATTTCATAGGTATATAATAACTTTTTTCTAATTCAAAAAAAGTTTGAAAAACTAAAAAACAAAACTTCACTATCTTTCTCTCTCTCACTCTAACTAAAAACTAAACTTTTCATTAAATATTATTCATACAGATCACAATTTCCTTATATTATTATTCATCACGATTATAATGATTCTCTTTGGAATTCTTTAGACATATCAGCATCAGCAATTTCACCCATTATAGTTTCAGCAATAATACCAGTAACTAAATATGGATCAATGTTTGAAGCTGGTCTTCTATCTTCGAAATAACCTTGACCTTCTTTAGCAACAGATCTTGGGATTCTAATAGAAGCACCTCTGTTAGCAACACCGGCACTGAAACTTGTAGCTGAAGCGGTTTCATGACGACCAGTTAATCTTAAATCATTATCAGCACCATATAATAAAATATGTTCTTTATGACGTTTAGCTAATTTTTCAATAGCTTCATCAATATATTTAATACCACCAGCAGATCTCATCTTTTCAGTAGAAACATTGGTATGACAACCAGCACCATTCCAATCACCTTTCAATGGTTTTGGATGGAAAGAAATCTTAACACCAAATTCTTCAGCAACTCTATGTAATAAATAACGAGCAACCCATAATTGATCACCCATTTCAATACCGGTACATGGACCAACTTGGAATTCCCATTGAGATGGCATAACTTCAGCGTTAATACCTGAAATTTCAATACCAGCGTAAAGACAAGCTCTGTAATGAGCTTCAATAACATCACGAGCATAAACTTTACCGGTACCAACACCACAGTAGTAAGGACCTTGAGGAGCTGGGAACCCACCTTTTGGCCATCCATAAACGTTATCATATTGATCAAATAAGGTATATTCTTGTTCAAGACCAAACCAAACTTTTTCAGATTTATGAGCATTCATTAATTTTTCACATTCATGTCTGTGGTTAAATTTGTTTGGGGTACCATCATTGTTCCAACATTCAGCTAAAACAATAACGTTATCACCTCTTCTAAAAGGATCTGGGTAATAAGCAACTGGTCTTAAATAAACATCAGAATCATGACCTGGCGCTTGCATTGTTGAAGAACCATCAAAGTTCCATTCTGGTAAATCATCAACAGAAGTAATAGCTTTTTTCAAAGTTCTACCTTTTGAACGAATTGAACCTGAACCATCAATCCAGATATATTCAGCTAAAATACGACCTCTTTGGTCTAAAGAAAGATATTTTTGTAAAGTAGCGGTGTTTTCAGTTATTTCAGCCATGGTTGGTTGATATGTATATGAAGTTGTTGTGTTGTTGAAGTTCTAATGACTTTAAGCTAATAAATAAGCAATAAGTAAAGAAAGTCAAACAAGTTTGTTATCAAATTAGTTTCAAAAATAGAATACCTGTAATATATATATATACACTTTTGTCAAAAATTTTATGTTAAATTACTTCTGACTCAGAAAAAGCAAAAAATTATCGAGTTTTAAAACGGGACACAAAACCCATGAAATCTTGGTTCGGACAGGACATTTTGGGTATTTATTTTTTGCCTAAATCACCAAAATGTCCCTAAAATTCATGAAACATAAAAGATTATGTTCTTATAATTACCATCAAGATGTCTATTTTTACCTAGTAATTGAGCTATTTATTTATTTACAATTACTATATAGCCATCAATTAATTAACAAAGCACATGCTACGTAAGTATGATACTTTGATTCTCAATTTTACCCGGTATGAAAATTTTACTTAAAATTCCCTCGATCGATCCAATCATGAACATCTTGAATATCATTATTTGTAGTACGAGTATACAACAGATGGTTCAACAATCAAAAGATATACGCCCTTTAAAGGCTAAAGTTTAAAATGACAAGATAAACAGGTCATTTGATTAATGATTAACTGCATAAATTGACGCGTTTTTCGCTCATATATCCCGTGTCTATTCTTTGACTCTTCAATCTCGATTTTAATTGGCTGTGATAAGCCTGTTTTTTTGGTACAGGAAGTTGAAAAACCGCCAAACCGCCAAACCGCCAAACTTCCAAAGGGCAAAAAGAAATTAGAAACGAAACTGCGTAGCGTACGCTGAGTCTGGCCATTTGAGATAACAAATGTGTCAATTAGATTATCAAGTTTGACTCATGATAATTTTATGAATTATTGTTTGTCTGTTGTATATTGTTATATTGTTACTGTCCTATTGTATGCCTTGAATATATCACATTTGTACACCATGATGAATTATCACAGAGTATATGACGTTTGATTGCCTAGTTCTATAACAACTTATCCATTTATCCAAGCAAGCAATAGTGCAATTACACTAAATTATACGATATTACTCCATTTCAAAACATAAACATAAATTAAATTACATAAAATATCTTCATCTAAACTTAATTATTACAGCTTTTAATGAAGATTATACCGCTGTTGTGCTAAAAAAAACAAGTAATTCTTTAAAGTTAAAATTTCATAAGGAAACAAAATGATTGGATTGATAAATGATAAATGATGGGGTAATGAGTTATTTATGTAATTCCAAATTACTCCATATTAAATTCTATTCTTTGGTCTTTTTCTTTTATATCATAATTCATGTAAAATGAACAACAATTGGTACAATAATAACAATTAATAATATAATAACAACTGCAACAAGACAAAATCTCATCTTCATATCTTTTAACCACATTTGTTTTCTAACTCTATTAGCACCTCTTCTAAATCCTTGTGCTGATACTGATAAATCATCTGCTTTATTTTCAATTGAACTTAAATTATTACCACTATATAAAACAAATTTGTTAATATATTTGATCCATTACATAATTATGAATTATACTTACCGTTGTGCAACTTTATCAATATTTTCTCTCATAATACCCACGGTATCATCAATTTCCTTATAACTTTAGTTAGTAATAATAAACAAAAGTATTAAATTGACATATTCACATACCGATTGTAATGCCGCTGTTCTTGAATTTGAATTTGTATTTGATTCTCCAGATGGAATATAAGGATCATAAGGTTGTGCAGAAGACATTTTGAATATATGTTATTTTATTTGATTGGGTTGTTTGATTTGGTTAATTTTTTGTCTTTTGATGACTTTGTATATATAAATAAATTTGAATTGATCTGATCTGATCTTTATTATGTATGAATTTAGGGGCGGTTAAACTTGAAAGAGTCCAATAAGAAATTAAACCACGTAAAACAAATGAAATATTAAATTGTTGATATTTTATAACTTTTAGTCTCAATAATTAAATCCTTTTAAATGATTCCAATTGAAAACTAGTATTAAATTGATCAATGTTCAATGATTATATTTGATAATTCCATCTTTTTGTTATAAATAAACCAGTTTTTTTTTGGTTTCGTGGTTTCTTCACACGCTGGAAAGAAACAATTCGCGGGAAGAAATGCTGTGCTTACCGGGTTCAAGGGTTCAAGATTTTATTAAAACTTGGTTTATTTTGGGTAATTAATCTAGTTAATTTATAGTGAAAGGGATAATAATACTCTTCTTATGAGATTATATGCTCTTCTACTGCTTTTTTTTACCAAATTTACACTAGAATGCACATCCATATTGCTTCCATTTCCACCGATATCTTCATAGGACCATTCGCGACTATTTGACTGAATTATGGGGCAAAGCAAATCTAGACAAAGTACAGAAATCTGAGGCCCTGTAATAAACATTGAGATTATGTATATTCACTTTTAGTATACTAATGGTTTATAAATAGACTTGAATAGGTATACGACTATATGATATATATCAAGTCAATACAAGTAATAATTGGAACTTTAAGTATTCTCCTATCATCACAGCTTAATGTAAGGAAAATTTTGACATCTTGAAAAATATCGGAAATATTCGATTTCAAATCTCCCTCCATCATTATTGATTAAGTCAACAGTTCTATTCCAAAACCTTCTTCATCCCATCATTCAATGCTTAGACCATTAGCCACTAGAATAAGAACATTTGCAACTAAAATGACTACACCAGGACCAATAGAAGAAGTAATTACTTCAAAACTTCAAAAAGAATTTAATCCAATTTCTTTAAAAATTAGAAATGATTCACATAAACATGCTCATCATAGAGCTATGGATGATGTTACAAATAGAACTGAATCTCATTTCCATATTGATATTGTTAGTGAGAAATTTCAAGGGAAAAATCAACCTTCAAGACATAGATTAATTTATAGTTTATTAAAAGATGAAATTGATAATAAAGGTGTACATGCTATACAAATGAAAACTAAAACTCCTGAAGAAGTGAACAAATAAGTTTACGTTAAATACATATATTTATTGAAATTACAGATACATAATTATATTGCTTAAGCATCTTGTTTTAAAGATTCTTCATATTCTTGTTCATTTTGTAATTCTTTTAATTGTTCAGCATCTTCAACTTTAACTTGAACAATCCAACCATCACCTAATGGATCACTATTAACTAATGGAGCATTATCATTTAATTGTTCATTAATTGCAATGACTTCACCTGAAATTGGGGCAAAAATATCATTTGATGATTTAACACTTTCAATTGATCCAATAACATCACCTTGATCAATTTTATCACCAATTTCTGGTAATTCAACAAATGTAACATCACCAATTGCATCTGATGCATATTTTGTAATACCTATGAAAGCTGTTTGATCTGGATGTGCTGCAACGTATTCATGATCTTCTGTAAATCTTAAATCAATTGGACCTTTGGAATATGTATTGATTAATGATTCTTTATTAAATTTACCAATTAATGATGATTGATATCTAAATGATAATTTTAATGTATTATTTAACATTAATCTTGAAGTTGCTGATGAGGATCTTAATAAACTTCTGGAAAACATTGTTGATGAATTGTATATATATTTCTGATGTAACTTGAATCTTATTGATAAATAATATAAATAATTAATTTCAGCTATACTAGTTATCAATTATGGATCTAATAAATTTTTTGGAGAAATCCCTTTATATAAAATATTCATTCGGCCTGTAAAAAAAAGCTGCTGTTGACCGAGTCGAAGATCTCAAACCTTGACTCCGTTTCGCGATCCAACGAAAAAATTCATGTGTCAAAAAAAATCAAGCAACAAACGCGAAAAATGAACAATCTTCAAATCTTTAAACATGAATAAAATAACATCCAGTTAAGTTTAACGCTAAATTAGTATACAGAACTGCTCCAAATTTATCAAAGTCTTCATTCAAGTAGTTAAAAATTTGACATTTCAACAAAAAAATAAACTTGGACGAGTCCGGAGTCGAACCGGAGACCTCTCCCATGCTAAGGGAGCGCGCTACCAACTACGCCACACGCCCGTCCAGTTGTCCATTTTGAGGCGCCGAAACATTAATATACCATACATTTTGAATGTTACCCGCAGTTTTGCGTGCGTAAACCGATAATATATAGGTACCATTATTGTTTAAAGTTACAACTTTGTCCTTCATATTTTATCACTTTTGGTTTGAGAAAATGATTCAAAATTGGCGTGATACGAATTTTTACTCATAAAATCATATAATGTCTACTTTCAAAGACACAAATATAACTACATTATTGTTAGAATTACGACACAATATATAGGTATACATATGTTGGCGTTAACTACTTTCTACCTTCATCTTTGACTACAACGATAATATCAAACGAATTTACTGATCAATCAAAGTTATGCTTTTGATTAAATTTGAAGTATAAATCAACATGAGATCATACAATATGATCTTAATTAAGATGTTTTACCCTTTGGATCTTCAACGATTTCAATTACCTCAACTGGTAAATCTAATGATGAATTTTCTCTATATTCTTCCTCCTCTGAGTATTCATCATCTGTGACAACATCATCTTCAGCTTTAACAGTAGATCCTAGCTTGGCTTTATCCCTTGCTTCTAAGAAATCAGAGAGAATAAATAAAATACCCATTAATAACGAAAAAGCCAAAGCCGCAGGATAACCAATCTTCCATCTTGGAGCTTCCCGATCACCTTCTTTCTCAGCCGTTGGAAACAATCCCAAAGGTGCCCATGTATAAACAAACATTGCAGAGCTCATAGTGAAAGCCATAACAATAGCCTTCTGTTCCTGGTCGTGTCTTAATACTCTGTTTATTGTAGAGAATAAAACTGGTGATCCTGCACCTATAAGACCTGCAATATAAAAAGCAAAAAACACAGCAGGTACTGGAACATTATAAATAGTCATAATCAATGTAAATATGGCATTTCCAGCAACATTTAGTAATATGTAAGGTTTCCAAGGTGATATAACAGCAGCACTTGTAGTGCCTAAAAATGAAGTAACTGCATTTATAATATTTTGTACTGTTGGATAAATATTAATTTGGGCCACTGAATACTTATTTTGTGCTTTCAACCATAGTGAGAAATAAAGAGTTGGATACCATGCAATCAACATTGAAATATAAGATAAACTAAAAACATAAATCTTCCAATCTGTGAATGTCGTTTTAACCTTTTGAAATGTGATATTGTCAGCTTTCTCCACTTTATATCTGATTCTTCTCTTATTTGCTAAAGTATATTCTTCAGTTGATAACCACCAAGGCTTAGGAGACTCTGGTAAACCAGGAAAAAATATAAACCCAGCAATTGCAACTGGAATTGTGATTATACCATCAATAATAAATAACCATTGCCATCCTTTATAACCATAAACCCCACTTAAATTTTTATAAGCTGCAACTTGTAAATATGAATTAACAATACGACCTAAAGAAGTACTAGCAAAGAAAACACTTGTTCTACTCCATAACTCTGCCTTATTACCTCTAAACCCTTTAGTTCCATACCATTTTCCTAAAACATAGTGAACGCAAACGTAGTTAGGCCCATCAAAGAATCCAACGAGAAATCTTAATAAATAAAGATGATGAATATTTTTTACTTGACTTTGTAAGATGGTCAATAAACCAAATGCAAATTGCATGGAAGGAACAACATAAGGAGCAAATCTAGCCCTTGAACTTAATAATACCATAGGTATCTGGGCTGTAACGACTGCCATTTGATAAGCAATGTTTAACCAGTTTAGCTCATTCCCATAAAGGTTTAAATCTTCTTTCATTCCTGATACAAATGCTGAACTAATGTTTGCACTATCAAGATTTGCTGCAAATGTTGCAACACAACAATAGGCCAAAATTGAAATATCTAGTTTGAAAAGCAACTTTCTTTCAAAAAGTTCATAGTTTTTGGGATACCATACAAATAATGAGCGTAACCATTGAACAAATTTATTGGATGTCATCACCATTTTTGGAGTTTTGGTATACCAGTCTCAAAGCCAAGTCCATTGTTATCTTTCGTTTTAAAAAGAGTAACGAGCAGTAGCATTTATTCAGTATTTTATACTAGATCCATACCTATAAACGTTTGCCCTATAGTTTGACTGTGACTTTCACCCACAATGTGTAAAATAATACACAGTTCGGCAGCTATACCAACTTGAGAAAAAATGATCACAATATTAGCTCGATATAGACCAGCTGATATTTAAATTAACAGTAGTTTGTAACATCATCAACTCGCTTATTTGAATGACTTTAGCTTACAGCAACTTTCTGAATCACTATTGCCATTATAGGTACGGCTCATTTGACATTTGGGTTATATGGAACTAAAAATTAGTTGATTAAATATATTTCGATTAACAAAATTCATGAGATTTTCGCGCTATACAACTTACGCCAAATTTTCTTGATGAGAAGGTACCTGAAGTTTGCACATATTGATTTACTAATATAAAGTCGATATGATCCGTCTTAATCAGCTGCGAAGTGCTATTTCACACCTATATCGTACTTCCTCAAGTTGAGAGTTTGAATTCATAATATCATCATAAGTATAATACAATATGCAGCATGTCGGTATCAATTAATAACATGAAGATTATAGAAAACCAAAATTTAGCATATATTCGAAAGCACATAATATTAACTAATCAACTTATAACAAAAATAATTCCTGCATAAATACAATTCAGAAACAAAAACGATCCCCAGCTGTTAATCTTATGAAGTTTCAGCTCTTGATTTGATAGCTTCATTAAATCTTTGGAAATTCTTTTCAGTCTTATCTTTAATAAAGTACAACAATGGATATTTCAAAGCACCGGCAAATTGTTCAGAATGAACCAATTCAGTCTTGTTGGAATCACCTTGTACTGGATTGAATTCAAATTTGTGAGAACCTTCAAAGATATATGAGCTTAAAAGAACACCTTTCCATGAGAATTCAGTGGCCGAATTTGTCAATATAACTGGTTGAAGTTTTGTAATAGATGTACCTTCTTGCTCAAATGATAAACCAACATTTAAATTATCACCAGGATTGATGCTATTATCTTTAACAGGTTCAATTGATTGAATAAAAGCTGACCATTCTTTATATGTAGAGAAATCCAAAAAGACTTCACGAACTTTTTCAGGTGAAGCATTGATTATAATTGAGGTATTGATTGAGTAGTTTGACATTCTGATAACACGCGTACTTGGAATTAAAGGTGCCGAAGTTCAAATTATACCTCAAAGCCAAGTTCTGCATGGAAATCTTTATCAATTTATAGGGAAACTTATCATCATGCAATAACGTTATAAAATTATCAATTAATTTTGTAGTTATGTAATCAGAAGATCATTTATGCAGATCATTTATTCTATCGGCCGAACCATTTAATTTTATACACGCGCGCATATTATATAATTATGGTGAAGTTTGGATCAGGAAGATATATAAGAGTTGAATAGTGAAGATATCTGTATCTATTTAACTACTAGGCTAATATTATTAGTTATATATGGTGGTGAACTCAAAATATATGCAGCTCGATATTATTTATCAGTATTGGGTTTCTAGTACAAGTAATGCCCAATATTAGTAGGAGATGAGTGAATATGAGTGATATAGGTACCGCGACGTATAACGTCTATTAACTACGTCGTACTGCTCTGTAGAGTTGTACAGAATTGTAAATGTATCATGAATATATTGTGACATACGTCTATCAGTAATTATATACTTTTGACACAATTTCCACTGGCCGTCTTCTGTGAAGTTTGAATTACCACTTCTTCATTTCTTTAGCTGATTACATACTTTCGTACTTCCACAAAAGACGTGATACTTGTATAGTTACTTACCTTCAACGGCCCCTGATTTAATGCCGTATTCAAAAGTCTTAGCACAACGGTTTCTAAAATATAATCGTAATGCCTTCTGCTCTTTCCTTGACGGAATTTCTAAATTGACAACCAAAACTCCCAATTTAACCACAATTTTATGTGCGCGCTTCCATGAAAACAGTCAAAAATTACATCAACACGTCAACAAAGAACAATAAGATATTAAGGGTTCAAAGCAAAAGGGTTTTTATTTTCACTAGAGGGGAATATCCAGAGTTGATCAGCTCCACTGTATACCTATCAAGTTCTGTCAAAATAGATTATTAATCCGGACTCTTATGATGATTGTGGGTAGTATTGTGTTGCGGTAATTGTGGTGAAGATTGGCCACACTTTCTTATTGTGGATACTCAAAGAGTAAAACAGTAGAACCAGACTAACAGTAACTGTTTTCAAGAAGCCATAGAATCAAGAAAAGAAATGTCAAATTAGATGAGCTGAATATTTTTACGATGATGGTTTTTGATATAAAAAAGCGGTTGAATCCTTAAGTTATACGTTGATTATTGTTGGATAAAGTATAAACATACCACAGTCAAATATGTCATTTTTGTCTAAACACTTATCAAAATTGACAGTTAGCTCACAGGAGCAAGATACTGAATTATATGACGTGAAGGAAAACCATCTACAGACTGTTGAATCCGGTGATGAAACTTCAGAATCAGAAATTCAAGTTAATGAAAATGGTGCTCCAATAGAGAAAAATAATCCATTGGGTTATAACGTTGGTTATAGCTCACTTGTATATTTGGTTGTCTCTGGTATCATTGGTACAGGTATTTTCTCAACACCAGGTACTATTTTAAAACAAATTGGGTCAGTTGGTGGTTCGTATATTCTTTGGGTTGTTGGTGCTATCATTGCGATTCAAAAAGTGTTGATTTATATTGAATTCTCAGTTACTATGCCAAATAGATCAGGTGGTGATACTGCATATTTAGAACAAGCTTATCCAAGACCAATTTTCTTAATTCCAAGTGTTTACGCTGCTGTTAATATTGTGTTATCATTTTTGAATAGTTCTGCTGTTGCATTTGGTCAATATATTTTAAAAGCGGCTGAAGTTGAGCCTACTACATGGCGTCAAAGAGGTATCGGTGTTGGTATTTTAACTTTTACATGTGTCTTATCTGCATTGAGTACTAAATGGTCACTTAGATTATCAAATTGGTTAGGTCATGCTAAAATCATAACTTTATTATTCATCTCAATCACAGGGTTTGTTGTTTTAGGTGGTGGTACAAGTGTTGAAAATCCAACTGCTAACTTCAAAAATGCAATGCAAGGTGCTACATCAAGTCCAAATAGTATTGCAAATTCTATTATCAAAATTTCTTTCGCTTATGGTGGTACAGGTTATGCTTTTGGTGTTGTTTCCGAATTGAAGCCTGAAAGACGTTATACTGGTTACACAAGAGTTGTTCCAATTACATTTTTCGTTATTTTTGTGTTGTATATTACAACTGTTACAGCTTTCTATGCTGGTGGTGGTACATTAGATGAAATAAAAGGTTCAGGTGTCTTAACAGCTTCTTTATTCTTTGATAATGTCTTCAAAACTAAAGCTGCTACAAAAGCATTAAGTGTTTTGGTTGCCCTATCAGCATTTGGTCATTTAATTCCAGCTGTTGTTTCTCATTCAAGATCTTTAAGAGAATGTGGTCGTCAAGGTGTTCTACCTTTTAGAAGTTTCTGGGTTTCAACTAAACCATTCAATACCCCATTGGGTCCAATTTTTGTAACATGGTTAGTCAATACAGTCGTTATGATTGCTCCACCAGCTGGTGATGCTTATAATTTCATTGTTGATATTGGTTCATATGCTGGTTACTTCTTTGATTTTTTAATGGCTTTAGGTTTACTAAGAGTTAGAAAACAAAGAAAAGCACTTGGTTTACCACCTGCAAAATTCAGAGTTCCATTGGTGTTTATTATTATTCAAATGTTATTCCAAGTCTTTGTCATCATTATGCCATTAGTCCCACCAAAAGCAAAAGATGGATCAATCGATTTAAATGGTGGTGATGTTAGTTTCTTCTATGCAACATATTGTGTGGTTGCCGTTGGTTTACTATCATTCTGTGTTCTCTACTATGTTGTATGGCATTTCGTTATTCCAAATTTGAAAGGTTATAGACATAGAGTTGATCGTTATGAATTGAAAAATGGTGAATTGGGTAATCGTGTTATTAAAGTTCCAGTAGAAGAATTGGAAGAATGGGATAGAGCCCATGGTCATAATGTAAAGCTTAATGCTCCATTAGATACAAATTTGGAAACTATTGAAGTTATTCCAGATGGAAAAAGTAATGATTTGAGACATAGAGATGTGTAATTTAATATGTTTTGTTGTAATATCATGCATATAATGATTTTGATTTTGGGTAATACGAACAGACTGTAGCTGTTTTACAAGTAACGATCTTCAAGCATTGTGCTATTTCAGTATATGAGCTTGATACTGAACTGAACTAAAATGGTTGTCGCGCTCTTGCTGCAAAATATAAAATTGAAGTTCAAAACATCTACAAACAACAACATCAACAACCGAGACCCACTGGACATATTTCAAGCAAACATGATACTTTCAGGTTCATGAGCTACTGATGATAGATTGATTGATTGATTGATATGCTGCCTCCTGTGGACCACCGATCTTTCAAGATGCTGACATTGGTTCGATAAAAATTAGAATGTTCATAATTGGCCACAGTTTAGTTGTATTGTGGAGTTATTCTTTATCTTGGTGTTTCTGATCTCCAATATGGGTTTTCATCCAATACACAAGGGCTTAATATGTGAGCCTCAGAAATTCTGAGATACTATAGCTGCTGCTTTATTCTGACGTTATGGCTAGATGATAAGACGTGTGTTCTTGGTAATAAGATTTCAAAATTGGACCCTGAATTTTTATATAAACCTGATTATGTCTATCTATGGCTTTCCAGAATGTTGATTTTTAACCAGACCTACACATCATGGTATCTTTAACAAAGAAAATATCAAGTCTTACTTCCAGGTCTGGAGATTCAGATATTGAAGTTCACGATATAAAAAATAATTACTTAGAAACTGTTGAATCTGGAGATGAAACCTCAGAATCCGAAATTCAAGTGAATGAAAATGGTGCACCAGTTGAAAAAGTCAATCCGTTAGGTTACAACATTGGTTATGCCTCGCTGATTTATCTTGTGGTATCTGGTGTTATTGGTACTGGTATTTTCTCAACACCCGGCACTATTTTGAAGCAAATTGGGTCTATTGGTGGTGCATATATTCTCTGGGTAGTTGGTGCTATCATAGCTACATTAAGAATCCTGATTTATATTGAATTTTCAGTTACTATGCCAAATAGATCCGGTGGTGATACTGCTTACTTAGAACAAGCCTATCCAAGACCACTTTTCTTGATCCCAAGTGTTTATGCAGCTGTCAACGTTATTTTATCATTTTTAAATAGTTCTGCAATTGCTTTTGCTCAGTATATTTTGAAAGCAGCTGATGTTGAAGTAACTACATGGCGCCAAAGAGGTCTCGGGCTTGGAATTCTGACCTTCACTTGTGTCTTATCAGCTGTTAGTACTAAATGGTCTTTAAAATTATCAAATGGTCTTGGTCATGCTAAGATTATAACACTATTATTCATCTCAATTACTGGCTTTGTTGTTTTAGCTGGTGGCACAAGCGTCAAAAATCCAACGGCTAATTTCCATAATGCAATGGATGGTGCTACACATGATCCAAACTCAATTGCTAATTCAATCATCAAGATATCTTTTTCATATGGTGGTACAGGTTATGCTTTCAATGTTGTCTCTGAACTTAAAGCCAACAGACGTTATACTGGCTACACAAGAGTTGTTCCAATTACGTTTTTTTTCATTTTCTTATTATACATTATGACAGTCACAGCTTTCTATTCTGGTGGTGGTACATTAGATGAGATTAAAAATTCTGGTGTTTTAACTGCTTCCTTATTTTTCGAAAATGTTTTCAAGACTAAAGCTGCTACAAAAGCATTGAGTGTTTTGGTTGCCCTATCAGCATTTGGTCATTTAATTCCAGCTGTTATTTCTCATTCGAGATCTTTAAGAGAATGTGGACGTCAAGGTGTTCTACCTTTTAAAAGTTTTTGGGTCTCTACTAAACCATTTGGTACCCCATTGGGGCCAATCCTGGTAACCTGGATAGTTAATACTATTGTAATGTTAGCTCCACCTGCTGGTGATGCGTATAATTTTGTGATTGATTTAGGATCTTATACTGGGCATGTCTTTGAAATTTTATTAGCAATCGGTCTTTTAAGAGTTAGAAAGCAAAGAAAAGATCTAGGTTTACCACCTGTGAAGTTCAGAGCTCCTTTAGTCATTATAATTATACAACTTTTATTCCAAGTATTTGTCATCATTATGCCACTGGTTCCACCAAAAGCCAAAGATGGATCAATCAATTTGAATGGTGGTGATGTCAGTTTCTTCTATGCTACATATTGTGTTGTATCTGTTTCATTGTTGTCATTATGTGTTCTTTATTATATTGTTTGGCAATTTATTATTCCTCATTTCAAAGGTTATAGACATAGGGTTGACCGCTATAAACTGGAGAATGGAGAATTAGGTAACAGGGTTGTGAAAATACCAGTAGGTGAATTAGAAGAATGGGATAATGTACATGGTAAATCCGTCAAGCTCAATGATTTAGGTAAACAGGCCGTTAAACGTGTTGATATAGTCACCGATGAGCAGTCTAAAGATAGCCTGAGACATAGAGATGTTTAACTCAAATTGAATAAAATACCAAAGTATAATCAAAATCTACATGTATGGGTAAGACTAGTTCTGATCTAGTTATTGTACCTCTTTAGTTTTTTAAGACGCTCGCTTTATACCAGGTACTCAAAATCAAGGTTTTACAATATTGGAGGAAATTGATGAAGAATCAAAAACAGATGTTATATATCAGATAATCAGCCTGAAATCATTGAACAAGATATTGAGCTTGAGAATAAAGATATTTGGCGCTAACCGCTCATTGTAAAGCATTATATGTTTGGTTTTTCTGTTTTCGGGATCTTTGGTGCAATCTGTAAATTTTCCTATTGTGGTCAGACATCTGACACAAAAACACATATTAGTGTCACAAGGCGAAACATTCAAACTTTTCAGATCTGGGCTTCTTCAAAATAGAGGTTAATTAACGTTAAGCTATCTGGTAGATGAGGAAGAATTAAAAGCTCAAAACCCATCATCAACATCTGCTGCTGCTGCTTTTTTCCTTTGTGTCATCATCTTCATCATCAAGTATACCACGTTTCAAAATCATAAGAAAAATACATACTAAGAAATGGGAAATACACCAAGTCGCCCATCACCAATCACAATTGATCCTGAATCAAACGTACAAACGGATGGTCTTGATAGCTTTGATTATGATTTAGAGCATGGCTCCCATCTAAGTTTTGATAATGAAAATAGTTATCTTTCAAGAATCACAACAAAGTTTCATCATGCCTTGAGTTTCAACTATAAAAAGGAAAAGGAAAGGTATATTGAAAGTGCACATCTTGTTTGACAGAGCTAGTTTTATTCGTGTTAATAGAAGCTTTGACTTTATCTTTTGAAAAGATTTATACCAATCTTATTGCTCTGTGTGGTTTTATTTGTTGTTTAGTTGCTTGGCTATGTCTAAATTATGCTGCTGGTCTGTTGATAGTTGTCTCTTTCTCTCTTAACTAACATTACACCATTAATTTATGTCTTGTGCTGCTTTTTGTCGCTTTTGTGTTTTATTTTCTTTGATCTATCAATATTTCAGGAGCTTTTTACTATTACAATAAATACTGAACTCTTGAACATACATAAATATACAGTGATTTATGCAATTTATTATAAGAGACAATTTTCAATTATAAATACTATTATAACGACGTTAGGATCACCGTTAATGTTATAGCAAGCTGGACTGATAGAATTGCAAGCTTTGTTTTCATTTTGTGAATAAAATTATCGAACACAGACTCAAGGATAACACCATCATAAATTATAACACAATAGAAAAAATAATCACAGGGAATAGGTTCTACAATCAACAGATTATTCAATGTTTAAATCATTCATTCAGAGTCATACGTGAATATAAAATATAATATAAAATTCTTTTAAAATTCTTTTAAATACATAGGAAACCTGTCCCCATTTACTATAACTTCAAATCTAGTTTGCAGTGTCAACAACGTAACGACCAACAATTTTACCTTGTTCCATTAATTCGAAAACTTCTGGTAATTTAGATAAACCAACAACTTGGATTGGAGATTTGACTAAACCTCTGGTGAAGAAATCAATAGCTTCTCTGGTATCAGCTCTGTTCCCGACATATGAACCAATAATGTTGATAGATTTAACAACGTGTGAGAAAACTTCTGATTTACAAACAGCACCGGCTGGTAAACCAACTAAGACAACTTTACCAGTTGGTCTAACGTATTCAGTTGATTGAGAAATAGCAGCTTCAGCAACAGAAACGTTGATAACACCATGTGGACCACCTTGAGTAGCATTTTGGATAGCTTCAACAACATTTTTTTCTTTAGTGAAATCAATGAAAACTTCACCACCTAATGAAGTGAATAAATCTTTTTTAGCTTCACCACCATCAATACCTAAGACTCTTAAACCCATAGCTTTAGCATATTGAACAGCTAATGAACCTAAACCACCACCAGCACCTGAGATAGCAACCCATTGACCAGCTTTTAAGTTTGCAGATTTTAAAGCTTTGTAAACGGTAACACCGGCACATAAGATTGGTGCAACTTGAGCTAAATCAGTACCTTTTGGAATTTGAGCAGCTTGAACAGCGTCAGCAGTAGCATATTGTTGGAAAGAACCATCATGAGTATAACCTGATAAATCAGCGTGAGCACAATTTGATTCGAATGAGTTTTCACATAATTCACATGATTGACATGAACCATTTAACCATTTAATACCAGCGTAATCACCAATTTCAAAGTTTTTAACTTCTTCACCTTTGGCAACAACAATACCAGCACCTTCATGACCACCAACTAATGGTAATTTAACTGGTAATGGCCAATCACCTTTCCAAGCGTGTAAATCAGTATGACAAACACCTGAATATTTAACATTGACTAAAATTTCAGTTGGTTTTGGTTTTGGAACTGGGATATCTTTATATTGTAATTCACCACCATTTTCGTAGAAAATAACACCCTTTTGAGTTTCTGGAATGGTTGTAGTGGCTAAAGTTCTAATGAAAGATCTTCTGTTGATTGGAGCAATTGATCTGTTTAATGTTCTAAGCATTATGAATGAATGATTTGAATGTCTTCAAGACTTGATGTCAAATTAAACAATTCACATAAATCTCAAATCATGGGAATCAAGGCTCTTTATATATAATTTCCATCAACACTCCTGGATTCTGGAGTTTATCTGGTTGGTCAATTGAATACAAGCATATGTATCTAAAATTCTGGGGGAAATTTCAAAATTCTCGGAGTCTATACACAAAGTGCATGATATCCATAAGTGAAAATGTGTAGGAGTCCTTAAAAGCCAATGATGATCTGCAGATAAATACTTTGAAGTTTGAACTATTTTCAAGGTTAGATGGTAAAAAATAAACCAATTATTTTAGGTGATGGATCGTTGTCATTCTCGTTAGTTTTTTTTACTTTTTGCAGTGAGTTTTAGGATCAGAAAACATGATTGAGGTATTACGTAGGGCTGAAAACTATGGTACTTTAGAGCTTGAACAAGATACGTCGTAGTGGATATGATGTGGGTGAACTAGGTACAAATTGTTCGGAGTTGAGAGCAGATGTTGTTAATTAGATGAATGATCAAGTTTGTGAGGATTGTTATAGGCCAGTTGAAGTTGTTGGTTTGCAGTTGACGGAGTTCGAGTGGAAGCTGGTAATTCTTTTTGCAGATGCAGGTTGATAATTAGCATTTGAAAATTGGCACTAGAGAATCAATTGTATTACAGAATTGGAAGGTGTAGGACCTAGGTTAGATTGATCTATGATATCAATTGAAGGTGTATAATAGAAGTTGTGTAATTACTAATTATAAACCATATATGTTTGACAGCTAGTAATCAGCTTCCTCAGGATCAATTGATACCGTTCGATCCTGTTTTACCGTGACATCTCATACAATTTTAAAGACACATCTCAAACTTCGATCTCGGTTCTTGGAAGTTAAAGCTGTCCAGTTGTTTGTTGTATGCGCATTTTAGCATCTTCTTTTGATTCAGCCTTGTGGTTTTTCCTTAAACTTTACAAATTGTTAGCTTGAATTGTTGCACCTTCGCTAAATTAGGGGCAATTGTGGGGCAGAAAATCTCCTTTCTAGCCTGGATAATTACACAGAGGGGCAATTTTAAAGGCCATCCAACCCTCTTTAAATAGGATGAACCACTTCTGGAGTTAAGAGCTAGTCTAATGCCTTGGTTTTTCCAGCTTTGTTTTTCCAAATCGATTGTAACAGAACCAGTTCAATTGACTTCAACTTGATACGTTAAATAGTATTACTATGTAGTTTTAAATAACCATATCTCATGGGAATCAGGATCTATCGGACTACGAACTAACAGGAGTCCTTCGCTTCAGAATTTTTGCGGGTTGAATATTTTAATTTTTCAGTGACGTTCAGTTTTTTCACAGCACTTTAATTTTTGGCACTCTTTGGAAATTCGGAGCTGTGGAAGATTTTCAATTCGGAGTTTAAATCCAACATCGGAGTTAGAGTCGCTTATGTCGGAGCTGACTCAGCGCACAACGGATTATAAGATCTATACTTTTGGCTAATTTAACTTTTGATTGTAGGGCTGAATTCAAGTTGAACTTCTTATTCTATGCATTGTGCAATACAAACCGTTTTCATCTTATCTACATCCTTGGTTAAATACGATCGATATCAATCTGAGATGTTATTAATTATATCAGCTAGTACATCAAGCTACAATTCGGAGTTTCAAAATAAATAACCAAGACATAAATTATCGTAAACACGTTTTAATAAAAGCAGGAATGAGAAGTATGAACGGTGAATGAACCTATTTAGAGGTATCAACAACATAACGACCCAAGATTTTGCCTTGTTGCATCAAATCATAAATTTTTGGTAATTCAGATAAACCAACAACTTTAATTGGAGCTTTAACTAAACCTCTGGTGAAGAAATCAATAGCTTCTCTAGTATCAGCTCTGTTACCAACATATGAACCTTTAATAGAAACTGATTTAACAACAGCACCAAAGACTTGAGCTTTAGCAACGGCACCAGCTGGTAAACCAACTAAAACAATAGTACCAGTTGGTCTAACATATTCAGTTGATTGTTCAATAGCTTTTTCAGAAACTGAAACGTTAATAACACCATGTGGACCACCATCAGTAGCTTTAATGATATCAGCAACAATATCTTTAGTTTTAGTGAAATCAATGTAAATTTCAGCACCTAAAGATTTAACTAATTCACCTTTATCATCACCACCATCAATAGCTAAAACTCTTAAACCTAAAGCTCTAGCATATTGGATAGCCAAAGTACCTAAACCACCACCAGCACCTGAGATGGCAACAAATTGACCAGCTTCTAAATCAGCAGTTTTTAAAGCTTTGTAAACAGTAACACCAGCACATAAGATTGGAGCAACTTCTGATAAATCAGTACCAGCTGGAATTTTAGCAGCTTGAACAGCATCAGCGGTAGCATATTGTTGGAATGAACCATCATGAGTATAACCTGATAAATCAGCCTTTTGACAGTTTGATTCAAATGATTTTTCACAGTATTCACAATGATTGACATGAACCATTTAACCATTTAATACCAGCATAATCACCAATTTCAAAATTGGTAACGTTAGCACCTTTAGCAACAACAACACCGGCACCTTCATGACCACCAACTAATGGTAATTTGGTTGGTAATGGCCAATCACCTTTCCAAGCGTGTAAATCAGTATGACAAACACCAGAGTATTTAACATTGATTAAAATTTCATTTGGTTTTGGGGTTGGGACTGGGATATCTTTGTATTGTAATTCACCACCATTTTCGTAGAAAACGACACCTTTTTGGGTTTCTGGGATAGACATTGTAATTATAATTGATTTGTATTAATCTTGTTCAAAGAACTTGATGAAGAAAAAACTATAAGCTAATGATCAATTGTTGTATTCAAGGGGGGTTTAAACTTTCTTTTATACCCATCTCGGAGGAATAAAGTTTGATTATGGAAAACAGAAATTGTTGAGAAAACTAAGACACATACGAATCAGGTGGTACAACAATTCACGTCGGAGTTCAAAATCAATTTCTACATGATTAGACCAAAATGGATTGTAACTTGCAGCTAATTTCATTCATACAAAGTTATTGTTGTTGGAACTTTCAATTGTTGTTAGACATTGGCAGGGTATATTATAGGGGATGAAGGATGAAGGATGAAGTTTGAATCAACGCGGATTAACAATTTAACAATACACTAGAGGCTCAATGAGAGTATAAGTTGAATACCATTAAAGCCAATTGGGAAAGGATCATACAGATTGATCCGTCTTTCATATGAATACCAGATCCGTGGAATCTCAATTTTGAGGTAGTTTAATACGTTATTCAGTAAATGACACTTTCGTAAAAAATGGAGTGCAGTAACTGACATCAACAACTGGTGATGTTTTTTCTTTCTTTTGCACTACAAACTCCAAATTAAAAGATCAATTTCCAAAGGTACAATGGAAGAATAAACTGCCAGATTTCAATTAAGGTTAGACTCCGAGAAGCCTTTACTATATTATAGGTTTCCACTTGACCTTCTTGTCTCCACAAACTTTGAGTGATCATATTGGTCTTTTTGTTCAGTGTCTATTAATCAAGTACACGTATATAGCTTTTAGTACACATGGTATTCGGAGTCCACACTGATGCAAGCACGTAAGCCATTCGCCTGATTAGCAGAGTACTTTATCAACACACATTCAATCAATTACATGGCTAGTGCCAATGGTACCACCAGAAGGATCAATGAATTGTGGGATGTTCATTGGTGAAGTCTGCAGTCAAGTTGGATCATTTCTCGGTATGCGCAGCAGAATCTGGTGATTTTTGAAAAATCCCAGCTAATTTTCCTATAGAAGAATAGGGAGTTCTTTGATCTGTTGATGACAATAGGAATGATTAAGTTTATACAGGTGAATTATCAGGTTTTATCAATGCTAGAATATTCGATCTACATGAATGAAGATTCGGAGCTGAAAGTTTTAGATATTGGTATTCATTGAGGCGCTAGTATATTTCAACATTTCAACACCCCCATAATATTCAACAGTAAACACCCAGTTAGAACACTCATTTAAACCAAGGAATGATTTATGTTATGGAGGTGGTAACCCTAAATCAATTTGATCTCATTATATCCAATTACAGCTGGTGTGAATTTTAAATCAAGATACCATCTGATGTTCTACCATTGAATTCACAACAGCTCATAATTCCAATCTAACAAGACTAGATTTCAGCCTTTCCATATCTAGATCCTCAACGTTCCTGAATAATAGTCGGTTAATGGTTCTAGTTTTGACATATTTTTAGATAAACAAACAGGTTTTTTATTATCAGTGCATGCATTTTAATTCATCGGATTCCACTAGCTGTTGAGTGTTGACAAAGGAAATTGCTATGAATTAATGGGACTCCGGTATTTGAAATACTACCAGTGAAACTCCGAATAGAATACTGGAGGTATCTATCTAACAATCTTTTTTGTGCTGAAGTTCAATCAAAAAAAGGTACCATGCAAGTCAGTGGTCACTGTCATTCGGTGTTCATTAAATGAGAATTGGAGTTAATTGAGTGCATTTGTTCCAGATTATTCTGGATCTTCATGGTTAAACCCAACAGACTTGAAGTTAAGAACCGTCAAGCTTAATTGCACTTGGTACGTATAATTCAAGAGTAATGAGAGATCTCGTGACCTTTGAATAAAGAAATCTGGAGAATCAGACTGTGTACTCAGTTTTAAGCTTTAAGGTTGACTGGTCATTGTATCTTGTACTACCTTCAATTGTTTCTTCTTCATATTGGGGGTTGCTTCAATATGATGTTAAATTGGGTGTGATAACAGCTTCTAACTTCAAGTACAATGTTCTAATCTACTTCTTGAGTGTTTTCAATGATGATTTGAATGCAGTTCATGAAATCATTTATCATATTAATTAATGTCCTGTTCAATTTGGGCTTTATATTTTAAACTTTAAAATCATAAATACACTATAGGATTGATAGTGGTTGATTAATGTACTTTAATAATTTCAAGTGATATAATCCTTATACTTATATAATATATAGTAATTTTATCACCTATAGTGATCACAGAAGCAATTATATCTGATATAAGTAATATATGGGCGTATCAGTTATAAACGATTGTATATAATATTGCACATGATTGACTTGCAGCTAAATTAGTTAAAATAAGCGCAATGTATATATATATATATATATTATCAATGGCTATAAGTTGGTATATTTATTGTGTCAAAATGCACTTACATGATCATCATCATCATCATCATCATCATCATCATCATCATCATCATCATCATCATCATCATCATCATCATCATCATCATCATCATCATCATCATGATTATTTCATTATTTACCCTGCAAATATTATATTTTTGCGATTTCGACGACAGAATCTCGAATTATAAAAAAAAATATAATAACTTCTACAACCTACACTCTTAAGCATGTTTTTTGTCTTAATCTTGTGGTAATTTTTCAGTATTGCTTTATTGTTGGAGATGCACATATTAGCACCTGTATCGATGATGAATGTTTCATGATTAATTATTGGACAAAATTTTATCGTTCATGATGAATTACTCTGGACTCTCATTACCAATTATTGAAAAGTACTAAAATCAATCAACCTGTTTTGATTAATGAATATCAAGAATATAGTTGATTTTAAATACAAAGAACAAAACATAATTTTGAATTAGGTGTATTCAATATGATCTTTATAAAAGGTCTTATTATTGATCATCTAGTTGAATTAATTATGCGTTAAATAATTTTGATAATTGAAGAACAATGTAGTTAGTTCAATTCATAACTATTCGAGTCTAATTACGTACAATCCAACCCATGAGAACAATACAATCCATAAACTATTATATAATATTCAAGCCAGCTCAAGAGTCAAGAGTTATAAAACACGTAATTTTCTTCAAAAAACACGCTTAATCTCCACACATTTGCTTATCTATACAAATACAAATGTGTAAAGATAAACAAACAAAATCAAAACAAATGTGGTATAAACCGAAAGCTCCAAATTTATATAAAAAGGTAAACAATTAATGAATTTTAAGATAATATCACGTACACTTGATCATTCATATAAAGATGTTATTGTTGGTACTTAATCTTAATTTTTTTAGTGGACTGGTGTTAAGTATTTAATGTCATGGTATTGATATTCTACTTCAGATTTGATTTGTTAATAGAGATGGAATATTGTATATATTCAGACTGTTATATATTAACATGGACTGATATTATATATTGCTTCTTTACAGAGGTTATATGTGGGTAAGTATGACAACTTATAATATATAAGATCAGAATTATTAACGACCCAAGTATACTGCAGATATAATTATCAAGTCATGATTAATTAATACAAGGAAGAATCAAAATTATAGGAGATGTATTCAATATGGTTTGAAAAGACCTTAGTGTTGATCATCTTTAATATATATTGATTTAATTTTTTGCAATTTAATGTTAAGTTGTAGTCATATGTACAACTATATCGATGAGATCATTCACTCATTATATTAATGGTCTAGCTAATCATTGATCATGACATCTTCCTCATCATATCAATCTATAATATAATTTCTAATTCATATCGACAATTAATTAACTATTATAATAATTAGCTACATCAATCATACATGGCCTTACTCAAAATATTCAATATTTAATTTAATTCATATAATTATACAATAAACTTATAAAAAACACACATGATTAATCTTTAAAGATTTTAAATGAATGTAATAACACATATAAAAAAACAGATATAATAAAACAAAATAAAACAAACTTTAAAAAAAGTAGAAATCAGAAAATCAAAGAAATCAAATTATAATAAAAGTCTTTATTTGAGGTTCTGTGATTAATTAAAACTCTTCTTTAAAAAAACTTTTATGTTTATCATCAACACTTAAATCTTGAGTTGAATCACTAACATTTGTACCAGTTGCAGTTCCTGTAGCAGTTCCAGTAGCAGTTCCAGTAGCAGTACCTTCATCAGCTTCAACTTCTTTATCATTTGAACCTTGAGAAAACCCTGAAAATGTCTTTTTTAATTCAGGTTTATCGATTGATGATTGATTTAATTCTGTTGGGATTGAAACTTCACCTGTTCCGGTGATTATAGTTTTTGGTAATTCAGTTGAACCTGTGGTGGTACCTTTTGGTAATTCTGACTTAGTTTCAGTGATTGTACTAGTTTTTGGCAATTCTGATTTAGTTTCACCAGTTGTAACTGACTTTTCACCAGCTGTTCCAGCTGGCTCAACTGATTTCTCACCAACTGTACCAGTTTGTTCAACTTCAATTGGTAAAATTTCATTAATTTCCCTTTCTTGTTCCAAAACTTCAATTTTAGTATTTTCCAATTCCAATTCTAATTTTAATTTTTCATTTTCATAAATCGCTTTTTCTTTTTCTAATTCAGCTTGTTTTACAAGAGCTTGAGCTTCAAATTCATTTGTTTTTTGCAAAGCAATATCAGCTTCAATTTTTTTTAATTCAGATTCTTTAATTAATTTTTCTTGTTCTGTTGATGATTCCTCAATTTCTAGCTTAAGGGATTCTAATTTTTTAATTGAAGATTCTAATTCTAATTGAGAATTTTTTAAAAGATTTTTAGCATTTTCTGTATTTGAAATTTGAGAATTTGTTATAGTTTCAATTGCTAACTTTTCTTCATTTAATAAAGTTAATTTATCTTTCTCAATTTTTAATTTTTCTAAAATTGGAGCTAATTTTAAATCTCTTTCTTCTTGAGCAGCTTTCAATTCTTGATCTCTTTGTTTTTTAGCTTCATTTGTTTCTTTATCAATACGATCTTGTTCAAATTGTTGTTCAGCTAATAATTGTTGTTTTTTAGAATCTTCTTCAGATTTTTTAGAATCTAATATTGATTGATGTTTAGTTAATTCATCTTTTTTAGCTTTTTCTAATGCTAATTTAGCATCTTTTAATTTTTGTTTTTCTTCAGCTAATTCTTGTTTTCTTTGTAATTTTGCCTCATTTTTTAATCTTTTTTCATCCATTTTTTTAGTTTGTTGTTCAATTTTGAAACGACGTTCCTTGTTTAATTGTTCTTGTTTTTGTTTATTTAATTCAGCATCACGATCTCTTTGTAATTTTGCTTTGGAATTAATATCTTCTAAAACAGGATTAACAATCTTGGAAGCAATTGCATCTAATTCTTCTTGAGACATGAATAAACCACCACCTAAATCAACTTTACCCAGGGTGGTTGATCTATTTTCATATTTTTGTTTAGCTAATTCAATAGCTTTTGCATTGAATTCCGGGTTAAGGAATAAATCTTTTTCACCCAAGTTTTTATCAATACCAGATAATGTATGATCAGCATTTAATCTTGCCTGAGCTAAAACTTTTGGATCAACTAAAGAATTACGATAAACTGCAGTAGCTTCTAAATTTGGATCAACTTGAACAGGTTTATTTTGAGAAGCTAAAGCACCAACAGCGGCAAAAGATTGTAAATTTGAAGAATGATTTTTTGAAGAATCAAGACCTAATCTTGAAGAATCTCTTTCTGGATTAATTCTTGAATTAATTAAAGATTGAGCTCTAGTTTTGGAGACTGTTGATAATTTATCAATATTTAATGAAGTATGTGAGTTGGAAGTACCATTTCTTATAGCATCAAATTCATATAATGAAGATAAATTTGAAGAAGCAATTGATTTTGAACCTTTTGAAAGGACACTTGAAGCAGCAGCATTAGAATTTGTAAAATCAGTTTTCTGTAATTCATGTTTCAGAGATTTAGCATTCAGGGCAGCACTTGTAGCTTCATTATCAACTTGATCCTTGGTCCATCTTTTTGGAGCAGTATCTTTTCTAGCAAATAAAGCAGCAGTTTGAGCATCAGTATGAATTTCTCTCTTATAAGGATGAATTGATAAATCTGAGTTTGTGGCTAATAAAGCAGCAGTATCACTTGCCCCATTTGATGATGGAACACCAATTGAATTTGTGGTTGGATTATTATAAATACCATATTTTAATTTAGCCTTGTATAAAGCTTCAGGAGAAAGGGGTTTTCCATCAGTTTGATATACTGAGGATGTTTTAGATTTGGATGATAGTTGGGAATTAGCAAAAGACATGGTTGATTAGTCTATCCAATAACTAATAGTTGATATTCAATTATAGTCAATAGTCAATGGTTTGAATATATTGCTAAAAAAGCTCATCAATTTCAATTTCAGCGGTTAAATTTAAAATGAATATTAATTTCATATTATTACATAAGCGATTAGTCACTAAGTGTGGGAGTGGTGTTCCCAATGCGGTAATTGTGGTTGTGTTCCTAATTGGGTAAAGTAATGACAATTGGATACACATGAATAAACAGATGAACTAATAGAATAGTAGACATGGTTGTATTGTTATTGGTGTAGTAGTATAGTGTTAGTGCAGTGTAGTGTATATTGTATTAGATACTACTTGTGTTAGAACTCTGTTGTATTGTTGTTGTGTAATTGTGTTGTACTTTCTTGTCATTGTGGGTGCACTGTGTGGGTGATAAGAAATAACTCATAACAAATAGTGATACAATACATGGAATACTTAATAGAATAGAATACAATACATAATACAATACAATATAATATATAATATATAATACAATACTATGAACTCTATTCTACACTATATAGTATCTCTTTCCTCTCAATTACTTCTTTATTTCTTCTTATTGGCAGGTTTTCCCACCTTCGTAGTTTCATTTCTCCATTGTGCATTATCCATTATCCGATTGGAAAACCCGAAAATCAAACCACTTTGAATAACACAACCATTACATTACACCATTATCAACTATACAATCACTACAATCACTTATTACATTACACTGGCTACTACCCATTGCATCCATCCATCACCTAGTACCTACAAAAGATCATAATGTCCACTCTACATGAATTTGATTATGAACCTGAATCAATTGATTCTTTTAATCCATTAATTAATCAATCAAATCAATCAATTAATCAAATTGATAATATGTATGAATTATTATTACAAAATAATAATAACAATGATCAAGATGATCAATCTTCAATCAATTCAATGAATTTTGATAATTATAAATATTCTTTCCCAAATTCAAGTGTTTCATCAATCATTCCAAATAACAATACAACCACCACAATTAATCCAAAAAAATTAAATTCAAGAACAAATTCAATTGATATAAATTTTAATTTAAATTTAAATGATGAAGGTCCATTAGATCAAAATGATAATAACAAGTCAAATTGGTTAATGAATGAAGAATTTAAAAATGCAATTGCAACTTGGATAAATCAAAATGAAAAATCAAATACCACCACTACTAAAAAATCAAAATCAAATTCAATATCATATCCTTCTCTAAATTATCAAAAAACTTCAATAACAAAAAGAAGAAAATCAGATTCAATCATACCACAATTCCCAACAACTTCATCATCATCATCATCATCAACTCCTTCATCATCATCTTCATTAATTCCTGAAACTTCATCAATCATATCAATAAACCAAGAATTTAATGAATTAGATGAAGATGCAAAACCTTTTAAATGTGAAGAATGTCCTAAAGCTTTTAGAAGATCTGAACATTTAAAAAGACATTTTAGATCAGTTCATTCAAATATTAGACCATTTCCTTGTAAATTTTGTGAAAAAAAATTTAGTAGAAGTGATAATTTAGCTCAACATTTGAGGACTCATAAACATTAAGAATTTAATTCCTAGCGGAATTAAATTCACAATTATATCAATCCCTAAATTACTATAAGATAAATAACAAATTACAATTTAAATTTCGTTAATAAATAACAAATTACAATCCCGTATAGGGATTGAAATTACAATTGAATTGCTATAAACTATAAGATGAATGACAAATTATAATTTGAATTTCTGAAAGGAATTTAAATTGGAATTGAGTAGATCAATCCCGCCAGGGATTGAATTGAATATTGCTATGAGATGAATTACAAAGCTCAATTCTGAATAGAATTGGAATTGAATTGAATTCAATCCCGCCAGGGATTAATATTAAATGAAATTGACATAAGATAAATTACAAAATACAATTCCTTGGAATTGGAATTGAATATAAATGAATATCACAATTCAATTCAATATGATGCTATGAATTATTACTTGCTAGGAAACCAAATTGGTTACTATTTATTTTCACTTCTTCAAATGGCTATTAATAATAATAATTGCTATGTATATTTTTTTTGGTTTTAAATTGTTAATATAAATCAAAATATTATTGAATAAATGAAATTGTAGTTCAATATATGGATATTTCGGTAGGATCGGTGGTTTTAATTGGAAATTTAGGCTATGATTATATGGAAAACTAGGAAAATAGGTGAACCAACCACCTAAAATTCATTAGAGCTATCAATACCTTCATAATTTCAATAAATAACCATAAATTAATATATAAATCATATATTTCAATATAAATTTCAAATGTTTATATGTTTACATAATCAAAAAGAAAAAAATTCAACCAAACAATAAAAAAATTGAATTTTTGAATTTTTGAATTTTCACAAGACACTTTTAAAAAAATAAAAATAAAAAAATTGAGATTTTGGTGATTTTATATTATTGGTGTTTTTATCATATAATAATAAATTTTTATAGAAAATAAGGGTTGAATATTGTTTTCAATAACAAAAGGGGCATATTTGTCCTGTGATACAACATACAATACAAAGATATAACATACAATACACAGATATTAAGGGTACATATACACGTCATTCCCACCATGACTATTGATAATTCAAATATACCAACAACAAATGAAGTTAATTTAACAAAAGATATAAATACAGGTGAAAAATTCCTTAATCAATATAAATTATTATCAAAATTAGGTAATGGTCATAATGGTAAAGTTTACTTAGGTTTAAATATTGAAAATGATAAATATTATGCTATAAAGGAAATTTCAAAAATTTCAAAAGTTACAATATTAAATAAAAATCCAAATAATCAAATTAAAAAAATTAATAATGAAATAAATATAATGAAATTAATTATTAAACATCCCAAAATTATGAAATTATATGAAATTTTAAATGATGATAAATTTAATAAAATTTTCCTTATATTAGAATATTGTTCCAAGGGTGAATTAAAATTTGGTATAAATCATAAATATTCAATTAATTCAATTAAAGATATAATGAGAGATATTGTTCTTGGTTTAGAATATTTAAATGGGATAGGTATAATACATCGTGATATAAAACCTTCAAATTTATTAATAAATCATGATAATTTTATTAAAATTAGTGATTTTGGTATAAGTTTAAATAAATTTCAAATTAATGACACTAGTGACTTGAAATCAAATGAAAATTTTGGTACTCCAGCTTTTTCACCACCAGAATTATGTAATGGTTCAAATTTTAATAAAATTGATTCAAAATGTGATATTTGGTCCTTAGGGATTACAATTTATTGTCTTTATTATCAAAAATTACCATTTAATGGGAATAATGAATATGAATTATTTAATGAAATTATTAATAATGATTTGAAATTTCCGGAAAATAGTGATCCTGAATCTCTTGTGTTGAATGATTTATTATTAAAAATGTTGAACAAAAATCCTGGCAAGAGATATTCAATTCATGATGTTAAATCTCATGAATTTTTAAATTCAAATTTAGATCATGAATCTAAACTGCAATTTATGAAATTTAATGAATATTATCTATTTAAAAGAGAATCAAATGTTTCAAATTTTGCAAAATCTTCATCAAAAAATTCTTCATCAAATACAACTTTAAATAAATTTAAATCAATATTTACAAGAAAATCTTCAATTTCCAAAAATAACAATAATACATCATCAACAAGTTCATTACCTGTTGATAATACAGTAGAAAAAGAAGTCCCAATTCAATTACAACCTCATCATCAACAGCCTACAACTTCTTCAAACTTACAAACATCATCAAATTCAGTACCTAATTCATCAACATCAACAAAAGAATCTTCAACACCATTCCCACCATCAATAAATCAACCAACAAAAACAAACCCATTTTTATTAACAAGACCACCAATAAAATCTTCAAATTCTCAAATTGCATCATCAACAAATTCATTAAATTTAAATTCTTTATTAAAATCTAAAAAAGATGTCCCGAATTATTTAGATGATTCTACATTTTTTCAAAGTGTTGATAGTGATTATTCAAGTGAAGATTCTGAAAGTAATGATGATGATGATGATAAATTAATTTATAATGATGTTGAAGATACTTTAAGTATAAGAATTGGTCCAAAAAGACAAGCTAGTTCTTTACAAGTTAAAAGTGTTAATGAATATTTAGGTCTGTGATAAATACTTACCTACCTTTTTTGCTATGTTTCTTGTTTTTTCTTATTTAATTTTTTAATACTTTTTTTTGCATTGGTTTTTTTTTTTTGGATAATAATATAGTTGTTATATATTATGGTAGGGAGTTGGATTTAATTTTTTTTTTTGGATATATAGAGAATACTTAACAATTTAGAATATATCTAGATATTAGATTAAAAAGGTATATGTAGCGTATATGAATCCCGAATATGACCATCAATTAATTGAATCATGCTACAATTCCAAAATGTAAAGCTCACATATGATCATGATATAAGTTGATTATAATTACAGTAGGATGTATATACTATATGAAGTCGATCAGAAATAGTAGTCATGGTTTTATACTTGTACTTAATAAAATGTTATGTTAAGTAAGTTTCCATATCGGCATTCCAAATCATAAACCTATACTTACATTGGGAATGATAATAAAGAATAAGCTTTGAAGATTAAAAATTCCAATGGAATGTTAAAAACCATTTAGTAATTTGATTGAAAGACCATATGATTGGTTTCAAGCTTTAAAGAAGGTCTTAACAATTTGATTGAATGGATTTAAGTGGGTTTAAACTTTGGACGTTGTAGATCTTTGTTATGATAATCTGGAGTAAACTTATATACGTATTAATGAATCTAACTTTTTGAGTATCATCCGCAATTGTTCTATATTTGTAAGCGCTAGATATGTTATATCTGTATAGTTGATCTATTTGTATATTGGCGGTATAATATTGACGTTTATAAATACAACTTTTTGATCAATTAATATTGAAAATTCTTTATATACGTGTATAAGCTCATGATTGGAATTATGTTCTAATAAACAAGAATCTAAGATGATGATAGAATATACAATTAAACCGATCATGATTGATAACCTAGTATGACATTTGTTTATCTTGTATAATTTGAATTCACTATATTCAACTTTGTCTACGATACATTAAGCCGATGGAAGAAAAATGAATGTAATATTAAATCAATATCGATAAAGTAATGTAAAAACAAATTTACACAGATAATGAGTTATATTAAACATGACAAAATGACTAATTATAATGAATAATCAGTCATTTGAGTCAATATAATTGAAAACAGTGATCAAGCGTTCTGTTTTGTATACTGGTATCAATTTATGCTCAAAAATAAAAAAATGGAGATTCTGCCAGCGTCAATGTTAGATGTTGTGAAGATTTATGATGCAAATTGAAGCCAAACTCTTTTTGGCCAAATGTCCCAAATAATCTATGGATTGAAATTAAAATCGATGTTATTATCCATCTGACGATTAGTGTGTGGTTGTATTATGTATATAAAAGATACAAGATAGGCTTTCTTAAAGAAATTTCCAGCGCTGAATTTATACGTCGCTAAATATTTAATTTGCGCGAAAACAATAACAATTTCTGAAAATTATTTAAAAGTTTCTATATATTTCTACCACAGCTTATACTACAATCAAGATTCATAAATTCTAGTTCTTTCAAACTGGTACATTTCAATTTAACACGCAATATCAGTAGTTTAACCGCTACGGTCTACTATATAATAATGCCCGTGATCTGATCTAACGTTTCAATATCAAGCCTCAAATTTAAGGTAAAACCGATATCATACAAAATTCACAGATCTGTATCTGGTGTTAAATATCGTATGCACAGGTAAGCTTGAACTAATCCATCAATCTTACTTTGATTGCATTTTACTGGTTACTCGTTGTTGTTGTTGTTCAACTTTCAACTTTAAACCTTGATCTCATCAACTTTTAAAGCATCACGCGCATAGCTAGTGGTCTGTTTAAATTACTTCGTAAGTTGCACATTAACTTAAAATATGCGTACTTAGTTGTGGAGCATATCATCATCCTGTGAAGCCGATTAGACCCATGCTCCCATTGGCTCATGTCTTCACTTTCAAATCAATTATCAAGCAGGTTTGTTTATTCTTCCAGGTTCCTTCGTGAAATTTTCATGCAGTTTGAAATTTTGTTGATCTGTTGATGCAATAGAAGGTAAACAAAGATGCACCGGATTAGGAAAGAAACATCTACCTAATCAAGGATCTATAACAGTAGACTAGGAAGTTGTGTATGGTTTGAAAGTTGATAAGTACCTGTTCAACATGGCCATCTTGGTTAACTCATACCTTCGATGTTGATTGCATATCGATGCTTTTCAAATACCGTGGTGTCTTATAAATTACTGAACCCTGTTTGAGCATTCATAAACCTTTACTTTTATGAGATGAAACATCAACGGCTAGATCAGGTGCTTTAAGTTAATAGACATCAATCAAGATTCAACCATCTTCATCTTGTGTCTACTCTAATTGATTGTCTCAAGTCTCAAGACTTGTAGTGTTTGATCTATTGTTTATAATTGTTGGTGTTTTTCATATGTTTGTTTTTGTTTCAACTTTCAAGGTATAAAGAGCTCGTGGGCCGTGGATAGAGCTACTCAAAGACACCCAACGCTGTACAGTGTACACACTACACAGGTAAACAGCCACTGTTTGGAAGTAGGAACTTGGAGAACCGAAGTTATCGAAGTAAAGATACGAAGGGAATTCTCATCAAATGCTCTTCTTCGCCTCTGTATCAATTCTTCAAGTTCAAAGATATGCAATAGAATTTGAAACAAACTTTACGTGCTGATCTAAAGTATCTAAATCATGAAATTGTTTACAGGCTCTGAAACTTGTAAGCTGTATATGAAAAATTATAGTTGATCTGTATTCAAATTCTCCACCTACCTACCTACCTACAATTTTATCTTCCTTCACTTCAGCAGCTAGCCCACAGTGCGCACTTTCATGACAGGCGTTATCATTCTAACTTATATACCTTATACCTGTATCTATCTTATGTCAATTCAACAACATGACATGACAAACAAAAGATAAGATCATCATTTTTAGTGTATGTATCTCCTCTTTGTTCTCATTTGCAATGTAAGTCATAATTTTAATGAACTAGTGCACTAATCGTCAAAAACTATTGGAATGATGTTTCCGATCTATAAAGTATACTGGAAACTGGAAAGTTGAATCATATATTGTGACATCATATATCTGATAAAGATCAAAATTACAGGTCTAATTAAATGTCACAAATTGATCCATAAGTTTTCTAAATAATATCAATCTGAGCATTTACTAAATCAAGTTTATCTCCACATTCTAGAAAAGGTCCTTACACTATGTACAATATAAGTACCAGCGTCAATCTGTAGTTTACACTAACATTCAAACTCAGAGTACAATTTGTTAAGCCTTAATTATTGATCATCTGTAACCAAATTATTTCTCTACAAAGCTTGATAAAGGTTTAAAACTGTACCTGATCAACCTATTTACGCTCAAAATCATGTAAAACAAACCTGAGCTAGAGGTTAATTCTACTCGATGATCAGAATTTGTGCCTAAGGCTCCATATATAGTGTTCAATTGTTTAAATATAGATATGTTATAAGATCAAACAACCTTGAGGATCTTTACCAAGATCAAGTTATAAATCATAATGGTTTAACCGATTCCGTGGGGTTGATCTTTAGCATATGCTCATATGGTGATGTTGTATGTCTATTGTTAAGCGCGTTCAAAATAATTTAATCTAAATTTGGTGAATTAAATGGTGGAGAACATAGTATAGGCCTGTGTGCAGTGGTAAACTAGTTGAGTAGATTCATTGCTAATTAATTTCATAGTTCGTACTTTAAAGTTTAGACTAGCTGTACTAGTACTACGTACAATTTGTTGTGGTTTTGATTATTTTTGGTAGGTATCGTTACCTAAAATATACAAAATAACGTTCCATTGATAAAGTTTTATAGACTTATATGATCATAAGTTGCTAAACCTTCAGTCTAAAATTAAGTCATAGTACTCTAAATTGAAGAGTGACACCATTTGGTTAGATGTTGATCTAATCGCAAGCTTTATTTGACATATTCGATAAGTTTCTAAATATTTTGGTGATGTTTACAAATTTCCTATAGAGTTCTAGGCAGAAACTACACGCCTGAAGGCTTAAATCTGAGCCTATTCTATTATGGGTGCCAGTCCAAAACCCTGCCTAGTACTACCCTAGCTCAGATCTTCCTACTCTCTGCCTACTACCTAGCCTTATCCCCCAAGCCAGTTCTGCTTAGCGCTCTGCCTAGTGCTATGCCTAGTGCTATGCCTAAACTTTGCCTAAACTCTGCCTAAACTCTGCCTAGGGCTTAGTATTACAGTACTGCCGGAGATGTCAGAAAGATCACCAGGGGCTTGGAACAGTAGCACTAAACTTACACAAAGCTTGATAAGCCATGTAAATTTATATCGCCCTAAAATATAGAACTCTTATAGATCTTGGGCTGTAAGGGTATGAGTAAAGAACCTGATAAGATCAAGCATTTAAACCTTGTTACCATTGATCATATCTTCTAGAAGAAGCACCCATAATTGTTTATTAATACGTTACTAGGATTTAAAAAACCGTATATCCTATTTAAGCTTGTCAAGCTCTAAAAATCATCTCTTGAATTATCGAATTGGAAATAAGGTTTCCTAAACCATCACGAACAACTACGAAAGTTAAAACTGTATGCAAGATTTGGCTAAAATCTTTTAAAATGGATCAGAATTGTTTCCTGAAAAGTTCACTCGCATCTTCCCCATTGCTTAATCCGGTAAAACATCAATAAGATTGATTACTGTTTTAGGACAACTTGCTCACATAAATTCTGCATAAAACCATGGAAACTAAATGTATAAATCTGCAATTTACAAATTGCCAAATTTTGGTATAGGATTTTAAAAAATTGGTTAAACAAATTAGTAAAACTTTGAGGCAACATTAAAACATCAAGTACATGAAACCCGTTAAGAAGCTGAGCTGTGGGTACCGTGTTTGCGCTGATTTAATTTTTTACAAATTTGGCGTTTTTCATGTTTTAATTGAGGTGTGTGTGTGTACTTTTCCAATGTAGTAGATGAAACAGAGATGCAAAAAGCAATATCGAGTAGTAAACATTTCAAATTTGAAATCGATGGTCCTTTTTAAATAAAGACTTTCCTTTAATTTCAATTATCATCAATTCTTTCACAAAAGCTGAAGCTCTTTTAATACTTTGACTATTATTTCATATACATCTAAGGATACCCAAACCCTATTGAGTCTCGACTCTCGGCCCACTTAACTGCAATACATTTCAAGTACGCATTTACTCGTCGTTCGCTGTTGATCTACATACCCTATTCAAAAAAAAATTGAACTCATACTAGCAGTTTTGTGTTACTCTGGAGAAATAAACCATTTCCAATTTCCAATTAATTATACACCGCATAACACATACATTTTTATTAGGAACAGATTGATTTTTTCTATTGCCCTTGAACATCTTTCCAGGTCAAAAAAAATTGAAAAAGGCAGTTCCGCAAATACAGCAAAGGAAAAGAAAACTCAACTTTATATCAACTTAGGGTTTTTAGTATTCACATTATATTCTGAATCAATTCAAATATTTTAGGTTTTGTTCTAAATTTAATTATTTTAAAGATTTTAATCTTTTTACAAAATTCAATTTTCACTTTCATTCTTTTACATTATAATAATTCAACACAAAATCAGGAGAACATATCGAAAGGAAAATTTATACCCCTGAACATCCATTCATTAATATTTTCAAGATCAAGATCATTACACGAATAATTATACAATACATTCGCTTTCATTATGGATATTGATTCACCAGTGCAGAGTAATAATAACTCTCTTTTAAAGAATATTGAATCTTACTTTGGCAATTCACCAGATTCCCCATCATTAACTAAGAATCTATTCAAAAAGAAATCATCCAAACCAAAACCATTGGCTACAAAGAACCTGAATACATTGTTCGATCTGCAAAAAGAATCTAAATTTGATTCTCCTACATCAACATTAGCTGCTGATTTAAGTGAGAACTTCCATATTCAAGAGTAAGTTTTAATTTGAATTCTGATAGTTTGTTTTTTTTTGTGACATATAAAACTTTTGATGGCAAAAAAAAAATTTAAATCAGTATCCAACAATGGAGAGAAAATATACTAACAATGTTAACCAACAGGTCACAATTGAGACAAATACCTACCCCTAAGAGATCGCTTCTGTTTGACGATGACTCCAGCATAGGCCAATTCAGTTTCGAAGTTGACCCAGATATGGATTATTCACCAAGTGTCACCAAATTATCAAAACCTCCAAGCGCCAGACCAAAACTACACAATGATTCAAATAACTCTTCAAGAACCACCTCAAACCTTTCAATTTCCTCCATCAACTCTATTTCTTCTGTCTCTAGTTCAGATACCATATCATCAAATTCACAACAATTGACCAAACCAAGAAAACAACTAAGAAGAGCTAAAACAAGTATATCAAACACAACAAGATTATTACACTCATACAGCGCTTCGAATATCAACTTACCAAAATCAAATTTCAATGTTGATGATGATGAACAAGACTTAACAATTACAAATGAATTGGAAAATGACACAATGATGATGAACAATAACTCAAGTAATCTGGATTTCTTATGTGTTCCATCACCAATTGCAGAAAGATCATTGAATTTAGATGACTTGGAAGATGATACCAATAATACAGCTCATGAAAACTTTCTTAATGCTGGATTAAATAAAAGAGAAATTGGTTCACCTCTGCAAAAAAGACCCATTAAATCAAAAGTTCGTCGTACACATTCTATGTTTTACTCCAAGAAGGAAATCACTGATACAACAAATATGTTTGGTAATCTGATGACTACAAAATCACCAATCAATAAACTAAGCAATGATCAATTTGATGGTTCTGTTTTATCCAATTCTAATTTAGAAAAATCAAAAATTGAAACATTTAATGTTAAAAATGATTTGATTCCAAGAATTAAAGTTGAAACTTTATGTAAAATTTTAGATGGACATTACAAAGATTCATTTGATGAAGTTCTGATTGTGGATTGTAGATTCCAATATGAATATCAAGGTGGTCATATCAATGGTGCTGTTAATGTTTCATCTCAACAAGAATTGGAAGAAAAATTTTTAAACGAAAGAAGAAAATCAAATAACTTTTTGGAAACTGATAACAATAAAAATACTTTAATTGTTTTCCATTGTGAATTTAGTTCCTATAGAGGTCCATTAATGGCTAGTCATTTAAGAACATGTGATCGTAATAAAAATCAAGATAACTATCCACATTTAGATTATCCAGATATTTTAGTCTTAGAAGGTGGTTATAAATCATTTTTTGACTTACAAAGTCATAGATGTTATCCACAAAAATATGTTGAGATGAATGATAATAATCATAAAAATGCTTGTGAAGTTAATTTAACAAGATTTAGAAGAGATTTAAAAAGAGCAAGTTCTCATGGAAGTTTAAGTTTCAGTTCATCAGGATCATTATCATCTTCTTCATTATCATCTTCATCTACAGGTGCACCAACACATACAAGATTACCACATAGAAGAACAATGACTTCAATAAATTTTCAAAGAAGACCAAGTTTGAAAACCACTTCTTTAGATTTTTCAAGATCTTCATTAGATTTAGTTACAGATGAATCAGAAAAGGAAAATGAAATTGATTTATCATCTGATGATATTAAACCTCCTGAAAGAATGAATTTTGGTTTCAAATTTCCAATTTCAAAACCACTTGAAGCATTACAACATTCATCAACACCAGCAGTTCCAACTACAAATTCATTGAATGAAGACACCCCAATCCCAGCTCAAAAAAAGAAGCTGTCAAGAGCTTTCACATATGCTATGTGAGAATATCAACAATTTTTAATTGCATTAGATGGTTGAACTCGTGATTTCATAATTTTAATTTATTTAATTCAAATTTCATCATATCATTACATCAAATTTAATATCTCCAAAAAATGAGCTTGTCAAAAATTTTGCATACATTGAGAATCAACTTTTTAATTTTTAATTGACTTGTCTAGCTGGACTAGAAAGCATTTACATCTCAATCACAATAATCCAATTGATATTTAATAAATTAATCAACCTTTTGAATCAATCCTCTTTTTTGCTTATGAAGTAAATTATTAAATTATGTTTCATTTGAAGTCCCATCACATTTTTATAATTTGATCTTATATATAAGATCAGTACTTTGTGTTGATTTATTTATAATTTTTTAATGCCTAATGTCTAATGACCCGTTTTAATTAAATTATTGTAGATCATCTTCTGATTCAATCTAGATCGAAATCTAATTATATGAAAAATTTTGAACTATCTAAGTCAAAATTAAAAATACCTTCACATATTAGAGTCATCAAAGCATCAACTACTAGAGACAAATTAACCTTCAGCATCTATGATGATGCAAAGATTTTCCAAATAACGAAATAAAGAACCTTTGTTCATCAAGAATAGAATTTAATACAGTTTCATGAGATTAAAGTGCTATGGTATTTCAGCAAAAATTACCTGGATCAAACTTTAAGTATAATCAGTAAAAAATTTATATGCTTTCTGAAACATCAAAAACCGCTTATTTTATTCAAGACTTCCTAAGTTATAACTATTTACTTCATATATCAGGTAACATTCTTATATTCAAAATTAACACTCATAAAAGCAAAAAAAAGCGATTTTTGTGCCAAAATGGCAAAAAGATGATTTCGCCCAGGATCGAACTGGGGACGTTCTGCGTGTTAAGCAGATGCCATAACCTACTAGACCACGAAACCACTTGTTGAGTTTTAAAATTTTTCCGGCTCTCACGTCATGATTTTCCCGGACTTTTGCGCCTTCCAAAAATTTTGATTTTAGCGGCTTAAATGACCCAAATAGAAAACTAATTTTGAAGCTTTATTCGAAGCTTTAAGCTTTATACTTTCAGCTGGAGTGTAAGTTATATTAATTTCGGCAGTTTTGTTTTAAAAAAAAAATAATTAAAAAAAATTTAATTTTTTTTTCAAAGTTGAATTAAAATTATTGAGGTGTATAATATTATTGAAATTTTCAAAAGCCCAAAATTTTTTCTAGTTTTCAATAATTAATCACCATGATCATATACAACAAAATGCAAAAAGAATATCCTGACTGTTTGTTAGCGTATGTTCCTTTTCAAAACTTTAATCTCTGACAGAATTTCGAAAATGACGATTACATAATCATCAGCAGCTGTTAAAAATATTAATTAATTGTACTATTACGAGAATATCTTGATAAAATTAAAGTATGTTAGTAATTCAGAAATAAATTTGAAAATATATACAATATCAATTATTAAGTTTACAATACGATCATGTTGATGCAATTAGGCATACATTATATCAGAATGTTCTTCAAATACATACTTTCGGCAGTAATCGGTATTAAAGCTTTAGGATTAATTTAATGTACGATCAGACGCCAGTTGAACTTTCTTGTATCAAATTGATATCAGACTTTATTATTGAAACCATGGATTTCAAATTGGTGGAGGCTCATTTCCCTATTTTCCCTATTGTTGCTTTTCAAAGCTAGTTTCCCGCTTAAGTTGAACCTGACACATAGTTTATAATAGAGGTATACTTTATGAACCAATATTATAGATCAATAAGGATCTAGCGCCTATATTGAGCTGATGGATTATTGCCCAGAGAGAGAGCTAGGTCGATTCAAATATTTTGAGCGGTTGAAGTAGTGTACCTAAGTGGTAACTCCCTTGCTTTTTGAGGAAGAACTCATACCTTTGACAATAAAAAGCTTACATTACTCTAGAATATATATCTAGTTTATATTGCAGTTACGACATTCCAATTGCAATGGTGGTTATTTCAGCGGTGTATAGCTAAAGGGTTTCAGTACAATCTGACCCAGCTACTTGTAAGTCTTGGGCTCTAATTTGTAACTACCATGATAGTAAAGTGTACATCTTCCATCATCAGCTGCAGAAATAATCATAAACCCTCTTAGCCAAATAGAAGTAACTTCAAACATAAATCTGATACTGAGGAGTCAATTAGGATTCATAATCTAAAGTCTCCAGGCTACTTTATAGTTGATAGAAAAAGATCTTGAAATTTGAATCAAAATTTCCACATTTTGTACAAGATTTCTTTAAGGTATAAAGTGAATGAAGTTCCAAAAAATTAATGGTGGTAAAGTATAATATGTTCAATCTTCAGATTCTGCTTCAGTGGTGGGTAAGTTCTCTGGTGAACTCTATAGATTCGTAGACCTCCAAGCTAAACTGTTTAGACCCCAATCACCAGCTACATAGTGTAGGTATGAAGCTTGAACTTGACACAATTGAACCTTGAGTTTTGATTTCAATTCGGTGTCCTAATTTGAAACCCCGAGAAACAAAAAAATAACTATGCTTTTATCAGGATTCAGAACACCAGCTTAACTAGGTATCTTTACACTGGTTTCATAATTCATAGTTTTATTATTCATGCCACTAGATATCTAGATATGTGACTACAAGTATGATAATTGATTCCCCAAATCAACGCTCAAGTTTCCAGGGATCAGAGCCTATGATCTATTTTATGGTTGCAGATTAGGAGATTTTGTGCTAAAATTATCATTGTGGCGTTATTAACCACCAGAGGACCCTCGAAGAACTTGGCTTGGGCAAATTCAAACAGAAATACATTAACAGGGTGGTTGAAAGATCTGAGAGTTTAACCTATTGTTCACTGTTCAGTAGTTAATTTCATTTAAACGTTGGTTACAACTTATCAGAATAGCATCGCTTTTCTCTTTTAAAGGGGCCGATACTTGTTTTGATAAGATTTTCAAAAAAAGATAAGTTCATGATAAGCTGTCAGATTGAGAATGATATATATAACTAGAACCATAGACACACATTTATCCGATAGGCTGTAACGTATTTAATTAAACAGCTGATATTTGTGGAAATTACAAGAATTGCTGTACTACTGTATGAACTTTCAAGACGTAGTACCCGTTTTGATGCTTTAATCCATTATCCCCATGATGGTTTTGTGATAAATTATCATAACGTCAAAGAAAAACTGGGGCGCCACTTGCAAGTTGATAGATCATTAATCGCTAAATTGACTAGATGACAGTTTTTGGTTTAATATGTGGAAAGACGAGATAGAAAATCATTGACATCCTGGGCCCAATTTCCGTTGTTACCTTTCAACTTATTTCCAGTATTTGAATTTTGAACTGATAGGTGATAGGTATTCCTGAAGTATGGCGCCTGTTGCAATCTATGCACAGTTTTCCAAATCCATAAGGCAAATCACATCACAATTCTCTTTAAACTACATTTTCTAAGCAAAATAGTACCTAGTAATCAAGTACGATTACAGTTCATTTATTCAAATCTTGATGGGGCTTACTTTTTATTTTGATCGGTTAATTGTTACCACACATTTCGTTGCAATATTGTACCACATTAGTTGAGGATCATCCGTTTTGACTAATCAGTGATATCACAAGATACCACAGGACCAGACCACAGGTAAAAGGCAGCCTATTATACCTTCCACTGTATGTTTCTTTTTATTGTGAACGTTGAATGGTAAATCTCCAACTCTTAAATTACGATGGTTTCCAGCAGATATAAATCAGTCAATTTCCAATTCTTATCAGTTTGATTAAAACAATAAGTACATCTTGCCAATACTTTTCTCTTGCCAACCATTTGAAAGAAAGTCTTGTCAATAATACCAAGAAACAATCAATACAACAATGGGGTTTGTTTCTAACATTACAAATAGGATAAAGCCAGCTAATCAACATTTGGATAATAGCTCATCAGATGGTGAAATTGTACATAAATTTGATGAATTAACTGAATATAATGAACAATATCCAGAACCTACCACTGAAGACTATGCAACTTTACCAAAGAAATTAGGTCATGCTCCTTACAAGACTTATTTGATTTGTCTTATTGAATTTGCTGAAAGAGCTTCATATTATGGTGTTAAAGGTCGTTTAAATAATTTTATTCAATTACCTTTACCAAAAGATGGTAATGGTGCTGGTGCTCCTCCAAAAGGTACACAAAAGAATGCTGGTGCTTTAGGTCTTGGTTTAAGAACCGCTTCAGCTGTCACTTTGTTATTAACCTTTTTAGCTTATTTAACTCCTTTATATGGTGGTTATATCTCTGATAAGAAATATGGTAGAGTTAAAACCATTTGGCTTGGTGTTTGGGTTGGTGCTATTTCTCATATTATCTTGATTATTGCAGCTATTCCATCAGTTATCAAAGGTGGTGCTGCTTTAGCTCCAACAATTATTGCTATTCTAACATTGGCTCTTGGTACTGGTTTTATTAAACCAAATTTATTACCTTTATTATATGACCAATATGAACATAAAAGAGATATTGTTAAGACCAAAGAAAATGGTGAAAGAGTCATTGAACTTAGAGAACCAACATTAGAAAGAATGACATTAGTCTTCTACTGGTCAATTAATGTTGGTGCATTTTTAAGTCTTGCTACAGCTTATTGTGCCAAATTAATTGGATTTTGGTTAGCTTATTTGATTCCAGGTATTATTTATTTCATTATGGTTCCTGTTTTATTAATTTTAGCTCCAAAATTAAAGAAAGAAACACCAAATGGATTATCAATTGTGGAAGAAACTTTTAAAGTTATTAAATATGCATTGAAAGGTGGATGGATTAAAAGATTAAGATCTGGTGAATTTTGGGAATATGCTAAACCATCAAATATTGTATCAAGAGGTGATGTTCAAGCTGTTGAAGCTGTTAATAAAAAGGGTAAAAAGAAAGTTTCATGGAATGATCAATTTGTTAATGATGTTTGGATTACAATTGATGCTTGTAAGATCTTTTTATTTTTCATTATTTATAACATTACAGATGGTGGTATTGGTGGTATTGAAAATTCTCAAGCCAATTCAATGACTACAAATGGTGTTCCAAATGATTTGATTGATAATTTTAATCCTTTAACTATTATTGTTTTCATTCCATTCTTAGATTATGTTCTTTATCCAATTTTAAGAAAATATAATATTGAATTTAGACCAGTTCATAGAATGTTTTTTGGATTTATACTTGCTGCAATTTCACAAGTTGCAGGTGCAATTATTCAATGGAAAGTTTATGAAAGTTCACCATGTGGTTATTACGCTACAGACTGTGATGTTGGTACTGGTGTTTCACCAATTTCTGTTTGGGTTGAAGTTGTTTTATACGTTTTAGGTGCTGCTTCTGAATGTTTTGCCAATACAGCAGCTTATGAAATTGCTTATACAAGAGCACCAGAACATATGAAAGGTTTAGTTATGGCTTTATTCTTATTCATGCAATCTATTTCAGCTGCAATCTCTGAAGCTGCTACATCAGCATTAATTGATCCTCATTTAATTTGGCCATTTGTTGCTTGTGCTATTGTTGGATTTGTCTCTGCAGTTTATTTCTTATGGTTATATAAAGATTTACATATTATTATGGAACGTGAAAGAATTGAAAAGGAAAATTTATTAAAGAAAGAATATGAAGAATATTTGAATGCCAAAGAATTTGATGAAGTTGAAGGGGATAAGGATAAAACCATTGAAAAAGTTGTGAGTAAAGATCTTTCAGTTGAAGATCATTTAATTGAAACAAAAGCAGTTGAAAGTAATCTAGAAACCAAGAAATAATGATTTAGTGATTTATAATAGTATATAGCAAAATTTTAATTAAAGTATATTTATTAGTAAGTGGAAATAACAGGAAGTTATTTTTAGGTAGAATTATATTACATTATAAGTCAATTAAGGCGTTGAAAATACATCTCCAATATGTCCAATACGAGTCAGGATAATGACCAGGAGTAAGTTGGAAATTTGGGGTACAATAGACAGAAGATACTTCTTTATACCGAAACAATAACATTGATAAGTTCCCCACAGTCTCGACTTTGCAATAGATAAATAATAAACAGGAACAATTCAAAAATCATCCTAATAATATTCCGGCTTTCCAATACTATGCAGTAAAATATCTTGCATTGGTGTTAACGTTATTCAACAATATTGATCAAAATTGATTATGTATTCAGATTGATGCCTCACAGATCGTTGATTGGATCATCAGATACTTATCCAAGCTGTAGATTACTATTTGGTTGCTTATCATATCTCGTGGAATGTCGATCAAGTTTCAAGAAAGTTCAAACTTCAATTTTACACAATTACGATACCAAGATACCAAGAACAAAACCGCTATCTTCACAGCTCTCGAGCCTTCACACACAGTGTAGTATTTGCATTGAACATTGAGAACTGTGGTTGATATGACTATCTCGTGCCGTATGAAGAGCTATGAATCACATGTCGAGTCACCTTGTACATGTATCAGTGCTAATTTTGAGAGCATTCGTCACTTGATTATGTAGGTTTTTTAAAGGGTCCTTTAAATGTCAAATGTGACATGAAACGTTCACTCGAATCAATAAAAGATCTCTAACTACAAATAACACCCTACAAAATACTATAAGCTAGGATTATACTCTATCAGGAAAGAGACAGAATAACCCCAAATCCTTACCAAGTGTACCAGCTCTTCATTGTTCACTTTTCATTGTCTGGTATGGCTTCTCTCCAGTTTGAAATTTTCCAAGACTTTGTCTTCTCAAGATCGGTCAAGCAAAAAAAAAAAAGAACCAGCTGCCTAAAACTTGAACAATCATGTACAAATGATGTACTACTGTGGGAAAAAGAAAGGCTACAAAGGGATTAAACTCCTAATAGGGTTTGGAATCGATTCTAGGATGGACAAATAATGTTGCTTCACTTAAAGTTTTACGATTGATCACCGTATCAGTTAGTTTGGTTGTTTTACCAAGATTTTTGAGAATTATATGAGTTGATTTCATTGATATGAGTAAATTGTCTTATCAAAAATGCCATTCTCATATGGATCCAACGAGAGAATATATATATATATATATAATGTGTTTCCCATTTTACTAAATCATTTCATTGTTCTGGATATGTTGTTGATCTTTTGATTTGATTCACTTTGATTCACATTGTATTTACGTTTCATAATGGGATTTTCAACATTTATTAAAGAGAGAATCTCTTCAAAAAAAGATTCAGATACATCTTCAACTGAAGAAGAAAACATTGCTGAGAAATTTGATGAATTAACTGAATATAATGAACAATATCCAGAACCTACCACTGAAGATTATTCAACTTTGAAAAGAACTCTTGGTTCAGCTCCTTTTATTACTTATTTAATTTGTCTTGTTGAATTTGCTGAAAGAGCTTCTTATTATGGTGTTAAAAACAGATTGAATAACTTTGTTCAATTAAAATTACCAGCTGGTGGTAATGGTGCTGGTGCTCCTCCAAAAGGTGATCAACAAAATGCTGGTGCTTTAGGTCTTGGTTTACAAACCGCTTCAGCGGTTACTTTATTATTAACATTCTTAGCTTATTTAACTCCATTATATGGTGGTTATATTTCTGATAAAAAATTAGGTAGAATGAAGACTATTTGGTATGGTCTTTGGATTGGTGCTGCATCTCATATTATTTTAATCATTGCTGCTATTCCATCAGTTATTACTGGTGGTGCTGCTTTAGCTCCAACTATTATTTCAATCTTGACATTAGCCATTGGTACTGGGTTAATTAAACCAAATTTATTACCTTTATTATATGATCAATATCCTCATAAAAGAGATATTGTGAAAACTACTGAAAAGGGTGAACGTGTTATCGTTGCAAGAGAACAAACTTTGGAAAGAATGACTTTAGTTTTCTATTGGTCTATTAATATTGGGGCTTTTATGTCATTAGCTACTGCTTATTGTGCTAAATTAGTTGGGTTTTGGTTAGCTTATTTGATTCCAGGTGTTGTTTATTTCATTATGGTTCCAGTTTTATTAGCATTAGCACCAAAATTAAGAAAAGAAAAACCAAATGGAATCTCAATTATTGAAGAATCTTTCAAAGTTATTAGATATACTTTAAAAGGTGGTTGGATTAAAAGAATTAAAATTAATCAATATTGGGAATATGCTAAACCATCAAATATTTTAAATAGAGGTGATGTTCAAGCTTTAGAAGCTGTCAATAAGAAAGGTCATAAAAAAATTTCATGGAATGATCAATTTGTTCAAGATGTTAAAACAACTTTTGAAGCTTGTAAAATTTTTTTATTTTTCGTTATTTATAATATTACAAATGGTGGTATTGGTGGTATTCAAAATTCTCAAGCAAATTCTCTTACAACAAATGGTGTTCCAAATGATTTAATTGATAATTTTAATCCATTAACAATTATTATTTTAATTCCAATTTTGGATCATTTAGTATATCCAACTTTAAGAAAATATAAAATTGATTTTAGACCAGTTCATAGAATTTTTTTTGGTTTTATCCTTGCAGCAATTTCTCAAGTTATTGGTGCTATTATTCAATGGAGAGTTTATGAAACTTCACCATGTGGTTATTATGCAACAGAATGTGAAATTGGTACAAGAGTTTCACCAATAACTGTTTGGGTTGAAGTTGTATTATATATCTTGGGTGCATCATCTGAATGTTTTGCTAATACAGCAGCTTATGAAATTGCTTATACAAGAGCACCAGAAAATATGAAAGGTTTAGTTATGGCATTATTTTTATTTATGCAATCACTTTCAGCTGCTATTTCAAGTGCAGCTACACCAGGTTTATTAGATCCTTATTTAATTTGGCCATTTGTTGCATGTGCAATTGTTGGATTTATTTCAGCAATTTATTTCTTATGGTTATATAAAGATTTACATAAAGTCATGGATCAAGAAAGAATTGATAAAGAAAATAGATTAAGATTAGAATATGAAGATTATATTAATTCTAAAGGTGATGTTGTTATTGAAGATGGATCTGCAAATAGTCATGATGGAACTTTTGATAATGAAGGAAAAAAGAATAATCAAGTTATTTCAAGAGTTGTTACAGATCAAATTTCTTTAAAAGATGAAAAAATTGAAGTTGATGCAGTTGAAAGTTCATTAAGTACTAAGAAATGAACATTATTACAGTGTACTTGTTTTGTTGTTTAGATTTAAGTTTAAAAAATTGATTTTGTTATACCCTAATGTAAAGTTTATATAATTCTTTTAACTCATACACGTGACTTGACGTGATTCCCCAGATGTATGTAAATTCTAATGGAATATTTACGGCCGAATGCCTCAGTTGTTCTTTCGCGATTCGCTTGAAAAAATTAACCGTTTTAAATTTTGCATGATTGATGCCGTGAAAATATTTCTTATCAAAAATACATCAGCTATTGTTTTGAAAATAGATCTACAAATATTTGCTTTGATGATAAGTTGATCAGTTGATAAGTCCTGAAACAACCTATCCATTCTAATCATTATCAGTTATAGGTTATACCATTTAAAGATCTGATTGGCACTTAGCATATTTAAGTTTTTTGAAAAGTCTCGAGACACTTTTCTTGAGTGTTCTTGGCTGTCACAAAAACTCTTGAATTACACGCTTTGTCACCAAAATGTAGTTTAAAGAACACTATAACGTCTTATATATATACGTACTGAGTCTGTTTAAACTTAAATCCAGCATAGAGAATGTAAATGTATTCCTAGTTCCTAGCCTTTAGGCCTATCTTCATGTATGGAATGGAGATATGGGGTATACTGATTAAAGGGTTCAATATGGAAAGGGAACTTAATGGCGATCAATGTCGAACATAATGTAAGTAAATGGATATTTAGGACTCGGTAATTGAATGATCGAGTATAATTGGATTGATGACGTTCAAACTTTAACGAATTAACCTATCGTGCTTATAAATTATATATAACTGTTGAACCTTTGACACATGGTATAAGAATATCAAAACTTAACGTAAAGTACCAAACCCCTAACTACTTCAACAGCATTGAGACAACTATATGACTCATAGAGAACAATACTATACATCGAACCATATACGTATATAATTATTGTTTTATAAGTCCAATACCGGCTTCTTAAGACAAGTTTCTATAGTTTATTGATTCAAGATTTCAATAGTTGTTAACAAAATTCTGCATCAACTTGCTTTTCACGCACGGCAGTTATAGAAAAAAAAAACCATCATAAGCTGAACAAGATGTAAAAATGAACAAAATAAGCATGAATTTGTACCTAAAAACAGCTGTACTTTAATGAAAACGTTATATTTCGGACAGCTGAGATTAAAGATCTTGCAATATGATTGGTTCATGGCTTGTTCCGGAAGTATTCAAGCGAATACCGCTTTTTTTAGAGTGGATAAACGTACTATATAGACCTTGAACATTGAACATTGAACAGGAACTAAAGATTGTAATTTGTAACCCCTCAGTACTACGAACAATCGTTGAATATTCAATGGAGAACCAGAAATACAGGGATTTTAAAAAGAAAATAAGACTTCAGCAACAAGCAATTCAAGTTAAACACTAGTCAATTCTTCTTTGAATATTCACCTGATGCTTTCTCGTAATTGTTTATTGTATCCCTCTGCCTAGCTTGCCCAGTGCTTGCCCAGTCTCTGCCCAGTCTGCCTAGCTTTCAATCCCAACGGTCTGCCCGTGATGTGTCTTCCTGCCCGGAATAGGCAGAACTTTGAAGCACTAGGAGAAAAAATAAAAAGAAAAGCGTTATCTCGTGAACCAAAGACATCAATTTCAACATAAAAAGAGCCCTTTCTTTTAAAACGATGATGCACCAAAAATTGGGTGATGATCACTGTTATCAGAATTCAATCGATTTTTGTATATAAATGTTCATTTCCCCAAGAATGTAATTGGACGTTTTCATTGTTTGTTTGTGAAATACAAATTACTCAATACATATCTCATAATGGGTAAGTTTAGATCTCATGATATGTCACTTTATAGAGTTTATTATTAACCATTGACAGGTTTCAACCTTAAGGGAAAATTAGTGGAAAAAATACGTCCAACACAGGCTGTTGAATCTCAAGATGTTGAAATAGCTTCAAATTCAACTGTGGAACAAGTTGATAGATATGAAGAATTAACTGAATATAATGCTAAATATCCAGAACCTACTGCTGAAGATTATGCTACTTTACCAAAAAAATTAGGTCGTGCTCCATATGCTACTTATTTAGTTTGTCTTATTGAATTTTCTGAAAGAGCTTCTTATTATGGTGTTAAAGATCGTTTAAATAATTTTATTCAATTACCTTTACCAAAAGGTGGTAATGGTGCTGGTGCTCCTCCTTTAGGTGATCAACAAAATTCTGGTGCTTTAGGTCTTGGTTTACAAGTTGCATCTGCAATTACCTTGTTGTTAACCTTTTTAGCTTATTTAACTCCTTTATATGGTGGTTATATCTCTGATAAAAAATTAGGTAGAGTTAAAACCATCTGGTATGGTGTTTGGGTTGGTGCTATTTCTCATATTATCTTAATTATTGCAGCTATTCCTTCAGTTATTACTGGTGGTAAAGCTTTAGCTCCAACTATTATCTCAATTATTACATTAGCTTTTGGTTCAGGTTTAATTAAACCAAATTTATTACCTTTATTATTTGATCAATATGAACATCACCGTGATGTTGTTGTTACTGATAAACATGGTAAAAGAGTTATTATTAGTAGAGAAGCCACATTAGAAAGAATGACTTTATTCTTTTATTGGTCTGTTAATGCTGGTGGGTTTTTATCTTTAGCTACTTCTTATGCTGCTAAAAGAGTTGGTTTTTGGTTAGCTTATTTAATTCCAGGTATTTTATATGCTATTATGATTCCAGTTTTAATGGTTTTAGTTCCAAGATTAAAACAAGAAATTCCAAGTGGTATTTCAATTTTAGAAGATTCTTTAAGAGTTTGGAAATATTGTTTATCAGGTGGTTGGATTAAAAGATTTAGAAAAAATCAATTTTGGGAATATGCTAAACCATCAAATATTGAAGCAAGAGGTGATATTCAAGCTTTAGAAGCTGTTAACAAAAAGGGTAAAAAGAAGATTTCATGGAATGATCAATTTGTTCAAGATGTTTGGACTACAATTGATGCTTGTAAAATTTTCTTATTCTTTGTTATTTATAATATTAATGATGTTGGTATTGGTGGTATTCAAAATTCTCAAGCTAATTCAATGACAACAAATGGTGTTCCAAATGATTTAATTAATAATTTTAATCCTTTAACTATTATTATTACAATTCCAATCTTGGATTATATTATTTATCCAATTTTAAGAAAATATAAAATTGAATTTAGACCAGTTTATAGAATTTTCACAGGTTTTATTATTTGTTCATTTTCATCAGTTGCAGGTGCTATTATTCAATGGAAAGTTTATGAAACTTCACCATGTGGTTATTACGCTACAGAATGTGATATAGGTACTGGTGTTTCACCAATTTCAGTTTGGGCTGAAGTTTCTCTTTATGTTTTAGCTGCTTCATCAGAATGTTTTGCTAATACTGCCGCATATGAAATTGCTTATACAAGAGCTCCAGATAGTATGAAAGGTTTAGTTATGGCTATTTTCTTATTTATGCAATCTCTTGCAGCTGCTGTTTCTGAAGCTTGTACAGGTGCTTTAATTGATCCATATTTAGTTTGGCCATTTGTTGCTACTGCAATTGCTGGATTTATTAGTGCTTTTGCATTTTTATGGATTTATAGAAATTTACATGTTGTTATGAATAATGAAAGAATTGAAAAAGAAGCTAAATTAAAACAAGAATATTTAGAAATGAGTGGTAATCATAATGCTATGAAGACTACAGATTCAAATGCTTCACCAGATCTTGAAGAAAAAGTTGAAGAAATTGTTGATCAAAAAATAAGTATGGAAGAAAATAGAATTAAAGCACAAAGTGAAGTTGATGGAACTTTAATTGCTGCTGATTTTAAAAAATAAATTTGAAGTTTTATTATAATACAATTGCATACCCTTAAGTTTTTTACATATCCCTACAAAAGTCATAAAAGACAGAAAAAAAAAGTTTATGAATGATTTTAATAATATATTTATTTAATGAAGAAGTCATGTGTATAATAATTTTGTATAAAGTGTTGTTTTTAATGATGTTTATAAATGTTTTTCAAAAGTTACTCTAATTCAAATTTGTAAGACTCATAGATAACTACCATTGTAATTGAGTTCCATCATAAGACCATAAATGATCAACATCAATTTTACCTTGACTTAAACCTTTAATGATATTTTCCACAATTCCATGAGCACTTTCTTCTGGTGTAATTAATCCATATAATTTTTTTGCTAATTCAAAATCACCATTAACAGCTTTTTCAATTGCAACATTACCTAAATCTGTACCAACTAAACCTGGATGGAATGCAACAACTTTAAAACCTTCATTTTTCAAATCAACATTGAAAGCTCTAACCAAATAGTTAATAACTGATTTAGTTGAAGCATAAGGAGAAATTGGATGTGGAATGAAACCTGTGATAGATCCACCAACACTTGAAGTAAAAAAAACTTCTCTATTATTTGATTTAAGTAATAATTTATAAAATTTTTGGAATGTAATCAAATTACCAATAACATTAATGTTATAAGTATCCTTATAAACTTCTGGTGATGTATTTAATGTAGTTTCAAACGAGTAAGAGACACCAGCATTTGGAATTAAAACATCAATACCTTCATCTTTACCTAATTTAGCTTCAACAGCAGCAACAGCTTCATCAGTAGCTTCAACAGAAGTTGTATCTTTCAATTGAATAACTTCGACATTAGAATGTTCTTTAGCAAAATCAGATAAATCTTTAGCATTTGAAGGATCACGAGCAGTAGCAAAGACTCTATTGTTTGAATCTTTAGCCAATTCTTTGACCAAAGCAAGACCAATACCTCTATTAGCACCTGTAATCACGTAGTTTTTTGTCATATTAATAATATAAATCTAGTTCCTAATTGTTTAATGAGGATCACAATGAGAAAGAATGCCATCTTCAACAAGTGATAAATCACCACTTATATAGTTTTCTTCAATACCAAACCATCTCTTTGAATACCAGCTCCTATACCCATTTCTCATACCACAGAGTGTTAAATTCAATAACAAATCTTTCAAATCATCACCAAAAAGCATTTCAAATTGGTTAAAAAATCCTAAATCCGCTGGATTATGTAATGATTGCACGCAAAATTATGTAATCAATATCAGATACGAGGGCAAAATTCAAATCACGTGAATGTCATGTGTTGATTTCGCATAATCTGACCGGATTTCGTCATAGCCCTTTATTACCATATTCCTAAACATCAACAATCTGTTCATTATGACAAGGTGGTGGATTCAGATCAGAGATCATTCAACAGATTTAAAAGAAGGGGGTTCCAATAGCGCTCATTTAGGCGTATCATTGTACTATATTAGATCAACCAAGATGTCTAAACCCAATGAAAATGGTGGTGGTGGTGGTGGTTCGTCGTTCAAGCAATTGAGCTTCTTGAATGAAAGTGATCCGGTAACATTGTTGAACTCAAATAACTATTTGGATCAATTGGTACCTATAATCAAATCAAATATCAAATCAAACACAATACCTGAACTTCTAGAGACATTGAATAATGAAGGATTGAAGAAAGATGATGAATTAACAAATAATATCAATTCAAATGAAGTCAATATTAGAACTACAACAACTGAAATTGCATCAATATCGAAAAATGCATCAACTATAAATGAACAGGTTTTGGATATAAATGATCATTTAAGTAAAACTTCAAGTCTGACAATACAAAAAAAATTTCAAATGCTTGCATTAAAGAAAAATATAAATAAAATTAATGAATCAATTATTTTAATCAATAAGATTTTACAAATTTTAGAATTAACAGATCGTACACATGAATTAATTAAAAATGATAAATTCTTTAATGCATTGAAAAATTTAAATGATTTAGATGCTTTAAATAAAGATTTTGATAAAGATTTCCAATTCTTACAAAATATTAATGATTCAATACCAATTATGAAAAATCTTGTTAGAGATGAATCTATAAGTTTGGTAAAGAGAAATTTAAATACTTTAGATACAAAATATGATAAAATTTCATTAGCATATTATGATAAATTTACACAAATTTTGTTGAAATGGGATCAATTTAGACAAAAAAATAGAGATTTTGATAAATATAAATTAAATTCATCAGTGGAAATTAGTTTAAGAGATGATTATTTAAATAAAGATGATCATTTACCTCAAGTTTATAAATTTATTGATTTTGGTTTCATTTATGATTCTTTCTTAATTTTTAAATCTTTAGATCAATTACCATTTCTTAAAAATGAATTTAATAAAGAATTAAATTTAAGAAGAGATAAAATTTTACATCCTTTTTTAACAAATGATTTACATAATGAACAATTTAAAAAATATATCATTTCAAATGATAATTTGAAAAATTTCCTATCTAAATTAATTGGATTTTTGATATTTCATGATCTAATGTCAACAAAATTACCAAATATTATAAATCAAAAAACAACTGATATATGGGAAAATTTATCTGCTAAAATATACCCTTTCCTAAAAGAATTAGTTGCTAATGGATTAATAGAAACTCAAAAAATCCTAGATTTTAAAAGTATAATAGGAAATTTTTATTTAATACTGGAACATTTTAATCTTAGTGGTGATCATTTTTATAATTTATTAATTATGACATTTAAGAAATTTTCACAAATATCTACACATAATTTTAAAATTGATTTCCAAAAATTAACTGAAGAAGATGATTCAATGCCAATGGCAATTTATGATATTGGATTATATAGAAAAATTTCAAATATTAGTTGGTATGAAGATTCAAGATCAGAAAATGAAATTAAATTCCCACAAGTTTTACCATTTAGTACAATTTATCCAATGACTTGTGCACAAGTTAGAGCTTATATTACACATCAAACTGGATTTCTTAAAGATTATTATAAATATGATGTTGAATCATTAAATAAATTAGTTATTGAAAATGTTGATAATTTATTAATTTCAGTTATAAATAGTTATTTTAAAGAAAAATTAAAATTAATAACTAGAGAAGAATTATCACAAAATTTAATTAATTTAGAATATTTCTTAATAATGTCAAAAGAAGTTAATAAATTATTAAGTCGTACATTCCATACAGATGTTAATTTAAAGGCAATTAATGCAATTTCTGATACAAGAAAAATCACAGAAAGGGAATTATTTGTTATGGTTGATGGTAAAGTGGAAGATTTAATGGATTTCATTGATTGGGATTGGCAAACAACTGAATTAAATAAAGAACCAAATTATTTTATGAAAGATGTTGGAGATTTCTTAAAAAATATGTTTACATCAACATTTTCAAATTTACCATTATCAGTTAAAACTCTGTTACTTTATAGAGTTTTTGATTTATTAGCAATTAGATTTTTAGAAAATTTAAATGATCAATCAAAAATTTCAAAACAATCTGTTCAAAATTTTGATATTGATATTGAATATATTGAAACAGTTTCAAGAGAATTGAATCCATCAAGAGATGCAGCAATTAATGGTACTAGTAGAGAATCATTACAATCAATGTTTTTACAATTAAGACAATGTATTAATCTTTTAAAAGTTGGTCATTTAGAAGAATATAAAGATCAAACTACAAGAATGAGAAAATATGATCAAATTAAACCTGATGATGCAGTTCAATTAATTAAAAAAGTTTCAAATGAATTATCAACTCCAAATACACCAATTGATAGTCCTGATCCATCTGGTGGTTCCAAATATGCAAAGTTTTATAAATTTAGATCAAATGCTTAGAGACTATATTGTTTACCTTTTATATGAATTAACGTTTTGTAAAATAGAATTAAAATGTATTAGAATTTAGTACCGATATCTTTGTGGATTCCGGAAGATTCAATTTTGATGTAATTTCTTAAAAATTTGGAGATGAGCTTTTCTGCACAGTAAAAGAAAAAAAAATACTAAAGAAAAACAAAAAATTAACTAAAGTGTCAAAAGACTACAAATCCTAAGCTTTATTAGCTAAGTTAACTTTGCTATATAATAACTATGGGTGAAAAGAGAAGAAACAACGGTGGTAGAGGTCAAGACCGTAAGAAGAAGGTATGTGTTTCATGGTAATCAATGATCTGGATCTTGAGTACTAATTATGATGATGATAGTATAAAGTTGCAACGGGTATAATTGATCCACAAACTTCAGGAATTTATGCAACTTGTAATAGACATCATGAAAAACAATGTGAAAAAGAATTAAAATTATTATTTGATGATAAATTTGAACAATTTTATAAAGATGTTGGAGTTGAAGAGGATGAAGATTCAAAAGGTGAAGAAGAAGAACTTTCTATAGAAGAATCTATTAAAAGAGAATTAGAAGGTTTACAACAACCAAAAGAAAAAGATCCAACAAAGAAAGAACCTTTCCAATTCATTGATTTAGGATGTGAATGTGTTGTTTTCGTTAAGACTAGAAAACCAGTTGATCCAACTTTTTTGGTGGAGAAAATTTGTGAAGAAGCTTTTGAATCTAAAATTAAAAATACAAGATATACACAAAAATTAACACCAATAACATGGTCATCATCAGCTAGTATTGAAGAATTAACTAAATTAGCTAAGCATGTTTTAGCACCTCATTTCCATCAAGATAAAGAAATTCAAAAACCTTTATCATTTGCAGTTAAAGTAAGTTCAAGAAATTTTAATACAATTGAAAAAATGGATATAATTACCAAAATTGCTGAATGTGTTGGTAGAGATCATGGACATAAAGTTGATTTAAAAAAATTTGATAAATTAATTTTAGTTGAATGTTTTAAAAATAATATTGGTATGAGTGTTGTTAATAATTATGAAAAATATCAAAAATATAATTTACAACAAATTTTTGAAAAACAATTAAAAGAAGATAATACTTTATCAAGATCTGCTACTCCAAAAATTATAAAGAATGATGAAGTTAAAGAAGAATCAAAAGAATCAAAAGAATCAAAAGATGAGCAAAAAAATGAACAAAAAGAATCAAAAGATGAAACACCAAAAGAATCAACTACTGAACCTACAAAAACTCAATCTATCCAAGTTGACGTATGATACAAATGTTATTATTTCCCACTCAAAAAAATGATTTAATTTAATGATAACACACTTTCCAAATACTATATAAATGTTAGTTTTTTTATTTCTTCTTTATAATAAATAAAATTTCATGTTAACTTACTCTTGTTGGTTCTTCCCATGATAACCAATCACCAGTTTTATTAGGAATCAATCCCATACTATTCAATTTATAAACCCCAATTGCCACGACACATAATTGTAAGAAGATAAATGTTAATTTTGCTAAAAACAAATCATGTTTTGTACCTTCACTTTCTAAACCTTTAAATTGATTATTAACACCAATTATAGCTGTTAATGGACCAGTAAATAACATCAAAGTCATCGTTATTGGGATCAATTGTAATGAATTACCAGACATATATGACATGAATGCATTCATTGGAATTTGTTTACCAGGTCCTAATGCAATATCCCATGCTTTCTAATAAGAAAAAAGTTTTTGTTAGCCGTTGAAACGATTCATAGTATAGATATATAACAGGGAAATTGAATACATACTTTTATTCTTAGTGCATCTATTTGATGTGGTTGTTTGATCACTGGTGCCTTTTTGATTTTAGAAGATTCTTGGAATCCATTTGGTGATTCAATTGAACCGGATAATGGTTGTCTTTGGTGAAAGTTAGTATATCTTTATTATTCCATTTTTTGAAGGTTTTGTAACATACACTATTGTAGGGTTTGTAAGATCTTTATACCAGCTCATTATGCAATTATCAATTTATCTTTGTGGTTTTGTATTTTAAATGTTTTGATATCTCTAACTTTCCTTAACCTACAGATCTATAAAAGTGTTGATAATTTAATATATTCGCGGATGATTTTATATTACATAATCAGAAGGCGGTGTGTTACTAAGCATAGTAAAGTAAAATACTTCAATATTTATTGAGATATTTATTTTATTAGCTATATATTTAGTTCAAAGCTTATTTAATTATTTATATATTTTGATAATTCTAAAGCAACTAAATCATTATTTTTTTCATTTTTTTTATTTGATTTTGAACTCAGTTTTGACCATTCTTGACCATTTGATTTATAATGTTTTAAAAATGAATTTGAATTTAATTCTTCAGTTCTTTTAGTTAAGAATTCAAAAATATCATTTGAATTGAAATCATTGATTGATTTATGACTTTTGTTAGTTGTTGTTGTTGTTTTAGGTTTTGACGGCTGTTGTTGTTGAGATTGTTGTTGTTGTTTTGTTGATTTGGAATCAGATGATGGTGAAGTTGATTTTTTATTTGTTGAAGGGCGCTGTTGATTATTATTTGATGGTTGTTTTTTTGGTTGTTGATTTGATGGGATAGATGATGATTGATTTGTATTTGTTGATGGTGTTGATGTTGAAGTTGAAGTTTCAGGTGTTGTACTTTTAGAGGCGGCTATAGCAGCCCAACCTGATGTTTTTTTAGTAAATGAAGGTTTTGAAGGAAGACTTGAAGCCGGTACTAAGCTTGGAGTAGATGTTTGAGATGTTTGAGATGAAGGGGTTTGTTGTTGGTTGTTATTTTGATGGTTCTTGTTTTGTTGATGTTGTTTATTATGTTGTTTTTGTTGATTTTGATCCTTCTTTGTATTGTTTGATTTTGAATTTGATGCCATGATGATTGAAAAAAAATATGATTGTATAAATTATGAAAAATATTATCTATATTTGGTTTATGAGATTGTAGAATTGAAAAATGATTTGGAATGGATCAATTGCTTGAAGCGCTCTATTCTATGTCTGAAAAAAGTTTTAAAAATAAGTTGATTGTTTTGATTAAAAGATTTTGACTTTACTGGTTGTTGAATCAAATTTTGAGCTTTAAAATTTCATGAACTTTTAAAAAAAATGATTTCGCGGTAGAAAAACTAAACCTTAAACTAAAATTTAGGCAGACCTTAGGCAGGAGTTAGGCAGGAGTTAGGCAGAGATTCTTTCCGTCTAGACAGTGAATTTAAAAATCTCTTCAACAAAGTTCCCAACAATGCCCACCTGGCACCTGGCCCACCTGGAACCAACAATTGTTCTAGCTCCAGGCTCCTGCTGAGGAAAACGTCACTTCAGTAAATCAAAGTATTTGAATGCATTGCGATTCTATTCTCAGTTGCTAATAACATCAATCGAAGATATGTTGTAATGAATACATTGTGATCTTGATAGACCTTTGATGGTAAGAATGTACTAAATGAAATTGATTTCATGGTCATTTTATTCCAAATAAATTACTATTGGGATATTCCACACTGTTATAGTTAATCAACTAATTAAGCTGGTTATTTAACCACGCTCACGTAAACTCCGGGGTACACTGTGTATGACCATAATAGTAATTCCAACAAATTGAGACTAAACTTAGGGAGAACTAACAACAGGACTCCACCAGTTTGAACTCCTAAGAATCCAGGAACAATAGTAACAATAAGCAATTGCCAGATATCTAAACAGATCAATTTTAAATAGCCTATGTCAAATTTCAATTCCCGTCTAGCCTATGAGTTGCTGATAAATCTGGGGAAAACTTATATCCGGATGAGAAATTAGGCAGGGAAATTAGGATCCTCAAACTACCGGGGCTATATATAAATCGCAACAATAACAACAATACTAGCAATTGGAAAGTCGCAAAAGACGCAAAGGAACAACATGAACAATGTTTACGCGTAGATTGCGATGATTAGTATCACTTTAACTATGCTGATATCGGATAAATTATTGCGTGTATTGTGTAATTGTGAGTTCCTTTCGTTCTTTGTAGGATCAAATTCTGTTCAACAATTGCGCTGGTTTAAAATGGATTTACTGAGGACTTTACCACCCCACAGAAATTTATACAGGCTGAGATGGATTGGCCATCCCGATTTTGAACGAGAACAAGTATATAAACATCCCGATTCCCTAGATTCTATCCTTCTTTTTTACAATCACAATTGATTATAGATTTATATTTTTATTCTCATTCATATTCATATTTTACACATATATACAAAATGTCACATTCACATCACGCTCAAGATGATTTTGAAGTGGAAACTGATTTAATCACTTTATCAAGATTTATCTTAACTTCTCAACAAAAAGTTGCAACTCAAGCAACTGGTGAATTAACTTTATTATTAAATTCTTTACAATTTGCTTTTAAATTCATTGCTCATAATATTAGAAAAGCTGAATTGGTTAATTTAATTGGTCTTGCTGGTGCTTCAAATTCTACTGGTGATGCTCAAAAAAAATTGGATGTTATTGGTGATGAAATTTTCATTAATGCAATGAAAGCTTCTGGTAATGTTAAAGTTTTAGTATCTGAAGAACAAGAAGATTTAATTGTTTTTGAAGGTCCAGGTAATTATGCCGTTGTTTGTGATCCAATTGATGGTTCTTCAAATATTGATGCAGGTGTTTCAGTTGGTACAATTTTCGGTATTTATAAATTATTACCAGGTTCAAAAGGTTCAATTAAAGATGTCTTAAGACCAGGTACTGAAATGGTTGCCGCTGGTTATACCATGTATGGTGCTTCTTCACATTTAATGTTAACTACTGGTCAAGGTGTTAATGGTTTCACTTTAGATACTTCATTAGGTGAATTTATCTTGACTCATCCAAATTTAAAAATTAGTGATGAAAAACATATTTATTCTGTTAATGAAGGTAATACTCCTTATTGGACTAAAGAAACTCAAGATTTCATTGCAAGTTTAAAAGAACCAAAATTTAATGGTAAACCTTATAGTGCAAGATATATTGGTTCAATGGTTGCTGATGTTCATAGAACTTTATTATATGGTGGATTATTTGCTTATCCATCTGATTCAAAATCTAAAAATGGTAAATTAAGAATCTTATATGAATGTTTCCCAATGGCTTTCCTTTTTGAACAAGCTGGTGGTAGAGCTATTACTGATGATGGTAAAAGAATTTTAGAATTAACTCCAAAAGCTATTCATGATAGATCTGGTATTTGGTTAGGTAGTAAAGCTGAAATTGCTAGATATTTAGAAGCAACTGGTGGTGCTAAATAAAAATCTTTAAAGTGATTTTATCCAAAAATTAGTGTACATTATAGAATTTTAAAGTTATATTGCATTTTTTAAACTAATTATTTATGAATTTATGTCATGACTATTTGATGATTTTTATTATAATAATCTGTAGAGATCGCTGTGAATTTACAATTACATACAAAAAAAGTTGAATCATTAACTATAAACATTTTATTGAACTTAATCAACTAAAACTAATTGAGCTTTTCTTTTACCTATACTAGAGTCAAGAACTGATTTAACATCAACTTTAACCTTGTCAAATACAGAAACAAGTCTTCTTTCACCATTATCTAATTTAAAATCTAATGAATATTCATCTTCTTTGAAAATAGCATCATTAACATGTGATGTAATATCTTCTAATTTAATTAAACTTTCAACACCAAATTTAGGAACTAAAACAACAATACCATTACTGAAAACTCTAATAACATAACCAGTTTCAGTTGATTCATTATTTTTCATAACTTGACCAACATAATATTCAATTGATGCTCTTCCTGCAAATTGTGCATTTCTATGTCTTTTATTTATATTTTTACAAATTAATTCCATCTTGGTCTTATCTCTATGTGTTAGATCAAGAGGTTCATAACTTATAGCAGCGGCTAATTGACGATGGGCAACAACATCACAATAACGACGAATTGGTGATGTAAAATGTGTATAAATATCAACAGCTAACCCATAATGACGAAATTCTGGATATCCATATGAACCTGAACTAAAATATTCAGCAGCCATCATACAACGTGTTGACATGATTCTAACTAAAGTATTAAAATATTCATCTTTTGGATCAATACATCTATCAAGAGAATCAGCTAAAGCTTTTGAAGATTCTAATGAAACTGACATATTTTTCTTAATTCTTAACATATCATTTAATTTTTCAAAATTTGTTGAAGGTGGAGCAGCATGACGTCTTAACATTGCAGTTTGTGGGAATTCATTAAAAATTTTTCTTGCAACACTAATATTTGCTAATAACATAAATTCTTCAACTAAAGAATTTGTTTCTAATAATTTTTTAATTTCAACTTCACCAGGATCTGAAGTTTCACTATCCATATGAACTTTAACTTCAGGACTTGCTAAATTTAAAGCACCAGCATCTAATCTTTGTTGTTTTAATTTTTTAGATAAATGTAATAATGCTCTCATACCAACTGTTAATTCATCTTGATTTGATTTATCATCAATTCTTAATTGTGCTTGTTCATAAGAAAATGCTTCTCTTGATTTAATAATAGATTTATTATAATCAACATTAATAATATTAGCATCATCATCTAATTCCCAGATAACACTGAATGCAAATCTTTCAACATAAGGTTTTAATGAACATAAATCTGTACCTAATAACATTGGTAACATATCAATTCTCTTATCAACAAGATACACAGAAGTACCTCTTGAAGCACCTTCAGCATCTAATGCAGAACCTGCTTTAACAAAATGTGTAACATCTGCAATATGAACACCAACTTCCCAATTACCATTTGGTAATTTTTTAGCATGTAAGGCATCATCAATATCAACACAACCAGGTGGATCAATTGAACAAATTAATTTATCTCTAAAATCTTTTCTCTTTGGTAATAAAGGATCAGCTTTTAATACAGTTTCATCTGTCAAATCTTCTGGAACTTTCCAATCATGACCTTCTTTTGGTAAACAATCCAAAACATTTTTACTGAATGGACGATACTCAACATCATGTTCTAATAATAATGCTTCAGTTTCAGCACCAACAGTATCAGCGGCACCAAGACTTTTAACAAAATGACCTTCTGGATTTTTTGATGTAATATTCCATGAATCAATTGCAATAACAATTTTTTGACCTAATAATTCTTGAGCTCTTCTTGTTTTAATTCTAATTCTTGGTAATGATCTATCCATTAATTTAACAAAACATGATTTAGCAGAATTTGTAGTTTGTTTAGAAACAGAGTTTTCCACAATTTGACCAACATATGATCTCCATGATCTTTTAACAATACCAACAACTCTACCAGTTGGTTGTAATTCATCAGTGGTACTTGATTGTGTATTGATGGCATCTTGTGTTAATAATCTTCTTTCTTTGTCATTTATTTCTAATTGAGATTGATCATTTTCTGGATCTTCATTTGAATTCAATTGATCTTCATCAACAATCATTGATGATGGTTTTTTCCATTGAGATTTTGGTAAAATTTCCACAACAACTGAATCACCATTGAAAGATCTATTCAAATTTTCACTTCCGAGAATTAATAATGGTTTTGGTAAAGTTGCAACTGAAATTTCACCTTCTAAGAAATTATATGACGATATGTTAATATTACCTTGATATAAAGTACCATTTTTCAATCCACCCATTAATCTTGAAGTTGGATAGTAATCTTTGAAATAAGCAGTAGTACCATTTTTGGAATCTCTTGTCTTGAATGTATTTTCTTCTGGTATTAAATCTTTCAATTCTTCACCATTTGGATAAAGACCAACGTATTCTAGTAATGATTTCGATATTATACCATCTTTTGAAGCAGCTTCTCTATTTAATCTGTCATTTGTAACTAAAACAATGTTGATTTTACCATCTAAATGTTTTTGATACCATTTTGCCAATTCTCTAATGGCTCTATCATTTCTATCATTAATAGTTTCATTATCTAATCTTTTGACAAAAGTTTCTTCATTAAAGTCATTATGGAATACAATAAATCTTTTTTCATCACTTTTACAAAGTGATCTTAGTCTTGAATATATTGGGAAACTCTTATTTCTAACTTCATCTAAAACAGTTTGTGGTATAATAACATCATAAAAGATTTGATTATTTTCCAATAAATCAATAGATTGTAATATAATATTTGTATCAACAATGACATAATGAGCACCACCAAGTTTTTTAATATTCAATGGATCTTCACTAAGCACAAATTTTGGAAGTTGACCTTGAGCATCTGGTGTCAATATTTCAAAACATTTTGAACATGATTTAGAAAGACATGGTATATCATTTCTTAGATAGTGTTCTCTAACGACTTTAGAAGCATTACCGTTTCTTGATCTGACGAAAACCTTGGAAGTCACGGTCAATCCGTCCGTGAGCTTTCTCTTTGTGATAGCAGGAGTGGTCATACTATTGGAAACTTCTCCTATGATTCAATATTGCCTTCAATGATAAAGTCCATGTTTATAAATCAATTAAGCGCTATACAAAATTTAAATTTTTTTGCCCTCGAAACCAGAAAAAGATTACAAATGCCCAGATCAGGAAAATATCTGTTTTGGGAAATAGTTAGTTTACGGATCAAAAAGAAGTCAAATCTCAGAGACACAATTATGAATTATTACTCACACCATCAGGCCATCAACATCTACTTCCACTCATCACCACAATACCATAGGACATAGGACTAACATTTGCTTCTTTATAGAACGCTAATACAACTGGCTAGTTTTTCCATCATGGGTCTCTCAAGCATAGAAACATCACTTACAAAGCATATTCGCTCCTTTTTAACTAAAAATTACTCCACAAATACATTAAAAATATTTGCTTGTACGGTATCATTATTATCATGTTTATGTGCTGGATCTGTGCTATTATTCCCATTATTCACACCAGTACTATCACATCGCTTTGGTTATACACAGTTTCAAATCAATATTGTGGGGAGTTTGACTTCCATAGGGATGTATCTACCTTTACCAGTTTTAGGATATTTAGCTGATTGTCATGGTCCTGTTATACTATCAGTTATCACATTAGTGATGTTTGGTCCTGCATATCAATATGCTTCATATATTGTGGAACAAGATTTGAATTTTTGGTTGTTAGCTATCACTTTTGGGTTTATTGGATGTGCTACAAGTGCCCTATATTTCACATCATTGTTAACTTGTGCTAAAATTTATCCAAAAAGTAAAGGTTTGACTATTAGTGCACCAGTTACATGTTATGGTCTTAGTTCATTAATTGGATCACAAATTTTAAAATTAAAAGTTCTTCAAGTTAAAGTTGGTGAAGAATTTGAATTAGATTTATACAAAACTTTTAAATTTTTCAGTATATTATATCTATTCTTGGGTATTTTTAATTGGGTTAGTGCTAGTGTTGTCTCAATTGAAAGAGATCTTCTGCTGCGTAAACATGAAACTAGTCAAGAAGATAATGAAGAACGTCCTTTACTATCAGGTTCAAATGAAGATTTAGATTCATATGAAGATGGTGATGATTTGGTTGCAAATCATAAATCAAAATTTATGAAATTTTTAAAAGATATTTCAACTTATATTTTATTATTTTCAGTTCTGTTAAGTATTGGCCCATCAGAAATGTATATTACAAATATGGGTTCATTAGTTAATGCTATTAGTCCAAAATCATTGATTCCTAATCAAGTTTCAATTCATGCAGTATTTTCAACCTTGTCAAGGTTATCATTAGGTGCATTATCAGATTTCTTAGTTAGTAAATATCATATTGCAAGAAGCTGGTTATTATTATTTATTATTTTATTAGGTTTACTCACTCAATTTTGCATTGCAAACTCTATATTTATAAAAGATCAGTATTATATTATTAGTGCATTATCAGGGTTTTCATATGGTGGGTTATTTACATTATACCCAACAGTTATTTTTTCTATTTGGGGTTCAGAAATATTTGGTTCAGCATGGGGTTCCTTCATGATTGCACCAGCTATTGGTTCAACATCATTTGGTATGATCTATGGGTTATTTTATGACAAAAGTTGTCAAATCAGTACAGAGTCGCTTGTTGGATCCACAAACTGTATCAGTCTTGTTTTCTGGATCAATAGTTTAGCATTTGGTTTCAGTGCCTTACTGTTGATTATTGCATGGAAGGGAGTCTGGGAGAAGAGAGGACTCCCATTATCATAAGTCATAAGTCATTGCATGTTTTAATAAAGGTTTTCATTGTGTTTTTAAAGCCAAAATTGTAGAGTGAAAAGCCCCAAATGTCTCAGAAATGTCTATACTTATACTTATTCTCCCCTCGGAAGTGCACTTGTCTCAGGTGACCCGTTACCCTTTTGTAATAGTCGGAATTCCCAGCGCACCAATTTTCAAGTTTCAACTCGTGGCGCGAACCGCACTTGAATTTTCTTCTGATCTGTCGCGTTGGCATCTTTTGTCAAAAAAGCGAAACTTGTTTAGGTGTACGATTTGGATTTTCCAAACTTTCGACATCATCAACACGAAAAATCAACAATTGATAACAAGTTCTATATCTTTCTCATCAAGTGTGAATAGTTGACTCGAATCAGTGGGAAAATATGAGTAGTTGTACGTATTGACTGGGAAGCATTATACTATAGAGAAGAGGATCTTTAGGCGTTTGTGAAATTTTATTGAATTGACCAGGGTGGTTAGTTTTGGTGATTGAAATTTCGCTTAAAGTCAAAAGATTATTATCATAAATTCAAAAGTTATAAAGAGAATATACTAACATTGATGTCAATAGTTCGTGTCTTAGATCTAGTGAAACCTTTCACTGGTTTCTTACCAGAAGTTGTTGCACCAGAAAGAAAGGTCCCTTTCAATCAAAAATTAATGTGGACCGGGGTTACCTTATTAATCTTTTTAGTTATGAGTGAAATCCCATTATATGGTATTGTTTCATCAGATTCTTCAGATCCTTTATTCTGGTTAAGAATGATGTTGGCCTCCAACAGAGGTACCTTAATGGAATTAGGTGTCTCTCCAATTGTCTCATCTGGTATGGTTTTCCAATTATTACAAGGTACTCAATTATTAGATGTTAATTTAGAAAGTAAATCTGATCGTGAAACTTTCCAAACTGCTCAAAAATTATTCGCAATCTTATTATCAATTGGTCAAGCTACTGTTTATGTTTTAACTGGTATTTATGGTAGACCAAGTGATTTAGGTGTTGGTGTTTGTTTATTATTAATCTTACAATTGGTCTTTGCCGGTATCATTGTTATTCTTTTAGATGAATTATTACAAAAAGGTTACGGTTTAGGTTCAGGTATTTCATTATTCATGGCTACCAACATTTGTGAACAAATTTTCTGGAAAGCTTTTGCTCCAACTACTGTTAACAATGGTCGTGGTGATGAATTTGAAGGTGCTGTTGTTGCTTTATTCCATTTATTAGCCATCAGAAAAGATAAAAAAAGAGCTATTGTTGAAGCTTTTTATAGACAAAACTTACCAAACTTGTTCCAATTATTGGCTACATTTATTGTCTTTTTCCTTGTTGTTTTCTTACAAGGTTTCCGTTATGAAATCCCAGTTAGATCAACTAGACAAAGAGGTCCATATGGTTTATACCCAATCAAATTATTCTACACTTCAAACACTCCAATTATGTTACAATCCGCTTTAACTTCAAATTATTTCATCATTTCACAAATGCTGTATCAAAAATTCCCATTAAACCCAATTATTCGTTTATTCGGTGTTTGGGATGCTAGACCAGGTTCTGCTCAATTATTTGCTACCAATGGTATTGCTTACTATATTCAACCACCATTTTCATTAACTGAAGCTTTTTTAGACCCAATTAAAACTACAATTTATGTTGCTTTTGTCCTAGGTGTTTGTGCTCTGTTCTCTAAAACTTGGATCGAAATTTCTGGTACCGCTCCAAGAGATATTGCTAAACAATTCAAAGATCAAGGTTTAGTTATCGCTGGTCATCGTGAAACTTCAGTCTACAAAGAATTGAAAAGAATCATTCCAACTGCTGCCGCTTTCGGTGGTGCTTCAATTGGTGCCTTATCAGTTGCTTGTGATTTATTAGGTACTTTAGGTTCTGGTACTTCCATCTTATTAGCTGTTACAACTATCTACAGTTATTACGAAATTTTCGCTAAAGAAGGTGGTTTCCAACAAAATGTTGTTTCTGGTTTCTCTGAAGCTTTCTAAGTTGAAAAATTATCAATTTAAAAACTAAGTAAAATATTTTGAAAATGAAAAATCAGACAACACAACATAAATAATAAAAAAAACAGAAATAAACAAAAAAACAGCATTATTTAAATTTTAATTAAAATTGAAAATAATTGTATAATAGTCATCAATTTGATATAAAGGTTATCATATATTAATATATTCTCAATCAAATTGATTCAACACGTGAAGTGGTAAAGAAAATAATTTAAAAAAATCAAAAGAAACCATTTTATTAAATGGTGTATAATATCATCACAATTCATTATTATTATTATTGATTATTGATTTCAATTCTGTAGTTTCTTCATTTGTAGTAAGGGCAACATGTATCTGTCAACATTTGAAGTGACATTTTTATGTAGGTGTCAAATTAACAATATAATTAACAAATTACTTTTAAACCATTTTAATTCAAAGATTGTTGATGAAACTTTAGTTTGTTTGCAAAGAAACATCTATAAAGAATTTGAATACATCTGTTGAAAGTGTTGCTTGATATAAATTACTGTCCCAACTACAGTTGTCTCCTTTCCAAAACATCACTTCAACCACCCCTTATCAAAGCAAAACAAGTAAACAATTAATCCATCATAATACATCTAAAACGTTGAAAAAACCTAAATACATGTCACAAGATAGTGCAAATATTTCCATTGAGAATGACACTGTATCAAGTATAAAATTTGGCTCTTTTTATGATCTTGAATATTGGTATTTATCCAAAAGAGATATAATTGACGCCTTCAGAATACCTAGAGAATCTCTTGAAGATTACCAACGTTTCAAAGAGCCTGAAAAGAACAATAGTGATGAATATGATCCAAAAGTCTTAGTTTGTCATGATTATAAAGGTAATTACCAAGATGAAGAAGATCAAAATCCTTTGGGATATTTCCCACATTCTTCTGGTCAACATTATTACATTCAATATCCATCTTTAGTTGATATTTTTGTTTATTTCTCACATAATAGAGTTTCTGTACCGCCTGTATCATGGATAAACTCTTTACATAAGCAAGGAATTCAAGTATTAGGTACAATAATTGTTGAAGGAATGGATTTTGCTGAATCGGATAGATTATTGAGTAAAGATGAGAATGGTAATTTTAAATTTGTTGAAATATTAGCTCAGATTGCTCGTTATTATAAATTTGATGGATGGTTTTTAAATATTGAATCTAGGCTCACGAGTTTTGGTAAATCATTTGAAGTTCCTGCATTCGAAGAAGCGTTAAAGACTAGATTGCATCAATTGGTTAGTGATTCAAAGCTTATATGGTATGATTCTCTGGTAACAGAGAAGAATAGAGTATTTTACCAAAATAGTGTTAATGAATGGAACTATGATCATTTCAATGCTTCTGATTTATTCTTCACAAATTATTGGTGGACACAAGAGAAGCTTAGTGAAAATATCAAAAATATAGGTTTATTGGGAGCTGAAAAGAAACTTTTTGTTGGTATTGATATATGGGGTAGAGGCTCAAAAGTTGGTGGTGGTGGTTTTGAAAGTTCAATTGCAATCAATGCATTGAAAAAGTCTCAAAGTAATGTTGCTTTATTTGCACCTGCTTGGACCTATGAGAATTTTGATAAAGAAGACTTTTATCATAATGATAAGAAATTTTGGCTTGGTAATGATTCCAGTGATTTTACTGGTGGATCGGTATCTACTTATGTCAAGCATTATACTGCCCCAGTTTATACTAAAAATGGAAATGCCATTTTTTATACCAATTTTAGTACTGGAGAAGGGTCAAAGTTTAGAGTGTTTGCACAAACAGTATTTAATAACAACTGGGTTAACGGTAACATACAGTCTGCTGTTCCAGTTATTGAAAATTCAAATCGTTTTAAATTGTATTACAAAGATACATTTAATGGTGGCTCCAGTTTAAAATTGACACATAGGAACTCAATATTGAATGATTATAGCTCTGACATATTTACATTATTTCATTTCAGAAATGATATAGACTCCAATAATTTAAATGTTTCTGTGAGCTTCAAACATTTGAAAGAAGTCCCACAGAATTCACGTTTCCAAATAGACATTAAGTACTACATCGAAAGAAGATATAGAAGTGTCACAAGATCAAGAGAAGGGTTTTTCAGATTACCTTTGACGTACACAAACCAGAATTGGAAATATATTGAGACAGGATTTGCATTACCAAGATTACAAGCTAGAGAACACTTTGTTTTGGAGTCTGTCCAAGCTCGTTGGGTTGACAGTACAGATGACGCAAATTCTGAAATTGATTTTGAAGGTGATGAGTCCAGTAGATCATGGGTAATGATACCTCAAAGTTCAGACCCTAATATTTTCCATGAATTACTCATTGGTGATATCCTTATAGAAGGTATAAAGCATGAAGTGAAGGTAGAAAGTATCATAAGCGTTAAGAAAATTGATCTTGGTGAAAAGAAAGTATTAGTTGAATGGAAAGATGATGAAAATGTATTATATTGGTTAATTTACGTGAACGCTAAGTTTTTAGGAGTTGCGCATAGCTCTGTTTGGAAACTAAAAAGAGGAGATAAAATAAGAGTTGATATATTTACGAGATCAGGAAAGGTTATAAAAGGGCAAGATTTATTTATTTAAAATATATGCTTCTTTGAATATCTAGATTATTTTATTTTGAGTATTATTAGAAAACCTCTTGATGAGAAATGTATTATATACAATATGTACAGTATATAGGAATTTAGTTCAATCATTACTAAATGTTAATGTCTTCCGCAAAAATTGTTATGCTTATCCTATGAATACTTGTAGGCGATCAATTAATATACTAAATTTGATTATATTATCAGGATATTGATTATGTAATCTATCTATAAAAGTTTTTATAAGCGAAATATCAGCATAAAAATGCACAAGTAACGAATAATATATTACTAAAATATTTAATATACCTATTTAGCTATACTCATGATGATGTAAAATATCTATATTTCAAGGAAAAAATATATATATTTTGTTATAATTTTTTCAGTTTTTGAATAGTGTCAATCTCAAAAATTTTATATTCATTTCAAAAATACAAATTTCTAAAATCACTAATTTTCAAACTTCATTATTTTTGGTTAAAAGTAATGTCATATGAGAGAGAGAGATCAAATCCTTTTTAAAATGTGTTTTCAGCTATATATTTGACGGGATGATCTCAATGTAAACCAATTAATAGAAGATTATTGTCTGGAGGCCTTCGGTGATTCTCGGATATAAATTACGCTGTTATAAGAAAAATTATGTGCGTTATCATGAATTATTGGCAAGCTTTACAAGTTTTCTAATATCGAACGCTGAGTATATTATAATATATGAGTATATTACAAGTAATTACTAGTAATACTATAGCTACCAATATCCAAGTTTCAGCTTCTATAGCTTTAGGAAAATCACAGATTAGAGTTGCTCAAAGCATTTGGTTGTCCGAGTTTAGGAAATTGTCCCAAGGTGGTGTGAAAGTAAGACATCATTTCATTCTTGAATTCTGATATGAACATAAAACAGAAAAAATTTATAAAAGTTCTAAATTAACTAACTAAAAACTCTTTATTAATGGTATTCAAAATATTTCATTAAATAAGGGTATGAGAAAGGACCAAGATAATTTAGCACTTGAACTTGAAACAAAGCTGAAAAATAGAGCCTTAAATGATACCATAAATGCACTTGAGCAATTCTTCTCAGATGGACAGGTACTTGAAAGGTTCAAACTAAAAGATGAAGAAATTTTCAAAACAGATCTGAAAGTTTATGCATTTGAGCTTAACAATTATATTGCGAATGATGAAGGTTGTCATTTTACAGATAAAGCTATGATTTATGCATTTTTGTCAGAGGGAATCATACCTTTAAATTCTTCAGTAACGGGAGAGCCAGTACCAAAGTTTGCTTCTTATCTTGGTAAGAACTTAGAGCCTTTACAAACGTTAATTAATGGAATTTATCAAGAAATGCAATATCAATGGTTACTTTATTTGGCTTCCCGCTTGAATTTATGGAGAATATGCTTAGAGGTAAAATCAGTAGAATTATCAAAAAAAGGTATGAAAAATAAGCCATTACCTTCACCAAGAACACCAAGAGAGTTAATGAAAATACTGTTCAGCTGCAGAGCACCTATGGCACCACATCCGATAATGACTTTTTACAAGCGAATAAACCACCTGGAAACTACACCAAGGTTTTACCATAACTTTTTAATGGATATGGTCAGTTTTTATGAAAAAGTTAAATTATTTGACCCTGATAACTAGGAAAATACAATGGAGAGCTTTAGTGTCTTGAATGCAATTAACAGATATAGGTCTCGTCATATTGAAGAGTTGGGTGATTTTGACCTGGATAAATTGATAAATGATATTCTATTTAGAGAGAATAAGATCACTTTTGATTTGTTTTCAAGAACCTTTTATACGGCCAAATACGGTAGACATGGAAAAAGACTTCAAAGTATGTGATTATAAAATCATTCATTGTATATTATATTCTAGGGTTTCAGTACCAATATATAAAAATAATCAGCCAAATTTCAATATTGTTATGTAAGACTATATAATAATCTAGTAGGAAACCTCTTTACCGTTTTCATCATAAAATTTACCGTTTTGCTCTTTTGACAAGTTAGTGATAGTTTTTAACTGTCTCTTTGCACTTTCTTCAGAAGTTAAAGTTTCGTAGTCTTTTAAAACTTCAACAACAGCTGGTACATTCTCTTCATAGTAAGAAAATGCCGTATTGAACATATCAGTAGAAACAACACCTGGATGCAAAGCAATGACAGTGAAACCTTCAGATTCTAACTCAAAACTAAATTCTTTCACAGCGTAATTCAAAGCTGCTTTTGACTGACCATAAGCGGATGTGCTAAATGGGATAAATTCATTAATAGAACCTGCTAAACTGGAAACGAAAGCGATATGTTTTGTTTGAGATTTTTGTAAATATTTGTAAAGAGCTTTAACCAAAAGAATTGGACCAACAGCATTGACATTAAAGTGATTGATGAACTTTTCTTTTGGTGTTTCTAACAAAGATTTATAAGATTGTGCAATACCAGCATTTGAAATCAAGACATCGATACCATTTTGTGCAATATCTTTTAATTGATCATCTAATTGTTCAAATGATTTTTCATCAGAAACATCAAGTTTGATGGCATGAACGTTAGAGTTGGATCCAGATAGTTGTTGTAACTCAGAAGATGACGAAGGATCACGAGCTGTTGCTATAACAGTATTTGAAGAAATTGATGATAATTGTTTGGCGAATTCATAACCAATACCACGATTGGCACCTGAGATGAAATAAACTTTTCCGGACATTGCTAGTATAATTGTAATTTAATTGTTGGTTGATTGATAGTGATCAATTCAACCTTAAAAAAAATAAATGAGAGATTGAAGAAAATGGATGATCTATATACATTTTAAATCAATGGTTTAATTTATAAGCGTAGATGCTACTATAGATCTATTATAACCTTGTTTTGTTCTCGGTTTTTATGGGGATAAAGTTTAAATCCGAGATGTAAAAATTCAATTTATAAGCAGAAGAAATTAGAGTACAAAGTAATAAATATAAAAGCCACATATGTTGTTTCTAATATGCATTTTAATCTCTTTATCCGCAATTACATAGAGTTTGTGCGTATATGACAAATACTAGCCGCAACTATATATAACAATATTGCTTATTGTTAATATATTAATATTAATAATATTTGTCAATTCCAGATCAGATCATATATTATAATTATTATTATAAGTTAATGTTAATGTTAATATTATAATATGATCATTAGCATCTAGGTAATTTAATATGAGTATCTATATATTATACAATATTGACCTGCACATGCGTGGATTTATAATTAATAACGACGTTGTAAGTGCGCCTTATTTACTTGGTTTCGGGTACATCAAATTATACAACTAATTAAATGAATATGGAACACAATAGATTGCGCTCATGCTATCCAAATTCAAGGCCCAAAAATCAACGAAAATTATAAGCATCCTGGAAATTATAAATTATGGTTAAAATACTTAATTTGAAGAGATTCAAGAAAGATTGGCGCAGAAGTCAGTTGGGATAATTCAATTTACCTCAAAAGCTACATCAATCAATATATATATATATATAAAATATATGATAATTGAATATTCGATATACATATGTTATTTATGGCTGATAATACTCGATTCTAGGTGCTTAATATGGAATTTCTGAACCATCATAACTGAAAAACTTACCATTGTCTTCCTTAGTCAATTTGTGATAAACATTGTTGATTTGATAGGATGCACTTTGCTCAGTAGTAATGGAGTTGTCTTTCAGGAATTTTGCAGCTTCTGGTTGAAATTCACTGAAATCAATTTTAGCTTGATTCAACATATCACTTGAAACAACACCAGGATGGACTGCAACAATTGTATAGCCATCATCTTTCAATTCAAAACTTAATGTTAAAACAGCATGATTTAAAGCAGATTTAGATTGACCATAAGCTGCCGTTGAGATTTGAACAAAATTCGATAATGATCCAACGATTGAAGAGATGAATATGATTTGCTTTGTCTCTCTTTTATCTAAGTATGGTTTCAAAACTTTGGTTAGTTCTATTGGACCAACAACATTAGTGATATAATGCTTCAAGTAAACATCTCTTTCAACACTTAATGCTGGCTGATGAGTTTGAGCAATAGCAGCATTTGAAATGAAAGTATCAATACCTTCTGGGGCCACAGATTCTAATTGAGAATTTAATTGATTTATTGATTCTTGAGAAGATACATCGAGTTCGACAATTTTGATATTATCACGCTCTTGAGCTAATTGAGCCAGTTCTTTAGCGTTTGATAAATCACGAGCTGTACCAATGACTGTGTTTGTAGAATCAGATGATAAAATCTTCAAAGTTTCCAGACCAATACCACGATTTGAACCAGTAAGAAAATAAACTTTACCCATATTGATGTTGTTTCAGAGTTATCCAAGCTAATTATATGTGTTTTATGATAATGATTTAGTGTTAAGGTCACCGACGATATTAATGATCTGGATATGGGTGTGGATTTTTTAAAAGCATCTGGACGGGAAATTCATGCTATTTATATGTTTCAAAAGTTCAGATATCTGGTAAGCATTTGTAATGATTATTCATCGTTATTAATAGGTGAACGAGTACCCCTATATTGGAATTCCACACCTTTGTTACTTGTTACGGATTGTCACGGAGGTCATACCAATATCTAGCTGACGGAATTCCGTGATCGTTGAATGTATTATTAATGATTTAACAAGAACCAGTGATAATGTGATGTTAAAAGTAACTTTTTATATTTTGTCCTTAATATCAACGTTCTGATGATGTGACTGCTCCTCTTTTGATACACCATTAACGA